TTTTAATTTAAAGGTTTTTAATAAAAATTATTTAAAAATATTATATGCTTTATTTAATTAATATATAATTATAAAGCTTATATATTTTATTATAATATTTATAATATATTATTTTTTATAATTATTATTATATATATATATAAAATTATTAATATAAAAATAATATATATAAAAATAATATATATAAATATAATATATTTATATAATAAATATATATATATATAATATATAAATTAAAAAATATAATTTAAATTAATTTTATTAATAATAATTATTAATTAATGTTAATTAATTATTAATTAATAATTATATATAATTATATTTAAATTATTTAAGTTAATTTATAATTAAATAATTATAAATTATAACTTTATTATAATTTATATTTTAATATAATAATTAAATTAATTATATATTTTCTTTATTTATTATTAATTATATAAAAATTAAATTAATAAAGTTAAAATTAATTTTTAAAAAAAATTAAAAAAAAGTAAAATTAAAAAAATTATATTATATTTATATATATATAAGGTAAATATATTTAAATTTATTAAAAATACCCGTTTTTTTTTAAAAAAATTTTTTAAATTTTTCTTTAAAATTAAATATTATATATTTTATATTTTTAATATTTTTTTTTTTTATTTTTAAATAAATATTATAAAATAAAAAAAAAGTAATTATTTTTAAAATAAAGTATTATTAAATTAAGAAAGTATTTATTATATAAAAGGTGAAAATATTAAAAAATAAAGTATATTTAACTTTTAGGTAGGTAGGTTATGTGCAGGTCACTAGCGCCAAAATGATATGATTGATTATAAGGTTTTCCCTTAATTTTTATCCATGTAGGTATGACATCCCTGCATATAATATAACCCTGCCAACCAATTAAAAGGTTTTAATTTCCCCTTAATAACTGCTTATCGGCACCCTAATATGCACTTAAATCTCTGCTAAAATTAAGAGGTGCAGCATAATTATCCCGCTTAACCCCGCACTGCCCCACTCTATAGCTGCCATCAGCTGGCCGCCAGCTGGCACCTTTACTTTGCAAAGCTTTTAAATAGCTTCTTTTATAAGAAAAAAAAAGAAAAAAAGTTGACCACACTAGGAATTAAACCAGGAATACTTCTTATTTAAATAAGCCGACATCGCTAACTGCAAATAGTATGCTAAGATAAAGATGTAACACTATAATTGGGGAACCTTAAAATGTATGCAAACTTCCTAGCACACACCGGTACCTTGGTTGTGGACGGGCATACGCAGCTATTGGTTCAAATCAAGTCAGGGGACCCCTTGCCAACGCGCTGGAAGTCGCGAATTAGCCTTCTTTAGGGGAAAACCCTGTACATATGAGAGTAGCCGCGCGGAGAGCGACCGCGTGACCCACAACTATTATAAGCATCCGATTCATGTTGCCTTACTTGAGTCGATAGCAGGAGACGTTCACGAGAGGAGAGTATGACCGGATTGGACGTGTTTGTCAGCCACAAGCCATGCCGCCTGAATTGGAAGCTGTAGTACGGCTAGGCTGTCAGGGGCCGCTTGTTCCGGGATCTGCTGTACATTCAGCCCATGGTGACGTTCTACAACACCAAAAATCTTCAGCATCGTGGGGTTGACCTTGAAAGTGTGTAGCCTGGAGAATGCATTCGGCCCCTCTCTCGCGGATAACCTGCATTGACTCAATTACGCTGAGCAAACAAGGTGCTCGGCTCTCCAAATGTGCGACAACGTCAACCAAAGCGCGGAGTTGTCGGAGACATGGCGGACTGGATTAACGACTTTTTTCCTACTCGAGTAGGGGTCTCGCCGGTAGGTAGCTGCTTTATTAAACCCTGCAAATTGCCGGAACGCATGGCAGGATCCCCAGTCCAGGGATACCCAAGCCAGTCTAGTGTATCTGCATGCAGCCTTGGAACCCTAAAAGTATGACGCGTGAGCTGTATGACGTCTGATCAGTGGGAAGCCCCGGCCGATGCTTTAAAGAAGCTCGAGGCGCCGTCCAAGCTGGTGTGGTCGCCAAGAACTTTATCACGGATCGAGGTAATGGGTAATTAGGGCAGCATCGAAAATGTGTGGGGCTGCCTCAAAATCTAGTCCACTACGCGTGGTGGAGAAGCGACGACGGCCGTGTCCTGACCGTTCGAATGGTGGATAACTGGGTATTCCTCGGCAGCTGCGCTAGGACAAGACCCGTCGGCTGGAGTGTGATTTCTCTGAGGTAGCGTCCGCATTGCCGGGGACCGGAGAATTGGTGTGGCTGAAGCACAATGGCGTATACCGTCTGAGAACTCAGAGTCTAATTGATCACCCAGCGCGCCGAATTGGTTGATCGAGGTCGGTGTGGCCGGCGGGCGAGACACAGCTCACCGCACCCCAAGATCAAGAATGATCCGACCGAGGTCGACACGTTTGTCTGCCCCTCACCGACTGGACTGGTTGGCATTTCGCGATGCGGCCCAATGTAGCGGTACGAAGCGTAATGGGGTAACCAGGTGTTCTCGGTCGATTGCCGTGTACCAGGGACGTTGTAATACCAGGGCCCATTAAGCTGAAAACAGTGGAGTCGTCGGCTGTCCGATTAGGAAGTGCCCTCCAGGCCAGCCAGGCCGGTGTGTGTAGGGCCTGTAGGGCCCTCGGTGCCGCGGGCGGCCTTGTTCTGCTGTGGGCTGAATCGGGGCGCTTCGGATGGTTGAACAAGAGGGAGGTCGGGGCAGATGAAGTCCAGAATTGCCAGGGTGCAGATCTTGACCACATCAGTAGAAGCTACTGGCCATTAATGCGCCTTGGGTCTGGCAAAAAGTTGCATGGCTATCGCAGTGGTTGTCGAGCTCGGGCGGAGCTTGCAGGCCTGGAGACGCACACACTAGGGAGAGCCGGGGAGCATGTTGCAGGCTGGCAGGCTGGAAGGCAGGCTTGGTTGCGCCTGTCACCAAGACTCCATTCGCACATGGCGAGGGCGGGCCTCGTTGATCTACTGACAGATCACACCATCTCGGACGAGGGCAGAGACTCTGCAGAATATCAACGAGGGTCTGCTGTTGTGATGGGGGTGGACGGACGGGCGACCCTGGGTGGGATTCTCACGCTGGGTGTTGTACTGATACCTGGGCCGGGGCCGAGTGTCTCTCTGTCTTTGTCTCTCCCTGCCTCGACTCCAGTCGACTCGACACCGCCTCGGCCTGTACTGGCTTGGTCGACCCGGGGCAGCAAGTGAGGTGGCGGTGGAGGGAGAGAAATAGTATCGCCGGGAGCAATGCGAGATGTGATGTTGAGTTTATTTATGACATGGCGGGTGGCGCTGCCGTTGATGCGCGAGATCACTCGAGTTGGAATTAGGAGGGAACTGCCGGCTACTTAACGAAGGGCTGGCCTCAAAGTTTGGGTGTGGGATGGGGACGATACTTTTTGATGCCCCTGCCTAGACCAGACGGGAAGGTGGGCCCCAGCAATGACGTCGTGCCTGTCTTTGACCCCGATACCCTGTGCCACGCTTTGTGGGGCAGCGTCACATCATTGGCCTGCGCTGGTGCGGTACGCAGGACTGCAAGCACTCGCGCCTGGCAGGTCCGCAGGCCTGGGCAGCAGAAGGTACCCGGAGGATCTGAGCATTGATGCCGCAATGCACACTACTGTGCTCTCGCCCACACTCACCCTCGCACTAGCCGCAGGAGGACGAGGACGGAGCATGAGAGCAAAAAATTGCACACAAACTCCCCTGGGGTGCACACACCTCAGCCTGTCCAACGGCCGGCCCACTGGGTTGTCTAGTCTGTTCTTGCCCGCGCCGCATGACGGAGGCTCTCTCTCTGGCCCTGCCCTGCAACCTTTTCCCCTTCGCAGACCTCAGACCTCTTCAGTACACAGCAATTACCCCTCCGAGAAACCTGCCCACACCAGCCCGCCTGCACGGTACCTACATTGACCAGGTCAGGTCGACAGACTCTCAACCGAGTGGGACATCTGGGCTGCCAGGGTACCCACATCTTATTTCCCTTCCGTTTCTCGGTTGATGCTAACCTTGTGACCGAGCGACAGGCACCCCGATCCCTCCACCAGTGACGGACATCTAAAGCTGCACAGCTCTCCTCCCAGTCTTGAGTCACCCGCTGTCTGGTTGACTGCCGTGCCGTTGCCAGCAAGCAGAATTCGGGATAGTTCACCTGCACAGTTCACTCCTCCTGCCCTCTGGACTCTGGTTCGACCGTACCTCAGGTAGGCTGCCCGGACTCGAGACCCTGGCCACCCATGCCTCGAGGCCTCGTCAACCTCGTCGCACACCCGCCTACAGCGCTAATTCCACCGGGCCTTACAGTCACTACAATCCTGCTGCCCACCCCGCCAGCACGGTCCTGAATATCCTCATTTCGCCGGCCCTGGGTGAGACCTTGGGACTTGTCAGAGCCGCGTGTCAACTCTCGACACATATCTCTTTCTCCGTGTCAGGTGAGTCTGCTACTACGTCACGCACATGTCCGCCCAGCATCAGGAGCTCATCACCCTCATGCGCTCGCCTTGTTACCAATGGCCCTTTCTTCCCCCCTCACCCGAAGCCTGCTGTAGATGCCATCACGTAGCCACATTGCCGCCCTGCCTGCTACGCCTCTGCTCCTACGAGAGCAAGCAATGCGACTAGAGACGGCCCATTCTGGTCACTCTGATGAACACTCGTGGCAGGGACATGGCTGGCCATAGGCAGGAGCGCTTTGCTTCTCTGCATGGATTTGCTCTGGATGCCCGCCCCATCCCACCTCTACGCCATCCCCTCTTGCATCACACCGGCCCGCTTCTGCTCATGGCCCGCAATGTCGGACCCACATGTTCTTTTTCTGTGCGCTGCGGCTGACCACGTATATTTTGGTAGCAACCGACCAGGTTTCGCCCTCCCACACTGTCACCTGCTGCTCCTCCCTATCAGCTAGGGAACCCCTCCCTTCACATAGAAGAACGCAGTATCAGGTACGCTGCGCATTAGGGAGTCTGTCAAAATGCCCGAGGTATGTAGTCAGAGCCTGGGTTTCCATCCGTGCCGAGTCATCCACCCGGCGGCCACACGTCACGTTGCTGTTGCTGCGATCTGACAGCTGACAACCGGCGCCTTGCGCAGAACGAGGAGGCCCTGCCAGATTTCGGCGACCATGTCGACATGGGCACCTTCTCCCAGATCCTGGAGATGGATGAGGATGAGAGCGAGCGCGAGTTCTCCAAGCCTCTGGTCCTCAACTTCTTCGAGCAGGTTGAGGAGACCTTCGAGAAGATGGACACTGCCCTGTGAGTGATTTGGCCCCGCCCGTTTCGCATCATCGACTCTTTAGTATTACCAAGGCCAGTTTACCAAGGCTGTCCGCACGGAAAATAGTCCTGGAACCTGAACTGACAACCGCCCGCTCTGCCAGTGCCGAGAAGGACCTGAACGAACTGTCCAGCCTCGGCCACTTTTTAAAAGGGTCCTCGGCCACTCTTGGCTTCAACAAGGTTCGAGACAGTTGCCAGGTCATCCAACAGTACGGCCACAAGCAAACTCTCGACGGCACCGAAGAGCCCGATGAGAAGGTGTGCCTCAGCAAGATCACCGACGCTCTCAAGACGGTAAAGGTCGATTTCGCCGAGCTCGAGAAGGAGCTGAAGATCTTCTTCAATAGCGGCGACTCCGAGACCAATGAAGATTGATGCCTTGACCTAGCCAAAACTTCACCGAATTCCCATCTGGCGCGCTCGCCTCCAATAGCGGGAAGCCTCCGGCCTCGCCATGGCATATCCCCAGCGTGTGCGGCCTTGGGATACCCATGAGGCCGGAGGCTGACCTCATCGGCTCGGGTCGCCCCAAAGCCCGAACCCATTCCCTCTGGACTGCATTTTTCAGGATACCATGTTTTTATTTCAGAGTCTACTTTGAGAAGAAGCCACGGCGGGCCCCACGTCACAAGACTACTTGCAATGACCAAGGCTCAAGTCTTTTCAAAGATTAATACGGTGGTGAGGGGGTGGTGGTGGAGTGTCCACCCAGCTCTGAAGGGATTGTTCTGGGACAGCCGCTTCGCTTGTCATGTCCCGTGGCTCCCATAAGAAGACCATTAGAAGCATCAATCCTACCAAACCTGGACTGGGGACATCGCCACTGCGCCGTTCTATGTGTACTCGTCGCTGCCTTATTTATTGTTCTTACTGCTGCGCCTGCGCACTATAGTCTCATTTGCAACACTGATTTCATATATCGAGCATAAAGTTTCTGGGAATCCCAAACATTAGAGCTGATACCTAGAGTAGACATGTAGGGGATCGGAAAGGAAGAAGATCCCTATGATATAGAAAGGTTTCAAGAAGAGTTATTTAAGCTATGGCCTAACAGTAGTGGCCCATGGTAGCTGTGCGCTTGAAGCGACAGAACCATGAAACTAGTGTGATTTACAGTGTGCAACATGATCAGCAATGTCGCATGGTTAGGAATGCTGAGTCTGACCTCCACAGGAATGAGGTGGTCGTAATGGTTACCATCCAACCGGGTTTGCTGCCGTCTCACTGGCAGTCTTCGTGCGCGAGGCTACTTTTGCCAAGTGAAACCTGGCCAAAGGCTTCGGTCTCTCGATTATTTCTTTGGTGAACTACACAGCCAAGGACCTCAGGATTCACTGGTATTCACCACCATTGATGTGTAGACGCCACGAGTCGACTCTTTGGGGGAGGGGGGAGCGGAAAGCGCAGCCCAATCTCGAGTCCATCCGCCAGATGGTAAGACCCAGAAGATCATCCCAACCACCCGAGGAATGTTATCCTAAGTGGCTTGGTTGCCTTTTCGTCACTTCGAAGGTGGCTATCCCACGGTCGAGCTCCCAAGGACAGCTTGCTGCGCAGATGGTAATACAGCGCCGTTGGAATGCTCCTCAAAATTCAACTTCAGCTTCAACTTCGTAGGCGGCATCTACTACTGTGCCGTTCTCCTCGATAGGTTTGGCGCTCATCCTGCAGATGGCAACCTTGTCTAAGGGCGCATTCTCTAGCCACACCCTGGTCTTCGTAACGATCCATAATAGCCTGGCCGTCAGCGACGAAGGTCCGATCTCCCCTCTTCTTGCCGTGGCTATTCCGGTTCCCCTTGACGTAAATGGTGTTGACGATAGTCGCATGCAGTAGCAATGGGCGGTCGTCAGGGGCCAGAAGACCGGCTTCTTTGAACAGCGCCTTGATCTTCTCCGAGAACCCGTGGAGCACCCCGGTCTGGTCGGACGGGGCCGCAAAGAGCACCGTGGCCTTGTCGGCCTTCTGGAAGGTGTGCAGGCCCTTGAGGGTGATCAACAGCTGCGGCTGATCCGTGCCTGCCTCCCCACCCGAAGACCCGGGCATCACTGGCGCCTTGACGCTGGACATGATCTCCCGCAGCTTGAGCGACCTCAACAGCTCGACGGCCTTGTCCAAGCCCTCGTCCTTTGGGAACGACATCATTCCCAGTGTCAGATGCAGTGTCCCTACGGGGCGAACCGCATCGAACGGGAGTTCAAACCCTCCCAATGCTTTCGGCCGAGTGACATCATCTCGGAAGGACGCGATGCTCTGAGACAGCTGAGGTCGGGACGCCGCAGTCACCAAAGGGATACACAGGAAATGCGTCAGCGGAGGTGCTTTCGTCTTGTGGGAGGAGGCCATCTTGATGCCTTTGAGGAGCCGGCTCATTGGCTGTCTGTGATGATGTGTTGGGAAAGCCTAGCTATATCATTGGCTATCTCAAGAAATGAACGACAGGAGTGATTGTTTGGCGGCGCATGGTGCTCGGTCGGATGGTCGTCGGTGACCTCGCGATGCTCATTCAGCTTGGGTCGGTTTAAGGCTCGGCAGGGCTCCCTAACCCCTGAACCCAGGTAGCAGAGACCCCAAATAGGGCTACGTAGGTCGATTGAGCCCCTGTTCGGACGGCTCCTAGCGGCTGGCAGCGCTTAGTAAACGAAATGACTACATCTGACGTTAACCGCCGACAGAAGCTTGGGAGGCTATGCCATCTTCAGCCTTCCCGGAGAGGCGGTTACCGTAAGGCGAGCCCAGGCACCAACTTAGGAGCCCTTCGCCTCGACAACTCCTTGAGCCCCAGCCCTCGTCCGGAGTTTTCTACATGATGCAGCTGTTTTGTCGATGCGGCAGCATCCGCTACGGCTATCCCTCCTCGAAACCCTTCCTACCCTGAACCCGGGTCGAGACGACTCGCGGCACCACCATTTCGGGCTGACCCAGGGACAGCCAAGCACATTTGATCAAGACAGCATCACTCCGATGAGCCCTCCGGACAAACGCGGAGGAGCCGGTGGCTCCAAGGGGCCCACCCACGTCTTTCGCGGCGGCAGCCCACGCAAAGAACTGCCCGCATCCTCGTCCTCGTCGTCCTCGTCCGCAGTGCGCACCAACAATGTCATTGCAGCTCCACCCCGAGCCCAACTCAGCTCCTCGCCGAGTCCCGAAGGCCCATCTCGCACGCCAAGCGGCAGCGGCCCTCCGCTCAACGGCAGCAGCAACGGCACCGCCACACCCATGTCCCGGCGCAGTAGCAATGCGCCAAGCACGCGCTCACTCGCGGTCTCGGTACTGTCCTCAACCGAGGCTGGGATGAAGGAGAAAGACACGCGAATATCCATCCTGGAACGCGAGATGGAGCTCATGGAGACCGAATTCCAGCGGGAACTTGACAAGCTCTCCCGCAACGAGAGCGAGACTGCCTCGTTCTGGCAGGCCAAGCACAGCGCGCTGAACCAGCAGTTCCTGCGGACTGACACCGAGCTGCGTCTGCTCCGGGACGAGATGCGCGCGCGCGAGGCAGAGACCGAAGACCTTACTAAGGGCTGGAGAGACGCGCTGAGGGCGGAGCTGAAGGGCCGGGAGGACGAGATCAGGGGTCTCCAGGCGCAGATTAGGGGCCTCAAGGAGTGGGTCAGCACCAGCACGAGGGCTGACGGCACCACAAGCGACGAGGTCTTCGGTTCTGGGATGGCGAACCTCGGCAACAGCTTGCAAAACTGGGTCATCACGTATTTCCGCAAGGTCAAGATCGACCTGTCCAGGGCAGGCGGGACGGCACTACAGGAGCTCGCCAATCTCGTTCCCATGTACGAGGAGCTGGCACAAACCGCGAAGATCCATCTCTTGCAGTCAATCGTGTCCAGGGTCCTGGTGAACAGGGTATTCAGAGCTTACTTCGTGGGTTTGTCACCTGACCAAGAACAGCAGTTAAGGGAGACTGAGAGAATGATGGCATCTTTCGGTACGTGGACACAATTGTTACTTCCCTGCACTCTTCCGGAATATTGGCCGAGACATTCGGGGCTTACATGCGTACAGGATCTGTCGAGTCTGTCAACCAATGGCGCTCTGTGACCCTGGCGATCCTGAAAAAAGAGGCGGTACAAAAGATGCAGGTACAGACGATGCAAACAGCTGACGATGTCGTTGCCCACGTCAACAGGGTCGTAGACTCCCTTGCATCGGACAGCGCCACCAACACTGACGGCAGCACTGCACCAGCAAATGTCTCCACAGATGCAAGGGACCAGGCGTTACGGCACCTCGTAAGCAGCGCCATCGAACTGTCGCGCCTTCTCGTCGTGCAGAAGGCAGTCTTCGAGGTATGGATGCCCGAGATAGTGCCACATCAGCAGGTCATGTTTGATCATGCCACGATGGAGGACATCGGCGGCGAGGACGAAGATTCCCTCGTCCAAAGAGAAATATTCTGTGTCACCTTTCCTGGCCTCATCAAACAAGGCGACGAGAATGGCGGGCAGCTACAGTTTAGAAACATTATATCGAAAGCCAGGGTGCTCTGTAGCCCGGAATAGACGAACGTCACCATGATCTTCAAGATCATGCCATGAGATCAGGCTCGGCCGGCAGGACATCAGGCGCCGGAATTCCTTCCGGTACTACTCATTTGTGTCCACTGCGTCAGGGGTTGAGCTGATATCGCCTCGGTCGCCTAGTACTTAGGTGCACCGTGAGACTCGAAAACGGTCCCATAGCACCTTTACTATCTCACAACACGGGGAGTACCACATAACACGAGCAAGGGTCTAAAGTTTCTTCGGGTCCTGTGCGATCAGATGCTCCCAGAAATCGGGCTCCGGCACCAAGATCTTGGTCATTGACGTCGACCGCGCCAATAATTACCCAAGTCTCTCACCGAGGACCCCTCTTACCACCCAGTGCTCACACTCCGTCAACTGATGCTCTCGCTCCGTCTACTAGAATGCTGCGAGGGCCCGTCCGGGTGAGCGGGACAAGGCTTCCGGCCGACACGGGCCTGACGTGTAATGGGATCGTCAAATCGGCGAAGAAATTCAATCATGTGGCTCAACTTTAGTCGCCACCGGTGACAATTCTGAGTCACTCTCAAGAGGGGAGTTCGACCAAAGGATATCTGGCATTGCCAACGGGGGCTCGTCGAACGCTCACGCCCACATTGAATGATTGGCCGGCGTGGAGGTTGCATGATGCAGCAGCTTGAAGCAGCGTTTTGGTGGTGTGGGTGGGGGGGGACAACGGAGACGCGACCATCTGCTTACTCACGCAGAGCCTCAATCGTTGGGGGTTTCCGCACGAGCCCACCTGCAGATCGACTCTCTCCCGTCGTCTTCGTTTCATTGTGCGGCGCTCTTGGGGAGGAAGGTTGGCAGGCCTGCATGCAGTACCTACTACACCCAAACCGGCAGCCCATCTTCGGGAGGCCAGCCCAACGTGATCGTGCGTTTCCATCTCAGATTCAGTAAAAGGAGTTGTGACTCGATTCAAGTCCTCTTCCATGGACTTGAGGACTAGGGACTTGCAGGCTTCGGAAAGCTGCTCGTCCACCATGGCGAAGCCACCCGGTGTGCCGGACAGCGGATGTCTCCGGGAGTTTGACCCAAGCCGGAGCCGGCACGTCGATGCAACCTGGGAGGTGGCTGTCTGCATGATAGCCAGACCGCCAGAGCTCGACACAATATTGACGAGTTCCCTGTGCGATTGGTGAATTGTGGGAGTGATCAGGGCGACGACCATACAGATCATGGGACGTCTTGCGGTGAGGCAAGGACAAAAGCCACCAGGGCGCGTATCGAGCTGGGACGCATGCGGCCATGACGGTTCACAGCCGGAGGTCACTCCCACCTGAGGATGTGGCTTCTGCCGACATCGTACGGAGGCGGTTCTTGGCTTGACGCACCAACTCCAGCGTGATCGAGGGAACCCACGGCAATTGTGGCCAGGCTACCCGGGTATTGGATAATTAGTCCGACTGTGCTATCCTGGTATCGACAATATTGCGAAAGTATATAACGACGACAAAGGCTACTCACACGATAAAAACAGTCCTTTGTAGGTGATGCCCTGGCGGCCAATCGCCAGAGGAGCGGGCCCTCAATGTGGTAGTGACCAGCAGGATGCGCCAAGGTACCGCACTGGTGGAGCTTCGAGTGCATATGCAGCAAGACGCCATTGATGGTGTGCATTCACATCGCCAGGGCTGGTCCGGTTGGATAATGCGGAGCTGCCAATCGCCATCGGACCCAATGCGCCTGAACCGGTTCGAGATGGTCGCCAGCGAGTGGCGGGCCGTTGATTGTCTTTCGTCACTGAAGTGTTTGCCAGGTGGAAGAGGGGCCGGGGGAAGGGACCAGAAGTCGAGCGCCGACCGTCCACGTCGCAAGACATGGCAGGATCCGAAGCGAGAAAAGTCGCGAGGCCGTTCCGCGATCCGGAGTCGTCCATCATTTTCCGCTGGGCTGTCAAACGGCGCTCAAGCGAGCGAGTTGCTCGCGTCCCTGTTGCACCGTGTTCGGTGGTGCGTATGTGGGTAGCTTGTCAAGCAGCCCAAGCAGGGGTGGCCCGCCGCGGGCATCTGTCGTGGAGAGGGAGGGCTGCAACATCATCGCTTGACCCTCTCTTATGTACCCCATCCCATCGGAAAGGAAGACGCACCCGAGATGGTCGATATACATCTGCACATGGTCAGTCTTCTCCCCCACGAACTCGGTGGTGTATAATATGTGATCTTACCCCCGTCGATGTTCTCTGCCGGGTTGCCACTCTCCCCCCATCGGCAACAGCCTTTTCCTCTGCTATCCTCTGCACCTCAATGCACAACCCATCACTGCATATTCCCAGCACTGTCATCATCTCCATGGTAGAAGCCTACCATGCAGAGCACCCACAGATCCTCCAAGGGCAAGGGAAGGGCCGGGGACGAGGACTATGCGCAGTCTATCGCATCTCTCAGTTTGAGTGATTACGGTGACCACCTGCCCCGTAGCGGCTCCTACGGATCCTCGTACGCAGAGGTATACGGCTCATCTTATGAGCAACCATACACTGGCGACAATTATAGCTGGACGGCCCAGACTTCGCTTGCTCCCATCCAGTCGTCATCGGCGGCGTATGGCGGTACCCCGGGCTATAGCAGTACCCCGGGTTATGGCAGTACCCCCGGTTATGGCAACTCCTATTCAACCACCCCTGCCACCAGTTCGACAGGAGGATACGGGTATCGAAACGAATCCTCTGCCACTCCGACCTATAGCGGCTATACGGGACGCGACAACGCATCCGTAACTGGCAGCTCCGTGCCTTCCTCGTACGGGGCAGCCTCAGAGAGTGGGTGGAGCGAGACGTATTCCCGCGGGACTGCAGCATCCTCTGTTCCCTCGGCGCATAGTAACCGGACCGACGTGAATAATACCATCAACCGTCAACGCCCGCCGAACGAGCGGTACCAGCTGCCCTGCGAGTTCCATAACCTCACTGGTTGCACCAGAGTGTTCCCCGGCGACGACATGCAAGACTGGATGGACCATGTTGAGGGGCACCTCCAGAGCAAATTCCCGACAAGGCTGAGATGCTGTAAGCAGCCCCGTTCTGCAGATGGAAAGGGGTCGGGCCAGAAGCGGTAGCTGATACCATAGGCTTCCAGGGTTCTGCAACGAACACAACTTCGACGCGAGGGAAACGTGCGAGGGAGACGTTCGCTCCAACTTCAACTTGCGGATGCAGCACATCCGGCACCACATTGTGTATGAAGGCTACCGGCCCGACCCGATGCACAAGGACGGGCTCCTCGTCCAACACCTCCTCGACCGCAACCTCATCGACAGACGCACATACGACAGCATCGTAAATCCCACGACAGTGCCGCCTATACCAGGCAACCAAGACCGCCGCAGCGGCCGCAGCAGCCATCACAGCCATCACAGCCATCGTTGCCTCCCACAGGTTGAGGAGGAAGTCGTCGCCGGGCCCAGTAGTAGGCACCACCGCTCCTCAGAGCACCAGAGGGAGCATGAGCACAGCCGCTCATCACACAAGCAAAAGCGTCGAAGGTGATCTGTCGAGGCAAAGATGCCGCGTCACCGTGGGGGGCTCATGCGCCTGCATCCGTCGTCCTCGGTCGAGGCAGGTAGCCGGCAGGTGTCCGGGACACAAGCACGCGGGCCGCGGACCGCGTCCTGGATCGTACTCGGTGGAGGAAGGCGGCCGGTAGGACCACTTGTTCCTGTTGGGCCTTACGAGGCCACGAAGCTCCCCGTGGCCTTGAGCCTGTGGCCTCACCCTTTCCCTTTCACATCCTTTCCCAGGCCGTCGTGGCGGGTGCTCGGCTGTTTTGGCGATTGCGGACAAGACGCAAGGAGCCGTCGGCCAGACCTTCTGATGAGCGTGTTTGCCAACTTCTGTGATGTCTTCTTAGCAGTTTCGCTTCGGAAGGTGGGATCTGTCGTGGCAGGTTGGGTTTGCGTTTCTGTATCAGGTGGCACCGCTTCCGTCCTGTCCGACGGGGGGTTTCTTTCAGGCGCGGTGGGAGTCGGCCTGTCCGCCCGGCAGGGCTAAGAATGAGTGGACGATGAATGAATTGATGAGCGATATGACTTCGATTCTGTAGGAAAGGCTTTGTTTCTGACGAACAGGAGAGAAGCCTCGCTTTTCTGAGCATCAATCGTGTGAGATACACAGGAACAGGGGCGCTCAGAGATGTGCCTCTCAAGACGGGCATTTTTCTCGCTTCCTCCCACATTTCTGGAAATTGATTTGATGGGAAGCTTCTAGCCAATCAAATGAATCGAATCGTGACCTCTCTAGAACCCGTGAGACGGCCCCCATGGGTCCGCTGAGTATCCTCAGCGGGGGTAAAAGGGGCTCACCCTGGGGTCTTATATTCACTCACTGCCCCCCTAGTGGCAAGGCCGCCAGACCGCCTCGAAAATGAAGGGAAGAATTACAAAGCTGTGCCCTCCTCCGCAATTGCGTGCATGTTCGATTCCCGTATCGGACAAGAGAAAGGCGGCAAGGAAAAGATTATGGGTGGTGGCTGAGTGTCCGTGTGTTGCCATTCTCATGCAGCTGATTACGCCCCCTTCGCCCGGCTTGTATGGGAGAAGGCAAGAAAGAGGCCCAACCAAGGCAACATGTCATGCGCTTGCATTTGCACCCTGCATGGGTCAACGTCCGCCTTTTCATCGAGGACTGCGAACCATCTGGATGCCTTACGCGCAAATGCGCGCAGGAAAAAAGGAGGCAGCTGCAACCGGATTGCCTGGTTGGCCTGTCTGGAAATTCCAACACACCCGGTGTCTTTCTGCTCGCTTGTGCCGCGACGAGCGCTCGACTCACCGCGAGGGTTGGCGTGGCCAATCGCCTTGGGTTCTCGGGGCACGACGGCCTTACTTGTGCAAATCGTGACAGATCTGGTCTCCTGTGCCACGCTGGGCTTTGCATTGTTGCGCCTTTTGACAAGGCTTCTGAGCATCTTTTGAAAGGCTTGGAAGCTTGGTCTTCGTATACTGTACTATATCGCTGTGTCTAAATTCATGCACCACGCAGGTCACATTCGCACTTGCAAGGCACTCCGTTCTCAGGAGATATCCACGCTGACCACCGTCGACCCTCCAGGTCATGCCCATTACTGGAAATCTGCGTCCACGCGACCGTACCTGACCCCGTCAACCTTGAGTTCGAAGCCTAAGCCTGCACTATCAACAATCATCTCGAGGGTGAAGTCTAGATTGTCAAACTCGACCCCCCTCGTCGTAGTCAAGCGGGTGAATAGGCTTCGGGGCACTGCATTCAAGTCCGTAGTGAGCTTGCACACATGTACCAGATCCCGCGTGTATGCCGCTGGAGGCTCGTCGGCCTCGCAAGCAATTAAATCATCCGTGACCACCAGAGATTGCCCTGGTCTAAAGTTCCTCGTGTAGTGGAATGCGATTGGTGTGAGTGGCGATATGGCCTCACCCTGTTCCGATGTCAGCATTTGTAAACACACCGAAAATAGCCATTTCCGCAAGCAGGGTAGAAGCTTGCCTTTGCAATGTGCCACTGCATCCGATCGCTCACCATCCACCTCTCCCACAGTGGGCTCCAATACCTCTCACTGACTGAGTGCTTGTCCTCGTCGAACACGGTCGCATAACTCGTGCCATAGTGCATTCTCGCCTTTCTCGAGATAACCATGTTCCCCTCCAGCCCTCTGAGCACTGCGCCACGGACAACTGCCGTCCAGGCATACACCGGCTGCATGACCTCAATAGAAGAGTTGTCGCCGGCGCTGCTCAGAGCACTCGCATGCGTCGGCCTCTCGCTGTACGGTGGAGGTGCCGCACTGGTAAAATGCGATTTGAGGCGTCGATATAAGTAGTCGCTCTGGCCGAAGCCACCAACCAGTATGATACCGGACACGATGCCGCCTTTTGCGCGGAGGCCGTCGACCTGGCCCTGCACGAGATCGCAGACTTCCTTGACGACGGGCTCGAAGATGTCCTTGGCTTGGGCGGCAGTCATGACGAGGAATCCCGAGTCGAGGCCGATTTCTTCGTCGTCCGCAAGCCCGGGAAAGGGGATATTGATCTCCTGGTGCTCGTCCTCGTTGAAATTCCGCTTGACAAACTCCTCAAAGTACCTCAACCCCATCTGCCAGGTCTTGCCCTTCTTGGCCTTCATCTCGTCGAATCGGGTCTTCCCAAGCCGTGTCTTGACATGTTCCTCGAATCGATAATTGAGAAACGCGCTACCGCAGAGCCCACCTGTCCCTACGGCCGACTCTTCCACTTTAAGTGGTTTCAAGGAAATTATTTTGTAGGCGATCAGGCTGGGACTTAATCAGCACGTGTCGCGAGCGCAGTCAGAGATTGTGGGCGAACACTTACTCAACCGTACCTCCACCACCATCGCATACTATAAAGTTATCTCCAACGTTAAGGTGGTTCGGTTGTATGGCCTTGAGCGTATAGACCGCAGCCGCCTCTGGCTCGCTGATCATCTGAATGGACGATTTTGCGCCCATGCCTGCTCGCTCGGCTGCCTGGAGGGTTGTGTTTTTCGCGTAATCAGACCACACCGCGGGACATGTAAGCACGAAATCGACCTTAGTAGACGCCATAAACGACTCGCCATACCGTCGCGTGAGCGTGTCCATGGTGTGGTTGTATATCTGAGTCAGATAGTCGCTGACGGCATCGACGACTGTTTTGTTGTATTTCTTAAGCTGGCCCGCCGTCTCGAGTGGGCTCACATAGAACGGCAACTTTTGTGACCGGTCTAAGAACAGTTTGATACACCGCAGACGCGACTCCTCCGGCTTAAACTGGAAGCCCCATTTCACGGTTGGCTTGGTATCGGCAGGCGCATCTTGGGGCAGATCATAAGATATCTCTGTGGGCACTTTGTCCGAGGTTATGCCATTACCCCCGGGCCAGGTCTTGATGATCTCGACATCGTCCGGATTAGACGTATAGACGGCAGCGACACTGGGAGTGGATGTCAGTCTGGAATGGCTCCTCGCGTGCCAAAATGCTTCTGACCGGCCTGGTCGCAGCCCGGCTCCAGGGGATAAGGAGGGGGGGGGCGGCCAAGCAGACATGACGAAGCAGAAACAGATGGGGCAATGACCCAACTCACCCCGAGAAGGTTGTCCCAAAGTCGACGCCAACGATTAATCTGTCGGCTATTGGCGCGAAGTCTCTGATTGGCTCCCTGACAGGCCCATTGATGGCCTCAGTGGATGAGGGCAGGGCATAGCTGGTGAAATAGTTTCTGCTCTGCTGGTTGCGCTCACTCGTGGGCGAAGTACGGATGGGTAAGTTGAGGTTGTTCATGGTGGCCGGCGAAGGCGAGAAGTGGATGGCCGATGCCGTGGCTCGAGTCGAGCGACAACTCACTTCTATCTCACGGGCAGTGTCGTCATGCTCAAGCCAGGGTCTGAGAACAAGACACGGAGAGGCGAGCGGCGAGGGATGGCGTGTTTTGTAGTGCTGGTGTTGAGAGAGGGTCCTGTGAAGATGCAGATACGGATGAAAGTGAGTCCTCTGATCAACTTGGCCCGGTTGGTGAAAAGCGCGCCAACAGGTTCGCTCTCAGGTGGTGACACTGCTGCGAGACCAACAATTCACGTCTGCCACCGGAGCAGATTTGAGGTGCCGGTTCTGTTCGCGGTCTCTGCACTCGTCTGTTCCTGTATTGGAGCGCTGCTGAGGAATGGGAGTGCTGTTTGATGGATGGCGGACGGTAAGTGCTGACTGCCTTGTGGCTGACACTCAACTTTGGTGACCCAGCTCCAATTGATGGACGGAGAGTGGGGCAGGAGTGGTCGGTTCCTCCCGAGTCGTTCGTTAACTTCCCTACCAGGAAAGGCGGGCAGACAGGTTGCCTCGTAAAGCAGTCGCACAATACGCCCTGCTGAAAGCCGTCCGAGTTGCACGGCACGGCCTGTGAGAAGAGAGGGGGGCAGATTGGAAAGAAGAGAAGGACGAGAAAGAGGCAGCCCAGTCGATGCGAATTGACACGATCTGCTTTCAAACCAGTCATTTCTGGGCCCGATTCCATCGAGAGGAAGGTGCGTGCTTACGCCACGCGTATATATCCTAGATCCTTCCAGGAATCAATTCTGCTGCCTGATGTCGGCCGCGTTCCTTGCTCATGCCACTACTCACTCGAAACCCTCCCACCTCCTCCCTAAACTCAATTCGACCGCTGCGCTACTGTACCACACACCTAGCTTACCTAGTCCAGAAGCACAGTTCAGTTCCTTCAAGGTCCCAAACATTCTGTCTACCTGCTTCCCGGCCACTCGGTAGAAACTGTGAAGACGTCTGTCTCTTCAGAATCTCTTCCCCTCACAACCATCCCATACAAACCACCACATCAAACTCGGCAGAAATCCATACACACGCGCACACACACACACACACACACACACAACATTCGGGAAGCCCCATATGGCGGCGTATAATGTGGCAAAGATAGTTGGTTTGCATTACAATGTCCACTGTCTGGACCCAGATATGTAAAGTAGACTCAATTCTAAACGACGGCCTCTCGCATCATTCCTCTTCTCGAAAGTGGACGGGTTGAGGGCTTGGTCGCAGAACCTGTCCTGACTCCAACTCCTCTTGTGTACAACAAAAAGTGTCCGTTTTTTGTTCTTTTCCACTCTCCCAAGGATAAACCCGTTTCCAAAACCCTCGCCCACCAAAATTCCCTGCCCCAAGCCACCGCCTCAGATGATCCCAATCCAGTGACACCAATGTAAATTGTGTGACTGGTTGTCCGCATCCCCGGACAAGTAACGGTGGCAAATGCCACCCTGTGTCTCTAACAAAAAAAATAAAAAGAAGAGTCTCCGGTCGTTTGGTCGAACCGTCCAATCTATAAGGGGTATTCTGTACGGCAACTTCAACTCGCGAGAAAGACGCAACCCACCCTGCCGCGGGCAGGGGGCTCGAAGTCAACGAATCCAAATGCAAACTGATGCCATGTCTGCCGCCCAACAAATGCCGCAGCCGTGAAACCGGCCCAAGAGAGTGACGCGGTAGTGCTCCTCAACACCAAAAAAAAAATAAAAATTTAACTCCGTGAGAAAATGACCGGATTCGAAATCGAGCCCTTTGCGTGTCCAAGTTCAAAAGAAAAATGTTCGTCCGCGCGACTTCGCCGCCCTAGAATCGATGGCTGGCCGCCCAAATGCTTGCCGAGGCTGACGCTGCCCACTCGCTTTCCTCGTACGGAGGCGTCGGCCACTTGTATTCCGAAACCTTCCTGTTCAGATCCAGTGGCTTCGGCGCAACCACCTCCTGCCCATCCCCGAAGAGACATGCGTTTCCGTTGGCCGAGGGGGAGGGGGTCGGGTACGGGTTGGCAAATCCGGCGTTCGTTGGTGCTTGCCGGTGGTTGTCAGTCCTGCCGTCTCGCTCGATCCGTTTCATGGCCTTGTGTGTCGATGAGAGGACCTCGTCCAGGAGTTCATCCGCCTCGTCGGGAGCATCGTAGTGGTGCACTCCGTGGGTGGCTTGTGCCCTTCGTGTTCGGCTGGAAATCGGGCCGCCGTTCCTCGCGGCACCAGCGAGGTTGTCCACGGACCGGGGCTTGTGCTGCGGCAGGGAGTGGTGACGCTTCAGGTTGCTCTGGGAGTTGGCCTGGTGTGCGGGAGGGGCCGGGGCATGCGGGTTATCGGCATTTTGTTGGACGTCTCTCAAGGCTCTGTCGAGGGGTTCGTAAGTGTCCTTTGGCACAGGTGCCGGTGGTTGATCGATTACCATGGATGATCTCTGGCTTCCCCATGGACCGCATCCAGCTTGGGCCTCCATGTCCGATTCAATGGGCGAGACCGGGGGTTTGGTGCCGTCCGGAAAACCTCCGTGCCCTCTTCCTTAGGTGGGAAAAGAAGCTCTCCTTATGGGCACTCGGTGGTGACGCCAATCCACTGCCGCCGTTCAGAGCGCGCTCGGCCTGTTGTCGATGGAGCTCGGAGTAGTGGTTAGAATTCGATTGAACGGAAAGCTGTCTTCCAATCTTCTTGGATGATTTGTCCTCTTGGGGCCCTTGCCTATGAGCACCGTTTGCGTAGGCGTCATTGTACGATGGCGTTCGGCTGCTGGCTTGAGCCGTCACGGCATCTGAGAGAGGTGAGATAGGGCGGATAGTGGGAAGAATTGGCATGGGCGCCACATTAGAAATACCATTGCTCCATGTTGTCCTCTTGGGTGCGGCTGGCCGGGTCTTTGCGGGTACCACGGGTGCAACCTCAGGCACGATGTGGACGGGTGGAGGTCGAGAAGCGGTTGGCTCCTTCACAACCTGTTGTGGGACTGCCTCATTGGAGTCAGTGCGGCCAATAAGTGACTTCCTGAACCACGATGGCTTGGATGAGGTTGGCGGTGTCGCGGCATCCTTGGATCGGCCGATCTCCGAGGGCTTCCGGCCCAGCATTCTTGATGAGGACTTCGGTCGCAGAGGATCAACGGCATCGGCGAAATACTCATGCTGCAGAGTTTGCGTGGACGTCGGCCTGTTCTTAGGATCCCACATCAGGCACCAAGTCACGAAGTGGCTTAGCGACGCGGGCCATTGTGGTGTTTGCAGAATCGTGTCCATCGAGTGGGGGGCCATCTTGGGAAAGGAGAACCCCAGCTTTCCGGCCAGTCTGGTGCCCTCACGCCAGTCACCACCACCTACACGCTGGCCGGCCTTGTTGTACCAGTTTCCTGGGCTTCCCATGATCTCACAGACCCTCCAAACTTGGTCTACCTCGTTTCCACCAGGGAAGAGGGGCTTTAGCGTGGCAATCTCCACCGCCATTGCGCCAATGGCCCAGATGTCCACCGGAGCAGAGTATTCGCCGGCCCGTAACAGCACCTCGGGAGCTCGGTACCACCGCGTCGAAACGTACGTCGTATATGGCAGCTTGGAGTGTGTCTCCCTTGCCAGTCCAAAGTCGGCGATCTTCACAGTGTACGTTGGGGGAGTGGAGGGTGGCGTGACAAGAGCCGAGTACCGCCTGAAGGAGTTAGAAGTATCTTGGTGAGATGAAGTCGACACCAAGATGTTCTCTGGCTTGATATCTCTGTGGAAGAAGTTGTGGGCGTGAATATGCTCCAGTCCCTGCATAATTTGAAAGAGGATGCTCTTAACGCTCGCGTTATCGAGACATTTGTGATCTCTGGCCTTCATCAGCTGGTAAAGGTTTCCCTCCATGTACTCCATGCAGATGTGGAGCTTCTTGCTGAAGGGATCCAAGAAGATGTCCAGGGCTGGAACCAGATGTTGGTGGTGTGGTAGTGTCCTGAGGAAGACGACCTCTCTGAGCTCAAGGCACGGCGTGAAGGACTCGAACGACTTTTTCATAGTTTTGATCGCGACCTGAATCACATGTCAGCTCCCTCCACTCCAGCGGCTGTTGCTCGCTCTGCTACTTACGACCGTCCCTCTCCTGGCGACGTTGGCACCAGCGGTCCGGACCCTCGCCAAGACGACGCTGCCGAAGCTTCCATCGCCGATCTCTTTGAGGACTTCGAACCTGTCCTCCAGGGCATACCCGTTAGAACCAGTCAAGGCTGACCCTCGATGGGTCAGGTCGTGAGCGACGGTCATGACTGTGTGTGGTGGTGAAAACCAGTTTCAAGGTGAGTAAACGATGTCTCCAACCCCTGCAGTCGGATAGAGGGCTGTCGGACGAGTCTTCGGTGAAGCTCTTTTTGCAAGAGCTCAATGCTGTAATTGGAGCATTCAGATTCAACAGAAGTGAGCGTCGACGGTTCAATCGATGGCGTTCGGCGGGTGTTGTAGGCGTCGAATCCGGTGCACGTCGTGGTCGAGGGGGTTGTATCCGGTTATCGATACTTGGAATGGATAGCTGGGATGTATGCGTGAAGGAGGGTAGGCCGGAAACCAGGTTGACTTGAGTTGGGATTGGATATAGGAAAGTTCAAAAAGAGTGGACGGGCCTCCTGGAGAATTGGGCCTGGAATTATTAAAAGGAAAAGTGAAGAGATTGATGGGCGTGCAGGGAGGGACCAGAAAGATTGGGATGCGGGTCCTTTCCCTTAGGCGGCTCCGGGAGTTCTGACGCAGGTACCTCGACTTTCGCGTGAGGCTTCCGGGATTAGCGTGAAGATGCAATTATTAGAATAAACGTGGATCCAACGGTAATCAAATGAGCCTGGCTGCCCACACGGAGTCGGTGCCCTGAAGGGCGTCGAACCGGTTGAAACTAGGTTGAAGGGGATGATTTAAAAGGAAAAGAAGGACCGGCTGTAGTTTTGCCAAAGATCAGGGCCGTCCCTGGGGTCTAGGCCGTGGTTGTTGCTCTCCGTTCGCTGCGTTTGAGAGGCGTCTTGCAGCGGGATTGGAATGACGGGCTGAGGGAGAGCCAAGAAACACTACCAGTCAGAGCAGACACCCGCGACAGCTGGACGAAAGAAGACGTGTGTTGTGGGCCGTCAGACTGCAGCTTGTCTGCGCCTGAGATGACGAAAGGTTGACCTGATTTCAATGGCTGGTCTGCTGGTGTCGCTACTGGAACTGGCGTGAACTGCTGGCCGCAAGACGATGGGGCCCGTGAGTTCTGGCTTGGGGAGCTTTGTGGGTGAGAGGGCAGATCGATCCAATAGCGGGTGGGTTCGACAATTCCAGAACACCAGAAGGAGAGCAGGAGAGTAGAACTGGGGACTCGTGCGCAGACTGGGCGTGGGTCTCGAGAAGCTGGCGAGCAGGTGGCTTTGTGCGAGTGGCAGACCCGGTCCTTAGCATGAACGAAAGAAGCTGGGGGTGGTCGAGGAGGATCGATAGGGGCAGACAATCTCGCTAACGATTCGGGTCTCAGCGTTCTCTTTGAGGGGCCCAATTTGCGCCCACGACCAGGGTTTCCTCGAGCCAGTCCCCGTATTTCTTCCGTCGTGTTGCTGTGGCCCGTCCCACGCACGGCACGGTGAAGAAGCGTATGAAATGATGTGCAGAAAGGAGACGGCTGGATTTGACAGGAAGACTGCTCCACCCGGTTGAGCGCGACCCCAACGAGATTAGCGGATGGGTGCTCTCAGGTGAGGCGGCAGGCGGCTATGGCATTTCGAATGACAATGCGAGAGTGGGCTGTGGTTGTGACGGTGGGGTCTGGGGGGAAGGCGAGATGATGAGTTGACCGAGAGTGGAAAGAAAGGAAGGACGAGAACAAGAGTGCTGACGAAGGTATCGATCAGGCCGGGTCAATCAAATCAGGGTCAAATCAAGTCAAGTCAAGGTGCGTGAAGAGGTTGCATGCTGTAAAACGAGCAGTCGAGATGAGTCGTCTCGCGGCATTCGAGGAGGGAAGGGACAAGGGACGGCCGGGAGAGGGAGAGAGGTACACGGTAGCTCTGGTTGCCCTGGCCTTGCCCTGACCTGGCCCTGACCAGCGCTGCAGACTCGTTGCAACTGGTTGCCTGAGCCGAAGCAACCTTGGAACCTTGGGACCTTGGAATGCCCTGTTAGGTAAGGTACGGCAACTTGTCAGATGCTGATGTGCCAGTGGTGTACGGAGGTACTGGTGCACTGATGCCGGTGGTGCCAATGGGTGGGTGGTGGCGCCCGGGGCTAAGGGCCCAGGTCCCAGGTGAGGTTCATGCATTGCAAACGAGGAAGGGGCCGCCGTCAGTCACTGCACCGCGGCACTGGGTGCGCAGGTACAACGGCGCGAGGTACATCACACGCGAAACCGAGGGCAAAGGTACCAGGCTGGCTGGGATGTCTGAGTGCCTTTGGTTGTGCTAGCATACCTGGCGGAGGATAGCATAATAATGAATGGCTGCTGCTACTGTTGGTCCGTCCGTCCGTCTGCCCGTCCAGAGGCCAGGAGCGTCCCAAAGGCTTGCTTTGCCTGCCTTGTTGACACGTCGTTGTCGAAGCGATGCAGAGCTTTCGCATAACAAACAAGCGGTTGCTTGACAGACCCCGCCCCCAAAACAGCGAGTGGCAATGCTCTATTCTGGTCATCTCCTCGCAGCAACCTTGCAGCAGCGAGCAGCATCATCTCCTGCTCCTGCTGGGCTGTCTGGGCAACTGCCGGTGCTCCTCGGAGGGCCTGACGAGCAAGTGCAGTGCAGGACCAGTGCAGAGGCCCGGGCAGCACATACTTTCGCACGCCTACGCAGCACTCTGTGCTCCAATGCGGAGCACGTACGGAGTACACAGTGACCTCGTCTTGTCGGAAAGGCGGTTGGGAGGGCCCCTGCTCCAGCTGCGCTCCCGGCTGCAGCTCAGCCCCCTGGGTGCAGCGCTCTCAGGAACTGATAGGCGTCTACAATCCAAGCGGTCAATGCCCCGCGTAATTCTCGTGGGAGACGCGAGCTCAGACTCGTGCAGGGCTAACGGTCGCAACACTTACGCCCACGCATGTCAGGGATGGCCAGAACACGATCCGTTCCGGCAGAATTTACCATCCTAGCGGTTACGCGACGACGTTTTGGCGTCTGATCCCTCCGCTGCGCGGCACGAGCGCCAGGGGGAAACGGGGGCCGGAACAGGAGCTACCACAGCGCAGCATGTAGCACATGGACAGGAACAGGAACTGGCGCAGGTGATCATCTGCTTGTTGTCGGCCTCCTGCATTCAAAGTCTGGAAGTGAGGGGGAGCCTGGGGGGCAGCTGGAGGCTGGTCGACGCCATTCTGTTGCAGCTCGTCAGTGCGTACTCGTGAAGGCAACGGTGACGGTCGTGCACGCACACGCTGCACACTGCAAGCTGCACGCTGCACAAGAGATCGCCATTGATCCGAGGCCCGCTCTTGCCCATCTCGGTCGACCGTTGGAGGTGGAGCAAAAAGCAAGCTCCTGCTGAAGATTCAGAATTGCACGTGTGTGGTGCCGAGGGAGGCTGGCCGGCACCACTTTTGACGCGCCTTCTGCATTGACCAGTTGTTGGCAGCCCGCCAATATACTCACAAAAAGGGTCTATCCCCATTCTATTGCCACTTTAGAGTTACCTTTGTCGGCTTGCTTTGATGAGCAAAGCGTGCCCCGTGCTATTGGCAAATGGCACTGTTCACCCGGGCCCAGCATGAGCCAAGAGCGTCATCATTTGCGCGTCAAGCGGATCAATCCCAAGCAGGAAAACAAGGGGAAAACATTCGGCATCGTCTGTTGTCCAGTCATGCTGTCGTTGACGATGGCCTCTTCCTGGGGACAACACCGCGTTGCTGGTGTCCGCTGCCAGCTCACCGTGCCTTGCAGGCTACTGCAACCCTTGTCCTCTTTGGGCCATTGGGCAAACGTATCTGGACGATCTAGTCCTATTATGGGAATGGTAAAGACGACAAGCATGGATCCGCTGGGAGAAAAGGGGGGATCAACACTGGACTTGCCCTACCACAGCTGCCATACGAGAGCCGGCCGCGGAATCACACCAGAATTCCGTGCTCACCCCCCACAGGAAGTCTTCTTGGGGATCGATCGGCTGCTGCCCAAGACGATGGTTGTTCCACGAGACCTTGGTCAAGCAGTCAAAGTCGAGCTGCGGCTGCAGCAACAAGCTCACTTAGCTTTGTCACCACGGATACCGCCGCAGAGGTCAAGATGTCGGTATGTTCACCGGTCAATTAAAATCACAAATAGGATTTCTCACCCGCCAGCAAGCAGGCCGTGCACGTGGAGGTATCGATACTTTATGCCCAGGGTCTGCGGGGTTTAAGATTCGGCCACTTCAAGTTGAGACGAAGCTCCCCGGTTGAAACGAGGCACGGGGAGCGGCAAGCTGCCAAAGAAGCAGAGAAGAACGGGAGGAAGATTCGTTCCGGAATGAATTAGTGGACCGGCGTCGTACTGTGGTACGAAGATAGGATCCCGGAAATCTGCCGCCGAATGTTTAGACGAAACGAGTTGTTGAAGAAGGCCCGTACAGTGAAGGCACCAACAACTCGCAGTTCGACGTCATTACCTCGGGGTGGGTTCCATTCTGTCCAGCTTCATATATCCGAAGTTCGAGTCCTCGTCTTTCGGGTGGCCATCTCATCAAACTTGCCACGGCCGGCACAGTGCCTCGAGGAGTCGCCTGTTCGGTGAGGCTTGGGGCAGCAAGAGTACACGCCACCGGCCGACGAGCTCTCGGGATCAAGGTTCCTGGGGAAGCCCTTGCCTTATTCGCGCCCTGAGCTGCTAGTCATTGTTTTGGTGTTAAGACTGACCTGACTGGCCGGGGCAAATGAGGTTCTCGAGCCGTCTGTGTCTACTTTCATGCGACGTTTTGGTCGGGTGTGAACGTGGGGCGACTTGTTCATGCACTCATTTTAGAGCAACACCGTAAGCAGTCCGGCAAGCAAACGCTTCGATGAACATGCTTGGCCGGAGATTCGCCTTTCATCTCACGGGAGCTTGGGCCTCTGGTTTGCCCCAGGCCCCCAGAAGCCGTGCCGTCCTGCGTCCATGTAACCCCTACATCTGTGGCTAATAGGGTAGCTTTGGCCAAATGAGTGGTAGGGGTCTAGCTGTTGACGATACCATCAGGAAATTTGTCCCGAGGCTAATTCAAGGTTCAAGCTGCCTGCGAAGCACGCCGCCGGCCACGGATGGCAGCGCTGAAATTTGCAAAGTGAGGTGAAATTTGTCTCGTCTCAGCGCCCGCTCAATGCCGTCCCAAACAAGGTCATGATATCTGCGTCTGCGGGCGAAACCTCAGCCTTTGTTCCTGTTGTCACGGATCGGCACTGACTCGCCGCCAGGTGCAAACCCAGCCCAAGCCGAGTCGGGACGGTTCATCCTCTCCCGAAGCCCGTGACTGTCAGGCACTGCCCGTAATCACAAAAGAGCTGGTGGTCGCATGCACCTTGGGCCACAATGTAACTCGTGGTGAACTTGGGGCCTAAAACGCCCAGAGGCCCTGGCCGCGAAAGGGGGTTCGCCGGCCCTTGGTGCACCAACGATCCGGAGCGTCTTCCGAACCTAGGGGGGCCCATCGCGCTTGGTCGTTTCGGGCCATACCCACTCTCCTGGGAATCTCGGTCGCACCGTTCGTCAGTTTCGCTTCGACCGCTGTGGGCTCGTGTCAACAACAAGATTCCCAACACGGAAAGCTCGGTTCTCGCCTGTCTTCGTCAATCGGAGATCCACTCCTTCTGATAGCTTCCATCGCCTAACCAGGGCTGGTCGACGGGAACCCCACCGCCGTTGAGTTCGCCAAGGGTGCCGCGATTTGCGCCGCTTTCCCACCCGCGGCAGACGACGGCGCGCTGGCATATGGGAATGTCCAGCTGCGTGCGTAATGATGGTGGCTGGTCTGTGGACGAAGGATGGACAACTGCCCCCCTCCCTCTCCCCCGGATTTTGGACCGCCGAACCACAGTTGACGCGGCAACGTGGGCCGGAGCTTTCCTCTGACCGCTATGTCCTGCTGTCGGCGGTCAACGACAAGTCGTCGTGAACGATGGGGCCCAGAGCCACCCAGCCCCCCGGGTCGAGGGGTCCGTCGCGCTCACCGACTTGGATCCCACGTGGTTTGAGAACTGTTCTCCGCTTTTCTCGTAGCTTTTTCGTGTTATCGAGACTCTTTCTTGGACTATTCTCGCATTGGTGAATGGATTTTGTGTCTAGGGGGGCAGGACACCGGGCAAGTGCTCGGCTAGTAGGATAATGTATGTACCTTGACATTCAAGGTTTTGCGTTGTCTCGTCTCGGATGAACGCAATGAGGACTCGATGTGTCGCGCCCGGGACTCGGGACTGGAGCGATATTCCAGGAGGCTACGTGATGGCTGGAAGTTGGGGCGCCACACTGCCAGAGACTGTTCGTCGAGAGTGTCCTGATACTTGGAATCAGCCGTCCAGACACTCAGTCTGCTGTCTGGTGAAGCCGTTGCGCCTGTAGACCCCTGCAGAAATCGCAATCCGGCATTGTCATCAGACGGTGTGTATGGACGAGTTCTAGCTGCGAAGGTTTTCTAACAAGACACGGTTGGACGCTCTGCAATGCCTTCGGCAGCGGCTTTGAGATGTAGTGAGTGTAAAGGTTAGCCACTTAATGTTATTGATAGAGTAGACTGGTTTGGCTGACTCCGTCAAGATAACTTCCTGAGGAAGCACCGCTTTGCCGTTCATGACAGGATCGAGGGCAGATATCCGTGACGAAATCTTGTCTGTCTATTCAGTAAAGGATTCCTCCGCTCCGAACAAAGAAAGTGCTCGAATTGGAAGGGCATGTTCTCCAGATATGTCAAGACCGTCCGTCTTCCTTTGGCAGCCAGCTGGGGCTAGCTGTGCGTTCGGCCCCTCTGATGTGGCTGGCAGTATCATGTGTACTCGTCCACGCCCACGTATGGCATCGCAATACGCCTAGCTATACTACATACAGCTCAGGTTAATATGGGCTTCATCGGTGGAAGGACGGTGGTCTTTCTTTCTTACACTTGGGGAGAGAGCTGTGGTGATTCATGCGTTGTCGCCTGAAGGCAAAGGAAGCAAACGGGCGTTTGAACATGCTGAACAACTACTCATCTGAAACCTTGATTTCCCTGGTGACCACAGCCAGAGCCTTCACAAAGCCCCGCCTGGCGAAGCTTTGCCCTGGAAACAGCCAGGCAGCCATTGCCTTGACCAAAGTCCTAGAAAACAGGTGCCTTCCTTTTCTCAAAGGTCGTGCCACTCCCTTCAGTCTGGACTCCGTACAAAGGCTTCCAAGGTTGTGAGAAACATTTACCTACAGCACAAGAGCGGCAACAACGACCGCAAGGGGTACCCGCACCTACTTCAGGAGAACACACTCCTTGCTTCTCTTAGTCTCTAGCCTCGAGACTGTCTTTGGTCTTTTCCCCTCTCTTTTTCTGAAGGCAGAGTCTCTTCAAGGGGTGGTACGTATGACTTAGGGTACGTGGGTTGGTACCAACCTCCTCTTTCGAGGCACACACCAGCATCACTTTGCACCTTCCACCTCCCACCTTCCATGTCCCCTTCTCGACCTTCGTATTGAGCTTCCTTCACATTTGGATCCTCCTCATCTATCATCACCACAGTGGTGGCAACAGTGTCTTCGAAAAGCCTGAGCCACTGATCACCCACCTCTCCCAACACTGCCATCATCCCAACGGCCATCTTCCACCCAAACTGAAGTCCCCAAAGCAGCAGCTTTGCCGTTTGCTCTCTCTCCGCAACAGCCACCCTTCGATACCAAACCCTTCAGGGAAAACGGGACGAAATCCTGTCCAGCGCCTGCCTGCCAACTCTCAGTATGTTCTCACATGCCATCGTTTGCCGCTTGTAACCTTTCTGAAGACCTAACCACACAGTTTAGGGGCATCCATCTCCGCTTTGGTTTACATTTGGCCACCCACCTCTCAGGAGTCACTTGATCCAGCCGGCAAGATGTCCGACTACTACAGCAACAAGCACAACAAGAGCCTTCCAGCCATGTAAGAACACGAAGCCCTTTTCCTCTGTCAGGCTAGGCCGAGACTGACCATGTGCTCCTACAGGCTCAAGTGCGCGGCTGACGGCAAGTTGGAGAAGAACAGCATGTTCTCGAACAGTATGCTCAAGAAACGATCCTTCAATCCCAATGCCCAGATCACTTGTCGCAAGCACACCGCTAGCGCTGCTATCGAGTTGCTTTGCAGCAGCTGCCGCAAGCAGAAGCCCATCGAATTTTTCAGCAAGAATGAGCGGAAGTCCAGTGGTGCCCAGCGCTGCCGCGCTTGTGTCGAGTGGATTGAGTGTGACGAGCCTGACCACGTCCCTTTGCCAGCCCCCAACAGCATTCGTGATCACAAAGAGATCAAGGTGTACAAGGGCGATCCCAAGAACACTGTGCCTTACCACTGTGACGAGGATGGCGACTATATCACTGAGCCTCGCGACAACTCGTGGGTGGGACGATCCCTGGAGACCACGGGCGCCGAGACTGGTGATGGTCTTACAACCGAGAACCTCCAGCACATCAACGATGCCCGCAACTCACGCTCTGCCTCCAGCCGCGGTTACGGGAGCTACCATCCGTCCTCTGCACCCACCGACTCGGCGTCTACCACTGGCACTGAGGAGACGGCCCGGCCCCGCGACGCGCCCCAGTTCAATGCTTACGGTCCCAACGGCCAGTTCCAGAGGCGCCAAGCCGGCACTGCTTCTTCAGTGACCTCGGCCACTTCCCGCAGCACCACCGGAAGCAAGGACTGGGCCAGACCGGCCACCCGCAAGTATCCTCCCGCATTGCCTCGACACATGGAGTACGAGAATCCCGATACCGTCGGACACGACGCCTACGATGACGACGACAGCTCAGACGGCTGCTAGGTGGACGATGGCCCGGAACGTGCTCTAGCCTCGCATGACATTGTCAGTGCGGCTAATGGCAGTCACGCGAAACGTGTATTCGGGTTGCTGTCGGGGCCTGGCACGTCGAGCAATTTTGGAACTTGGTCGAGCATTTTGGGAGTTCGCCGAGCATTTTGGAACTTTGGGGGAAGAAGATGGCTTCGCGGATCACTGCACAGGTTAGATTGAAACCCGGTAGGCTGCGATGGACACAGCAAGACAATGAATACGACAAGATAGTATTCTGAACCCCTTCAGATCCGGATGACCGTATATTGGGCTGCATGTGCAACTTCATCGTGATGAAAGCCATCCTATCCACTCGGGTGGAAGCAGGGCGGATCTTGCGGGACCCTTCCTTTTAGTGCCCTCACCTGATCAGTGTCTCGAGTTCGGCCTCGATGATCAACATCCCGGCGAGTGCCAGCACACGGCGAGAATACCACGGGAATACCTGCCGACGCCATTGTGGCGGCTGATCGCGACCAGTCCTTGCTGCGTATGCCACTCGGGTGAGGATGCGATTGGAGTGAGGTGGAGTTGGATGTGGGAAGACAAGCAAGTGAGGCAAACCCGGGGAGTTCTTTTGCCACAAGCGGACGTAAACATGTTAAATGCTGCAGTAGAGCCGCAGATATTCTCCAGCACTTTTGGAGATCGACAGAACTGCACACACCCCAAAGTTACCGCTACATGTGCAGTGCAACGCAGCGGTCTCTTGACAGGCAGACAAGCCATGTTGACTGTTTCCAGGTCGTCTGCCCTCCCCCTTATTGAGGCCTGATCAGCAGGGATGGCCCCTCTTCGTGAGGCTTCGCTGGCAGGGCGCCCGACTGCTACGAGGCGGGCGGCAGAAGCAGAGAGACCAGCAGGAGCGGCACACCGGGGGCCTTGGCTGTAGAGTTGTGTTTTCGTTCCCTTTCATTCCACTTTCTGTTTCATCGCGCGAATCAAATGTCTGCCCAGCGGCACCACCGTGGGGTTGACGCATCGCCGCCCCGGCCCCCCGTGACGTCGCGTCGCCCAACGTCGAATATCTACAAGCCCTACTTCAACACCTCTCCGGCTCCAGCTTTGCGTTCCTCGAGTCATCTCAACCTTTTCATCTCTGATAGCAGTGTGTTCCTTTGGATTCGACGGCCCTTTTCTTGTATCGCGTGTTTTCAACTAGCTCTCCAACGTGCTCTATTCGGGTTCATCATGCATCGATAAACACTTTCCGCCATCTTGTCACGGACCAAATAATACATGACCATGTCGAAATACGAGGACGATAAAGGTCAACCCAGGGAGAAGGAGAGGGTGCCGACGCTCAAAGCGACCGACTGGAAGACGCCACATGGACAAGTCAAGGCACAGAGTGATACCGAAGATGTGTCGCCACGGTCCAAAGGCGAGATTCCCTTGACCGAGAGGCACACAGAAGAGATCCGAAGACGCATCGAAGAAGCCAAAGAGAGGGCAGCGAAGACCAGTCCTCCTGTCTCTGATGTTTCAGTACCTTCTCGGTCTCCAACTCAGCCTGCTGTGCCCCCTCCGATAAACCCCAACCTGTCTACGTCCAGTTTGAGCTCAGTATCCCCGGAGCTTCTGACAGAGCTGCGTAAGATCATCAGGGAAGAGGTCGAGCAGCTAAACAAGGGAGAGAAGCAAGCCGAGCCACTTGATAAGCCATCAAGGCCCCCGAGGCCAACATCCCCTCTCCGTCCATGGACGGACACCCAGGACTATGTCCTCCCTACCGCCGCAGCTGCCGCCGCAGCTGCCACTGCTGCAAGCTTGCCAAAGGACGGCGGTGAGAAGAGATCAAGTCCGACGACAACAGGAGGACCATTTCCGACCACCACGCAACACAAGGATCCCCCACGGCATTCAACTGTGCGCTTTAGCAATGAGACTAAAGCGGCCATGCCCGTGCCCCCTCGAAGCGGCGAGGACGACAACCGAAAGAGCTCGTCCACCAAAGATGCCAGGCAGTTGACAGCCATCGACCAGAAGTGGGGGGTGCTGTTCGACAAAGACGGCGAGTCGACCAAGCGGATGGAGCATGTTGTCAAGGGGCTCGCAAACTACATCATCGAAGAGTTCATGCCACAGAGCTCCATCGTGATCACACCCGAGAAAATGGCTGCATTCTACTCGCACCACCGCCTGGACAAGGAGGTGTTCCCCTTTGCAGTCCTGTTTAAGTCACGTTCGAAGCACCTGCACGAGGCTTTGGAAAGCCTATATGAGGACCTGGGATGTCAGTACTTCCTCGCCCCCGTCGACAGCAGATCACGGCCAAGTGTCCCTGGCCTCACGCCTGCGGGCTTCAAGCACTGGCTGGTCTCGTTCGTCCAAGCGTATCCCGACGAAGAGGCCAAGCGCCTGGACAAGGTTGTGTCAGCTTTGCCTATTGAAGCGGACAGTCTCTTGGACGGGAAACCCGAGAGGCTTCCGAAGCAAATATCACGATATCTTCTTCCGGAGAAACCGGTGCGAAAGGTGCAGAAGATAGTGGATGAGGCGATGAGAAACTTCACACAAGACATCAACAACTCGTCAACATCGCAGTCAAATACAGCAATAACAGCAGTGGTGGAAGACCAACACCGATCGTCGCAACTCAGGAGAAACGGCCATCGATAACTACGAGCGGCGCGCAGAGCTCACGGTATATACCAGACGCCGCTATCAAGGAGAATAGGGCGGACGATGGAGGTACGGGCCAAGAAAGGGACAGGCGAACGACCTCGACAGCTGCCAGCGGCAGCCGCGACCACGACGACAGCCGCAGAAAATCGATGGCGACACCACCAGGGCCCGGCCACCTCGGACGGACGAACTCGCTCGACACAGGCGGCCGAAATTCCCAGAGCAGCAGGACGGCCCACGCCTCGTCGTCCGGTGGAGGGCTGGGAAGGTCAGCGACCGGGTCCTCGTCATCCTCGAGAAAGAATCGCAGCCCTCAGAGGAACTCGTATAGCCAGTCTGTACCTTCGGGCCTCAACCGCGACGATGTTGGGGCCGACCGGCGGTCGTCCACGATATCAGCGGCTGCAGCGAGCGTAGCGGCGGCAGTCTTGAGGCCCTCGTCGCGCGCGGCGATATCGGCGGCCCATCTGGCCTCCCAGGGCATGTCGTCGTCGACGCCTGCCCTGGACACGGGTGCGCGAGACCCGCGGGCTGGTGGCGACTCCCGCGACAAACGGCCCAGCCTGGACGAGTCGCTGCCGCGGGCGCCGACGTCGGCCTTCAACCTGAGGGACAAGGCCGGTCTCGACAACAGAAGCTCCAGCAAGCAGTCCAAGAGACGGAGCATGGTGCTCCCCGACCTCAAGGGCCCGACGTGGGACGACTACCTCAAGAGCTCTGCGCCCAAGTCGTCGACCTCGTCGTTCATGAAGAGGGCGGACCCCGGGTACCACTCGTCGGGTTGAGGAGGACGCAGACTGGGGATTGGAAGGAGGCGCAGCGGGTAATTAGCTCGCAGGAGCGAGTGTGCGAGGCTGCTTGGTGCGTTGCTTCGGATGTTGGCCAAGAGTCCCTCAGGCACGGCACGCGACCACGACGCTGGGGCTGTCACGAAAGGAAGCGGGGCGGAGTTCTTCATACGTTTGGTGCTTTGAATAGCTGGATACCCCAAGGCAGACATATTCCAAGATTGATGATTTCAATGGAAGCCGAAGTTTTCATCGTTGCAAAGCCAAACTGTGTCCCCATGGACTTGTACTGCGTAGGTCTGGCTCACCAGGATCCCCAGATGCCCGGACTAGTTTGTGTTTCTTTGGGGAAAAGGAGCACCGATGGGAAACTCTCCGGCGTAAGTCCTGCAGGACCAGCTCGTATCGCCAAGGATCCAAATGTGTGAGACAAATGAACCCACCTGCCAGCTGCCTAGGTCTTACCGTCTCTGATCCGTCTTTCCCGAAAGTAGACTTCGGTACCTGTGCAAGGCTCTGGGGATCCGTGCGAACCTGGGGCTGGCTTAGAGCACAGCTCACTGGGCTTGTTTACCGATTCATGCCAGATCTGGAGGCTCTGTCGCACAGCGCAGAAGTAAAGCACGAAATCCTATAGGAGAAGCCCCTGTGGGATAACCTCCTGTAGGATCGCTAGGGGCTTGGGGTCAAAATTGCCTGTCCAATTGTCTCGGGTGGTCTGCAGCGGACAGCTTCCTGTTGGCTGATGGCATGATTGATCTCGTGCCATGTTTCAATGTCGAAGATTGCGCCCTTGCCTCTTGTCGGTTTTGTCTCAAAGGTCACCAATGGGACAGGAGTCCAGAAACGTGACAGGCTTCTAGCCGATCTCTTGGCAGGGCTTCGAGCGATGGCATCTCCCTGCCATCGGACGGAAATCCGACCATCATCTTGCGGCGGTAGCATACGATCGTCCGAACTATGGCAGCAGCCCTCCAGTCTTGGCCCATATAATATACCCAGAACGGTGGGGTGGCTCATCCATGCGGCACCAACGAGTTTGGTGTGCTACTGTACATAGTTGTCGCAGTCCTACAGGCGTGGTCTCGGACTGCGGACCTGCTTGGCTCCTGCTCCGAGCAGTCCACAGTAAATGGTGGAATTCGTCATTCCGAACAGCCAGGAGAAGATGATGTCACACTGATCTCCGACTTCCTTGGCAAGGCGGGTAAACGGAGAACACTTGTGGCTTCCAGCTCGGGACGAATAGGCAGGTCCATGCAAAAAAAGGAGTCATTCTTGTTAAGTAATAACCAAAGCTTGTGAGGAACGCTGGCTTACTGCCTCTGTCCTTCTGACTCGAGCCTGCCGAGCATTTACCACGTTCGTTTTGTCCCAGCGCTCAACACTGGCGCTGTGCCAGCTATTTTCCCGCTCCTGCATGCTGCAATGCCCCCCATTTGGCCCGTTTGGGGCAAGCTCTCACCTGGCCGCCCTGGCGCCCTGGCCGAACACGACCAATACGCGGAAAACGAGGTCGAAACTCCACTCCCGAAGCATCCCAATAAAGCAGGCGTCCCACTACCCAGGCTGATCATCCGAGGCACCCCGGAGACCCTTCGAATTAGCTTGATATAAGCTTATTCGTTTCAAGCATGCCGCGGTTCCTCCTATAACGCCATCCTCTGCCCTCGCCTCCATCCTGCTCAACGCACAAACAAGTCTAGTCTGGCCTTCAGGATGGACGTGCATGGGCATGACCTAATGCTTATATTTCCTATTCCTTACGACGCCATGCTATTTCCCACTAGAACAAGGCGCTTCTGCCCTAGCGAGTCGGCTTGAAACTCCCCTCTGGGTTAGAAGTAACACGCCCACAGTGTCGGCGGCGTTGTCGCATCCTCGGGGCCAGTCAGAAACCTGAGCTCGTATTTTGCTCAAATACCCTTTCCGAGAGGAGTGCGCCTCTGACTCTGCCTCAGCCTCGCCCTTTGTTTGCACCACGATGCTTTCGGCTCAGAATCTCTTGCTCTTTGCCAAATGCGGGTCTCTCAGGGGGGGACCCAGCCAGCAGATTGGGATCCACAACTTGGGGGACAGCCCCCGTGGTACTTCTGACTTCTGACGTCTGGCTGGCTGGCGGCACGGCTGGGCCAGCTGGGCAGTTGGCCACAGCCCGCTGGCAGGACTATGCACTGGCCGATCGCTGTGGGCCGATACACTATGCTTCGTGTTTTGAGTCGCAGCAGAGGCCCAGTGAGTCAATCCCGTCTAAATACAGTACAGCCAGTGCACGGCACTGTTCCTGCTCGCTCGTGGGCGGGCTGCCCCTCGCCTGCTCAGCGCCTTCGATGGCTGGATGGCAGCTGAACACATCCAATGGGGGGCTCAGCAGCGGTTGGCCGGCTTCACCGTCTCATTCGCAATCCTTCTCGTATGCAGGATTGCCAACCGCCTTGCAAGGGTGGATTCACCGTACTAACTTTAGGCGTGTCCCGCTTGCCTTGCTTGTCACATCTGGTCTAGCAGGTGGCCTAGTGGCGCAGTTTGCAAGACGGGGGCACGCGACCAGGCACCAACTGCGGAAACCAGCCCGTTGTGTCGGCTCAGGAATGAGTGAATGCACGTCTCGATCCAGGTACCTGGTCCAACTTCAACGGCCGATTGACTTCCCCCCTTGGCCCCCCTGCACCGCCAGCAGCAGGCTACTGCACCTAGGCGTGCTAGACAGCGGCTCTTACGTGAGTAGACGGGCCAAGCAGCTGGGCAAGGTTCGAGAAACGAGGTTCGTTTGGGCGAGGTTGGCCACAGCCCAGCCCTCCACCCACCCAAAACGCCCTGGCCCACGTCTGGGACCGCACGCGACACATTTCCTGAAGTAACAATTTCTTTGACATGTTCGGGGCGGATCTGCATTTGGACATGACTTATGTGGGTACCCCTACCTTTGTCCTGTCCTGTTCCTGTTCCTGCTCCTGTTCATCTGCAGGCGACTTCCCCATGGCATCAACATCTCCCTCCCTTTGATCTGTGTTACGTTTTTTTCTGCATGGAGGCCATACTGGTTCTCGGGCGTTATCGATCGTGATGTCTCTTCAGAAGTCGACATCTTTCCTGTTTGCTCTGTTCTTCATATCGGTAACGTCTACTAAGGTGCTACACCTCGCGCTGCACCTGGGCACGATACCCCTAGCGGCTTTCTTTCTATACCTCCCTACATTTTTCATACCCGATGTCGCCCTCTTGATCATTACCCGACTGTTGCTACGGCGGGAGCGAGGCGTTGGTTCTTTGGTTGGTCTGCTTTTGGGAGTTTTTATATCGTACGTCAGACGAGTGTCACCACACCTGGGGCTTTCTCTCGCCAGATGCTGGGCAACAAGGCTAAAACTGCGAACAGATGTATCACCTTCGTTGCTGCATCATGTCAGCTAGGATTCTTCACTAGAACGGGCGCAGACATCCAGTGGTCCGCAGCCCGCACAGTCGCAAAAGACAAAGATGGAGTCGCCGTCCTCCTAAGCGAAAGCTCGAGCGTGCTCGTGCCGGCGGCCATAATATTTGCCTTGGCATGGTTCTCCCATGCCTGGCTCTACGAGGTCTCTGGAAACATCCTGAGGGCTCTGGGAGCGCTCTGGCGTGCGAGTGAGTCACCCAGACTGGTATGCCGTGGGCAGGGAAATGTCGCTAACTCATCGTCGCAGCCTACAACCGAGACGCCGGCCCCATCCAGTCGAAAGAACGAATCGATGGCGTCGACATTGAACATTCCGCCGACGACAGTTATTCAGACTCGGACGAGACAATTGTGTGGTCGGAAGGCGACAGCATCTTCGGCCGGGGGAAGTCGGACGAGAAGCCCGTGGGCTTTTTTGGGCGTTTGCGCACCTCATTGAAGAGGAAATTAAAACGATTTCCGCAATGGATGGTGCTACCCGTTACGGCATTCGTCCTGGCAGTCTTGCTGCTGACAAGGCCCACCAAACCGTACAACCACATATCGACGACACTCCCGCTTCCGCTTTTGACTCTCGTCAGCTTCTCATTCGAGCCGTTCAATTCCTGTGGCCCGACAGAACGCGTTGTCGAAAACGATTGGCCATTGCCAGAGCTCATCAGCGAGCCACACTGGAAACCAGCCCGTGACAACTTCAAGGGCTGGGCTCCCGGAGGAATGAATCCCCTGATCAGGGCCTACCGTGAGAGGATACCTGATTGGCTGCCGGTGCCGATTCCTCCTGAGTTTGCCCGGTGGAACTCGACTGAGCCCGCAGAGGAGACCTTGTCGGTACTTGACGCGCCCAACGGAACGACGGTCGATGGGAATGGCACAAGCTTGGCTTGTGGACCAATTCTCACCCGGCAAGCCGACTACAACCCTGTCGACGACCCTCTCCGGATTACCAACCTTGATTTGGATCCGGTCGAGCCCCTTCGAGCTGCACTCGAAAACAAGAATGCGACCATAAAGCACGTGGTCATGATCCAGATGGAGTCGATGCGTGAGGAACTTTTTCCCTTGCAGCAGGGTTCCCTATGGCATAAGATGATTCTGGAATCGCACCCGGAGGAGGGCCGTGATGAGATCAACGCGCGTTTGTCGAAGCTCACCCCCAACTCCGAGAGGATAACGGGCAAAGCTGGTGGATTTACGAACTCGACCGGCCATCCATACGTCCGAGAGGAAGAAGAGCCGAGCTGGGCTACTTCCATAGCTGAAGGTTTTGGCGGTCTTAACGTCGTTGGCGCTTTTACCGGAAGTTCCGTCTCAACCAAATCAGTCGTTGGAAGCCATTGTGTAAGCATTCCAGAAGATTCAAAACCCCGTCCTGGACGACCCAGGTATATGGAAGCAAACAAAAGTACTGACATAATCTTTGTAGGGTGTTTGGCCCATGGCTGTCGATGGCCTTGAAGAATCGGAGAGCCAGGTTTACCAACCCTGTCTCCCACATCTATTCGACATGCTGTCCAGCAAGAAGATGAACAACACCGAACTGGACCAAAGTGACATGCGAAACTGGCCGTGGGACCATAAGTACTTCCAAGTAAGTGACTATGGGATCTGATTTCTGCCCCAGATATCTGCAATGAGCGGTCGGATCTGGGTCAGATGCAGGCTCTTGAGACGAACATTGAGATGAACATGGCGCTCGACTCTCAGGTACATCTTGATTCAGCACTTACTAACTTGCATCACCAAATAGGCTGTCACAGACGATTACGATCGACAAAATGTCATGAATGAGAAGATGGGCTTTAGGGATGTTGTCTCCAGGAAGACATTGGCGAAGGATGTCAAGAACACTCCTGGGATGATGGAGCTCAACTACTTCGGCTATGCGGAGCCGTACTTGAAACCGCACTTTGATGAATTTATCGACCGGGCTCTGGCCAATGACACGAGGATGTTCTTGAGCCATTTCACCTCCACGACCCACCACCCCTGGAGGACGCCCCCTGACTGGACCACAGTCCGATATATGGGCAAGAGCCACGGCGGAGTCAGCCACTTCGACTTCAACCAGTACCTGAACGCCATCGCCTACCACGACGCATGGCTCGGGCAGGTGATGCAGATGATCGAGGACAAGGGCATTGCCAACGAGACCCTGGTAGTCTTTGTCGGAGACCACGGCCAGGCGTTCCTCGAGGACACATCGGTGACGGGTACGCTCGACAACGCGCACGTGTCCAACTTCCGCGTGCCCATCACCTTCCGGCACCCACACCTGCCGCGCGTGCAGTATGAGGCCAACGCCACGTCCATCAGCATCCTACCCACGATCCTGGACCTGCTCGCGAACACGGGGTCGCTGAACGAGGAGGATAACAGGGCGGCGGTTGACCTTATCAACGACTACGAGGGCCAGTCGCTCATCAGGCCCTACAAGACGCATGATGACGGCCGGCGGGCATGGAATTTCGGCGTGGTCAACCTGGGCGGCAGCGTCCTGACCGTGACGTCGGCCGATGCGCCATGGAGGATGGTACTGCCCGTGGAGGAGAAGAACTCGATCGAATTCCAGCTGTCGGACCTGCAGGTCGACCCGCTGGAGGTGGAGCCGGTCAAGGGCTGGGACATGGTGCACCTGATCCTGGACGCACGTAAGAGGTACGGACAGGACGCTGCCACATGGGCGGACGAGGCCGAGAAGGTCGCGCGGTGGTGGATGTTAGAACGGAAGAGGCTCTGGAAATACCGGTCTTCCAAATTTTTTTAGAAACTCATAGCAATTGTTCTTGAATTTTAATGATATCAACTGTCACCCAAGTCTCTGAAGACGCAAGCGAGGAGGCACTAGAGGCTATCTCAGCAGATCTGAGGCTACTAGTAGTGCAACAGCCGCGCTGGAGACTGCCTGCCTTGTGGAGTGAGGTGCCATTTTGCCGGGTCTAGCTCGACCAGAGCTCTGGGGTAACTTGGACTTTCCACCCGCGGCTGTTGATAGGCCTCAGTCACCTTTCCCCATGGATTATAGCGCGGAAAGTAGCCCCCCCCTCCTCTTTCCCTTTCCCTTCTCCTACATGGGGCAACGTCATTTCTTACCTCTATCCCCGGACAATCTGGTACTAACAACAGCCGATCATCGATCTCGTCGCCAGGCCCGTCGTTTCTTGTGTAGCTAAGACGCCCGTGACCAACGACTCAGAGCCCTCTGCCGTCCCCCTTCACGGCCGAAGCAGCGCATGGTGACGTCGTATTACTGCGTGGGACGAATCCTTCGACGGTGATGGTGCAACCTCTTTTACCTCTGATAACCTGGCAGACTCGAGATCTTCCTCCTGGCACTGGATACTTTGACATGGCACTCCTAGCGAGCATGTTCCTTGGGTATCTGCCCAAATATTTGGGACCGTCTTTGACAGCTTTAGCGGGGCTTCCCCACAGTGCCAAAGATATGCGCCAGAGGTATCATCCCCGACTTTCAACGGCACCCGCGACTCCCTCCACGGCTGCGGGCTTTATGTCATGGCGCCTACGCCAAGCTTGTTGGCTCGATGGGTGTGAAGCTCGCGTGGACATCCGTGTAATGCTCACGGCGAGGTGGTTGTAGGTAGGGTGAGAAATGCATAAGTAAACAGCCGTCTCTTGCTACTCATCCTCCCAACCATTTTGGCAAGTGTCAGCTCTGCATGCACACATTCTAGCCCGGTGGCTTTGAGCTTGTTCTTGTGCCCAAGACTTATAGTCCTTTCTTGACCACCAAGCGCCCGTCTTGGTCATCTCTGGGCGGTCTTGGACTTGCTTGTCCGTAGGATTGGTAACCCGCGCCCCTTAGCTGCGAGTCGCTCTTATTCCCGACATGGCCGATACTCGCCCACCTGAGAAAGATCACAATCGGAGGGAGTCATCTGGCTCCCTTTCCAAGGCCGAGGTCGAGCACCAAAGCCGTGGCCCCTCCGTCGACCAGCCCGCCGGTCCTGAGGACGAGGGTCTGCGCCAGCGACATGATGCCTCGGCCCGCATGGAGAACCCGCTCGCCGGCTTCAGCCGCGAGGAGGTGACGCGCTTGGCCGAGGAGTTCTGCGCCAAGCACGGCTTCACCGACGATGAGGACCTACGGGTCTTCCGGCTGGGCGCCGCAATCGCGGGGAATGACTTCCAGTGGGACACGGTCGACGGCCTGAGGGACGATGAGAAGGAGGCCCTCCGAACGGAAGTCGATCACAAGTGGAGGGCTAACCCGAAGACACTATATGGCGTTATAGTTGTTTGCGTATGCATGCACCCTCCTTTTCCTTCGAAAGTTCACAATGCTACCGTACTTTTTATATCAAGACAAGAAATACAGCATTTGTACTGATTCACTTCAGGCACTTTGCGCTGCTGTACAAGGAATGGACGAGACAGTTGTCAACGGTGCTCAATCATTCTACAAGAAATCGTTTGGGATCGGGGATGAAGAGTCGATGCGGGATTCCTGGCTCGTGGGGCTGGTCAACAGCGCCCCGTACCTTTGCTGTGCTGTCATCGGTTGCTGGCTCACAGAGCCCATGAACAAGAGATTCGGCCGCCGGGGTACAGTCTGGATAAGCTGTCTCATCTCTGCGCTGGCGTGTTTCTGGCAGGGCTTCACGAGTGAGTACCTGTCTCCTTGTTCTTGCGTCATGCGCTGGTACTCGAAAGCTGACACTTTGGGGGGTTGAGACACCTGGTGGCACATGTTCATTGCGAGGTTCTTCCTGGGGTTCGGCATTGGCCCCAAGTCGGCCACGACTCCCATCTTTGCTGCCGAGTGCTCGCCGCCCAAGCTGCGCGGCGCCTTGACGATGCAGTGGCAGATGTGGACTGCCTTTGGAATAATGGTGGGATACGTTGCTGATCTCGCCTTTTACTTTGTAAGTATTCCTGTTGAGAACAGATATTCGCACAGAAAGAAACGGATGGTATACAAATGCATTACACGCCTAGTGCACTCGCATCCAACACACCCGCCCCGTTCACCCACACCCAATTCGGATACCCAAGCCCAATTTACATGCCGGATTTACACGCCTATTCCTGTTGGGTGGTCAAGACGCGATCTGGCCCCAATAGGTGGTTCCTGCGACAATTCTTACACTCAGAACTAATTAACATCGCAGGTCCCCGATCACGGAATCCCGCTTGGTTTGAATTGGAGGCTCATGATGGGCTCGGCAATGATTCCCGCTGTCGTTGTGTGCTGCCTCATCCCGTATGTTGATATCTCCTTGCTCACTGCTTTATCTACCCTCATTTGAAGGAGAAACACAAGTCCAGGTCCGACACTAGTTTATTGACACATCATAGGATGTTCCCGGAGTCTCCTCGTTGGTATCTGACAAAGGACCGCCACGGAGACGCCTACAAGGCTATATGCAAGCTACGACTGAGTAAGATCCAGGCTGCCCGAGACTTGTTCTATATGGACTTTGGCCTGAAAGCGGAGAGGGAGGCCATGTCCATCGGCAAACAAAACCGAATCAAGGAGCTCGTGACTATCCGACGTAACCGAAATGCAATGATCGGGTCGGAGATTGTTATGTTCATGCAACAGTTCTGCGGAGTGAACGTGATCGCATACTACTCTTCTGAGGTGTTCCTTCAAGCAAATCTACCTGAAACGAGTGCCCTGGCAGCCTCTCTCGGATTTGGTATAATCAACTGGCTGTTTGCAATCCCGGCTGTCTATAGTGAGTTTAGCGTTTCAGAGAGGCACAGGGTATTTGAGCTGACCGCTCGCAGCCATTGACACCTTTGGACGGCGCAATCTCCTCCTGACGACATTCCCGCTGATGTCCCTCTGCTGTGAGTAAACCTTTTGGCTTCGGAAAGGGGGGGGGGGCGGGTTGGGCGCGAAGGCGAAGACCGACCGGCATGCTGATAATCATCAAAACAGTGTTCTTCGTGGGCTTCAGCTTCTATATTCCCGAAGATTCGACTGCCCGGATTGCTGTAAGTGTTGACCAAACCAGTCTGCCTTTGCTGGGACGCCGTTTCCTGCGATGTCCGGTGCCTGAGGCTCAGCAGGGGCAGGCAATATCATTTTCATTTGTCTTCATTTCTCACCCTGGAAACTTCGCAGCTAACCTGGAGCGTTGTAGTGTATCGCCCTTGGTATCTACCTCTTTGGAATGGTATACTCCCCAGGCGAAGGCCCTGTTCCATTCACGTACTCTGCCGAGGCGTATCCTCTTTACATTCGCCCCATCGGAATGTCGCTCGCGACGGCCACGACGTGGTTCTTCAACTTCATACTCAGTGTCACATGGCCGTCGCTGTTGCAAGCGTTCAAGCCGCAAGGAGCCTTTAGTTGGTACGCCGGGTGGAATATCATAGGATTCTTCTTGGTGAGCATTCAACGACATGTATCTGTTGAGTTCACTGGCCTACTTCATTAACACGTGTGGATACTACAGGTCCTATTCTTCCTACCTGAAACCAAGGAGAAGACTCTCGAAGAGTTGGATGCCGTCTTCAATGTGCCGCTTCGGGTGCACGCCAAATATGGACGTAAGTGGCTTCAAATGCAACCCTTTTCCTTTGGTGAGCAATCCAGAGACGTGATCATCTGTGAAGAGGATCAGATGGTTGAGATCTCTGGGTACCCCTGGGACCTCTTCCTCAGTTGGTGACGTGCCAACCCAGTAGCTAACGAATTCCCAGTCCAACAATTCAAGTATTTCATCCACCGTTACGTCTTTTGGAGCCACGTGGACCCACCCGCGGTTCCTCGCCAGGAGATTTTGAAGCATTCGGAGAAATCAATTGCACCGAAGGCTGAGTATGACCCAACTAAGCGAGTATAAGAGTGGTGGAGTTAGTTGTACGATACCCTCAAAGCTATGGAGCTAGTGTACAAGTGGATACTTTGTTGCGGCTCGGCTTGCTGGCGACCTGATCAAGGGATACCCCTGGGAAGGGACCGTCGTCAATGGGTGCCGCGGAACCGAGCGAGCCTCCAAAGCGCAGAGTGACGCTGGAGGTGAGGTGATACATCCATTTGTTTGGGGATTCGGGCCAGGCACTCTCTGTGCACTCCATGGAATTTTATTTTGATTTGGTGAAAATAAATCCTCGTGCTCTGCAATTCCATAGGACGTCTCCTCCGAGGGCAAGCGTTGACGCAAATTGCCTTGACATTCTCAGCCGTTGAGAGGCGGTTGAATACGCAAGTAACCCAAGCCTACCTGGGCACCCGCCCTCGCTACTTCCCACCTCGGAAGGCTTATCCAACGATCGCATTCGGTCCAGGAAGGTAGGAGGCGAAGTAAGCACCGATGAGTGTAGCATTTATGCATCGTTGAGAAGTGATATTCATCGCCTCGAGCAAATAGCCCTCGAGCGTCCGCGGTCGCCGAAGGCTAGTGCGATACGCGTCCCAGTCTCCCGTCGGCCTGCGTCACGCGCCCAGCTGCCCGCCCCGAGCCGAGGTAATGCACTATCAGCTACCTATGGCAGATCGGCGCCCTCGGACGGCCGCCCGTTCTGCTGCATCATCGCATAAAACTTGCCGCTGGCCGACGACACTTGTTGCCTGGCGCAGCTCGCTCCTGCTTTTGACGGCCGTTGCAGATGCAGTCCAATTTAATTCTTGTGTGCTAGTCTTGCTACGATCCCGCACATCAGACTCCACTGTCACTGGGCGCCGGTCAACAAGCTATCCAAGATGCCGGGCTCGTCGCGGATGCCCATCAGCCTGCGGGACGGCCTCAACAGCGTCAAGAAGTCCCGCCACGGCAACCCCATACAATTTCTCAATGTTGAACTGTGAGTGGTACTTCCAAGACGGGCGGTAATCTCCCCCTGCAGCCCAGATTGGCCTGGGGCCTATGGCTTCTTGCTCTCAGCTGTTCCGACCGTCTCTGGCCTGGATCAGCTTACGGGACCCCTCCCTGTATGGGCCCGTATGGTCCGGAGCTGTCGCAATCTCCCTGGTGGCCCTTCATGTCGCTCCGCACCTCAGCTCCCTGGGCCACCCGGCGCTCCGCCCGTCTGTATATTTCCGCCGCGTGGGACCTCCGGCTGACCTGACTATCTGACTCCAGACTCAAGAACATCATATTTTTCTACTTCCTCCTGCGGTGGACACGGCGGTCCTTCTGGAAACTCAAGGGCCGCGGGCTGGTCGGCACCCTGGTCGAGCTGTACACGGACGCGCGGCGGATCGCGTACGGCTGGTTCCTCCAGGCGCCCGGGGTGCGCACCAAGGTGAAGGCGCAGGTGGACGAGGCCAAGGCGAACCTGCAGAGGAAGCTCGTGCGCGCCGACGAGACGCGGTACCTGTCGCTGCCCAAGCAAGGGTGGAGCGACGAGGACCTGCGCGCCGAGCTTGGCCGGCTGGCGGACCTGGACCACACGCGTTGGGAGGACGGCTATGTCAGCGGGGCCGTGTACCACGGCGAGGACCCGCTGCTCAAGCTGCAGACCGAGGCGTATGGCAAGTTCACGGTCGCGAACCCCATCCACCCGGATGTGTTCCCCGCCGTGAGGAAGATGGAGGCCGAGGTGGTGGCCATGGTGCTGTCGCTGTTCAACGCACCGCCCTCGGCCGCGGGCGTGTCGACGTCCGGGGGCACTGAGAGTATCCTGATGGCGTGCTTGAGCGCCAGGCAGAAGGCCTACGTGGAGAGGGGCGTGACAGAGCCGGAGATGTGAGTGTCGCGTGCTCAGCGCACATCGGATTGAGGCTTCCCCGGACCAGTTTAGCTGACTGTCATGGCTGCAGGATTCTCCCTGATACGGCGCACACGGCGTTCCGCAAGGCGTGCGAGTACTTTGGGATCAAGATGCAGCTGGTGGCATGCCCGGCACCGAGCTACCAGGTGGACACGCGGCGGGTGGCACGGCTGATCAACGCCAACACGATCCTGCTGGTGGGCAGCGCTCCCAACTTCCCGCACGGGATCATGGACGACATCGCGGCGCTGTCCAAGATCGCGCTGCGGCGCAAGATCCCGCTGCACGTGGACTGCTGCCTGGGGTCGTTCCTGGTGCCGTTCCTGGACAAGGCCGGGTTTGAGACGCAGCCGTTCGACTTCCGGCTGCGCGGGGTGACGTCCATCAGCTGCGACACGCACAAGTACGGTTTCGCGCCCAAGGGCAACAGCACGACGCTGTACCGCACGGCGGAGCTGCGGGCGTACCAGTACTTTGTGATCCCGGACTGGTCAGGCGGCGTGTACGCGTCGCCCGGGTTCGCGGGGTCGCGGCCGGGGGCGCTGATCGCGGGGTGCTGGACGAGCCTGATGAGCGTGGGCGAGGAGGGCTACCTAGACGCGTGCGTGCGCATCGTCGGGGCAACCAAGCGCATCGCGGAGCGCATCCGCGACTCGCCCGTGCTGGCGGCGGAGCTCGAGGTCATGGGCCGTCCGCTGGTGTCGGTGGTGGCGTTCACGGCGCGCAACCTCAACATCTACGACATCGCCGACGCCATGTCGCAGCGCGGCTGGCACCTCAACTCGCTGCAGGACCCGCCCGCCATGCACGTCGCCGTCACCATGCCCATCACAAAGGTCTGGGAGAAGCTGACCGACGACCTCGAGGCTGTCATCGAGGAGGAGCGCGAGAAGGAGCGCGTGCGCATCGCGCAGGGCAAGGGCGCCAGGGGCAAGGCCATGGGCGACTCGGCTGCCCTTTACGGCGTCGCCGGCAGCCTGCCTAACAAGAGCATCATGGTGCAGCTGGCCAACGGCTTCCTGGATACCCTGTACAAGGCATGAGCAAACGGTATGAGGTATGAGGACGGAACGGATGCGGAGACCTGATGAACAGAAGCAGGGCGAGGAAGCAGATTTGTTATCATAGCTTTAAGGAACGGAACTGCGGCTATCAAGCATCTGGGAGGGCCTTTTGTTCAAGCTGGGGGCATCTGCATGGCACAACATGGACACTGTCGTTCTTAGAAGGGTATCCCTTGAGGTCGTTACAGCTGTGTTATATACATATATGCATGAAGACACAACCGAGCGAGGCGAAATGGTCCGCATGGGGCGGGTGTATCTCACTTCTACCCGCGGCCACCTACACCTATACCACACAAACACACATTTATGACGAGAAAGAAAGAAGACATTTAAGATACCACAGGAACTGCAAATACCGCTGACAGCAAAAGGGAGACATGTCTTTCAAAGAAGCTTGTATTGTGTCTAGCTCTTCCTGTTCTCTGCTCACAGCTCAATGAGGGTTGGCTTGTGCCTGTTCCTTTCTGACTACCACCTGTAGATGCTGGAGACAACCACCCTGGCAATGTGCCTCTCGTCCATACGGTCCCAGCCATTCCTTTGTAGCTGTCCAGGCTTTGTTTTGTTGTGTTCCGTTCTGTTCTGGTTCGACCCCTTGTTTTGTTCTCTTCATTAAATCCTCGCTTTCGAGGTCATGATGCTTCCCAAGCTTGGGATATCAAACAGCGATACGTGTGCCACCATTTCGGCTTGGGCACTCTTTCCCTTCCAGTGTGCAGGTGCCTTGATGACCTGCCCTGGGTAATATGGGCCGCACCTTTGGTGACGGGCCCTTGGTGGCTGGTCCTTCTTTCCTCTTGTAGTCGAGGTTGACAGTGTGGTGGCGGGCAGACAAACAGACAGACACTTCTTCCCTGTGCCTGCTGTCCATGAACTCCCCTCCTTCCCATCTCCTGCCGGCAGAGACCAAGCCTAAACATGACATTGCTGCCTTTTCCTTCAAAGTCGTTTACATTATCTCTTGTCACCATCAACACTGGTTGGCAATGCATGCAGCAGCATCACCCCGCCAACCAACCATCTTCACCTTCTTCAGGCCTATAGCACAATTCCAAACAGTCCTACAGGTCAGCGCCACGGTCTCGGAAATGGCCCATGCCAGGGTCACTCTGCTTCACCGCATCCTCCACGTCCCCTACCTGTCGCCTCTCCGAGATCTCGAGTTGGTGCGGGCTCTTCAGCCGCTTGTGCAAAATATATCTCAATCCCATCGTCAATCCTCGAGACCTCGCTTCTGAATCCCTCATGACTACTGATTGCTACTGCAAAGGCTCCGACGAGCTGGACAACCTGTTAAGATGCAAGTACACGTCTGTGCCGTACCTGCTCGAGGGGGAAAAGAGGTATTTTGTCAGCAAATGGGTCTCTCTTTTTTCTCGTCCCCACCGACCCTCCTTCCGGGCCGAGGCAGACCTGGGTTGAACTTACCCTTCCATGCTAATCAGTTTCAGATCGCCTCCGAAGTATCGTGCATACAGCCTCGATATGGGCAGTCCGTAGCCGAAACCCGCCATCGGCGCCTTGAAGTCGCTCTTGTCGAAGTCGGGGTCCAGGCTCGGCGTCCTGTCGACGGTCGTGTACATGTACGTCCACACCAGCGGTATCGCGCTGCGTGGGATGCCGCCGCCCTCATCTGAGATCTTGATGGTGATGTCCTCCTTGCCCTCGGCCACGATCACCTTGGTCACCGGGAACTCCTGCTTGTCCTGGCCGTGCGTCTCGACCACGGCGCGCAGCGAGTTCTTCAGGGTCTCGAAAAGCATGTGGCTCAAATGTCCAGGCACGTACATGAAGTTCAGGTTGGGGTTACACACGAGCTGGATCTTGGGCGCTTCGAACAGGCCATAGTGGTCCTCACACACAAACCTTGCATTTTCGATGGCCTCCTGCGCCAGATCCTGCACGTTGGTCTTGGTGCAGATGATGCCGACATAGTTTGGATCCGTGTAGTGGCTCTGGTCGGTCAGAGCGATGTGCTGGCCGATGAGCATGCGGATACCGATGCGCGACATGTAAAACCGATCGAGGAACGATTGGATCGTGCCGTCGATCTGCATGCGTTGCCGCTTGCGCTTGTATTCAAGGATGCCCTGCGCCATGGTGGTCACGACGCCGTCGTGACGCCGCTTGATCTTGTGCAGGGTTTGTGCAAACTTCTGGTTGTACAGATGCAGATCCGGAGGCCAATCACCGCTGTCGTCGACCATGGCGAAGTACCGCCGCGCTGCCTGATACTTCTTGGCCCAGCTTTCTCTTCCATTGCCATTCGCCTGTGGCATCGAGGTATACTGGCCCTCCTCGATGCTGGGGTTCGGTGTCGCCTCCGGTAGCATCTGGCCTTTTCCGAGAGACTTGCTCGGGCGCATGAGCCTGTCTCGCACGTCATTGGGGAGCTTTGGTCGTGGGAGGTCGGTGATCTCCTGTTCCACCGCCAGGGTATATGTGAGTCACGGTGAACTTAGACAATGGCCGAAGGAGGAAAGGGGACCGGACACGACACATACTTCGAATGACTGTGCATACCAGTCATGGACTTTCTTCACCGACGGCATCTCACTGAGACCGTCGGGGAGGGTCTCGAGCTCCTGGACCCTGTGTGCCAGTCTTATGGGAAGTTCCTCGGAGAGGAACTGGGAGGCGCGGAATAGGGTACCTGCGGAGAGGGGTATGAGCATTGGCTGCTGGCTCGTCCTCGCGGGCGTGCGGACGCGATGCAGGCCCGCGGCATTGCAGGAACTCACCGACAGAGGGTCTCTCGCCGAATTGGACCATCTGGCGCAAGCTGACGCCGGTAGCTGGGAAGGAGGCATAATGACGGATGGTGTCCATCAGCTTCTCGGTCTTCCGCCACGACATCTTGACGGGTTACACGTGGATGCCCACGATTGCCTGAGGGACGTCTGGTTGCCTATGATTGCCTCATCGACGTCCGATACTGTCTCAAGCGGACGCTGACGGAGAAAAGGTGGGTTGTGAGGGATCTCGAGTCCTCGTCGAGAGTGCGCAACGAGAATGACTGTTCAGAAGAGGCGCCCTTAGCCGAGGCAACGCCGGGATTAATCGATATGGAGAAGTATGGGAATGACGCAACGCTATTTTGTGGACGGACTGGGGGTCACGAGGGCTGAGAGCTTTTGAGCTTCGAGGTCCTAAAGGCCCGCGGTCTCATGGAAATTCTCGGCAGACCGTCTGAGGATTGAGGGGGTCAGGTTGAGGGGAGAATTGAGATATTTCCTAAGCCCTGTCGTTGTCCAGAAGGGAGGTGTAATGGATGTGGTGCAGAGGGCCAGAAAGCTTAAGAGCGGCTCGGCTGGTTCGCTCGCAGACCACATACAGACCGGAGCTCAACGTGCAGTGCAGCGGCAACCGAACAAGCACCAGGACAGTCCCGCTCGCGGCTCACGTCACGTCACGTCACCTCTCTGGCTACTACAGTACAGACATCTTGGAAGCCCAGGTGATACGCCTGGGAGTGCGCCGAAGAGCCCCTCGCACCTATCACCTCAAGGCCTCGTCTACAGCTAGTCTATATGCACCGCAGGCGCCCCGGTGCCCGGGTAGCTTCAAATCACCCCACAAGGGCAGGGCGGGCGGGCAACCTCAAAAATGCCTGGGTGCAAGGGCGATGCGACGGGGACAGGGGAAAGAAGCTCCATGTTTCCGACTCGACCTCACAGGGGCAAGCGGACCCCACATGAGTGCATTACACTACCGGCCGCCTGCCGCCGGAGCACCATTATTACTACGCAGCGAGTGCCTAGCCTGGGTGTCACAACCAGCAATCATGCTGCAGCCAAGAGCGGTGATGAGGACAGGCGACACCACCAGGTAACTGTCCACTGACTCAAGTGAGCTCTCAACCGCTGGCTCTCAAGCTCCATGTGGACGACAGCCGCTGACTGATGTCAACCATGATAGCAGTTGAGGCCTTTTTAGACCTGTGCTGCACGGGGGACTCGCCCCGGAACGGGCCAGACAGGGACAGATCAACGAGCCTCTGCATCACATGCCAGAAAGCCGTTCAGCCGGGTCGCATCGCTCTCCCGGGCTACCCTTCCCCGGCATGAAGCCCAGCACTATGCTGTGACGGTTCTCCTCTAGGCCATCGAGCTGGAGATTATGGATTGCTGATCTGGACACCGGTTCTTGAGAGGATACGTTTGCTCATAGCGTTGTCCTGCTGGAATATCTACAAAGCATCTGATGACTGTATTGTACACACACAGTAGCTCTACCGTAATAAACACCACAAGTATGCAGCAACATACTATCTTGGGATCCGAGTGGGGTGATGTGATCTGCATGCACCAGGAAGGCCGAGCTGGGCAAAAATAAAGCATGCCTAGGTTCCTGGGTACCTAGGTAGAGAGAGAGAGAGAGCTCACCCTAGCTAGCTCCCAATGTGTGTGCGAGTCGGCCAAGCCCGTCCAGCCCACCCTAACAGCTCGACGCTATAGGATGAGTCTCGCAGGCACTTGGGCAGACAGGTAACACAGCGTCAGCAACTTGTCCAGTTTGAGGTCCTGTTACGGACTGGTGAGAAAACTTTTTTCAAATATCAGATGTCGGGCGATCGGAAGTCGTCCTTTTTTGCAGATTCAGCGAAGCTGCAGGGCTGCGGATGCGGCTGCAGGCGGTCCAGAGCCAGGAGTCCAGACTCGGAGCCGCCTGCCTCACACCACATCAGTCCATCTCGCTTTGGGCCCTTCTGGAAAACTGACCCGTAATAATATCGTCTCGCACTCAGCACTCAGGGGTCGCCAATCTACACTTACGAATTGCGACAATGCCTCTCGCCGCGACTTGCACAAGTCCCACGGACTATGTCCGATCAAGCCTCGCCGAATGGTGGTGCTAGCCAGTGCTTCTTGCTTGTGCAATGGTCTGATTTCACATTCGCAACTACCTTCAATCGCGCATCAGCGACGTCACACCTGCAAGCTCTCTACGCGCTCCCGCAGGCCGCCCCACTCGCATACTCACCACCAGGGCTTCCACGGCGACCATAACGACCATGCGCCCGGCCTGGAACCATGAACTTCCACATATCACCCCTCTCGCCCCTGAGGCCGCAGTTCACCGGCTCTCTCAGCCCGAGCCCCAGCGCCGCCCGCCGCGGTAGCCCCTCCGAGCCCGATGACACGAACCACGACACGGTGGGCCTCACCGGCCAGCCCAAGATCGAGGTCGACGGCGTAGAGGCCGACGACGAGATGGCCAGCGACTCGGACCTATCAGCGGACGATATCACACAGGACAGTAGGGACGTCCTCGTGCAGCGCCTCAACGACCTCGCCCAGCGCCTCAGCGGCGCCAACGTGCGCACCGAGAACATCGAGGCCCTCCACGCCCAGGTCGACGCCATGGAGAAGGTGCTGTCGCGCCGGCGCAGGAGCCCCGGCCGCCACACCCCGTCCTCCACCGCGCGGCGCAGCGCGTCGCTGCAACCCGGCGGCTCGCGCCCGAGGTCGCTGGTGCTGCCGCCCGGGGGCGACGGCCGCGATGCGCTGGGCATCATGGCGCCGATGAGCCCCTCGTGGCTGAGGTCGCACTTCCAGAGGCGCCCTTCTTCTATGCACGGCGACAGGCCCGACGAGACCTCGGAGCTTCACAAGGCCGGCCCCGTCCCGATGCCAATCCCGCCGCCGGCGCGACACTACCAGCCTGCCAGCGAGCATCAGCTTCAGCCCGGTGAGGCGACTATGACCAGCAGCTCGCCCAAGATCTCGTCCGAGATGGCCGATAGCATCGTCCTGGAGGCTGAGAACCTGTGCGCCGAGATGTCGACCGTCATCGAGAGCCTGCAGAAGCGGCGCGAAGAGTCAGATGTAACCTTCCCTTGTGATTCCCTTGAACCCATATCCGCCCCTTTTCCCTCTCCCTTCCGCCCCCATCGTGTGCCCTTCAAATCCACGTCCTGCCCCCAAAACGCTATTACTGTTTACACGTGCTGACCAGTGCCTTTACGCGAACAGCATCTACACGCAATATCTGTCGAGCGAGAGGAAGCTGCAAATGAGCGACTGCGGCAGCAGGAGGCCCGCATCCACGAGCTCGAGGAGGCGGTCGCAGAGGACGAGTCGGAGCTCCGGTACCTGAAGATCCAGCTGCGCGCCATCGAGGCCCAGTGCGCAGGCTACGTGCCCAAGGGGGCCGACCCGGAGCTGGAGCAGAGCATCCGCTTCTGGAAGAGGGACTGGGCGGAGCTCAGGGACAAGTGGGCCGCCAGGAGGGGCTCTTCTTTCGCGAGCGGCGACGAGTCGGGGACGTTCTCCAGCCTGACGAGCCCGTCAGCAAGGTCGGCGCGGTGATGGGGAAAGGGGTTTCTTGAAAGAGGCAGGGACTGCATATTTGTTCAGGGCGTGAAAATTAATCGATACCCATGGATTGCTTTCTGTTTTGCTTAGGGGGGAATAAAGCAGACATAGTGGTCGTCTGTACCCAAGGGCCGCACACTTACTACACTTTCACAAGAGATGCTGGCTAAATTATATTCTTCTGAGGCAGAGCCTCGATTCGGTCAGACACAGTGAAGACAATGCGATAGCCTAGTTCTTATGGCGACGCAAAGTGTCGTCCACCGAATACGAAGCATGGATGCCAAGTGTCTTGCTAATAGCATGTTCCTCTCAAGGAGCTGCCCGGTGGGTGAGTGAGGTCGGTCTGACAGACATTTGCCCAGAGGCTGAGAGCGCGTTCTGAGGTATCATTGAAGTAAGATTGACTACTTGGCCGTATACAAAACATGTCAACCATGCGAAAATGAACTCTAAGCCCCTGTCTCCTTGGCCATCGTCAAGCATATGACAGACAGACAGACCGTCCCAGCGGCGGGATCTACACCATCGTCCACAGGAACAAGCGCTCTGCCAGTCGCTCCCAGACGCCCGTCTCCAAATGCTGCGTGACCATTGTCCCACTGTGAAAAGAAAAGTCGCCCTAAACGCCAAATCATCTTCAGGCCTTTGAGTGAGGAGCCACAGGATATCTCCCTAGAACGCCAGCGACAGAGGATGCAATTCGCTACGCTGAAAGCCGCGGAACAAACTTCCGCCTCCGCTCCTCTCTCTTACTGGGTCCTATAAGCCGACCTCCAGACGGATGCGTACGGCTCCGCTTCGGCCTCGCAGGTCGGTTTCTTAATCGACTTGGCGCATTTCGCGAAGCGGACGGACAGGTCGCCTGTGGAGTACTCCTGGCCCTTCTCCGACTTGTCGTAGGAGTTGATGAAGCGCTGAGGAACGAGGGCCAAGTTTGACAGAATCGTCGGGTGCCACTGCACAATGTGTTCCTACAACAGCATATTAGACCGCGCTCTTTCCAAATGACAATGCGGGGGTTATCACCAAAGCATGCGTCTCCGCCTTTTGGAAGTTGTAGCTTCTGTACGTGGGGTCAAACCACGTATCGAGTAAGAACCGCGACCACTCCGAGTTGCGGACCAGCCAGCTGTTCGTGGCCAGGCCATCCTTGTCCTGTGTCACCACGAAGTGGACGTCCTCGGCCTTGAGGTGGCTGAACGTGTGGATGATGCTGTCGGGCGGCACGACGGGCTGGTCCACGATCATCTTCTCCTCGAGCTTCGCGGCCGCCATGACGTCGCGCTCGATCGCCAGCGCCGGGTTCATGATGAACGTGTCGATATCCACGTACCAGAAGTAGGTGGCGTCGGGGAACTGGGTGAGGGCGTGGCGCATCGCGACGACCTTTGTCCAGGACACGGGCGCCTTTTTCAGGTTGTAGTCGCCTACTTTGGGGAAGAACGTCGCGTAGCCTGGGCGCATCGTGTCAGTCAGCCTCATCTTCTAAACCATGGCCTCTTCTTCCAGGGAGACGACAAGAGACCGCGTCCACCACTGTAGCCTGCGCCGTCCAGTGCCAACATACCGTGCTTTTCCGCATAAAGCCTCCTGTTCTCCTTAACCAATTCCGTGTACCTCGCGCCAAACCTCCCTTCGTCCAAAACTGTCACTATCACTGCTGGCGGTTTCCCAGAAGGAACGTGGTTGGCCATCCCTGAGCTTCCGCCCCTGCTGCTACTCTGCGAGCTCCCGCCGCGCGTAAGGAGCCATAACAGGCCAATGAGTACGAGTGCTGCTATAGCGAAGGCTTGCGATCGGTATCGCCGTGGTATCGAGAAGCCGACCCCGTAGCGGGAAGAATTGCTGCCGCGGGGGAGGAAGGCTGGGGCGTTCGAGGATTTCCTCTTGGGATATGGGAGATGCATTATGTATTATCTTTCTCTGACTCGGATCATGTGGTGGATGGCGAGGGGACTTTTGGTGCGCTCGCAGTCCGTCAACGAAGGCGACCGCGAGGAGGAGAGGGGCCAGCCAACCCCCTGAGGGTTGGGCAACAAAAGCAACGGGCTTAATAAACAAGTGGCGATGGCGAGCGAGGCGATGCAGCCAACGGTGCTGTCGTGAGTCAACACGGCAATCGAGGTAAGCGCCTTCGTGTTCGCTGCTGTGGTCTGATGGAAGAGTAAGCCGCGCAGGTGGGAGTGAGGCCGCAAGCTTGCTCGCGCGCTATTCTCGCAGGGCAGTTCCTTGCGCTGGCGCCAGCACGGAAAGCAACTCGATCGGATGGCGAAGCAAGAGCTCTCGGCAAGGGGACAGTGCAACGCGTATGTTGTTGCAGCTTCTCGCAAAAGACGGGTCGATCGGTTGGAGGGAGACTGCTGGGTTGGGAAAGACAAGTGCTGGGTTTGGGTCTCACGGGAGGATGAATCCAGTAGTCTAGTCGGGCGCAAGGGCTAAAATTGCCGAGAGCCTCGACACGGTAGATTGCAACTCGCCCAAATTGCGTATGTCAGTGCCAGGCTCCTGTCATTCGGCAACCTGCTGGCAAGATCCCTCCCCTAGCCACGATACGTCCTCAGCCGCAAGCCTGGGACGAATAACAACGCTGTCGCGGAGCTGTTGTCACATTGCAGGCTTGGACCGTCATGGTAGGCCCTCGCGCAGCAGACCCTGGGGTTCAGAGTAGTTCCACACCCATGCCAATACCCACCTAGTGGCGCCCTGTCATGTCTACCGCAGACCATGATCCCGGTCAGACTAACAAGGTGCGGCTTCTGAGACGTCAGTCACTATCTATATGCCAGATCACAATGGAATATCCATCAAATAGTTCCAAGGCACAAGAGGTCAGGCTTAATCATTACAATTAGACTGGATGATGGGCCAGACATCCTTTGGGAAACTACCGCTATTTCTCGAGAATTGTTCACACTCGCTCGTCGCCCGAGGCGACACCAACTGCAACCTGGAGCTTTTTTTGGTACATTGATTTTTTTGGTCAAGGTTCCAGAACATTACGGCAGATTTGTATCAGCAGAAGTCACCCTACACCTTCATCAGGGTAACCGGGAGGTCTGAAGGGCAGGAGTAGATTCAGGCGCGACCCAAAGACCGGCCCGAGAGACTGAAGTTGACGTGCTCGTACTGGTCCCATGTTGGAAAATGAACAAGACGCCCAGAATCCTAGGTAGTAACAAAGCGTTGATCTCTGCACACAGACTAGTTGACACAGCGCGGAAGAGCAGGTCCGAGGCAACTTAAGAGTGTGCATGTTGGGTGTTGACAAAGCTTCGCGGGGAATGGTTCGCTGAGATATGCGGTCGAGAGCGCCGAATGCCCTCACTGGTCCTTTTTGGATTCTGTCGGCTGTTCTTGACCCTCATCCTCATCTTCGCTGTCGTCTTCGGGAACGTCGATAATGTCATCGCTGACTTGGCTAAGATACCGCGCGCAAGCCGCACTCACGCCTTTCCAGACAGCCTGTGCGAAGTCAGTAGATGATCAGTGCGCTGCGCAAGGAGAAATATGGGCAGACAGGGCATGTGGGCATACCCCTATGAACGTGGCGACTCCTACGGCCACCAGTACCCAACTGACGTTCTCGAGCCTGTCCCTGCCTCTTCCACGCCTGCCGCCACCGATTCTGAAATTCCACCAATGCAAAGGGCCGAGGCCAAGAAACACCTTGACGAGGCCTACAAGCCCCAGGGAGAGCAAGCCCTTCGAGAAGTGCACAAACCAGGTGTTTGGTTCATCGTCGGGTATGTATTCGAGGATCTCTTCGAATCCATCAAGTCCTCCCTTCATGACGTCCACAACGGCACCGGCGGGGTCAATCCAGATGTTGATGATAGGATCGGCGACAAAGCCTAAGATGAACAAGGCGAAGACCATGATCGTTGCAGTCAGAAACATACGGAGTATTCCGCTATTGAGCCAGCGTGACCATTTTAAGCTGCTTAGCCTGTACTCGTACTTGCAGGTCGGGCATTGCCATAGGTTTCGATCTGACGGCGAAGCTCCTCTCCAGGCACGGAGACAGCCCTCGTGGACATACTGCTGCGACCCTTTGCACTTGCAAGGGCGCATGAGCCTTCCAAGCTCCGGGTCGTCCGAGACGTATCTCACACGCGGCTTCCCTCCAAGGTACTGCGTGGACAGGTTTGGCTCCTCAAACGTCGGCTCGACCTCATCGAGGCAGATTCTGCAGGTTCGAGGCGGGTAACGTCTGCCGTTCTGCGACGATTGCTCCTGAGCGGTTTGCGCACTATCACCGTGCGCAGGCTCATCACCAAAAGACGAGGCTGGATCCGACGGTGTCGGCTGAGGGGTGGTCTCCCCAGAAGAAGACGTGGTAGCGTTGTCGAAAGACCAGGTCGGCACGGGAGCCGTGGGGTTGGTTGGTTCGGACATGACGAGTGCGGTACTAAATGCGGAGAAGGAAACGAAAGAACACAGTGAGTAAACGTAGAAAGTGTGGAAGAAGCGCGCGCGGGCGGTCTAGGGATTCAGAGTGAGCAGCCTGAGGTCATCTTCAACCGAATGAGCCGGCTGTCGACCCAAGGGTTGTGCGGTTCATAAAGACGACGCGGGTAAAGGAGCGGTCGAGTAGTCAATCAAAGGAGATGACTCGGTATTACAAGTATTGTTGTTAGTGCAGTACGGACGAACGAGCTTGAGTGGCACTGTATTGGTAGCGGTCGAAGTTTTGTGAAATAAAGGGTCCAGGCTGTGAGCTTTTCGGGAGCTTTGGACTTGACACCAAGCATCAAGTGAGGCTGGTAGCTGCCAGCCGTTAGGTAAGCTGCCACCCCTGCGCCCCTGCCTGGCCCGCCTGCCCGCGGCTCCAGGGCTGCGCTTGGGCCGGGGGAGCTCCCCCAGCAGGTTGCAGGTTGACGCGTGTGGACTCTGCCTAGATGGTTGCAGCTGCAAGTTCAACATCATCAAGCTTCAGCTGTGCAGCCGTCCATCTCTCTCCTCCACCCAAGAACCTCCCAAGGACCGCAGACCAGCCTGTCCACCCGTACCCGAGCCTCGTCAGTATCTAATTAGCAGTCATGGCTGATAGATACTCCTTCTCTCTTACCACCTTCTCGCCCAGGTAAGCTCAGTCGCATCCCCAGCCGCGGCTGCATATACGTTTGTACTGACCCAGAGGATAGTGGCAAGCTGGTGCAGATCGGTCAGTTATCGCCAACCGTCGAGCCATACTGGAATCGCATCTGGTGCCCAATGCAGCCCAATCACTGATACCCTCGAACAGAATATGCCTTGAACGCGGTCAACCAGGGCGTTACAGCGCTGGGCATCAAAGGTCAGTGCTCTCCCCTCCATCTACCCAAGCGGCAGCTTTGGGACTGACATGGCAGTGCAGCCACGAACGGTATCGTCCTCGCCACCGAGAAGAAGTCCTCCTCGCCCCTCGCCGACCCTTCCTCACTGTCCAAGATCAGCCTCGTCACCCCCAACATCGGCATGGTCTACTCGGGCATGGGTCCTGACTACAGAGTTCTTGTCGACAAGGCGCGGAAGGTCTCACACACCGACTACAAGCGCATCTACAACGAGTACCCTCCCACGAGGATATTGGTGCAGGATGTCGCGCGGGTCATGCAGGAGGCCACCCAATCAGGAGGTGTGCGGCCGTACGGTGTGTCCCTGCTGATCGCGGGATGGGACGAGGGCGTCCTGCCCGAGGAGGAGGTGGAGAAGGCGGCCAAGTCGATCGAGGGCGAGGGCGGAGAGAAGAAGATCTCTGGCAAGACTGGAGGTATCCTCAAGGGAGGCCCAATGCTGTACCAGGTCGATCCATCAGGCAGTTACTTCCCCTGGAAGGCGACAGCCATCGGCAAGAGTGCGACCTCAGCGAAGACGTTCCTCGAGAAGCGGTACACGGAGGGCTTGGAGTTGGAGGATGCAGTGCACATTGCGCTGCTGACGCTCAAGGAGACGATCGAGGGTGAGATGAACGGAGATACAATCGAGATTGGTAAGTCACACCATCCAGGGTACTGGTCATTCCGGATTATGAGCTAACATTTCCGCGCAGGAATCGTTGGGCCACCAGCAGACCATCTTCTTGGAGTGGAGGGTGTTGAGGGCGCAAAGGGCCCTCGTTTCCGAAAACTGAGTCCTCAGGAGATTGAGGACTACCTTACGAACCTATGATTTGATACCGCCTGATGCCACGCGGACGTTACGACTGTACCATAGAACAGATGCATAGAGGGCAAATGGAACGGAAAATGATGCATGACCTGGGCTATGCTGATCCCTTGTGAACCAAGAGGAAGGAGTTTCTTGCCCCAGCTTGCACGCCGACGACTCTTCGCCCGTCCTTTAAACTAAGCGAAACTCGGGTCCATGATTCTTCTGATTTGCTAGGTAGACCTAGCTGCCCATTCCCATTTTCACCGATGACGAGCACGTCACCGTTGGTCGTCAAGACAATGATATGTGTCTCGCCGACAGCAACGTCTGCAATGTCGTTTCCTTCGATGTCGACTGGCGTTGGTTCGTCGGTGGTATCTGATGGAACGGTCTTCCTGCCGGGGTGGCCGCCCCAAATATAGAGATCGTTTCCTGTAGTCAGCGCTGCAAGCATGTATCCGCCGGCAGCTATCTTGGAGATGGCTCCCGTGGGCAAGTCCTGGAGAGCAATGACAAGGCCGGGCTCGTCCGCCGGGCTAGCTGGCGATACTTCACGGCCGAGACACGCGGAGTATCGTTCATCGCCCAGGGTGTAGACTTCACCTGTGCGCATAAGAGCCGCGAACCCGGCTTCGTAGGCCACGAGCTGCTGACACGGCGGAAGCTGTGGGAAGTTCTGGCACTGGTCTTTGTTCAAGAATCCGTGGAGCGACTTGTGCCAGCGGACCGAGCCAGTAGGATCAAGAACTGCCTGTTTGTTGATGTGAGCTTCGACGGCCCAGCTAAGATTATATGTACAGTGCTCTACGTACGACTGATCCATTTGATGCCTCGGCGAGCGTACGGTTGGATAGAAATTCCTCGTCCCATAGCTGTCTGTGAGCCGTGGGTAGATATCCTGCAGTTCTCACTTTGCCATTGACGACCACTGGACACGTCTGAGTAAGCAATCATTGCACAACACCGCCCTCGGGTTGACTTTTTGCCAAATTTGCTCAGCGCAACCTGGTTGGAAGAGAAGTAGTCGTTCTGAAGGACCAGCAGCCTACCTGTGGTGTATGACAACGATGGTCGAGGGCGGTCTATGGCATCGCCCGTTAGCACGCAGGTGAATTCGTGTAAGTCGTCTGGCTCAGCATGGCTCTCGGCGTCTTGGAATTGGAGTTGGCCCCAGGCGTTGAAACCCGATGCGTACAATTCCATTAGCCAACTTGGAGTCTGAGTCTACGCGGTGAATACGGGTGCTGTGGTTTGTACGGAGGAGTTGCGTAGCTGTTGATGAAGCTTACTTTGAGAACCGATTAGCAAATGAAACGTCCTAGATTTGGCGTGCTTTCTTCATGATCCAATTGCAAATCAAATTGCTGAATTGTTGACCAGGAACGACCCGACTCCGAACCAGCGGAAGAGCAGACCAGACCAGCTTGAGTTGAGCCTTCCCCTGGGATAGCCTGCCTCCCTTTTATAACCAACTTCCATCAGCTGCCCTCGCGGGTCAATAACCCCGTTTGAATGAAAGTGTAGAGTTCTTTGGGTCAATTCAATGATATCTTCTGCCAACCTCGCACCCGGCGTTTCGGGCGTTTGCCGTGCTCGCTTTGCAGTCCAGTGCCTGCACTGCTCCAGACCCCCTGCGTACGGTGGTATTCCGTCCAAACCTTGACCGCAATACGCGGTTTCTGCCGCCTCTCTGAGTCCTTTCACTGCGATGTATTTCCACAAACCAAGAAAACGGGTTCTTGACGTGTCTGAGCCGGCCAGTCCTTCCTGTGCTGTCAAGCGGCTGAGTGCAGCGGCCGCTACGGGGGGCCTCACGCATCTCAGAACCCACCACAGTAGGCCTCGGGTGCGCGTCCAATATTTCAACCACCTTGCCGTCCCCAACGCTGGGCGCCAGCTTGACTCCCTTCACTCTTTCTGCTCTGCTTGTGGTTTTCCCCCGTGGAACGCTGACAGTTTCTGCCGCCTCAACATAATCGGTGCTACCCTGTAGCCGAGCGAGGGTTTTAAACGCCAGCCTCGCTATTGAGCTTCACGTCCTGCCGCACCGCCTCCCAAACAGAGCCGTCCAGTGACAGTCATGGCGCACTACAGCGATTCCTCCGGGTCATCTGAAGATCTCAGTGATGCTATCAACGAAACCTTGGCGGCAGAGGATCCGTTGCCCTCATCATGGAGTGTGGAATCCGAGCCAGACGAAACTCCCGCAGGACAGCTCAAGGACCCGTCCAGTATTACTGCAAGGGCCTACCAGGTGGAGATGCTTGAAGCCTCCCTCAAAGAGAATGTCATTGTCGCCATGGATACTGGTAGTGGAAAGACACAAGTGTAAGCTTCCCCATATCGAAAGGTTTCCTAATCCTCAGACTAATCTATCGTCGGGCCAGCGCTGTTTTGAGGATCAGAGCAGAGCTCGAGAGGATGCCCTCTGATAAGGTATCACCGCCAGTGACTTTTACCCTACACTACCGCCTGGGGCCTTGCTAACTCATATGCCGGACTAGATGATTTGGTTTCTAGCGCCGACTGTGTCCCTATGTGATCAACAATTTGGGGTGATCAAGACCCAAATACCGTCGGTGCTGCCGAAAATTGTCACTGGATCTGACAACCTGAACAGCTGGTCAAAGTCCACCTGGGACAGTGTCCTGGTTAACGTCAAATTGGTCGTGACAACCCACCAGGTCTTGTTGGATGCACTGCTACACGGATTTGTGCAGATATCGTCTCTGGCACTAATAATCTTTGATGAGGGTAACATAGTCTTCATATCCTGCAGATTCTTTTCTCTTCTTTTCTATTACTAACGATTTATTTAGCTCACAACTGTGCCAGATTGCATCCTGGCAGTAGAATTATGAGAGAGTTCTACCGGAATTCAAAGGACAAGGGCAACCCAGTTCCTCATGTCCTCGGCTTGACCGCGAGCCCTGTGGTCAGGGCGGACATCTCAAGCCTTGAGGAGCTGGAAAATACACTCGACGCAACGTGCCGGAGCCCCACAAGGCACAGACAGGAGCTGTTGGCACATACACGGCGTCCGTCTGTGTTCAACATTCAGTACAGGTCCAAGTTGAAGGTACCCCGGAACGAATACACGCAGTCCATGTCCAAAATTCACGAAGCTTATGCAGGGCTGGACATCAAGGAGGATCCGTACGTTCGCTTGCTCTGCGCGCAGAATACGGACGATTCCAAGAGAAAGCTTTCCGATGCCTTCATGAAAAAAGCCACCTACACCCAAGGGGCAATGAAGAAATTCTGCAGGAGGAGCGTGGAAATCTGTCGGGACATGGGGAGCTGGGCAGCGGACTGGTACATCTTCGAAACCATACAACGTTTCTTGGATGGCGTTCGCAGACAAGATGTCATCATCCAGAGCTTTAAATCCGCCGAGGTGGTCTATCTGGCTCGAATCTTCCAGAATGCCAACATCAAACCCCCTTTGGAAGCCTACGATGAGTCGACCCTCTCAGAAAAGGTGAGGCAGCTGATCGATGTGCTCATCAAATACGAAGGTGACGCTAGGGGAATCGTCTTCGTGAAGGAGCGAGCGACCACGGTGATTCTCACACAAGTGCTGAAGAGCCACCCGGAGATCAGCAGACGATATCGGATCGGCAAGATGGTCGGGACTTCCTTCGTGCCAAGCGTCAAGCAAGACTTCCTTGATTTGCCTGAAAAAGGCAACAACCTCTCACTGGAATCATTTCGTGACGGCCGCCTGAACCTTCTCGTCGCAACCAGCGTGCTCGAGGAGGGCATCGATGTGCCAGCCTGCAACCTGGTGATTTGTGTAGACAAGCCAGCCAACCTCAAGTCCTTTATCCAGAGACGCGGGCGTGCCCGGATGGGAGAGTCACACCTCTACCTTTTCGAGGAAACAACAGACATCGGCTCGAAGAAAGAGTGGGAACTTCTTGAAGCCAAGATGAAACAGTGGTACGAAGACGACCTGCGAGAGCTGCAGATCTTGAGAGAACCCGAGGATTCCGAAGGTCCAGACTATCCCGAACTTCGGGTCGAAAGCACCGGGGCCCGTCTCACCATCCACGACGCCAAATCTCACCTTGATCACTTCTGCGCGACCTTGTCTTCCAGGAGGTTTGTCGACTCCAGCCCCGACTATCTCATTGAGAAATTTGTGGACGAGCATGGCCGGGCAGGCACGCCGAACTTAATCAAGGCTACCGTGCTCCTCCCGGTGTCCCTCCCCCCGGAAGTACGCCAGGCTACAAGCAGCAAGGCATGGTTTTCCGAAAGCAATGCCTGTAAAGATGCCGCCTTTCAGGCTTATCGGGCTCTTTATGAAGTGAAATTGATCGATGAGCATCTCTTGCCGCTCCAGGAGGAAGGCTTTGGCATTGAGATAGAGGGTAGGCCGGGAATGATTGTAAGTAATACCCCAGAATGGTTCTGTTTATTTACTGAGTCGGAATCGTCCCGACCATGGTATTACGGATTTTGATTTTACGCTTAGTACGAACTCTATGCTGAAGCTCTTTTTCTGGACTTGCAATTTCCCTGGCACAAGACACTGACTTATATCAAACAGGAAGCCAGAGCCCAATTTGTTCCTTGGCTACAAGTGGCTCGGGCCTGGAAAGACAACACTGGTGTCCGACGGAATCTGAGACTACTCGACCAGGACCATTGTGTCAAGTGCGAACTCGAACTTGTTCTTCCGGTCCCCCTTCCTGCGATGCCGCCAGTCACTGTGTACCTTGACTACCGTTACCATCTTGTCCTGGACATAGGCAAAGATGTGCCTATGGAAAACGTTGACGATTCAGCCTACGTTACGTCGACTCTGCTCTCAGCCGCATACGCTCATCGCCGCTTAGACATCAGACAAGGAGACTTCGTCGTACAACTAGCCTCACCCAAAGGTACATTGCCATCAGAGTGCTCAAGGGCCCTCTTTGACGCGAACTCTGTGACATGCCATGGCCTCATCCGCGACGCCTACGGCAATCCTTACCTGTTTGAATCTGTGCTGCCATCGAAACCCCCAGTTGAGTTTGTGCAGAGAGTCTACAAGGGTTTTGAAGAAGACCCTGAAGATATCCAATACGTGTCGGTTAGCAAATTTCCCAGAGGACCGGGTCTGTTCCAACAGCCACTGCCTCCGCAGCAGCCACCAAGCACGAGGCCTTACTCTCAGGTGCTCCCCATGAGTACTCTTACGATCGATGATGTCTCTACGGAGTACACAGAGCTCGGTCTTCTGATACCGTCTCTAATACACTATATCGAGATCTACTTGATAGCAAGTGAGCTCTCAAGGACACTCCTTGCGCCACTTAATCTTGGAGATATTTCGATGGTCGTGACTGCAATCTGTACGTCAAGTGCTCGAACGCCAACTAACTACGAGGAGATTGAATTTTTGGGTGACAATGTCCTCAAGCTTTTGACAACTCTGAATGTTGCAGCAACTAGTAAGTCCCACAGTCGGTTATGCCACAGTCGACTATCCAACAGTCGATTGCCTATTCCCATCCTCTTCACTTGAGTTGGGCTTCAATAGATGTCACCGTCATAATCCCAGCACATTACTTGGCTCGGAAGATAGGCCTATTTCATGCAATATGCTAACCCACTTGTCAGATCTCCGAATGCCTGAGGGATTACTGTCACGTCTCAAAGACAGGATTGTAAGCAACGGAAGGTTGTGCAGAGCAGCCCGCGAATCGGGATTGGATCAATTCATCATTTCGAAACAACTTGCGCTCAAGGGCAGTGGTGAGCGATGGCGGCCTCCATATATCTCAGACCTGCTTGAGGCCCCTGATCAGGGAGTACAAAAGCGGGTGATGTCGTCCAAAACTCTTGCCGATGTGGTAGAGTCTATCATTGGCGTCTCATACATCGATGGAGGTCTGGAGAAAGCTCGACACTGTATGTCCTTGTTCCTTGGGGAAGGCCAGTTCCAGAACTGCCAAACCACCAGAGATGTGCTATTTGGAGCAGTGGAGCCTAAGAACATGGTTCTTCCTGCAATATATGAGCCATTAGAAGAGTCGATAGGTTATTTCTTTCGCGAGAAGGCGCTTCTCGTGGAGGCAATGACCCACCCAAGTTATGTCTCTGCGTTGTACACATACGATCGCCTCGAATTTATAGGGGACGCTTTACTTGATCATATTGTGGTTCAGGGTACGTATGAGTTTGTCTCCTTCTATTATCAGTTATCCCATTCACATGAAATCGTCCATAAACCGCACTTTAGTCAATGAGATTAACAGCTAAATTGCGAAAGAACTCTTCATCAAGGAACCTGAAGCACTGGAAAACTGGAAAATGCACCTCCTCCGGACCGCGCTTGTCAACGGGGACATACTCGGCTTTCTGATCATGGAATGGGGTCCAAAGCTGTCAACTAACAATGTCGTCCTCGATGATGAGAGCGGAAGCGGGAGTGAGGATGACAACTGGAGCAGGAAGCGCAGCCCAGGTCTCGAGAACGTCGAGATCACCACCCCGCTGTGGTCCTACATGCGCTACCAGTCGATCGAGCTGACCGGTGAGCGGGAGGCCACCCGCGGGCGCCACGCCGAGCGCGAGTCCATCCTCGACGCCATACATTCCGGCACACACTACCCGTGGGCGCTCCTAGCTCGGCTCCATGCGCCCAAGTTCTTCTCGGATCTGTACGAGGCACTGGTGGGCGCCATCTGGGTGGACTCCGGCAGCTTTGACGCCTGCAAGGCCTTCGTCGAGAGGTCGGGGCTGTTGTCGTATCTGAAGAGGCTTCGGGGGAGCCCTCCTGTGCATGTTCTGCATCCGAAAGAAGAGCTGGGCCGGCTGGCCCTCTCGGAGACGGTGAGCTATGTGGTCAGGGAGGCCGAAGTAGAGGACACAGGAAGCGGGCGCTTTGGATGCAAGGTGCTTCTGGGCCAGAGGGAGGTTGCGGACGTGGAAGGTGCCCTCTTTAAAGAAGAAGCTAGAGTCAGAGCCGCTATGGAGGCTGTAGCGAGATTGTCGACGGCATAGTCGAAGATAGAGGCATTGAATGGCGCTCCTATGGGTATACTATTTTGTTCTAACTAATGATCATATGCAGCACTCCAGTTTCGTCTCCCTTGTCAAAAAGTTGTCCTTGGAGGCTCGTTCCTGTCAGGTTATATGTCACAGAATATCCCCACATTATCATGCCCTTGGATGGGCTATGCGTAGCTACTCATAGTCTCAACAAGATGACATGCTTCGGCTGAGAGGATTAGGCTTAATTCTTATCATGGTCATGGTGATCGCAAACCTGGGGACAGTGATTCGGAACAGTGACAGGAGGTTCTGAGACGACTTTCCATTTTCGGAATCACGCACGTCTCCATGAGATATCGTAACTTAGAAAACTTGACCAAGATTTTTAAGAATTTGTATTGTTATGTGCTATGACTCTTGAGAGGCTTCTGCCCAAGAACCGACAAATCCCAAACGCTCACACCAAGAACTGCTTCACGGCAGAACATCTGCAGGTATCAATATCACGCTCCCCAGCCCGGGAAAGTTAAGAAGTTGCTACCTTACATTGGACCCAAAAAAGGGCTCTATGCGGTATGCAGTCCTAGCTCGTGCAACGTGCACATGCCTGTTGTCCAGATACGTGGACTGCCATGGTTCATTACGGTCCATTCATTCCAAGAAGAAGAACAGCAAGCAACCGAGCTCTGTGAATCTAACAAAGTCGACTTGGATTCAATCGCCATCGGTGAGATCAACTGCTTCCCTGCCATCACTCGTCTTCACAAACTTTCTCGGTCGCTGAGACATCTGATCTTCGCCAGGCTCTCGCTTGACGGCTACTTCCGAGGAAGCATTCCCTCCTCCCTGTGAAATTTCAGCAGGTTTATGAGAATATTGAAAACAATCGGAGTCTAACATTGCTTCCCAGCGACCGTAACTGTGCCAGGCGGCTAACCTCTGAGACGGGCAGGGCATCAAGGTCGACTGGCTGCGGAGAGGGTTCTCGGGAGCGCGGGATGACCAGCTTTTCCTGAAGAGCAGCTGCTAGCAATCAGCTACCAGGGAATTTTTAGAGATAAAAATGTATAGTGCCGTACCTTTCGACCGGTATTCAAAGTAGAAGACGGCTAGCGGAACATCCAAAGGGTCAACAAAGGACCAGGTTGAAACCGTCAAATAAGGGTCAACGACTGCGGCGGCAGAGAGTCTGGCAAAGGTTAGCCGAGGGTGGAATTGACTTCGATGATCTAACAATACTTACGTAGCCCGATGAGAAAGTGCTTTGCCCTTCACGGCGTTTTCAGCTAATTCCTTCCCCATCTCATCAAACTTGGTAGTCTGACGTAGATTCTCCGGTACGCATGTGTCGATGATTCTGGTCCGCCAGACGCGGACCCGAATGAGTCCAAGAAGTCTTGCGGCTTCTTTGTCCTTGCTAACCCGTTCTCTGTCATTCTCATTGACTTCTGAATAGTTAGCATCTCTCTATCAAACGCAAGAGCTCCGGGATGTGTACCCGTGGATATGGTGGTGAATCGGAACCTGCGCGATATATAGGTTTGACCATTCCACTCGTCTTTGCCGTCGAGCAAGACTGGTGTACGCGCAAAGTTCATCAGGCGGGCTTCGAGCTCTTCTTGGCCATCTAAGTCAAGGCAAAATCGAAGCCGTTTCTTTTTGTTGCCGTCGAGATACTTGTTGTTCGATGTGACATGAAGTTGTACACCAAAATCGGTATCGCCGTCCACCTCCACATAGCGTCGACATTTGCGGGTTTCGTCGCCGAAGCCATCATCTGAGAGATCCGCTCCCTTATCTTCGTACTCTTTCAAGGGTGAGCCGTTGACGATGATGTTGACCTCTAGACCGACATCTTCTAGGATGGCCATATTGCAGTCTGTGATGAGTCAATGGGAGAGTCAACTGTTGGTCTTGTGGATTTGGCACGGTCAGCAAAGGAATTTGAAAAGAGCGGTTCACAATACGTCTGCTGCAGTCAGGGAGCCTTGATTGAAGCGGGACCACTCATCGAAAGAACTCAGACGGGTCGAACAAGCGCTTGTTGATGAAGTGTTCTGATGGGTGCCTTGTGCCCTAAAACACGGGCAGTCTTTAGATAAAGATATGCTCGAGGAAGGTGCTAAACAGGGCGGAGGGATATCCGAAACGGAAAGAGAAGAACTTGAGTTAGTGTCTATGTTGACTCTTAGGGGTAGAATGCAAGCAAAGCACCACCAAAGAAGTTGCAACCTTTGCCACTGGGAAAGAAGCTGTCTCCCATTTGGTCACTGCCATCTTATCAATCGTGCAAAATGGTGCAGTAGCATAGATGATAGCTGCCTAATCTAACGGTCTCAGGGCCATCTTTCAGTCTCCCCTCAAACCGGAAAAATCATGGTGTAAATGCGCAAGGCGCAAGGAGTCAAGAGACAAGGGGTATCGATGAAGCAGATACTCGGCCACCACGGGGCTGCACCTCGGCAGACAAACAAACGCAAGCTACCCTCAACCATCTTCGGTCAAATCGATGGCCTTCTTGCCTCCCTCGGTCTTCACATACTTGAATGGCCTGTCTGTTGGCAAGTACGACCCTCGCACTTGGAAGGCTACTTTAGTTATCCCCTCCGGGGCACGTAGCCTCTTAGAACTTAGATAAAACAATACTAATATATAATTACTTCCTATATAATTATTATACATATAAGAAACTTATTAATATTAATTAGTAATTATAGGCACTATAAATTAATAAGGTAAAAGAAGCAATCTTATAAGGATTTCCCTAACTTAAAAATTATATCCTCCTTATTAATAAGCACTATATAATAATAATTACTTCTTTAAGCCTCCTTATATTATTAAATATCCTAAGTAAATATTATAAAGATTAAATAAATTAAGTAGCATTTCTTATAATATTTATATATATATTTATTGCTATTTAAGAAATATATATTTATTATATATAAGACTTTATTAAAAATAAATTTATTTTTAAATTTTCTTTAAAACTTAATAAAATTTAATAAAGCTTTATTTTATTAATAAATAAAGCTTATAATTATTATAATTACTAAATAAATAAAGCTTATAATTATTATAATTATTAAAGTTAATATAATGTTATATTATAAGTAAGTGTAAGTTATGCATTATACTTTTAATTAATATAAAAGGATTTAATAATAAAAAAAAGCTTTAGCTTTTAAGGCTTAAAGGAATTAATAACTTTTTCTTCTTAATAATTATAATTTACTTATTATTAAATTATTATTATTAACTTGCTTTTAAATATTATTTATTTTATTAATGTTTTTTTATTTTATTAATTTTATTTTTTATAATATTTATTATAAAAACTTATAAGTATAGTTAATAATGCTAAAGAGTATATAGTTAATAAAATGCTTGCTTAAACTTTAATTAACTTAGCTTATTATAAATATATTAATTTAAAACTATAATTTATAGCCTTTACATAAAAAGCATTAATAAAATACCTAATTACTTACTTAATAAATACTTTAATAAGCTATATATAATAAAACCTTTATAATAATAATCTTTTTATTACTTATTATAAAAACTATATAGTATAAATATAAGTAATATTTAAAGTATTGCTAAATCCTTATTAATAATATTTAAACGTCTTCCTTTAAATGCAAGGTATTTATATAAAATATAATAATTAACTTATAATATTATAATTAATTATTATAATTTAAGCTAAGGAAAGATTAAAACAAATTAATAATAAGCTTTATAATGCCTTATTAGCCTTAAAATTAAATATAAATAAATATTATATATAACTTTAAAAATAGTAATTATAAGTATAATCCTTATAAGCATTATAAGCAAGCTTTAAATAATAATAATTACCAAAAGGATAATCCTTAAGATAACTTTTATTATCATCGCTAGCTTTAAATGCATAATTATAAAACTTAAACTTAATAATATAATTTATTAAAACTTAATATAGCTAATAAGGTTTATTATTATTAGCAAAGAAATAAAAATAAAGTTTATATTAAAGATATATATTATATTTAATATAATTTTAAGTTGCCTTAAAAATGCTTTTATTAAATAAAAAGTATAATTTATATAAAATTCTTTCTTTATAATATATTTTTAATAAGCGCTTAAATTTAATAAAGTTAATATAATTTATAAAAATCTTTAATAACTCTTATAAATATATTAAGAACTTATATAACTTATTAAATAATAAGATAAAGATGTTTTTTAATATTTATTATTATATTAAAATTTAGCTAAGTTAATTTTATATAGTTTTTTTTTTAAATATTTAAAGATTAAGCTAAGGCTTATTATCTTTATTTTATAAATTAAATTAATATATTTATAATAACATACCTTAAAATTAAGATATATTTTAATATAAACCTTAATTATTAATATTATTATATAAATTAAATAATAATAATATTTATAAAAATAAAAGTATAAAATTTAAATAAAGATTTATATAAGGTTTTATATTTAATGCTTAATAAATTATAACTTTATTAATAAGCATTAAGTTAAGATTATATTAAAAAAGATAACTTAAGAATAATAATAATTAAAGCTTATAAAGAAGTTTTTAAGTTAAAAATAGCTTTTTTTAAATTAGCTTAATTATATAAAGAATTATTTTTAAACTTAAAATTTATAATAAAAATATAATTTAGCTATGTAATTATAATTTATATTATAAATAAAGTTTTAAATTAATATTATATTAATTATAAATATAATAATTAAAAATTAAGAAAAGGATAATAATTATAATTTTAAATATTTTAAGGAAATTAAAGGTTTAATTAATTAAATTTAAGCTATTTAAGCTTTAAGCAATTAAAATCTTATGGCATTAACTATAAACCTTAAAATAATAATGCTTATAAAAAAGAAAGAAAATAACTTTAAAAGAAAAGATATTATATTTATAAAAAGAAAGGATGTTAATTAATTAAATATTTAGCTAATAAGTAATATTTAATAAAAAAAAGCTATTTAATATAATATAAATATAAAGGTTATAAGGATAACTTTAATATTTTTTTAAGTAAGTTTAAGGAATATAAAATAAATAATAAAGATAAATTTTATAAATATAAAGATAAATAAAATTAAGATAATAATTATAATAGTAATACTTATATTATAAAAATAGGATTTAATAAGAAAGTTTATTATATAAATATTAATTTCCTAGCTAATAAAGTATTTATATATTAAATTATGGAAAATAATATCTTTTAAATAAAGATAATTATTATAGCTAGCTAATTTATCTTAAAGAATAAATATAATTAAATTTATTTTTAAGAAATTTTATTAAATATTAAAGCATTATTAATATTTATAGCTAAATATAAGTTATTTCTTATATTATAATAAAAAAACTTAAAGTATTAAATTAATATAATTATTATAAGAAAAGCTAAAGTTAAATTTAATAATAAGATAATTATTAATTTGCTTAGCATAATAAAAATTTTTATCTTAATTAATTATATTAACTTTTATATTATTTAAATATAAACCTTATTCCTGCTTTGCTTAATAAATATAAATAAGCTTTAAGTATATTATAATAATATTATAAATAAAATGATTTCTTTTAATAATATAATTATTATATTAATACTTAAAAAATAAGGTTACTTATAATTTTTCTTAAATTAAATTATTAATATTATATATTTTTTTTTAAAAATAAAAATAAAAAGACTTTATTATTGCTTTAAATACTTATTAATAAATTAATTATACTAAATATTTAAAAAAGCTAATAATTTAAATATTAATAAATAAATAATAATAAAGATTAAAAAGATATATTATTATTATTAAATAAATAAATTTACGCTTAAGCATTTTAAGTTTATATTATATAATAATTATGAATTTAATTATAAAATCTTGGTTAACGTAATATATTTAAGTAAATATTTAATGTTTTATATTATAAACTAAGCCATGGCTTTTTAAGGAGCGAAATTCTTAAAATTTATATTTATAAAAATTGCATAATAAATACTATAAATGCTTTAAATTAATATATATTAAAAATTATTAAATATTATTAAATATAATATAAGAATAAACTTTGCATCTTTAAAATTTTATTTAAAAACATAGATAATGGGAATTAAATATAAATAGATTTTTATAAAGGCATATTAATTTATTAAGAAAGTTAAGAAATATTATTAAGCCCTTAAATAAGTATATAAAATTTTATATATTAAATTATATAATAATATAAATAATGATATTATCTTATAAATAGCTATAAAAGCTATTAATAATACTGCTAAATTAAATAAATTAATTTTTATGCTTTTAATTTTTAGCGCTTACCTATAAGTATTATATAAGTTATTATTATTATTATTAATATAAAAGCAAACAAAAGCTATTTTAAAGGCTATAAAAATGCTATAAAAAACCATGGCTAAATAATAAATATAAAATGCATTAAATATTAAGGTTAAATTTATTTTTAATATAAAATATTTATTATAATATAAAGTTTGCATATAAAGAAAGAGAAAAAGGTAAAAGGGTTTATATAAAGTTATTATTATAAATAGCTATAATATAATCTTAAATATATTAAATAAAGCTATAATGTTTAAATTAATAATTATTTAATTATATTATTAAAATAATAATAAGGAAATGAAATCCTTATAAGCAAAAAACTTAGCTATAAAACCTTAAATGCAACTTATTATATAATTATTATTATTAAAGATAAAAAAATGCATTATTATATTATATATTTTAAAAAAAGAAAATGAAAATTATAATTTAATAATTAAATTAAGATAAAATAAAGTTATTATAATATTAAACTTATTATTTAAAGAGTTTAATAAAATAAAAAGTAATAACTTTATTATTAAAGGTATTTTTTAAATTAAGAAATAATTAATAAAGCAATATAGTAAATATTATTTCTTTAAGTCTTATATAATATAAAAGGTAAAAGGTAAAACTATAAAACCCTATAAGAAATCCTAATTTATTATTTAAAGTTATAATAATAATAAAAAGAAATTAATTTTAATGCAAAGCTTAATTATTTAAAGAATAAGCTAATAAATAATCTTTACATTTACCTCTTTATTAATTTAAGAAAAAGGCATAATTTTTATACTTTAAGATATTACTTAAGCTTACTTTTAAGCAAAGTTAAAATTATATAAAATAATCTTTATAAAGTTATTAAAGGAATTAAAGAATAAATACCTTTTAAGCATAATTATTTATATTATTTAACCTTTATATAATATAATAAAATTTAGCATTTATTAATTTAATATATATTAAAAATATTATTAATAAAAGCTTAAGATAAATTACTTTATATATAATTCTTACTTAATAATTATAAAGCTTATATAATTCTTTAAAATAATAGGCATATAAATAAATAATATATTAATTTTATTTATATTAAAATTTTAAGATAAGGAGGAAATTAAGATAAAAGCTATAAATTTATAAGGAAAATTAAAATAAAAGCTAATGCCTAAAAATTTAATAAATTATAACAAGGCTTACATAACCATAAATATTATTAGCTTAATTACTACTTAATAAAAGGAATAAGCTAATAAACTTACCTTTATTAATGCAATAATTAAAAACGCTTTTTAAAAATACCTTAAATAAAAAGCTTATAAAGCATATATAGCTTTAATTTACTAATTAAAAGCTTTATATAATCTTTTATTAACTATATAAGTATAAAACTTAAAGGTAGGAAATTATAAGAGCCTAAATATATAATTATTATAATAAATAAATAACGCTATATAAGGAATTAAATATATACCTTTTAATTTTAAAATAACGAAACTTTTTATATTTATAAATAAATTATTTATAAATAATTAAAATTTAATATTTTAACTTAAATATATTATTATTTTTATAAATAAGATTTATAAGGAAATTAAGGGATTTATAATAATAAATAATATTTTCTATTAATTATTAATAAAGTATAAATATATTCTTTAAAATATATTAATAAGTAAAATTTATAGCATAATAAATAAAGTAAATATTAAAATCTTTTTAACTATAATAATTAAGATAGCTATAAAATAATTTTTATTATTAAATATACCTTTAATTATTTATATAAATTTATATAATTTATATAAATACTTTATAAAGCTAAAAATAATAAAGAAAAAGCGCTTTATAATTAATATTATATTATTGCAAAAGTTATATAAGATAAGAAAAATTATTAAAGTAAAGTAAATAAATAGGAAAGATAACCTTATTAACGTAATAATAAAACTAATTTTAAATATTACATTATAAAAGCTTATTAATAATAATAAGCTTTATATATAAGTAAATAGGTTAATTAAGAAACCTAAAGTAGCTCTTTTTTATTAAGAAAAGAGCAACTTACCGCTAATACCTTTTCCTTTTAACCTTACTATTATTAGCTATAAAACTTTATACCTTTTAAACTTAAACCCTTAATATAAACTTTAATCTTTTATACTTTAATTAAAACCTTTTTAATACCTTATTATATATAAGGATAACCTTATAATTATTAATATTATTAATAATTATTATTTTAAAATTAACATTATTATTATTATTACCTTTTATTACTATTTATTAGCAATAACATTAAAATTAACTTTTATTAAATTTATTTATAATTTATTAACTTCTCTTATAATTAAAAAATAAATTAATAATTATTATATAATAATTATAAAGTTTTATATTATAAATATTTATTTTAATTATTAAATTTTTATAAAATCTTTTCCTTTTTATTATAATAAAGAATATTAATAATAACTTATAAGAATTATTTAATACTTTTATTAATATGCCTTATAAAAATAATAATAATAAGCAAAATTATTTAATAAATATTGCATTTACTTCTTGCATTAAAGATATACTTAATATAATTATTACCATAGCTATTATTAATATAATTAATATTAAAGGTAGCCTTATTGCAATCCTTAAATAAAATTAAGATTTCCTTATAAATATTATAATTATAATCTTAATTAATAAAATAAATATTATAATTATAACCTTAATTAATAAAATAAATATTATAATTATAACCTTAATTAATAAAATAAATATTGTAATTACATTCTTATTAAATAATAAGATAAAAATTAAAATTATTATTAAGGTTATAAAAAGGGTTAAAATTGCCTTAATTAATAAGGATAAAGATAAGCTTATTAGTTTTGCTAGTTCTTATGATAAGGTTATTATTAATAATGCTTATTTAATAGATATTAATAAAGATATTAATAATAATAACTTTTATTTATTTACTTATTTAATAAATATTAATAAGGATATTAATAATAATAACTTTTATTTACTTAATATTAATAGTAATTTAATTATTGCTAATAATGAAAATAATTAAAATTAAGTTAATAAAATCTTAATAAAGATTATAAAGATTACCTTTAACTTTATTTTTATGCTAAGCATTAAAAAGAATAAGCTGCTTATTAAGGTTAACTTCCATAGAATTATTAAAATTAATAAGCTAAAGGTTATAATTATAACTTAAGCTAAGATATTTTTCTTAAATAATGCTATTATAATAGTTATTATTTAAATTATTAATAACTTTTAATATTAAAATAAGTAAATATCTTTTAATAATATAGTTAAAAAGCTATATATTTATATTAAAAGCATTGGAATTCTTAATGCAAGATTGTATAATATTCTTAATAATAAGAATTATTAAGGTAATTATTATTTTAAATGCTAAATTATTATAATTTTTATAATAAATAACTTAATAAGAGTTTTAATCTTAAGTATCTTTTATATATATTAAATTAAAAAGATTTAATTATTAAAGAATTAAATTGCTATGCTAACTTAGCTTTAAAACTTTTTATATTAAATTATTAATAAGCATATATAAGGCTTATATATAAAGAAATTTATTAAAAAATATATATTATTATTTAAGCAACTTAAGCAAAAGATAATTATTAAAGAAATTAAAAAGAATAATAAAAAGTAAGAAAAGGAAATAATAAATAATTAAGCTATTTATAATACTTAGTTTTAAGAAAATAAAAAGTAGCTAAAAGAGATTAATTTAAAGTAATATTAAGTATATTTTAATAATAAAAGTAAGGATAAAAATAATAATGTTTATATTATAAAGGTGTTATGAGCTGGCCCCAAAGGGGCTGCAGGCTGGCTAGCGCCTTCTCCCATAAGCTGCAAAGCAGCAACCTTTTAACTAAGCCAAAAGGTACGTAATAATCCAAGCTCCCTTAAATTACCTAGCCAGCTACTATAAGGCTTGGGCTTCCAACCCAAGCCCATTACATAGCCCCCTTCCCCAACTATTAATAACGTACAATTACCCCTAAGGCTTACCCGCGATATTACCTTTTCAAGCCAAGGTTCTTCTTTATAAAAGGGGTGCCTATATATTGCGGCAAACATAACTTAAACCTTTAACCCTAAAGCTTGGATTATTTGTTATGGGCTGGCCCCAAAAGGGCTGCAGGCTGGCTAGCGCCTTCTCCCATAAGCTGCAAAGCAGCAACCTTTTAACTAAGCCAAAAGGTACGTAATAATCCAAGCTCCCTTAAATTACCTAGCCAGCCACTATAAGGCTTGGGCTTCCAGCCCAAGCCCATTACAAAAGGTATATAATAAAAATAAATATAAGTTAAAGGGTTTAATATTAGCTTTATAGGTATTAATTTTCCTTATAAAGAAAAGATTTAAAACTAAGGCTATTATATAAAAGTTAATAATTTTTATAAAAAAGCAACCTTAAAAGCTAAGTATTAAGAATAATAGGTATAATATTTAAAGAATGGTATAATAATAAAGGTTATAAGTTTAAAGGGTAATATAATAATAAAAGTTATTAAAACTTGCTTTAAAATTTATAAGTTATGATTTTAAGCCTTTTTAATAATGCTTTTTTATAATAAAGATTATATATATTTAATATATAATAAATTATAATTTTAAGGCTAATTATAATAAGGATTATTAATTATAATAAAGATTATATATATTTATTAAAAGAAGAGAAAAACTATAAGTATTAATAAATATAACTCTTGCACTTAAAAGGCTACTTTAGTTATCCCCTTTAGGGCACGTAGCCTTTCAGAACTTAGATAAAATAATACTAATATATAATTGCTTCCCATATGATTATCGTACGTACGAGAGACCTACCAACATTGTCGGAGTTGATGATCTTCGTGTCGTCCTCGTCCTTGACACATATAGCCCGCTTCTTGCCATCCTAGAGACCTGTAAGTCGTCGCCTTGACAACACGAGACAACACTCACCTTTATCTGCGACAATCTCTCGCGTGCCAGGCGGCGGATTTCATCAGGTGAAATGTTTTCCAGATCGGACTCCATGGAAAGACTTCTTGGTCGTGGGATGATAAGCTGCTGCTGGAGCGCCTCTGCGACATGTTAGCACTCAACCCAAGGAGAGACCTCTATGATGGATTCAATCTACCTTTCGAGCGATATTTGAAGTAGAAGACAGCGAGCGGAGAGGCGTACGTATCCACGCAGTCAAAGTGGTAGGTGTCCCAGTTGGTGGACTGAACCGGGGCAGACAGTCTAGACACTAGTCAGAGGAAAGAGCAGACCGTCTTTCTTTGATTCCTTACGCTGCTCCATGCGACACTGCTCGCCCCTTGAGAGCTTTCTCAGCAAGAGATATGCCTTGTGTTCCAAGTCTCAGATGGTGTGAAGAAGTATGACTCTGGTCTTTGTTTTTGAAAATGATGCGACGGACAGAGACCCGAATGAGTCCTAGATTCTGGGCGACCTTCAGATCCGAAGCCACACGTTTCTTGTTGGCATCCTCGACTAGAGGGGTTAGCCGCTTCCAAATCCTCGAATCGAGCTGGGGACTTGCCGGTAGTCACAGGGGTAAAAAGAAACTTGCGTAGGGTTTGGTTTCCCTGACCGTGAACGCCTTCCAAGAGCTCTGTGTTGCGGCGTTGGCGGATCACTACTGTCGCGACATTGTGGCCGCCATCGAACGCCACTGTGAATGACAGTCCGTGGTTTTGTGATCGACCAACCCACTCCTGCCCAGTGTTGGTCCCCGGGATAAGCCCGACATTGATGGCGAACCCGGCGTTGTCAACGGACTCCACATAGCGGTGACAAACGTTGGCGGTCTGCCTACGAGCGTTGTTGTTGACATCAGGTTCTTCGTCTGGGCACTCGGCGGCCGCTGAGCCATTGACGTTGACTTTGACCTCGAGGCCGAGCTCCTCGATAACGGCCATCTTGTTGGGTGCAGATGGCAAGGAAAACGACCTCGGGAGAGTTTACGGGCAAGCAAGTGGGTGTTGTCCGCAGAGGAGTCCCTGGTTTTCGGTGGGGGCTAATGTGTCAAGCAGACGCGGTCGCGTTGACCAAAAGTTCATGTGAGTTGCCTGCAATGTAATATCAAAAAGGCAACTCGCCGAGTTTGAGGAGGCGCAGAGGGCCCCTGTCTTATGTTTGCCTACTTGCCTCCGAAACGTCAACATTGTTGGATGATCCGGGGAAGGAGAAAGGTCTTATCGATATGTCGTACGACTTGACTGCAGTACATAGACTTGATTCGTATAACACGGCCTAGGACAACTTTGTCCGCGGGGTGATCAGCTATGGGATGACCTCTTGTTGTGGAAGGCTACAAGTGTTATGAGGGGTTTGAAAGCATGATTATAAAAGCGTCTATCTCCTAAGAGTAGTTTAAAAGGAGGAAACAAAAGAAATCTGGCTATTTAAGCATTCCAGGAAGTAATTATAAACTAGGGTTAAGGATATACATATAATATACCCCCTAATTAAAAGATAGTTCTTACCCTATTAACTACCCTACTTTTTTAAATAATTAATTTATACTTAAAAATATTAATTGCAACTTGCTAAGCAATTAACTATTTAACCTTTCTTATAATATATATACTTTATTACCTAAACTTTAGCCGCTTATAGCCTTATAGCGCAGCCTGCAATTAATAATTAAACCTCTTTTTTAAACTTTTTAATTAAATCTATATTTAAAAACACTTATTTTTATTAATTTTAAATACTTTTTTAATTATATTAAAGATAATTAAAAGCAATAAAAAATAAGCTTTTAAGCCTTAAGCTATTTTACCTCCTTATACCCTTAAGGTTTAAAAAAAGAAATATAAATACATTTAAATTAATAAGGAGCTTATTAATAAAAATGGCAAAAGCTTTAATGCTCTTCTTAAAATATTGTTAAATAATATACTTAAAAGTAAGTTTCTTAATTAATTTAAAAACTAATTTTAAAATGCATATTAATTCTTAATATAGCTTTAAAGAACCTTTAAGCATATATAAATAGCCTAAAGCTTAAAATAAAACTTCTTTTTAAGAAAAAGGTTAAAATAAAGCATAAAAAAAAAGGAAAATATAAAAAAGCTTAAAAAAACTAATAAGCATTACATTCCTTATCTTCCTTATATTAAGAGTTTTATACATAATTATAGTAATAATTCCTATATAAATTATAATAATAAAGGCAATTATTATTATTATTATATTTAAAGCAATTCCTATAAGCTGCTTTTAATAGCCTTTTTACTATTTATGCTTTATCTTTATTATACTTAATTTAGCAATTCTTTAATGCTTAAAAAGTCTTAATATATTTAAAAGGAAGCCTTAAATATATATAAATATAAAAAGTTTAATCCCTTTTGCATTAATTATATTCCCATAATCCCTTTTAATACTTAAAAGCTTTTTACTTTATAATAATAACTTATAAAGGCTATAAAGAGTAAATATAAGGATATAATAAAGTGCCTTAAAGCTTAAATTATAACCGCTTTAAAGTAATGCAATAAGTTTAATATAAAGGCTTAAAAGCTTTAAAATTAAGTTACTAATAATATAAAAACCATAAAAAAGTATAAGGATTGCATTATTATTATGATTAAGCGCTTTAATTTTAAGGGTAATATTAAAAAATAAATATAATTAAATCTTAATTTAAAACTATAATTAAGAATTTAATTAAAGATTAAGAAAGTTTTTTAAAAAAGTTAAAAGGTTATTGTAATAATTAAAAAAAGGTTTTAAATTAATTAATATATTATTATAAAGATTAAAAGGTAATTTTTAATTATAAAATAATTTTTATATAAGAATTGCATTATAATTTTTAAAAAGTATAATTTTTAAAATTTTTAATAAAAACTTAATAATAAAAATAATTAATAAATAAATTAATCCCCTTTTATTACTTCCTTTATATTTTAAAGATTTAAAAAAGCTTTAAAATATTTAAATTAAGTATATAATAAAACTTTAATAAGTTTATTTATAGGCATTTTTTTAGTTTTTAAATATATAATATTAAAGGTACCCTTTTTAAATTCCTAGTTTAATTATATTTACTAAATATTTATATGCTTAAGCTTTATTTTCAGCTATTTATGCTTATTAATAATTAAGCATATTATTATTTAATTATTACAATAAATAATTTAAGGCTTGCTTAAATTTAAGATTATATCTTTAAATAAGCATTTTAAAGCTACTATTTCTTTAGCCATAAGCTTTAAAGCTAATAATTTAGCCTTAATAATTAAAATAAAAATGGTTGCTTATTTATATATTTTTTAATATATAAAGCCCCTAAAAAGAATTATTATATACCTTTAGGAAAATCTCCAATCCTCCTTATTATTAGTAAATAAAGTATTTCTAGCTATTAAAAACATTTAAGCTTCTTAATTCCCTTTAAATTATAGTTTAAGGAATTAAATAATATATAAATATTAAATTATATAGTTTACTGCCTTAAAATAACTTAAACTTAAGTTTATAAAAAATCTTAATAATATAAAGCAAGGGAATGCTATATTTAAGCATATTATAATTACTATATAAAGGATAGAATTAACTTTTTCTTAAAACTCTTAAATTTCTTATTTTAAGGTTTATTTAAAAAAAGGCTTAAGCTCCTCTTTAAGTATTAAAGTAAATAATAAAAAGTTTTTGCTTTTTAAAAGGTTATATTTATTTATTATTTTTTTAATATATAAGTTATAAAGAAGCATTATAATGCGCTTTTCTTAGTTTTTAAGAATTTATATATTTAAAAACCACTAAGCCTCTTCTTAGTTCTTTATTTTATATATAAATTTAATCCTATTTTTAATCCTTATAAAGGAATTACATTTATTTTTAGGATATATAATTAAAATATTATTTATATAAAAAAGAATTGCTACTTTATAAGCTAAGCTAGTAAAAAGGTATAGCTTTTTTAATAAGGGTTTTAAGCTTAAATTTTATAATATGTAGCTAAAATCCTTATATTAAAAAGATAGAGAGTTTTTAAGTTTATAAAGTGCCTTTAGGAACACTTTATATTTCCTTAACTCCTTAAATTTATTAAGTAATTTGCAATAAATTTAATTTAACCCTTTTTAATTAGCATTTAAGAATGCAATTATAACGTTAAATTATTAAATCTTTAAATTAAAGTGTATAGCAATTGCCATTATTATGCAAAATGATTTTATAGCTAGGGTTATAATATATATACTTTTTATAATAAAATAAGGTTGCAAGTCTTTTTAAATATAAATTTATGCCTTAAAAGATTTAATTATTCCATCCTTATTAAGCTTATATTTATATACCTATTTTAAGGATAATAACGTTAATTTTGCTTTTTAACGCTTAATAGTCCTTTAAATACTAAGCTTAATAAGGCTTTACATTTCTTAATATATTGCTTTAAGCTATTTATCTTAGAAAGGGCTTTTTTAAGCCTTTCTTTATATAATTAATTTTAAAGATAGATTTTTATAATATCGCTATTATAAGTAAGGCTTAGATTTAATCTTAGGGGCTTAAATAATAGCTGCTATTATATTATTTAAGGTTAAAAAATATAAGTTCTTAAGTATTTTTTATTTTTATCTTTTAAGTTAATTAAGTAAAAAAGTAATTATAAAGTTACTTTAAAAGGTTATATTAAAGTAAAATGTAATTGCATTTATTAAATATAATAATTAATTAAAGAATTTCCAAGGGCACTTATCTTAATTATATATTTAAGAAAATCTTTTTATAAGTTTAAACCCTTAAATTTATTCCTATATCCTCCTTATTTATATTAATTAAGAGGATTCTTAATTTCTTATAGCTTTAAGTATATATAATTCTTAAAAGAAAGGTTTAGGTTTATTAATTCTTGCTTTATTAATAAAAGTATATTTTTCTTTATAAAAGCCTTATTTTAATATATTTAGGGTTTTTTTAAGGGTTGAAAGTCCTTATTCCTAATTTCTTAAGCTTTTTAAAAAGGCAATGCATAGCGAACTTTGCTTTTTAAATTTAAAAGTCCTTACCTTTAAGTTCCAATTAAAAGTATTAATTTTATTCTTTCTTAATATAGAATAAATATTAAATTTATTATTTAAATTAATTAGGTTATCTTTTACATAAAATATTAAGAGTATAATATAAATATAATCTTAAATCTTTTTAGCATTAGCAATTTTAATATTTAATGATTTTGCTTTAAGAGTTAAAAGGCCGTTTTTTACTTTATTTATTATTAATTTATAAAATATATCCTTATTAAATTATATATTTCTTATAAAGATTATTTACTTAAGCAAGGAAATTTAAATTTAAAAGATATTAAATGCTATATAATTAATTAAATACTTAATATAGGCCCTTAATTCCCCCTTTATAAGGCATCTTTTTATATTATTTTTACATTCCTTTTTAAGTATATATGCTTTATACTTATAAGCATAAATATTACCTTAATAAGGCAATAAATAAGCTATAAAATAATAAATTTATGCTGGTTTAAATTATTAAAAATAGTAATAAAACTATGCATATAAAAGAGTATTTAAAACGCGCTTTTTTTTTCTTAAAGTAAGCAATATATTATGCAATTAAGTTATAGCTTATATTGCCTTTAGCCAAAGGTTAAAAGGTAAATTAGTCCTTAGTAATATAATTAGAGCACATTTAATTATTGCTTTGCTAGCTTTTTTTATAGCATTATTTACTTTCAAGGTTTAAGGGAAAGCGAGTTTTAAATTAATACCCTTTTGTTTTGCTTATTTAATATATTTAATATTTATAAATTGGCTAATTATTACTGCCTTAGCATCCTATTTAATTTTGCAAATATTTAAATTATATTACTATTTTACCTAGCTTTTATAAGTTTAAAAAATGCTAAATACTTATTTTTAAGTCTTTAATATAAGGGGGAAGATATAAATAAATCTTAAGAACTTATTTATTACCATAAGCTTATAGTTTAATTTATTTAGTACTTATAAATAGTAAAAAAGGTTTTATAAGATTTAAAAAAAGAGTCTTAAGTTTTTGTTTTTTAATAACCCGCGTTAAATTATCTTTTTAATAAAGGCTTTAAAGCAATTCTTATAATTAATTTATTTAATTCCCTTAAATGTTATGCCTTAAGCATATTAAATTAATAATTTAAGAATATTAGCCCCTAAGTATTTAAACTAAAGATATTAAAGGGTTATTAAGTTTTCTTAATCCTTATTTAAGTATTAAAAGGGCTTAAAAGATTTTATTAAGTTTATTAAAAAAATTGCAAGCTTATATATACCCGCAATGCTTATAAGTATTTGCAATAAAAAATAAAGATAAGAAAATTTTAATAATATATATTTAAGAAAGATTAAATTATGCTATTAAATAAGTTTAAAAAAAATAACGCTTTATTTAAATAATTTAAAGCATAGTATTAAATTAATTTTATAATATTAAACACTTAATTTTTATAAGAACGCTTTTAATATTATATTAATATAAAATTTATTTATAATTATTATATTTTTTAAGATTAAATCCTTAGTTCTTTTTCTATTTACTTTATATAATATATTTTTAAAGCGCCTTATTTCATAGCCTAAAACTTTTAAAAATAAAGTTCTTGCTTTAATAATATTTGTTTTAATAGCTTTTTTAAAAATACTTAAAATTAAATAATTAATGGAATTAATAAAGTAAATAGCATTATAATTATTTAAAATTATACTTAAAAATAAAGAATATAATATAAAATTTAAAATTATATATATTTCCAGGGAATTAATTATAATTAATAATTATAATAAATTAATTAAAGTATAAATAAATTAATAAAAAGTTAATAAAAATATAATAAAGATATTATTAATTAATTAATTTTTTAAAATTAAGGTTTAAAAAAACGTAAATTTGCTTTATAAGGAAAAATAAAATAAAAGGAGGAAATTAAAATATTATTTCTTAATAGCTTTTAAAAATGTACTTAAAGGAGTTTTTAATATTTTTAATAAGCTTTATATTTAATTTTTAAGCAAAAGATTTTTTTAAGTAAGCTTTTAAATTAAATTCTTATAATAGTTTTTTTATAATTATATTTTAATTTTATTATATTTAAGTTTCCTTAAAGGTATTTTTAACTTTAAAATTTATTCTTTTAAAAGCATAAAATAAAAATAGCAGTAATTAACAGGAAGTTAAGTATATTCCTTTTATTAATTAATTCTTTAATAAAGATACTTATATATTTTATTTTATTAATAAAATTAAAATAATGCATTTTCATTCCTTAATTGCTTTCTTAATTAATTACTTTTTATTTTAAAAGGTACTTTTAGTTTTAATATAGCAAATATTGCAATATTCCTAAAGGCTAATGCAAGCTTATTATAATGCAAAAGTACTGCTAATTCTTTAAATAGGGTTTTTAAGAAATAAATAGGTTTTTTAAGCATGTTTTATTTAATAAGTTCTTAGCACTTAAAAATTGCTTAATTAAGGGTAATATATATTGCAATTACTTATAAAAAGTTATTTAAATTAATAAATTCTTTAATTTTAAATAATTTATAAGTATAAGCTTATAAATATAAGTTTATAAAGTCTTAATATTATTATTATGATTTAATACTTAGTTTCTTTGCTTTTTCTAGGTATTGCTAATATTAAGTTTAAAGGGTGTTTATTATGCTTAATTTAAAAGGTATAAGGTTATTTTTAATATTTTAAATTACTTATTAAATAGAAAACTATTTTATATTTACCATTTTAACTAAATATAAGGAGAGAATTAAGCTAAATATTATTTTTTATATTTATTTTTAAATTTTTTATTTTTTGCTAAATTTAATTACTTTATTAAGAGCTAGGGTAATTTATTATTAAAGATATTAATTATATCCCTTTTTTAATTTATTAAAGGATAAGGGAAAGAATAAAGTAAGTGTTATTTTATCTTTTAAAAGCTTATTATTACTTAAATGCTCTTAATACTTATTATATAAAGCCTTTTAAATATTTCTTTTCTTCTTTTTATATTATATAAATTAGGAATTTAATTTTAAAATTATATTTAGTTGCTTAGCAAGGGCTGCATTTAATATATTAAGGTTTATAAATTCCTAGCATTTCTTAATTTAATAATGGAATTATAATATAGCAAACTAAGTAGGAAAGGAATAAATATTTAAATAGATTACTTAATTAATAAGGTTTAAAAAAGTGTTTATAGTTATTATATAAATATATGCTTAAAAATAAAAGAAAATAAATAATATAAAATAAATATAATTAAGATATGCTTTATATAATTTATTTATAACTTATAAAAAGGAAAGATTATTTTATATAAATTAAGCTTATAATTATGGAAGGCTATAAGTATTATAAGGGGTTTAAAAGCATAATTATAAAAGCATTTATTTCCTAAGAGTAGTTTAAAAGAAAGAAATAAAAGAAATCTGGCTATTTAAGCATTCCAGGAAGTGGTTGTAAACCAGGGTTAGGGATGTGCGTGCAACACTTGTGGGATACCCTGTGGTGTACCCCGGGATAGCCTCCTGTGGAGCAACATTCTATGAAAGAGCCTGTCACGCCGCAACACCTTGTTTGTAAATCAGGTCAAGACATTATTGTGGGAGCCATAGAGCTCGCTCTGTGTGTCTTCATTTCTAACGCGTCATCCAGCTCCGTGCTAAGCAGCGTCAGGCGCTGCAATGAGAATCGCTGACAGTCCCTCGAATGTTGGGAAGGGGGAGACAGTCTGCAAGTGGGTCCCGCATATGCGAGCGATGCGTCGGTATCGAGCGATGTATGAAACCTTGAACTGACCACTCTGTACTGTACACAGTAATAAACCACCGTATCTAGGCTCCCGTACCCCATGTAGTGTGCATCTATGCTGTAGTCCTCGGCATCAGCCTACCCATTTGGCTCGTGTAAGTAAGGATTGGTACCGAGGTACCCAAGTGACTTAAGTAAGCTTCTTGGCACCTGCCCCCAAAGTCATAGCAGAAGCGACCAAATCGTCAAGGCCATATGCAGCTACTATTACCTCACCCATAAGACACGACCTGCAACAGAGCCGCTCGCCGTTCCCAACCATCTGCAAGCCACCACCACCACCACCAACCACCTACCACAGCGATGTGCAGGCCGAGTTCATGAGGACTCTCCAACCACTCCTTCGTGTTGAAGGAGCTCCATCATGTCGCCGGACTCGGGCAACATTCGAGTGTTCGTTCGCTTTGACGATGACGGGACCACCCTCTTCTCCGGCGAGGAATTGAAGTGCACCATCGTCTTCAAGAACGTAGCCCAAGCTGCCCCCAGCAGCGCCGGCTCCACCAGTTCGAACCATAATCAATTGCGCCCTCCGCCCCAGTCTCGCGCCGCCATACACCATGCCTCCAGCCGGCTGGCGCCACCCCCGTCGACGTCCACCTCCGCGCCCCGTCGAGGCCATCGCCCCAGCTCGTCCATGAGCGCTCCTGCAAAGACCTCACGCAGTCGTGCAGGCTCCGTCCCGTGGACGCCACCATTCCATCCTCCAGAAACACAGTCGAGTAATGGTAATGGCCATGACCATGGTCACAGCCACAGTCACAGGAGATCGGTGTCAATCGTCTCCATTGGGTCCGTCAACTCAGTCGACAGCCATGCGACGAGCAACGCCGGCTCGACTGCCTCGCGGCCCAGCCGCGGCCATGGCCGGTCCGCGAGTCTCCAGATAGTCTCTCGCGGCTCGGTCGTACCCGGCCCAAGATCTGGTTGGTGACAATCACTATAGGGACATGGGATCTCGTAACGCTGACTTGCCATAGCTTCACACCCCCAGCGACCCTTCAACACGCCGACCTCACCTCTGTATAATGCGTCCTACCCACCGGACCGAGGGTCTCCCTTCCACCGGCCCTCGGGGGCATCTACCGTTCCAAACACTCCTGGCATCGGCTCTCTGGGCTCTCCAAGAACGCCCTCAGCCGCCTTGTCAGAGTTCAGGTTCCCAATGGGCCCCTCGCCTCTCTCGGATATGACCGTCGGCCCTATTAAACCTGCACCTGATACTACCTGGAAGGGTGCTGCCACGCCTCTTGGAGAGCCTGCGAACATACCAATGCGCCCGCGAGACCCGATACCGATAATCAACGAGCAGATCACCCCAGCTGCTGCCAGAGTCCTGTCGACAAGCAGTATAACTGGTACGCCAAGGAGCAGCGGGGAGTTTTATTCCATGAGCAACAATTCCACCGAGACTTTGGCCTCCGAATACGTAATACACCAGCCCATGAGAACCCATGGGAGGCCACCGCACCTACGTCAAAAGTCAACCTTTTCCCCTCAGAAGGCCAAGCGCCCCGAGGCTCTGATGATGGGGTATGCTCAAATTCAGGGCTCCTTCACACTGGACGGTTCTCTGGTCAATCTTGCACCGTTCGAGCAGGTCAAGCGGAAGGCCGTGGTGGGAGGGCAGGGAGGTGGCGTCGTTGGCATAGAAACTTCCAAAAGGGAGAACGGGTTCATGCGGGGCTTTGGCTGGGGCAGCTTCACCAATTCTTTGGGGGAGCTGTTGGGCGCTGGCGAGCTGAGCAGCATCAAGGAGATGCGCGGAATTGCCAGCTCCAAATCTGTGCCACTACTCTCTACGCCACAATCCATTCTGTTTGTGGATTTGCAGTTGGCCCCTGGGGAAAGCAAGGCTTTCGAGTATACCTTCAGATTACCCAAAGGCCTGCCCCCAACGCACAAAGGAAAGGCTATGAAAACATCGTACAGCCTCGTCATAGGAACACAACGCCCTGGTGGCACTAAAGAGCAACAAGTCAAGTCGGTCGAGATACCGTTCCGCATGCTAGGAAGTGTCAACAACCACGGCGAGATGCTCGGGCACGATCTCATGTCCCCATATATTATGTTGCGGGATCAGGCTCGAATACGAACCATTGGCATGGGAGATAGCCTGTATATCGACAGGAGGCCAAGCGTAACAGAGGCGCGAGACAGAGGCGGCAAAGAGGCAGGCCCGGAATCTACCATGAATGGGTTCCTGTCCTACGTCGACGAACTAGTGAACAGTTCTCGTCATGGCTCGGGCGCAGGTTTACTTTCGCCGACTGCTGTTACTGGATCCAGACGGCCATCGTTTCTGGAAGAGGTGAACAGCGCCAAGGATGCCATCGACCTGGCCATCATAAGGAGTAACCTCACAGCGGAAGGTCAGCAAAGCGCCAACCGTTTTGAAATAGCTCGTAATGGGCGCAAAGTAGGCGTTGTCATGCTTGCGAGGCCCGCATACCGCCTGGGTGAAGTAGTAACCATGGCAGTCGACTTTTCGGGCGCAGAGGTACCTTGCTATGCAGTTCACGCCGCGCTCGAGACGTCTGAAAGGGTGGATCCCGGTCTGGCCATGCGCTCTGAGGCAAGCATCCATCGCGCCTCGAGGAAGGTGCATGTGTCCACCTCTGAGGCCACGCTCTTCTCCCGGCGCATGATCTTCAACCCTGCCATACCGATTACGGCAACACCCGAGTTTGTGACCAGCGGCATCAGCCTGGAATGGAAGATCAGGCTGGAATTCGTCGTACCATCTCAAGACGTAGAACCGCAACCAATAGAGGACCAGGGTCAAGAAGACTCTGATCAGGAAGGTGAGCAAGGGCAGGAACGACGACTCATACCTACGGAGAAGTCGAAATCCCAGCACCAAGGCCCTCACCCTCTCCTGGAGGAGATATCCCGCGACGACCGCGGCGGCCTCGTCCTCGTGGCGGCGGAGAACCTCGCCTGCGAGAGCTTCGAGGTAGCCGTGCCGCTGAGGGTCTATGGTGCCGTGTGCAAAGGGCTGGAGCGGTTGGAGAGGGATGAGGCGCTGGAGGAAGGACTTGTAGTATAGCGGATGTACCGCATTTGATGGCGCATATGATAGCACGGGGAATTGAGGAATTGAGAGGGAACGTTGCATAGACACAGGCGGCATGACAAAATTTGATGGGCGGTTTTACTATGGGATAGAATCAATCTATAAAATGACTACAAGTGTGATAGGTTTTGTGTCCGCAACCTCAATGTCTGTGCATATTACAGCTTAGAATCAAGTTCTGGTCGTCAAATACCTTCAGCTATCTCCCTCTATTATTGAATACGGAGATTCGCACCTGCAAAAACGGAGGGCACCCCGGTACATCACCACCTCACCCACACCCAAAACCCATACCCAACACCTACACCTAACACCCATACACCTAACACCCATACACCTAACACCCATACACCTAACACCCATACACCTAACACCCATACACCTAACACCCATACACCTAACACCCATACACCTAACACCCATACACCTAACACCCATACACCTAACACCCATACACCTAACACCCATACACCTAACACCCATACACCTAACACCCATACACCTAACACCCATACACCTAACACCCATACACCTAACACCCACACTCTTACTTATACCCATACCTAACACCCAACACCTATGTACCTAACTTATATACCTAATTAATATACCTAATTCAACTTAGGTATATAGGGATTAGGTATAGGTAAATGAATTATACCTAGGTGATGTGCTTTGATAGCTATGGCTATGGTATAAGTTGACGTACCGGTGTACCCTCTGTTTTTGCAGGTGCGAATCTCCGTGTTCCTATTATTTCGGAGCCACCACAGATCGGGAGGAACCAAGGATCATATGGGGCTGACTGAAATCACTGCACGATGTGAACAGAAGAGATATCCGGCTCTGTACGTGATTAGACTTCCCTCTGTCACTGTTGCTATGGGATAGAATGCGAACGAGAGATACACTAGATCGTGCAAGGTATTGGCGTATCTGAAATAGAAGAAACATGGCAGTATGGCGCTGGCGGCGAGACAGTACCAAAGTGAAAGCTGACTGAGTATCTGTATAGATGATCCCCAACGAACAATGCATTCTTCACTGCCAATGCACTTCTCGATAAACTCTCATGCCGTTTAGCCAAGCATCTTCGATTGGGACATTCTCGCACGACAGCTCTTGCGGCACAGAAGTCTACCATGGCAAGATGGTTGTGTCTGCTGCATATCCATCACTTTTCAAAAGGGGACTCCTCGGCCTGGTGTAAATGTGAATTCGTTCACAGCCAGTGTGCTCAGTACTGATGTTCAGTGTGTGCCTGAGGCGGCACCATACCCGCCCTCGTCACAAATGTCTCCTGCATGCGCGTTCACAGGACACCTGGCATTTCTTGCGCATAAAAACTCCGTTTTTCCTTTGCCCCCTGGTTCTCTTACATATGAATACTACCGATGCTGACCCACGCCGTAGCAGTGAGGTCGACTTGTTCCCCGTCGTACCTTTCGCCCTTCTCACCAGTAAAGATAGAGCAAACTCCGCCCAAAAACGAACAACGGGAGCCTGAAGTGGGTAAAGCTCGACCGACCATCACCGGGACGCCTTGCCAAAACTTGTCGCCAAACCCACGCGTATTGAAACAAAGGGAAAGATACATATTGAAACAATACCAGAATTGGCGGCTTCCTCAATTAGAGGGTTTTCTCGTCCCCTCGCCAGCCGTCCTCGGCCGCACGCGCTCAACTCCAAAGGTGCTAGAAGGTGTCAAGAGAGTAGGGCTGCTCTCCCCACTCCTACCACCGTTGAACTGGGCCTCGGACAGCCTCAGCCTCAGCCGCTCATCGAGCATACTGACCAGCCTCTCGCTGTACTGGTTGAGCAGTCCGCTCAGCATGGACTCGCTCACAGCCTGGCTGTCTCTGCTGATTCGCTCGCACAGGGCGGCAGTCGTGAGGCGCAGCTCGTTTTCTAGCTCCGCCATCGCTTCGGAAGAGATGGTGTCCGCGGATGAGAGCTTGCTTCGGTATGTGCGCAGTTGTCGGCAGTCTGCTCGGTTGCCGTCTGCAGCGATCCGGCCCCGTAGGACGACCGCAGGCTGATCGCGCTGGACTTCTTCCGTGCTGTGGGATGGGACGGGTTGCCGCCGAGAGCTGGAAGAGACGGTCTTCGAGTTAGGCGAGCTGTTGCCGGACTTTCTGGAGAAGGGCATTCCCCGGATCTACTGGATGAAGTCCGGCGGGATGGGCGTTCGTCTGTCCGAGAACGTGATGGACTAGTCTGTGGAAACTGTGTGGTGGTTGGTGTTTTGACTGAGGATGAAGATATGTTTTGTCGAGACTTGCGATGACGAAGGCTCCTCGTTGGCGGCGATCGCCGTCCCCCGGAGGAAGAAGGTCGTGGAAACTCAGCTAGCTCAGCCTTTGATAGGACACGTCGCAATACTGGCCGACTCGAACCACCTGGAGGCGATGGAGACCTACTCCCTGCCCTCAGTTCAGGGTCTCTCAGGTCCAAGGCCCATATCATGATTGTTCCATCACATCCTACACTGACGACTTTGCGGGTTGCTTCCCCGCTGTCTACCAATGTGACACCATTGATCGATTCCGTGTGACCCCATTCACGATCCATGAAGGCCCCACTCTGAGAATCGTATACCCTGACAGATTTGTCTGTGTTGGATATCCCGATGATGGTAGGAATTTCGTCGCGCTTGGACGGGCCAAAATGGAGCGAATCGACCACAGCGTTTTCGGTGCCATTCTCATCTGTACACTTGAATGTGTTTGTTTGCCGGCCAGTCTCAATGTCAAAGCGACAAATGGATCGGTCCAGGCTGGACACAAAGATTGATCTGCAGTCGGAATCCAGGACCATAGAAACCGGAGATGCCTTGAGCGAGATGGACCGGGAGTAGATTGCGGCCAAGGAGTCTGCCTCTCCTTGCTTGGTGACCAGCTCATAGACTTGGATATTGCGATCCATGGAGCAAGTGATCAATCTGTCATCTGAAGACAATATCAGATGAGTCACCCTGGCAGGGAACTCAAGCGTTTGCAAGAGATCGAAGGAGCCATCAGACAGTCGTTGAAATAACTGGACAGTGCGATCTCGTCCACATGTTGCAATGATGGTCCTCGAGGCATTGCTTTGGTAAGCCACGTGAGTGATTTCGGATGAATGGGCCTTGGTCTCCAGGAGTTGCTGTCCTGTGGAGCGATCTATTATTCGAAATACGCCCGCCCTATCCCCAGAGGCAAAGATGCGCCCACTGTCCGCTCGTACCACGCACAGCTGGTTCTGCGGGTCTGTCTCATTACCCAAATGACAGTCGTCCACAGGAATATCAAAGCTGTGCTTGACTATGCCATCCAAATCCCAAAGAAGGACCTTTCCGGATTTTGACCACGTGAAGAAGGCAAGGTCCGTCTCATCAGACATGGTGAGCGGTTGGACACCGAGCACAGGGTCACTCTGCCCGGCTAGCCTGATTGGCGTCGACTGCTGGGCAGACTTGTTGGGCAGTTGATCTGCCTCCCAAATCTCAATGGACCGCTCTGAGTCTATCGTGACGAGTTGATCTTGGACGACTCCCATAACAGCGAAGCCGCTCAGCCCTGATTCTCCCTTGGCAAGCTTGGGTGCAGAGATGGTTGCAGCTTCAATATTGAGTGTGCTAACGTCAAGGGTGACAAATTGGCCATCTTTGCTTCCCAGCAGTGCGACTGAGCCACGTATTGTGCAGCAGGTGACTGGGAATCCCGTCTCAGCTGCAGGTGTGAGCTTTATCTGTCCAGTGCTGTCGTCCAGGATACATATGTCGCCAGCGTCGGAGCAGAGGAGTGCGTGAGCCTCATCAACAGGTGTTGCGCATCTGAAGCTCGCCTCCAGTAGAGACCCAAGCAAGACGTTTCTCCCAGTCAAAGTCTTCTGGGCTTCCTGTGGCGTCAGGCTCCTCTTCGGGGGCGAAGGTGGCCGCTGCACCTCATCGACCACCTTCCAAGCCTTGACATGTCGAGTTCCAAAGGAGACTAGGGTGCTGCCCAGCCAAATCATTCCATTGACTTGGGCAGTACACCGATTTTGTTGGAACAATCTGGCAGACCCAGTCCTCGGATCGATTTTCCAGATAAATAGAAACCCGTCATTGGGATCGCCGAGAGAGGCGAGGAATCTGCCGTCTGGAGACCATGCCACTGCTCGCACACCGAAGGCGTGTTCGTTTATCGAAACCAGAGGCTGATCTGAAGACGAGCCCTCCTTCAGGGTGAAGATGAGGACTCTTGGAGAATAGCCAGTTTCGCCGACAGCTAGGAACCTTCCGTCCCGACTCAAGGATACGCATGTCGCGGCTTTGATTCGCTCGCGACTGGTCCATGTTTTCGACGCCGGGGAGTCGCCCCTGTCAGACGGTGACGAGTGAATGGGATCTCGCGGAGCGACTGCCACCCTGTTCCTTGCGTCGTTTGCTTTAGGGGTGGCGTAAAGGCCAGAGGAGCCGTGCTGGACTGGGGCGACGCTGAAGACAGGCACTGCTGTAGGACGAGCGCGGTAAAAAAGTTGGCTGCCGTCCAAACCCGCCACGACGACAGCCCCTCCTGCTATATAGCAAAAGCAGCGATCGACCGAGTCAAAGCCGGTGGGCGAGCTGCAAGTCGTGCCGATGACCCGTTTCAAGAACAAGCTCGGCTCCTGGGCCTTTCCGCGGCCCGGGAATCTGGAGTTCGGCGAGGTGGCTGGAGTGTTGGAGGGCGCCAGTTTGAGATGGCGATTCGAAGGAGTGGATGCCATGATGACTGGAGAAGTGTTGGGGTGTCCGTCCTTCCTTGTCCTACTTCGGGTCATGAAGACGGCATCCTCTGCAGGATTGTAGGACCGCACGGAGCTCGGAGTTGACTAGGCGCGTAGTTGGTCAAGTGAGGCAAGAAGGGAAGATGTGCCTGCTTTATTGCTGAGAGCTCGATAGCAACAAGGCAAGGAAAGCTGGAGCCAAGCTTCAAAGACAACGCAGCAAGAGCAGGTCAGCAAGCCTATGAAGCAGGTCAGCGGACAGGGCCCGTTTGCTCGAAGAGCCGTGACTGCTGATGTGTACAAGTCTCCAATTTACCGAAACGTCGATACACTATTTACGTACAGTACGATGGGGTAAAAGAGCGGATGGAGCCTCGACGACAGCTCCCACAAGGTGCCACGAGGCGGCGGAATTAGTCGGCAAGCGCGTTTGAAGGCATCGACAGAGAACGCGCCGAGGAGCTGCTGCTGGCCAGAGTCAGGACGGCAGAAGAGCCTTCTGAGGAGCAAGCCCAAGTAAGATTGAGGAGTGCAGCCACAGCCGAAGAGGCAGAAAGCCGACGGTGATCAGAGCGCCAACGGTAGAGCAGAGCAAATTCCCCCCTCTCCATCGTCACGCTGGTCCGAGAAGCAGTAGCAGAAACAGTACCACGGTCGAGGAAGGGTCCGTGTAGTGCTCAGGCAGCTCCAGACGAAGGCGCACTGCCTGGCCGGGATGCCGCTGCCAAGTCAGCACAGCTCCATCTGGCGACATGAGTTGATTCGTCAATTGATCAGGGGGTTCCTCCCGCCTAGTGCGTATCTGTGTTGGCATGGGGCCCCCATGCTGGGCAGGCTGGGTTGTCACGCCCCGGAGCACGGAGATTGAGGGAAAGGGGCCTTTCGCATGGAAGCGCCATCGAAGTTTCCCGTGCACAGTTATCCTGCCACGTGCAGAAAATTCATGTCATCCATGAAGCAGAGACAGTCCGTCACACTGATCGTCGCGTTGGCCGATGGCTGAAATTCCACTCTCGGCAGGCTCTAATTACAGCTCCCAGGGATCCCAATGTCAGTGTCGATTTGTATTTGACTCGGGGCAGCATCACATCACAGGTCATCAAACGTATGGTACTCTATCCGAGTCTATTTCACATTGTCACCTCACAGGAAATTTGCACAGACGATACCATCCTATCGGAGCAAAGACTATCCCACAACCGGCCATCCTATAGGAATAGTCCCCAGACCGTGCCAGATTCTGCCTCCTACCCTGGGAGCTGTGTCAGGCAAGAATCACGGTGCAACATTTATAGTAGACCAGAGCATCTTTCTCACTTCAGGATTGTCGTAGAGGCAGTGAGAAGATGCCATTGGATCGCGGACCAAACTGTCCTTTAGCGATCATCCTCATCTTACACCAAACTCTTTGACAGCTTCATCTGAGCCTGCAGCCGCGTGGCCGTCTCCTGGTCGACCTTTTCCGCCTCACCCTCCTCTTCGCCATACTCTTTCTCACGTGGTATCGTCCCCTGCCAGGGACTTGCCTCCACCCCGGCCTCGCGCCACCTTCGCGGAGGCTGTCTTCCCAGCTCCGCGTACCGCTGCCACACGCTGACCCCGCGGTTGAACCACCTGCGCTGGCGGTCCTCCTCCTCCTCGGCCGTCGGCTCCCACTTGGCCCTCAGGATCCTCCGGATCGCCTCGGGCGACACCTCGAACTTCTCGGCCAGCGCCTCCGTGGTGTACATGTCCGGGAACTGCTGGTGCAGGACCCGGATGCCCTCGAGCGCGTCGGGGGACAGCCTCTTGGGCGGCCTCCAGCCCTCTGGAAACTTCTGCTTGAGCGCCTGTTTCTGTTTCAACCACACTGGTCTTTCATCCTTCCTTGGTTCTTGATTCTTAGCCTTGGCAGCCTGGCGTTCGATCCTTTCCTTTTCGATTCGTTCTTTTTCCTTCCGTTTTTCTGCCCTTTCCAGTAGTGTCTTGTCCTTTTTGCCTTTCTTGCCCTTTTTCGCCTTCTTTGTCCGCTCGTCTGCACTGTCCTTGGACTTCTGGACCTTTTCTGGACTCTCTGCTTGCTCCTGACTCCCTGGTGATTTGTTTCGGTATCTAGCCGCTTTTCGGATCGCGTTCTTGGAGCTTGGCTTTATGGAGAACATCATGTCGTGCTCTGCTGATGACTCCGCAGCTCGAGACTGTAGAGTAGACGAGGTCGGGTCCCGCTCTGGCTGGTCTTTGTGATGGTCTTCTGGAAGCGCCTGTTGCCCTTGTGTTTCCTGCGCAACGACGTCGGAAGACCCTGCGGTAGTGTGTGCTCGTCGGCAGTGGGAAGCAACAGAGATGTTGCGGCTAGGGAGCCGCGGGCGGGTCGCGAGCCATGCCGATCTCACATGATGTGTCGTCGGAGCGTGGACCTGGGCCAGACTCCGGACAAATATTTGCAGAGCAGCTGTGCGGCATGAACAAGCCATGTTCGCGGCCTCGAGTGTTATGACGTGCTGGAGAGGACCGGCGTAGTGGCCCTGTCGGCAGCGTTGAGACGGATAGTAGAGTGACGATTGGGGAAAATTTCAGAAGCATCTCGGACCCCTGGTGATGGCCGCTGCACTACAAGCTATGCAAGCTTTAGGTAGCAGGGGTCCGTTGCGGCGGCGCGCTAACGCTTATCTGAGCCCCCGTTCCACGCGACTAATAAGTCTATTAAACAGCCCCGGCCGTTTACACGCGGCTGACGTCTTGTCGACCGGATCATACACGGACGTAGTCGAGCACAATGGGTGCACAACTTTATCCAAGACTTCACCTCCATTACATTTCAAAGGCTGCTCTTGCGAGGACCGTTCACTACCCATATCATTCTGTTGAGGAAGACTCACTTATGGAAAGTTTCCAGGAATGACACTCCTGTCCTGTATTTGCTGCCGTTAACTAGTTCTCAATTGCACTCTCGGCGACCACAGTCGAGTATGGAGTATAGGACACTTTGGGCACTGCAAAGAAACCTCTCTACGCGTTCTGTCATGCTGGGATCGTCAGACCCAGTGAACTCATGAGGTGGCGACAATGCCGGATCGCGGGTCGACCCCAACTAACACATGTCAGGGATGGGAGCCCAAGTTCAATGACACGCATAATCCCTACATGTCTGTTCCGAAGCTTCAAGTGAAGCAAACCCCCCCCCCCTTCGATCTAAGGACTAGTCTTTCATGAGTTTCCCTTGCCTTCAGTCTGACTATCGTCTGCCTGACAAATGCTGATCTTGATCGTTGTTGTTGCATGTCTTTCTGATACCCCTCGAGCCGCTGCTTATTGCAAGCCATCATCTGCCGCGGTTCCCCTCTTCAGATTCGCCAAGTCGCTACGGCAGTTATTATAGAATGCTTTTCACAAGAGAAAAGCGTGATATACGCAATAGCTGGGGCTATACTTATGAGTGGACTCCCGAGCATCAGACCAAGGAGCAGCTGCGGCCACTAACCTTTAGCTACGATGTACTTGGGGCGGAGTGTCTGGACCGGCTAGACGCCATAAGCCCACCTCGGACGTCGAGACCAGCCCCACAGACGTCCGTGGACGACAATACACCCAAGGCATCGTCTCAGGGCGACGGTGGCAAGGATGGCAGCCCACGGCGGGACCTATACGCCCTTCTTGAGCAACATCACGCCTCGGACCCAAAACTCAACGAGTTATGGACACAGATCCACACGGTCCCCTCCTGGGTCGACTGGGACCAGATCAAAAGGGGCCAGGACGTCTTCTACCGGTACGGCGGGCCCAGTATCGTCAGTCTCACCTTCCAGTCCCTGGTGGGCGGCATGGGCGGCCGCCGCGTCGTCGAGACGCTCGCGCGGACGGGGGGTTTCGGCGCAAAGGTGGCCAAGCGCCGCCTGCTCGAGACATTCCAGCATATCCTTCAGGTGACGCGGGACCTGGACAGCGTCAAACCGGGCGGCGAGGGCTTCGCGAGCAGCGTCAAGGTGCGCCTTTTGCACGCGAGCGTGCGGCGGCGCATCCTCGCCCTGGCGCGCGAGAGGCCGGGCTACTTCGACGTCAGCGCCTGGGGCGTGCCCATCAACGACCTCGACTGCATCGGCACCGTGCTGACCTTCTCGTCGGCGCTGGTCTGGATCGGCCTCCCCCGGCAGGGCATCTACCTGCGCGAGCGCGAGATCGTGGACTACACGGCGCTGTGGCGGTGGGTTGCGTACCTACTCGGGACGCCGACGGAATCCTGGCTCGTGGACTACCGGAGCTCGAGAGTCATGTTCGAATCGCTGGTCGAGGCGGACATCGACCCGAGCGACATGTCGGCCGTGCTGGCCAACAACATCCTGACGGGGCTGAGCTGCCAGCCGCCGACGTTCGTGAGCCGCGAGTTCCTCTGCGCCGAGGCGTACTGGCTGAACGGTTGGGAGCTCGCGCGCCCTCGGGATCGAGCGGCCTAGCTTATATCACCAGGCGTTGGTGGCAGGGCAGTGCCTCTACTTCATGGGCACTTGCTACCTGTACCGGTCGATACCGGAGTGGGATGAGCGCAAGAACGAGGTGCGTTAAATGTCCCTAGTCAGCTGGTAGCTTTTCTTTTACCCTTTCCATCATCTATAATGTCCCACACGGCCAGTCTAGGGTAAATTCCTGGTGTGAAAAGAAACTAACCTGGGTGATTTTCTTTTCGCGCGGCCGCAGCGAGTTAGGAAGTTTTTCTACCACCTAGCAGTGCACAACAAGGAGATCGGCCTCGGCAGCGAGACCAACTTCGACTTTAAGTATGTGCCGCAGCTGGGCCGGACCACAGAGTTGGGCCACCCCGAAGGCTCCAGGCTGCGGATCGGTGCCCCTGAGCGCCAGGGCTTGACGAGCCTGATGTTGGCAGCCGCGCTGGTCGCGGCCGTGGCTTGGTCTGGGTTCAGGGCCGCCTCCGGCCTCATGGCCGCTGTCCATGTGGTTTCGTGATGCTGAGAGTTGATTGACATAGCTTATGGGATGCCTAGAAGGGAGCCGTAACTAGTGGAAATTGGGGCAAAGGTTAGTATCGTGGACATTGTGTACTGTTTGTGTACTGATCACTGGACAAGCAATGGTTATTGGGACGAGCGTTTCTTTGGCATCGCTTATCATTCTCTTCAGCATGTTCTGCCTTGAGCCTCTGTGCATACTCAATGGTATCGTACAAAAATTCTATGCCTCCCACCCGTCGTCATCATATCCACAGTGACTCCTATCTTCTAAACAGAAAGCCCAATCATAGCTGCCTCCTGCCCGTCGAATTCTATTGTGATGCCACCACAGAGTAGCCCGCATAAACCGTGGACCGAAACAGATGCTCCCTGATATGTGATGCAGTAGGCAGTGACCCAAACACGCCGCTAAACGCCATGACCAGAACACCTCGCAGCAGTAAAGACAGTCTCAGTTCTCCTCGCCCGCTTTCTATGCGTCGCTCATCAGCTCGACCGGCGGCCGCGCGGTGTGCGCCATGATCGGCTTGTCCACGTCCATAGGGCTGATGTTCAGCTCGTCCACGGGGGCGTCCGTCATGTCGTCGACCATAACACACGGCAAGTTGGGGCTGCCACCGTGGTCCTCCGGGTGGAAGATGAGGGTGGAGCTGCGGCTCCTCGTCTGCCTTGCGGACGCGGCGCTGAAGCCGCCCGGCGACCGGCCCTCAACGGGGCTGATGGGCGAGTCGGCGGCGATCTTGTGGTGGTGCAGCTTGGCCAGGGCCTCGGCCAGGTCCTCGGCGTGCACCTGCTTGTTGGGGGCGCCCTCGACAATCTGCTCCCAGTCGTGGGGAGGGGACGGCGGCGGGGAGATGAAGAACAGCTTGCCGGCGTCCGGGAGGGCGAGGTGGGTGTCCTTGGGGGAGGTGTCGACGGGGGTGTGCTGGCCGAAGTAGACGCGGCACCGCTCGCCGAGGATGGCCTCGCCGTCCCAGATGGAGCGGACGGCGATGGCGTCGGATATCGTGTAGAAGGAGACGAGGATGCGGCGGAAGGACTTGAGGGGAGCCCAGGTGTGGATCATGGCTGTCTTGGCGATGAGGCCCTTGATGGTCTGCAGGTTATCGGGCTGGAAGACGGAGAGGTCTTGGAGGTTGGTGATGAGCAGGGTGTTGGTTGCCGGTGTTGGTTGTTGCAGGGCTGGCAGGTTGGAGAGGTCGAGGGTGAGCGATTTCCTGGAGGCACGGCTGGACGCTCGCGACGAGTCCTGCGGCCTCTGTTCTGGTGATGTCGAAGCCATGTTGAGTGGTGGTTGTTGTGTGTTGTGTGTGTTTGCGTGGGAGTTGGTGTAAGAGTGGCAACTCTGCAGTTGTCGTGAACAAGTACAGTCGTTTAGGTGTAAGAGGTGACTGCTAGTTGTAGTTGTAGATGTTGTGGTTGCGGGTGTGTTTGGTACTTGGGAAGTGATGAGGTGTTGATGGATGGGGCAAGAGGGAAATCGGCGTGGAGGTGTGGTTGTTCTTATGGGTGGGAGGACAGGAAACGGATGGTGTCTGGCATCCGGCGTTTGGCGTCTGGAGTCTGGAGTCTGGGTTTGCCGTTCGTGTTGACGATGGAGACTCAGGCAGGCCCGTAGCCTGTAGGGATGGCTAGCTTGGAGTGTGGCTTAGAAAGTCAGTGATTTGCCTCAATGATTGCCGGAACGGGCGCCAAGCGAGCAGACCAAGCCAGCGCGGAAAGTGGGATAGAGCAGATAGAGCGGGGGTTCCAACAGGAACCGGTGGCGGCTGTTCCCTGGAGACTTGCCCGGATGAAACATTCAGATGGGCAAACGGTCGCAGGGACAGCCGACCAGGTCCGCAAAACAAAGCGGCAATGCAGGCGTAAGGATTGCTGGCTGGGGGACGCTGCAGGTGACGAGCGATCCCCACCGATCGGTATGTAATCTGGTGGCCTCTCTGAGGTGGTGCTGCGCTGTGATCTGCTGTGCTGTGCTGGGTGCTGCGCTGAGCTGTTACGTACCCAACCACCGAGCCCCAGTCGGACTAACTGACGAGTTGCCTCCCAAATCCTCCTCCAGGAGGACTCCCTCTTCCTTCCACTGCTGCGAGCTCTCCACCCTCGATCCTAGCCACGGGGCATACGAGACAGTGACCTGCCCAAAGCGAACTACTGTGCATCTGACTACTTGGTACTATGCATCTAGACCACATGCCTGGGTTGTCTGGTGCTGCCAACGCCAAGACAATCCGGGCAGAAACATTGAATGCGAAGCGTTGGGCCGATTGGCACGGCTCGTCTGCTGCCTCAACACAAGACAAAGGACAAGACAGGACCAAGACAGGACACATTGCAACACGAACAAAGGTTGTGTGTGATGGTCCGGTGTGGTCTGGCTTGGTCGAAACTACACAGCCTCGTCGCCGCCGCTCGGTGCATTGTATGTAGCACCGTGTGACCCGTACCGAGAGTATGGCACGGAAAGGCCTTCGCCAAGGCGGCCTCTGCACGAAATGCGCAGGAACGTGGGTTTGGCCGTCGACAAAGCCCACCAGCCAACCATTGCCACCGTTATTGTCACCAACCAAGTAGTCTAACTACCTAGACTACCTAGACTACCTGGTCTACTAGATACTACCTAGGTAGGTAGGGAAACTACGCCTCCGTCAGGATGTCCAGCAGTACCGTGCAATCGTCCCTGATTCAGGCCCGTGGGCCCTCAGACCGTCCGCACGATATATGCTTTTGCTCTGCCTCGCCTCGCCTCTTGCCTTGCCCCGACGTATAAGCCTCAGGGGATCATTTGCTTTCAGACGACGTCGAGGCTCAGCCTTCCCTCTCGGCCTGGTGTCTGTCTGGCTGATGACGTTTGAGCTCGAGCTCAGCCAGTCACCCAACCATCAATTGTCGGCTTTACCCCATCGTGACGCCGCATGGCGGCGGCTGCTAGACCCATGCGCCAGGGAACCCCTCGACTGTCTGGAGAGCGTGGAATGACACGACTGTCCGCTGGCCAAGCATCTCCTTGTCACCTTCTCCATCCGCGACGAACGCGAGCGAGGCTGAGCCAAGCCGAATCTGGGCAATATGCTATAGTCTGCACGGCAAAGGCAGACAGACAGCAGATTAATGTGCAGACAGAAACATGTGGCCAGGTCATCTTGGTTCAATAAGCCACAAACCACGCCGACGCGTCTTCCCTCGTTGCCCACCTCGTTGATTTCAAGTGAGATTCAGCAACAATGCGGGACCGTCGGGTATACTCCTGGTACGGCCGCCAAGTCAGGCAGTGTTGAAAAAGATCTTCCAAAGTTGAGGTTACCATCAAACCCAGCAGGCTTGGTCGCAGGCAGACTAATGTGCCCGGTCATTGGCCTACCACGCCTTGGCTCTGGTCCAGAACTCCTAACCACCTCCAGATTTCTCAAACTCCTTGGCTAGACTTTGATCGAGGGCTTTCCCTTCCCCAACCCCTCCCCAAGTTCGACGTCAGATGCCGGGAAGAGAAAAAAAAATGTTTACACTGCACAGCCACCCAACCCTCGCTCCCGTCTCCCTCTCGGTCGCTCTCTTCCCAGGAACCGTCCTCTCAAACTCCTCGCTTGTTTGACTCGTCCCCGTCCCTGCTTGCCAAGTGCCGTGACGGCATTTCTGTCATCTGCCCGCACCGAGATGGGCTTGGATTGAGGGGTTTCTGAGGCACTGCACAACCAAGGCATGTCGGTGTGGGTTGACTTCTCCCGTCTGGAGATGCCCTCAAAGCTACTCTAGCGCGGATCAACCTCGACGTCCCCTTGCGGCACTTTGCCCAACTGCGGGGACGAAGAGAAAAATCCATGGATTGGCACTCACGCAACCGCCAGATGCGGTCCATCATCCGCTGGTGTGCGACGATAACGTGAGCTGTGCCTCACCCCCGAGTTGCGGATAGCCGGGTCAGAGTGGCTCAGCCTGCCCCTCTGGCGGTGCTGAAGCACTATGCGTGCATCATCAAGCCAGCGCCATCCTCTTGAGATCACCTTTCCCCTCTCCTGATTCTGATAGACCCATCCGTTGGACCTGTCGGTACCGAAGTCTAGGGGATGTCGACCCTCGCTGAGCCTGCGCGCGTGGAGGAGGCGGGAAGCTCCAGCGATGGCAGCGCCTCGATCCTGTCGTCCTAAGGTTATGGATCAGCATCACCAAGGCGAACCACCATCTCAATCCCACTCTGGTGACTTGTGCAGGTGATGGGGTGGATGGTATGCGAGAACTATCACATTGCACCCTGATAATCAAGCTGAGCCACTTGAATACAACATGTGCAGCCGGCATGAACACCGGAGCTGCGCACCGTCACCTTGGGAGTACGTAGACGGAATGGGCGAAGACAGACAAGTCTTTTGGGGCGAGTACTTGCGTCTTCGCTCAGAACCAAAGGGGTTGATCCTACACGAGGCGAAGGTCATTGCCCAAGGCCATAAGCATCCCTACATTCTGTATCCTGTGTTCATGCTTAGCCTCGGAGGCTACATGTTCTTGGGCAGTTTCCCCTATTGCAATGACTTGTCGGTAGTCATGTCCCACCGAGCTACTGAACACTCGACAGCAGACTGCGAGTCACTCACTTGTCAAGTCATCCAGTAATAGGTTATCCTAAAGTTGGTCATACCATGGCAGGTTGTATCTCGAAGTAATCCGCATCATCCTCAGGCTTTCAACATCGAAGTTGTGTCCATGCTCTGGACTGCTTTCAATTCAAGCGCTACTAGAACAGAACTTGTCACCTCGGACTCAACTATGGACCCGGCCTGCACGAAAGTGTACCTGAGCCCCACAGCTAGTCCTCCCTCGTAACAGTAGGCGCCCGTGACCGAATTGAGCTCGGAACGAGTTGGCTTGTCCATGGAGGAACCGCAGGAGATACAACATGGCATCCGGCCTACGGGGAGACGGTCTCGCGAGCGATACCATTCTCCTGCCTTTCGAGTGATCGGCAAGAAACCACATCAGAATCCCCCTGCCTTCCCCCGGGGTCTGACTCGACCTCACGGCCAATCCAAATGACCCGACATGGATGCGTAAGCCGAGGGCGCGGTAGCCGCGGATCGTCACAATGCCTCGTGTAGCCAGCAAAGGGCCGAGGAACGAGAGTACTGCTTGGGTATCACTTGACTCTTTTTCTAATATTCCCTGGCCCGAGTCCAGTGCTATCAGCATCATGAGGCGTGTGGGAGATCACCTCGATCTGTACCTGAACGATAGCTGTGGTTCGTACCCACTCTTTTCCTAAGCGCGTAGCAAAGGAGGCCTTTGGATTTACACACGGGCGCTTGCGCGTGCCGCCCTCCACATTGCCGGACCCGCTACCTGATCTCAACACCGAGCTTCTCCACCAGCGCCTCGGTGACCTCGTCGTGCATCTTGTTCGTCTCGGCGTTGGTCAGGGTCCTCTCGAGGCTGCGGTAGTTGATGCGGTAGCACATGCTCTTCCTCCCCGTCCTGGGGTGCGTGAACTCGTCCACGAGCTTGACGTCCTCGACCACGTCGCCGCCCACGCCGCGGACCACCTCCATGAGGTCGTTCTCGTGGAAGTCGTGCGCGTTGGCCCTCGTGTTCCCGCCGGCCGCGGAGCTCGACCGCAGCCAGAACGAGACGTCCTTGTAGCACTCTGGGTGCCTCGAGAAGGGCACAAACCGCCGCACCAGGTCCAGGTTGTCGGACACCCCCGCGAACTGGCCCAGGAAGCGCTGGTCCCGCGACCAGAACAGCCGGATGTCCGGGATGTTGAACAGCAGCATCGCGATGCGCTCCAGGCCGATGCCGAAGGCCCAGCCCAGCTGCTGCGGCTGCCCAGCATTGACGTACATGCTCTGCTGCGTGACACCGCACCCGAGCACCTCGAGCCAGTCGCCAGCGTAGTACACCTCGAGCTCCCAGCTGGGGCTTGTGAAGGGGAAGTAGGCCTCGACCCACCGCACCCGCAGCGGCTCGTCCTTGTAGTCCGGGTCCGCCGCGGCCGCCGCCTTCTTCGCGCGCGTGAATATCTCCACGACCATCAGCTCTAGGCTCCGTTTCAGGTGCGCCGCGATGGCCTCCGCCTCCTCCGGTGAGTGGTGCCCGGCCTGCAGGGGGTTGCGCTCCGCGTGGAAGGGCGGGTTGGGGTCTTCCACCTTGATGCTGTGCTTGGGCAGCTTGTCCAGGTCGGCCCACACCGCCGCTGCCACGTCGCCGCCGGGGACCTTGGACCTGTCCCACAGCCGCGCACCCTCCATCTGGTGGAAGACGGGGTAGTGGCTCCGGTCGACCTCGTCGCGGCGGTAGACGTCGGCGCTGATGAGGTAGCCATCGCTCTCGTTCGCCTTGAAGATGGCTGCCTCGTGCGCGCTCGTGTGGGTTCGCAGCAGGGTCGACTCGTTCACGTAGTAGGTATCTGAGCGGGCGCGACCTGGGTGGTCCGGCGGGAAGCCCAGGGAGTCGAAGTTCTCTTGGACAGAGACGACGGGGTGAAAGTTGTTGTAGTATCTGTACGTCGGCGCGGGGAACACGGACTCGATGATCTGCCGCGTGATGGACACGGGGTGGTCTTTTTGCAGGTGCAGCTTGCGGGTCGCTGCGCCGATCACGTTGGTGGGAACATTGTACCAGCTGTCTTGCGTGTAGGTCCGGCCATCGATCTCAACCGACGAGGGGTTGTTGGCGTCCGTGGCGACGGGTGCGGCGGCTTGGTCATGTCAGCGGGGCTGCGTCGCGAGGAGAGCGCTGAGGCTTTGCGAGAGGTGTTCACCTGTCGAGTAGGCCGTCCAAGGACGATGAGGCACCTGTGCAGGCTTGAAGGCCGTTGGACGGTACCGAGAGACTGGGACGCGGAACGGCGCGACCAGCTTGGACGGGGCCACGCGTAGTATAATTCGACAAGGAGAAGCCATTTTGTCTTCGACTTTCTGTTGTCCTATGGCGTCATGCCATGTCCATGGAACCCGCCCCCTAATCCGAAAGCCAGCCCGCTGAGATGCTCAAATGGAGCTTGGGGGTTGTGAGGTGAGGCCGATCACGTCAGGAGCAGCGACGGCTGGCTGAGGTCCAGACAAATACTGCTAGCTGCCGCGGGAAGAAGTTCCACAGCATGCAGCTATCGCTTTTCTCCCGATAGCGCTGCAGCCCCTGTCCCTGCACCGCAGACGTCACTCCACCACGACCCTGCATCTGATCAGTGAGTGGGATGGCCCAGACGGGACGGCCGAGCGGGAGAGACGGTCGAAAACTCGATCCTCCTTTGGGGTTCGGCCGGGGCAGAGAGCCGTTGAGTGGCCGTGCTATACAAAACTTGTCGTCATCGTCGACGGCCCCCCGGGACTTTTCCTTCTTACCTCGAGGCCCCAATTCCGCTCTGTTTCAATCGTTTTTGCATTTGTTCAGTCTCTGCTCCCCGGCTCTTCACCTCGAGGTAATGTCACAATAACATTGTCCTCGAGAAATGCAGCCGGAAAAAGAGGCAGCGGCTTCGGCGTCGGCGCCGGCCAAGCAAGCCTTGGCTCCGAAGCAAAGCAAACAGAGCCATGGCCCCTCGATCCGGTATCCGTTCTGGTTCGGAGGATCTGCGAGTTCCATGGCGGCGTGCGTCACGCACCCTTTGGATCTAGGTGAGTCTTGACCGAAGGCTGTCTGGCCCTTGAGTCGCAACGGGACTGACGACCTTCTGTCTACAGTCAAGGTACACACACCCACACCACCAGCCATGCTGTCTACGTGACTAGGTACTCGCCTTTAAAATCATTGTTCTCCATGGTCTGACACGCGACAAAAGGTACGGCTGCAAATGCGCTCCGGTGACATGCCCAAGTCCATGCTGGGCACTTTCAGATACATCATCCGCAGTAATGGAATCCTCGGCCTGTACAACGGCCTGTCCGCCTCCCTGCTGCGCCAGCTCACCTACTCGACCGTCCGATTCGGCATATACGAGGAGCTCAAGAACCGAATGACGCAGAAGAACGGCGGGAAACAGCCCCCATTCCCCATCCTCGTCGCGCTGTCGTCCGGCGCCGGATTCATTGGCGGCATCTCAGGCAACGCGGCCGACATCTGCAACATCAGAATGCAGCACGACACGGCCCTGCCACCGGACCAGCGGCGGAACTATAAGCACGCCCTCGACGGCATGCTGCGGATGGCCAGGGAGGAGGGGCTCATGAGCTGGTTCCGCGGCGTACTGCCAAACAGCATGCGCGCTGCTGCCATGACGGCCAGCCAGCTGGCGAGCTACGACACCTTCAAGAGGCTGTTGATAGGATACACGCCCATGTCGGACAATCTCGGTACCCATTTCACGGCCTCCTTCCTAGCGGGCGTAGCCGCCGCAACAGTCACCAGCCCTATCGATGTCATCAAGACTAGGATAATGTCCCAGAGTGGAAAGAGCGTGGGCATTGGGACGCTGCTGAAAGATATCACGGCTGCGGAGGGATTGGGGTGGATGTTCAAGGGTTGGGTTCCCAGTTTCCTCAGACTTGGACCGTAAGTTTCTCGCCTCAACCTCCAGGCCCATGACAAGCTAACTCGGATCAGGCAAACCATCTGTACTTTTGTGTTCTTAGAGATGCATCGCAAGGCATATAGAAAGGTGCAGGACTTGGGTGAGCCGCAGTGAGCATTGTCCATCAGCTTTGAGGAAAACGCAACCAGGTCAACAGTACATAGGATACAAGTTGGTGGCGTTTAGCGACAGCATTGGGCGCGGGGTCACGTCGGTCACAGAGCATTATAAGGGCGTTCTCATAGAGTGGCTTCTCAGTCTGATGGGACGGCATTGTTTGACTGTCCTGCTGTCCATCACGAAGCGCAAGCATTTGTACCCTCAGTACCTTTCTGGCGCCTCTTGGGCCAGTTCGCAAGCTTCATTTTCCAGACCGCGCATAATACCCTACCGTGACCAAAACCCAAGGGAGCCCAACGCCTTCCAATGCAATTTTTTCCCCCCGAATTTTCGTCCGCTGGCGTGTAAATCTTGGCTGACCATTATTATGTGTCGATCGCTTCTCACCGTCGGGCGTATGATTTTGGAAAGGCATCCCTACCTTGCCTCTGATTCTCTTCTCGGTGGTGGCTGCCCCCAGAAACGGTGGGACCCTGCCTTATTTCCCAGGTCAAGGACCTACGATTCCAGGCATTCATGTGCCTCGAAGCGTAACCAAGCCGCAGAGGTTGCTCAACGGACATGACAGTCTAAGGATCATCCCAGGGTCGGCAACTCGCCCGGAGACGGCACCGCAGGCACGTCGCTAGAAGCTTGTCGAATTACGGGTCATTTCAACCCCGACATAAACCTCCGCCTGGACGAATGTCTAATAGCCATTCTGTCCTGGATTGCCGTAGGGCGTAGTGGTGCCGTAGGAAGTGGCTCCCCCGAAGTCACCGGTGCCGTAGGGCGTGGTGTAGCCCTGATCTTGCCAGGGATCACCGCCGTTCATGCCATCGGGGCTGCGAGGACCGCCGTAGTCACCAGCGTTATCGCCCTCACTCAGACCATGTATCAAGCCAGCAAGCTTCTGCTGCATGACCATGATGCCTTGCTGGATGATGGCGTCCGGCTCCAGGTTACCGGCACTCTCGACCTCGAAGTAGAACTTCTCGGGGACAGCGTCAAACTTGAATACCTCACCGGGCTGGGGCGGTTCCTCAAACGCGGCGTACTTGCTCTCCGGCCTGTCCTGCTGTCAATATTGCGCGACCATCCTCATATGCTGGCGAAGACCTACCACTCGTGCTCAGGCCTTGCGCCCTCGCCCTTTCCCTCGAACCACAGGTCCGTGTGACCAAGTTTGTTGTGCGGGTCGTATTCGAATCCAACAGCCGCAGTAGGGGCCCACTTTGCATGCTCCTTTGCGATTCCCTTCTTTGCAATGCATGTCAACTTCAACTCCTGACCCTCTCGCAGTTTCGCGATCAACGGTCCCTGGCCATCTGGGTCTGTGATGACGGGGTTGCCAACCCACTCGTTGGGGCGCATAGGGTCGACAACGAGGTCGCGGGCATAGATTTTCATGATTTCACCCTCGGTGGTGCACTTCGCATGTAGGGTGATCTTGACGCTGCACATTTCGCAGTACTGTTCGCATTCGCAGTCACGGGTATAGAGGACATCGTCGGCATTCTTGGAGTTTAGCGGCAGCAGGCCGAGGCGGTGCGCAATGAATTCGTCGGCCAGCACGCTGCTGTTCTCCTCTATCTCGACCAGGTCGATAGCCATGATCGGTATCTCGGCGAGGATGACTCGGCGCAGGGCGTTTGCAAGGGAGAGATCGACATTGGCAAGGTTGAAGTTGACATGGTGATTGTCTGCCTAGTGGTCGCGCATAGGATTAGGACACTGCAACTGTACCCAGAGGCGCTTCCATTACACGCAATGGGGCGTCTTCTGCTCACCTCTGTGATCTTGACCTCCATCTGCTTTGGCGCCAGCTCGCCATTTCCGTCCAGATTCATGGGGTCGTACTCCATCTTGACCGCCGTCCCCAGCTCCGAGGGAGAATGCTGGGCGCTAGATGATTTGGCTTGATCTGCTTCTGTTGGGTTCCAAGAGGGCCTCCGATATATGTGATATTAGAAAAGAGCGATGCGGTGTGTTGGTGATGAGGCGCGTTGGATTGAGGAATGCCAAAGCCGCAGGCTGCACAAGAGCCGGGTCTTCAACTCACGGCCTTGAAAGCTCAGGACAGGGTACTTCCAAGTGGGAACCTGAAAGCGGCGCTAGTCGCCTCTTCACAAGTACTTCTAAGCGGGCAGGCGGGACGAGCTTTTGGGGTGGCTTATCGGCGGTTATCGGAGCTTCCGAGGTGCAGGTGGTGCCGTACAACCTTGATTTCTTACCTAGGTAGGTAGCAGCTCTACTCTGCTAGGAAGGCAGAAATAAAATTTCCCTTGCGTCATAAAACTTTTCCCTTCTCCTCAGACCACATATCTTACAGCCCGCCGAGGCCTCATACTCAAGCCCACCATGCTCAGACAAGCGCTCGTCACTCCTTCCAGAGCTCTCCGCTCTTCAGCCCGATCAATCGCCCAGAGGCCTCTGGCCCGGCCCCAGACTATCATAGCTCCTCTGGCAACACGGAGTGCACAACCCGCCGTCTCGAGATGGTACAGCGATACCCCCAAGGCTTCGCAAGAAGCCGAGACGAAAGCGGACGAAACAGAGGCCAAACCAGCATCCGAAGGAGAGGCAGCACCAGCTGAGGACCCGGCTGTGACAGAGCTGAAAAAGAAGCTGGATACCAAGGAGAAGGAGGCCGTGGACTGGAAGGTACGGGCCCATCACGCGATCGATCTACTTCATGATCTCCCAGGCTTACATTACTTCTAGGACAAATGCCTGCGCTCCATCGCAGACTTCCGCAACCTCCAAGACCGGACCCAGCGCGAGGTCAAGAACGCCCGCGAGTTCGCCATCCAGAGCTTCGCCAAGGACCTGGTCGAGAGCGTCGACAACTTCGACCGCGCGCTCTCCATGGTCCCCGAGGAGAGGCTGAAGGCGGCCAAGGAGAACGACGAGCTCAAGGACGTCGTCCAGCTGCACGAGGGTCTCAAGATGACCGAGAACATCCTCATGAACACCCTGAAGAAGCACGGCCTGGAGCGCTTCGACCCCGTCGGCGAGAAGTTCAACCCGAACGAGCATGAGGCTACCTTTATGAGCCCTCAGGAGGGCAAGGACGATAACACCGTCTTCTACGTCCAGCAAAAGGGCTTCAAGCTCAACAGCCGGGTGCTGCGCGCGGCCAAGGTCGGCGTCGTCAAGAACAAATAGGCTGGACCATGACCACAGGTCAGGCAGGACGTGCGCTTCCTGATATCCCCTTGTATTACTACCACCACTCTCATGTGCTACCAAAAGTCTGGCATTGGCGTTCAGGCGGCTAGGTGTGATGACTGCTCCTCTCACGATCACTGGGACAAAAAGCTTTATGGATGATGGCAGGGTCACGTTCACGAAAATTAGACGAAGGATCTGCATAGTCCATTCTTGTATATAGAGACTACCACCTCGCATTAATACGGGAAGATTCATCCGAGCCTACAATAGTACAAAGGTCCGGAGAAGCAGGACGGCTGATATGAAGTAGGCTGGATGCCGAATTCTACCCGAAAATATCAAATCATATGGTCAGAAAGCGACTACCTCAACTATTCCTGATTCCTACAATTATTTTGGATGTTGACAACTGGCCAATTCCTCGGGAATGGGCGGCAAGTCATCGCAATTCAACACCCCAGTATTTGGGGGCAGTGATGTGTTCAGCTCAAGCTGGTCAAGTTAACCACAGCGCACTGGGCCAAGTGTTCCCAGCTAACAAGAATGCATTCAGTCAGTGGAATTTGCCAACACATATCATGTCGACAAGTTACAGTATCGTGTTACTCATTTTACTACACTAATGAACTCTTATGTATGCCGGATCGAGATCGCTGATCCAAGCAACCTCCAGGACCGAACCGGAGGCAATGCCAGTTCTTGATTCTGGGCTGAGGCCGGTTGTCCCTCGCTTTCTGTGCTCCTCATATGAAGCATTTTGACACTTTGCTGACAGATAGATGTTGTACAATGTTCGTCGCCATTCGACCCTTCAGAACCTCGTGCCCATCCTTGGGCAGTCTCGCTTGCAGACAGCATGGCTACATCTGGCCACTTATTATGCGAGCCGCTCTTCTTCGTCGGATACACACATGTTGATGCGCTTTCGATCACATCAGACACTGTATTTGAGTGTCCTCCGCCGTTATCGGACATCTGCGGTTGGCCCTTTCCAGTTTGGTCTTGACCACCCGCACGAAAACCAACAAGCTGTCGCAGACCTGCTTTGGACCTCGACCAGAGCCCTCAGGAGTAGTTGCGTCGGTTCTTCCGTATCTCCTCCGGCTCCCAGATGTCAGGGTACATGGCAAACACCTCGTCGGGGGTGTCCTTGCCCATGAATTCGAGCATACTCCTCTGAATTTCGAGGTGTGCGTCGAGCTCGCGCCGCAGCTCGTCGCGCTCGCGCACGCGGACCTTGATCTCGGCCATCTTGGCCTTGGCGATGTAGCTGAGCTCGCGGATGTTGCCGTGCACCTGCTTCATGATGCGCCGATCACGAATGTTGCGGTGCTCGGCGACGCAGTCGGCCAGCTTGCGGTTCTCGTGCTTGAGGCGCCTCGCCTCGTGCCGCAGCCGCTCGGCCTCGGCGTTCGCCTCCTCCTCGGTCTGCACCAGGTTTGTGACCTCGCGGCGCTTGCTGTCGATGATGTTCTGCGTGGTCTCGAGGCCCCAGATCCTCTGAATCGCGCCTTCGACCTCGGCGGGCCCGTAGTACTCGGGCTCAGATGGCGTCCTCACGCCCCAGGAGGGCTCGGGGGAAGTGTTGTTCATGCGAACCCAGCGCATTAGCTCGGGATCCATGCGGTTAAAAAGGTAAGTAGAGTACGCCGGAGGCATGGAAGGGTTCAAAGCTGTCCAGTCATTGTCTATCAGTACACTCCCACTACATAACAGAGAAGCGCAGCATGGGAGCGACGACTCACGAGGCGGTGACCACAGAATGGACGGCTCAGACCTTGCGTAAGCGCTGCATTCGGGACTCAACTGTTTGCCGTCCTCCGCATCGTATAGGCTCTGCGTCGCGCGGCGCTTTGTCTGTCGTGGCAGGGCGGTATTGGGAGAGCAAGGCCGTTGACGGTCGTCCTGGTGTCTTGTTCTCAGCATATCAATGGCCGTGATGGATTACATGTGAGTCGTTGACGTGGTTGTTCGGACCGAGCCCAACCCTCACTCACAGGGATCCCATAAGTCTTTTGTCCTTCCCAAGTCGATCTGTACTTGTCGTCGCTATGCTGGTCCCATCTCTTCGTGCCTTGAGACCACTGAGCAAAAGTATCTGGAGAGATCCAACCGTCCGCGGGATCACCCTCGCCGTCGTCTGAGACATCGCTGGCTGCGTACTTCCTCCATCCATCTGCTGCACAGTCGCTGCTCAGGTATAGGTCGTCCGACTTGGCCGTGTCGATGCCCTCTGGAAGCTTCAGATCCACAAGTCCGAAATGCTCGATTATGGGGCGGTCAAAGGTGAAGATAGACTTGCGCTGCGTCTCTTCGTCATCGTACATCGCTGGGCCGCGGGCCTTCCAGTCGAAGCGGTCCTTGATCGAGTTCTCGATGTCACCCAGCATGCTGAATTACAAGCACTTTTAGCCTTTTGAAGCAAAGTGGACACCGGCAGGTAAGTAAACATACGTGACCTCCCCGTCAGCTCGCTTGTCTGTTTCCAGCCTGGCGATCCATGTCATCAAAGGATCCTCCATGTCAGGAAGGCCTTTCATGGCGACATAGGCCTTCATTGTCGTGCCCGACAAGGTCCAAACCGCATCGCGGTCTTGCCCCTCACTGGACCCTGAGCGAACACACTGGGACGACACATTTTCTGCGTATGTTAGCTCACGTGTGAATACCTTCGTCTGCTTGAGCGGCGTACCAGGGGTGCCGTGCTCCTGAACTGCCTCCTCGCTCGAGGAATTCATGGAGGATGTCATCTCAAACGATTGAGGCCGGGGAGAAGATCAAGGTCAGCGTGAGATCTGGGAGAACAAAGACTTGAGCAGCGAGGATGGTCGCTGCCTCGTGCGTAGGTCCTAGGGAAGGTGAGGTAGGTAGGTTAGATTTAGGGCGGGGGTAGGCAACGTCTTTAGGCGGGCTGGAATTTTGCTCGTTTTGAAAGCTCAAACAGTACCGCTTATGACGCGATGGCAACGGTGATGGAGACATGCAAAATACAACAGGGGAGGTTGGTTATGTATGGAGCAAGCAGGGTGCGTGACAACACAGCAAGCAAACCAAGCTGAAGACCACATGCTGGCAACACCACGCATCGGATTATGGTACTCAGGCTCTTCTTGGAGACTCAGGTTTAGCATTGATTCTCTAAGCTCTATCAAGTCTCTGGGACCTCCTTCAGGACTTGCCTGTGTGCACAAAGCATAGCCCCTCCGTCATTTCGTGAGATCAAGAATTCTCGACAAGCAGGCTGTAGGCTTTTGAGGATAGAAATATAGTAAAATTGACGAGGGAAAAATGCCATGCTCTGACTCCTCTGTTGGCTCCAAGAAGAAGCAGCAAAATGATTCCGATCATACCTTGATTCTGGTGTGACTCTCATCACCGCATCACTTTTTGCCCTTGCCTTTTGTGGCTGCCTTGCCCTTTCCACGGCCTTTCGCGGGCTTGTCGTCACCATCGTCTTCTTCATCGTTATCGGCAGCCTTCTTCTTGGCAGCTCGCTTGGGCTTGGCCTTGGGTTGCTTGATGTACTTGTCCTTCTTGAGATCTATCTCGTCATCGTCTTCCTCCACCGGCTCGGCGACCTCCGCCCCATCATCCTCTGCCTCGATAGCGTCTTCAATGTCAGGCACATCCTTTGCAGCCTTCTTCGGTGCGGTAACATTGCTGGCTTTCATGAATGGCACAGCGTGGGACATCGAGTTATATCTGTTCGTGTTAGATTCCAGCGTTTCACTTTGGCTCGCGACTAGACTTACGTTCTCGTGAAGGCTGCCTTCGTCTGGGTCTCGATCTTCACCAGGCTTTCGTCTTGGGGACCGACACCAAGTTCAAGCATGGCATCGAAGTCCTCTCTCGTGAGGTAGTAGCTGTCCATGAGGTCGATGACCTCCTGGACACACTCCTTGCCCTCCAGAGCAAGGCGCTTGACAATCTGATGCCACAGCACAGGCAGATACTGCTGGCGGATCTCGCTCACATCCCCAGAAGACTTGAGCCGCATGTGTGCCTGAATCTCTCGGACGTAGCGGCCGAGTTTGCCTAGCTTGCTGTTGTTTCCGAGCCACTTTGTGAACTCGGTACCAATCATTTGGCCAGCAACGAAGCTCGCCGGACGGACTGTGCTGAAACTGCGTGTGTCGGCATGAGGCTCCAATGCTGTTGTGGACCGTGTATCATGCGATCAACAAGATCACCATCGCTGATGCTCTCGGCCGCTTGATCCGCCATTTCAAGGTATTTCATGTTCGCCTCCCTGCTGTTGTAGCCCTTGCCGCTCAGACCCGCTGGCTTCGCCTTGAGGTAGTTCTCCTGAATCATGAGATAGCTGAACTCGTGGTCGTTGAAGTACAACTCAATCTTGTCGTTCAGTGTGGACTTGCTTGCTGGGTTGAACAAATTGCCACCCAACAGTTTCTGGCAGATGTCCCAGGGCTTCAGGACGACATGCTTCTCCCACGCCTTGGACATCGATTTGGTTTGGTCAAAGTCCATAGATGTTTGGTCAAGCTTGATCGTTGAAAGCATGTTGATGATCTGCCTGATGTCCTTGTTGCTTCCCTCAATGAGAGCATCGACAACCTGCAGCGGCAGCTTGAGACCCTCTCGATGGCAGATGGTCATGATGCGAGATCGGACCTGCTCCACTGTTGGACGTCGGAATGGGATGTCGAAGGCTGCACCATCGAAGGGTTTCATCTTTGGCAGTTTGCGTTCGTTGCATATCAAGATGAGTGGTATCTCTGTTTTCTTGCAAAACTTGGCCAACGCTCCGACACCGCCTCGGTCACCAGCTGACATGCCGTCAACTTCGTCCATGATCAAAACGATATTCTTCTTGGCATCCTCAACCTTCTTTCCATCACCGGCGAAGAAGCCTAGGAGAGAGGTGTTGTTCATCACCTCGCTGACTCCGTTCTCAACCATTTTCTTGCTTCGGGTGTCGCTGGCGTTGCTCTCGATTACATCGAACCCCGCCAGCTTTGCTGCAAGATGCGCCGAAGTCGTCTTGCCTATACCAGGAGGACCGCTCAGAATGACTGCCCGATAGCCACCCATGCCATCGGCTCCAAATTTCTTGAAGTCATATTTGCGGTTCTTGGGCCAGGCTTTCAGCCAGTTCTGAATCTTTTCGACTTGGCTCTTGTTTCCACAAATGTGGTTCAGCTGAGAGGGCGCATATTTGCTCGTCCATAGCTGTGAGTTGGCAGCGATGGCCTGGGTTGGAGCAGCCGCTCCACGTGCTGCAGCGGCCTTGCGCGCTTTCTCTGCCTCGATCTGACGGGCTTTTTCTTCCCTCTCCAGCTCCGCAGCAGCCTGCCTGACTTTCTTCTCATCGGCCTCTTGCTTCTCTTTGGCCTTCGCCGCGTTCTTCGCCGATCCGCCATTTGCGGGTGCTTTCCGTATCAGTTCGAACAAACCGTTTTCGTCGATTGTCTTGATTCCGACCTCTTGGATTTTCCGAAGCTTCGAGGGGCCTGCATCATCCCCTAGAACCACGAAGGTGGTCTTGCTGCTCGGTGCACCCGTAACTTTTCCACCGAGGCGTTTCACTAGTGCTTGTCCGTCCTCTCGGCCGAGAGTCTTGAGCTGACCCGTGAAAACGAATGTCATTCCTGTGAGGCAATTTTCCTCTCCCTCCGGTATTTCAGCCGTGCCCTCCATCGGCGCAGGCCCCGAGTTGCCTCCGCCAGCAGCTGCCTTTCTCCAGTCGAATTTCGCGTCGGGGTCCTTAGCAGGCGGTGTCGGTGGCCTGACCGTAGGCACGGAATCAATGAATGCCTGATAGCTGGCATCCTCCTGCTCTGGCTCCTTCTTCTTCTTCGGGGCTCGAGGTTTCGACGCAGCAGCTTTCTTCCGTGGAGCCTCTTCGAGATCTTCATCGTCGGAATCCGGCGATTTGCGCTTCCTTCCATTGTTGGCAGGCTTCTTTGGTGCTGGCGCGAAGTCCTCGTCGTCATCCTCGGATTCCTCAGCCTTAACGGGCTTCCCTCGGGAAGCAACCCGCTTGGGCTTGGGCAGGACTTCCTCCTCGCTCTCCTCTTCCAAGTACTCGTTCTTCCTCTTGCTTCCACTTCGCGCATCGGCAGCGAATATGTCATCCGCGTCCTCATCGCCGTCCTCCATGTACGCATCCTCGTCGTCGTTCAACTTGACCTTCCCGTGAGACGTGACAGCCTTGGGCTTAGCAGCAGGTTTGCCCTTGCTGGTTGCTGCTGCTGCTGCGTTGGCAGCCTTCCGGGGGCTCTGGCGCACGGGCACGCTAGGTTTCTTCGGAGTGGACTCGGATTTCTTGTTGTTCGACTTGGACGAGGTGAAGTAGTCGTCAGCAGAGATCTCCTTTCCTTTGACTGGCTCTGGCTCTGTAGCTTTCTTCTTCCTTGGCGTAGACCTTGCTGCCGGCTTGCTCGGTTGTGCGACGGGTTCATCATCCTCTTCGCTGTCATCAACGACCTTACGCGGTCTCCCACGGCCCTTCTTGACAGGCTCCTCCTTCTTCGGTGCAGGTTTGGCCGGGGCAGCACCTCCCCTAGGGGCGAAGAAGCTTCGTATGTCGGACATTGTGATGATATGGGCGTCTGATGTTTGAGATCAGCGGTTGAGATACTTTGGAAGAGACCCTAGAGAGGCAGATTCCACCGGCACAATTGGGTCGGCGGGGAACTCTGGGAGTCGAGTTCCCGTTTGTGGAAGAAGGCAGAGGCAGAGGTCAAAGGAGGAAGCTCGAGACGCGTGCGTGACGCGATGATTGCTGGAATCACTTAAAAAAGAGTGGGTCGGCCAAGGCAGACATGGCCCGAGCTCCTTTGCGCTCCGTGCCTGCCTAGCATTTTCCCGATTTTGACATCAGGAAAGCAGGCACAGCGCAAGCACCCAGTCCCCCATCTAGCGGCACCTCAGGTTGCGAAACCTGGGCATCGACAATGATGAATCGGCAAGGCCCATCAACACTTCTCAATGCCCTGAAAGGGCTGAGGGTGTTGTCCCCCGCGACCCCTCTACAGCCCTTCCACGCTGCAAAGGTCCCATGCCTCGCCGCCGCTGCCAGGACATTCACATCCACAGCCCCCCAATTAGGGTCATGGCTGGAGCCATTCATCGACCGAACGAAGAAGAAAATGAAGGGAAGACCGAGAGTTGCCACAGGAGGCTCTGTAAAAGGCACAACGATTATGATTGGAGACTACGGCCTGCGCATGATCGACCACCACAGGAGGATAAGTGCGGCACAACTGAAGCTCGCGGAAGCGACCATCAAGCAAAGACTTCGTGGGCAAAGATACCGGCTGTACACAAGAGTCAATTGTAACATTGGCGTCTACATCAGCGGAAACGAGGTCAGTTTTGCCCCGTCTGTTTCTGCGGTTGTCGAGGAGAAGGCGACTAACAAACGGACAGGTTCGTATGGGTAAAGGAAAGGGTTCCTTTGACCATTGGGCGGCGAGAGTTGCGGTCAACCGTGTCATCTTCGAGATCAGGGGAGCATTGCACGAGCAGGTTGCCCGAGACGCCTTCCGACTGGCTGGTAACAAGCTGCCGGGCCAGTACGAGTTCATCAAGAAGGGTGAGCCAGCTGTTGTGGGCATAACAAAACTGGACGGGGTCACTCTCGACGATCTGAAGCGACCACGAAAACAGGTGCCTACGGTCGAAGCACCCAATGTGGCACCAGCAGTAGCGACCACTCCGTCCACTGTTCCTCCGACGCCTCCAGCACCATGACGGGTGACAGTCTTTCAGAATGTAACATAACCAAATCTGGCTGTACAATGGATATACCCCGGGCTTCTGTCGCTAGAAAAATGGAACAGACAAGGTCTGACCTCCCCAGGCCAGACAAAGATTCATGCGTGCTCGCTATTGGTGAGCTGGCCAACTCACACCGGGAACAGGAGGAGGCACCCCATAGCCTAAACACTGCATCGTACGAGAAAGGCACTTCTATACAGTGTAGAATAGAAGTCCATGGCATTGAAAGCCCATACGTTTGCTGCGCATCCGCAAAAGGGAGATGGAATGAGGACATACCCCAACCAATTAGTAGTTCACAGACAGCCTGCTGAATCCCAAATAAAGCGTTTGCGCATATAGGTTGGCAGAGGGCAACGGATAGACGAAATTCGAAGATAAAACAATTGTTGGCTGCAAGTCAACGCAGGAGCGTCGATGGTATTGAGGGCATCAGCTCAAGCCACTTTATATGACAAGCCCAATGCCGGGAAGACCACTCGCTACCACGAGCTGGGCCATCTGCCCATTTCCTCAGATGAAGGGGGCCCATGTGCATGTGTGGGCTTTGGATATCTTGCCTTTCTGCAGTCCATTCGATTGTAGCCCCCGGACAATTATGATTTCAGCATTTGATCCTTGTTTCCAACAGGAGCCGCCTTTTCTACGTTCTCTGTCTACATGGGCATGGCTGTTAAATCAATCAAAAATTGAAAGTCTTGTCTGCTATGTGTCCCTAAAGTTGCATAGGACCTGTGGTGGTTTTATGATACATACTACGGTACACCCTACATATGTTCAAATATAAAGTAATGCACAGATGTAAATGCAACGGGGGAGGGCCACTGGGAAACTACACACCCAACACCTACACACCCAAAACCTACACACCCAACACATATACACCCAATACCTATACACCCAATTCACATACCCCGTTTAAACACTTAATTTATATACCTAGGGCTAATTCGACATGTAAATTGGGTATATGAATTACCATGGCAATGACTTTCCCATGAGTAAAATGAAGTTATATATCATAGAAGTTATGCACAACAGGGTTCTCATCACCTTGAAGAGCTTGAAGGCCGCTGAATATACATGGTCCATATGCTCCTTTGAAACGGGCCATGGGTGAAATTGGCACAGCAAAAGTACTGGAGCAGCAATAGCTCAAGAAATCATTTGCCATTCCACCAAAGAAGTACTGCTTGGGCATAGCAAACCGCCTCCTTCCCCTCAATTTACGCTATTTGTAGAGATTTTATCGCCTAGTGAAGACTCAATAGACCACTTTATGCGTTTCATGATCCTCCTGGGTTGGTAACCTTTGCCTGTGGTTTGCAAGACTGTAGGTGTGGTGAAGAAAGTTTGGTTAGTCCATACATTGCGCCTATGGCCAAAGACTTTGAGAGTAATTCTGGTATGATGGTTGTATCTTACAAGTTGCACCTTCACCGGTGCCGTGAAGACGTACTCATTGTGACGCATCTCCACGTATGCGTTTCCTTTGCCATACATGTCCTCCAACCAGTCTCTCAATTGCTTGGAATCAGTCCAGCCTTTCCACCAGATTTTTCCGCAGGGGATCCGGGTCTCACAGGTGGTGATCCGCTTGTCTGGGTTGTCAGGCTGTGGGTGGCGAAGAGGTTCAAGTTAGTCCAAGCACTCTACCAAGGGCTGATTCTAAGCCATCGTGGTACAGTAAATGTGTCTTACAAGCTCAAACTCCTCCGGTGCCGTGATCACGTATCTTGTGTCCTCTTTCACTAAGGCGAAGCGTCCTTTGCCATATTTCGTCTCCAGCCAGGTTTCCAATTCCTTGAGGTTGGTGTAACCTTTGCAGCAGGCTAATTCATAAGGGACATACATCACCTTCTTGAATATGGTCGGCTGGTCCTCATTTGTCGACATTTCCTAGGTGTACTCTTGGTCTTTGGATTGAGTGAGCTGTGGTTTTCGGGTTGTCCACACTGTCAGATCTTTAGTATGATATTTAGGTTCTCATATACTGGGCGCTTGGCTGTTGTTACGGTGCAGCATAGAAGCCGTAGTAATAACTTGTTGTTGCGGGAAGGAAGGAAAACTAGAAGTCTACAAGCCGCAGGCGAAGCTGTGGCGTTTATATGGTGGGCCGCTGTAGTGGGTACCGTGACAGCTGTGAATATGCATGAGTCTTGAGATATTGTTCCGTTCCTCAATGGCTGAGTGAAAGGGGCCTTTGTTGAAGGGGGGTTAATATTACAGGTTTTAAATACCTGAGGCGTTGGAAGAGGATGGCGAGGTTCTTTGAACTGACATCAAATCAGTTTGAGTGACATACAAAGATTCGTGAGTCAACGCAGACAATCTTGTTCTGAACAACTGTGTTCAAACCACTCTCCCAAGTCCCCACCCATGAGTAACGCGTTTAAATACGCATGGAACAACGCAATCATCGAACAGGTCACAAGGAAATTCGAGACTATCATGCAAAAATTGCCGGGCCTGGTGACCTTGCTAGGGGATACCTGGGCGTATTTGACATGTAGAAAAAGACCGTCGCCCATAGCTGCATTTCTTCATTGTTCTCATGGTCTCGTCAGTGTTTTGTAGATCACATGTGCGACCTCCACAATATTTCCCACTGGTTGATCATCCACACTTCTAAACAGATGACCGCACGTGTAAAGCTATCCAACTCACTAACTTCCCTTCCCAAGTTCAGAGGCTCAACAAAGACTTGGCGCCTGCAATCCTATTGTTTCATCCTGCAACACAAAATTCATTCTCTACGATTGTGAGACATTGGAATCTACCGCGTGGCTTATCACCAGTTCTCACACGCTGGCATAATGCTCACCGTGGCGAGTGGCCTTTGGAACTCACTGCTTCACTATAGACTTATCGAAATGGCTCCAGAATTTGCCGAAGCTTGCCATATTACACCTTTAAACGCAGTTTCCACGTTGTGATCTCCTTTGCTTTAAGGTGGAAAATCAGCGCTGTCGAAGCAGGCGTGGCTTGTGTTGTGACATGTTGGGTACACAATGAGGTTTGACGTGGCACTGTCCGTTGACACTCAGATAGGCACCCACACCCTGAGTACCACAGGTTTCGGGAATTATTGTAGCCCAGGCAGACACAGAACTAGTGCAGAGTCGCTCAAACTGGGCCTCCCGCCACATGGCCGCCCACCATGGCCTCAACCAAGCTCATTCTCATGCATGCCAGCTAACTGGGGCCAATTCTCTTACACAACTGACACACTACCTTATCCCTCACTAGTATGCCCGCAAATCAGCTATAACAAGGGGCTCTGTCCAGACTTGGCCCCCAAAGTCCTGAGCGCTTGTGCCTGGTTAAAAGTCTGCGTCTGCCACCAAAACTTGGCTTGCTCTGCACAACTGGATTAATTTTTCAAGGCGGCTCTAAAAACACCCAAAGCCAAGCCCAGCCCTACATTGTCAACATGTTCTTCGTACTGACCTCTCTGCTTGCAGCAGCACAAGTAGTCACCGGCATATGTTACTGGCCGGATGGGTCAGCGGACCCATCGGGATACGTATGTAATAATACAGCAGTATCTCAAGGCGGGCACAGTTCATGCTGCCTGCACAACGATGCCTGCTATGAAAGCGGGAGTTGCTTCCAGGACTGGTCAGGAATCATGTATAGGCAAAGCTGTACGGATCCGGACTGGAAGGATCCGAGTTGCCCGCAGTACTGTCTCCAGAAAAGTGCGGTAGCATCCATTATTTTAATTCTAATCCCTGACCTCAGTCACTGACTTTACTTATTTCCGCTCGCAGACCAACTGGAAGTCGGGGTTTGGATCCAGTCCTGCAGCCTGCAAGACAAGAAGGCATGCTGTGTGACGGATGCCCCTAGTGCGAGCTGCTGCAACGACACCAGCAACTTGTTCACTTTTACGCCGGGTTATATACAAGCAGTCATCAACGGCGACGGCACGAACCGCTTGGGCCCGTACGTGGCAGCGGATGAAAAAGCTGTCACGACACCGACCTCGACAGCATCAACGGGCTCTGACGCCGGCTCCTCTAACGATACATCTGCCAGCGCCACTGTCGCTGCCACCGATGACACGACTTCGCTATCGACCCCCGTCAGAGACGCCATAATCGCAGTAGGTGCTGTACTCGGGACCATCCTTCTGATCACACTTGCATCACTGGTATTCGTGTGGCGGAAGTTTTCCAAGGAGAGGCGGCTGCGACGCGAGGAACAGGAGGCGCTCAGGCGGCAACAGAAGGAAACTTGGCCCCAACTAACCCACGAGGCCACGTTTCAAGCAGGCGGAGGCGGCGTGCCAGGGGGGAGGAGCGAAATGTACGCTGGGGAGTTCAAAGGCAGGCCTTGGTCCCGAGATGTGCGGGAACTGCCCGCATCTCAACATGTTGGTGAGCTGAGTACGTAGTACATCGATTACCATTGGCAAGCTCTCTAAGCCGGGTGAACCTCGTTTCGCAGATACTTTTCCGGTCATACTTCGAGAATTATAATAATGGTTGTCATTTGCTTGACAAATTCTGCTGGTCTGAGACTCTTCGCGTAGATAGAACCTATAGACACGAGTGTGCCTGTGTAATACAGTAGTCTAGTGAGGTGCCCCACTTCTTGTGCTGTAAGGGTACAGGGAACACGAACCCTGGTCAGCTGCGTATGGGTCCAATCAACCCGCTGCCTGTATAGACGCGTCGCGCAAACCGCGACTCAACTTTCTAAGGCCCGTCATCCCTCCACCTGTCTTTTGGCAGCACCTTTGAGCCACTTCTGCAGTTGAATACGTCGAGAATAGCAATTGAGTGGGACCTAGAGTGTCAGAAACGGTCAGAAATTCCAACATGGCGTTGATTGTCGACAAGCATCGGCCACGGTCTCTGGACCAACTCTCGTATCACACAGAGCTCTCTGAGCGGCTTAGATCACTTGTACGTAGCGCAGGTGATGGCTGACTTCATACGTCTCTACTGACACCACATTCTTACCAGGCCCAAAGTGGCGACTTTCCTCACCTCCTCGTGTACGGACCATCCGGCGCTGGCAAGAAGACCCGCATCGTCGCGACGCTCAAGGAGCTTTTCGGCCCCGGCGTGGAGAAGATCAAGATCGACGCGCGCGTGTTCCAGACGACGTCCAACCGCAAGCTCGAGTTCAACATCGTCGCTTCCGTCTACCACCTCGAGATCACGCCCAGCGATGTGGGCAACTACGACCGTGTGGTGGTGCAGGACCTGCTCAAGGAGGTCGCGCAGACCCAGCAGGTCGACCAGGCCGCTAGGCAGCGTTTCAAGGTCGTCGTCATCAACGAGGCCGACCACCTGACGCGCGACGCGCAGGCGGCCCTCAGACGGACGATGGAGAAGTACAGCCCCAACCTGCGCCTGATCCTGCTGGCCAACTCGACGGCCAACATCATCGCGCCCATACGCTCGCGGACCCTGCTGGTGCGGGTTGCGGCCCCTACGCACGAGGAGATATGTGCGGTCCTGGCATCGTCGGCTAATAAGGAGGGCTGGCCTGTGGTCAAGGGTCTGCACCAGCGCATAGCGGAGGAGAGTGGACGGAATCTGCGCCGGGCTTTGCTGATGTATGAGGCGGTTCATGCGCAAAAGTACGTTGGTTCAGCATCTTGAGACTTGGGGTCCCGAGGGTACACCTGCTAACATTGTTGTCTTGCAGTGAGAAGGTCACCGATTCGACGCAACTGCCACCCCCGGACTGGGAGGCTCTCATCCACCAAATTGCCAGAGAAATCATGGAGGAGCACACACCAGCCAGGGTGCTGGTGGTTCGGGCGAAGCTCTACGATCTCCTCTCGCACTGCATCCCGGCTACAACCATCCTCAAGACTCTCACATTCAAGCTCCTGCCCTTGATCGACGATGCCCTGAAAGCCGACGTCATAAAATGGTCAGCCTTCTACGAGCACCGGATCAAGACAGGGACCAAGGTCATATTCCATCTGGAAGCGTTCGTTGTGAAGTTCATGCGGATATTAGAGATGTACCTGATGAGCATGGACTTTTGAAGAAAGAGCAGGACGATAGGAGAAGGACTCCCGTAACAACGGCTGTCATGCTCTTGACGTTACAAGTACGGCTGCACGGATCGAGGGGCGGGCGCTCTGGGCAGGGTGGCTCTACGAGTCGCGCGGACCGGGAAAGCAGATGGTTTCGTGCAGAAGACCAATTTGATCACAGGCGAGGGCGTTCGAGACCAAGGCGTTTTTGGACGGGTAAAAGTACCTGGAGGAATGGTTTGGTTGAAGCTCACTACCGCCCGGCGAGCCTCCGACCGGAATGAACTAGAGGCGTCTCGATATGGAACCCATCACGCACAAGCGAGAAGCTTGTACCGGTCAAGCAGCCTCGCATTTGTTGGGAGACGTGCCACCAAGCCGCAGTGTGCGCGCATTTTGTGTGCTGCGGAGAATATGCAGTGCACCGCGAGAGGCTGCCTACAAACGCATGTCCACTTGCTTGGGCGGCTCGGCGTAGCCCCGTAAGGTCCGATTGCGCAGCAGAAACGCTGCGGTGGATCTCTGGTGCAGACGCGTGCTGCATGTAACATTGGCTGAAGACAGCGGGACGACGACGCAGGACGAAAGCGCGTTTTGAAGCCTACAGATTAGACCTTGACCTGAATTTGGTGGTTGCCAACAAATAAATGGCTTGAGCCGAACAGATGCGTTTTCACTCCAGTATGACGGGTATGACAACCATTGGCTAGGCCCACTCACCGTACTGACTCTGCGCCATCAGCGTTAACCGAGCGAGCGAGCCTTTGAGGGCCATCGTTCAGCTGTGCCGTCGCACGAAGAGGCATATCGTTCGTCAGTTTGGCTTGGCTGCCCAGCCCTGTGACAGGTTGGACAAGGGTGAAACCACGCACTCGCCGGGCAGCGCTGGCTGTATGGCTGCATCGGGTTACTTATCAGTCTACTGGCTTCCGTTGGTCCATGAGAGGTGGCATCCTTGCGCCCCGAATTGGCTCGCCAGTGTCAGCTCTTGCGTAGCTCGACCCAGACCCGGGAGTCTGGGCGCAAGACGATCATTCGTCAGAAGGGTGGTGTCCACGGCCGCCCTCGACCCCGTCCTACCGTGCCCAGCCAGCCAGCTTGGGTGTGAAGTCATCTGGCTGGGCCGCGCGACGGCGGGGGAGATCCTGGGGGGAGCCACCACGGTGCCTGGGGAGAGCTTCGAGGGGCGGGCACGCGGGTGGCTACGGCGTGGGTCATCTTTGTGTTCGCCTAACCTCGGACACGCGCTGGATTAGCATTTGTGACATCCGGGACTTGCCGCCAGATAACCGCAACTCCAAGCAGCACAGAGGTCACCAGCTCGCTCTCTTCCAAAGTCGCGAACTTCAGCGAACTGCCAGTGGGGAGATGTATGAGTGATTTGTTGAGCCTCGAACCCGTCCCTGCGTCTGGGTGTGGGAGAACTCCCGTGCATCCAGCGGCTAATGATCGGGCCAATACCCAAATAGACAGGTATAGTATATACGGGCCATTTATTAGCGGGTGCAACCAACGACAATACCTGCAGTTGTGCTGACGGTAGCGCACGAAAGTTGCCGTCCCCACCAGCACGTCAGGTCCTTGCTGGTTGACGATCTCCTCGGGCTGTACCTATGTACATTAAATTACATCCGGCACTGTTATCTGGACATCAAACCAGAGTCCAGAGCCTAGAGACGGGCTCGATAGACCACAGTGAAGATCTACACGGTCGTCGATATTTGAATAGGATCATGCATACTGTCGGCTGCCTACTGCAATAGGCAATACATTAGGGGGGCCTACGGTCCAGTTCAAAGCCCCGTGCCCACCTCTCCACGATTCATCTCGGCCACTCTTACCGCGCCAACGCTACCCCAGGCCAGAAGGATTGATGCGGGGAAGCTTAGGAGCACTTGGGAGTAGCTTGGCGTGCCGGCTTTGTTCGTGGCTGTCCCTAGCGGCTGGATGGGCTGGATCAAGAACACCCCGTTGTCTCTCGGGCGTTGGGGCTGAAAAGGAGGGGGGTTGATGGAAGGGTTGCATGTGGCTGCGAAAGATGATGTACTGGATCTGCCGGGCTGGACGTCAAATCGTCTTCCTGCCGTTGTCCCGAAAGCTTCTTTGGACATGATGGTCTGTGGCCGGCTAGGCGCCTTGCCTTTACCGAGCGTCTGTTCGGCCTGGTTCTACACCCAAGCTGCAGCTCCTTACTGAGCTGGGGCGATATCGCATCGTGCATTGTCGAGGATGGGGACCTCTGACTCTGCCAGCTCTGACGAGGTGGATGGGGACGGGGACCGAGGGGAAGGACGGAGGGGTCTGGCCAGAGCATGGTAGGGGGGCTGAGCCTGGCCGGTGTCGAACGTTTTTGCGCCGAAAGTCTGGCGATGAGCCAGGCTCCCCAGGCAGAGTGACGCATCCCAAGGCCTTGCTCGCTGGATTGCCAATTTCGTATACAACCAGACAACTCAACGGTCCCTCCCACAGAGGGCAGGTCCCAGTCACAAGGGAGGCCGACTTAGGAGCCCATGGCCAGATAATCGCCAGAGTTGATGGGGTTTTCGGGCTCTCGGTTCTCGGTCTCAGACGTTGAGGCGCGATGCACAGAGGGAGCTCGGATGGAAAACCGGAGAGGCAACGGCTGTGCATTGCATTGCAGTGCAGTGAGCAGTCCGCCCTCGGGCAACAGAACGACACGACAAGAGTGAAGAGTGAGAACGAGAAAGAGACTTTGTCTCGAGAGCTCCGTTGCTGCATGCCGGCCGGCCAGACCCTGGCCAACACGGTCCCTCGCAGGCCTGGGTAGGGGCTCATCTGATCGAGGGACGAGTTCGACGGAGTCCGGACAGACGGAAAAGTTGTCGCTGAGTAGCCTCGCTCCTCACCTCATGGCAGTGGGGTGTCAATCCCGGCCGGGTGGAATCCCTCTGCACTAGCTCGAGGACCCCCGTCCCGGTGGGTATGGATTCATTCCCGAACAGGCAGTGTTCGGACACAAGGGACGAGGGGCCCTGCGTGCATGCTGTGGGCAGAAAGCAAGAGGGTGAATTGAGTGAGCGTGTGGGCGAGTGAGTGAGTGAGTGACTGACCAGGGACCGGCGACAAGTGACCAGTGACCGGTGGTCTGGCTTCTCATCAGCAAACTAATACAAAGCTACCCCCCTAGCCTCACCCTCCGCGTCTGAGCTGCTGCTCTGTCTTTCGATTGTTCCGTTTTCCAATTCCTCCAGATCCTTCACATCTATAGACTTAAAGGTGTCACAGCCTCTCTCACGTATTTTCTCGGCCAGCTCCAGAAGCCTTATACGCATCCTCTTCAGCTCTTGAAGCCGAGACCTGCGCGACTCAAACGGACCTTCTCACCAAACGTCTTCACATCCCCGGCTCACCCAACAGCTACCCCGCCATCATCGCCACAACCACCATCACAATATACACACACACGCCCGCCATTGATCGTCATGGCTGAAGGCGCGCCCAAGGCCCCAGTGGTCGCAGAGGCCCATGAGGTCGACACCTTCCGTGAGTCCTTCCGTGCCCCCAGAATGTCCAGAGACAGGCTGTCTGGTGAACCCCCGGCGCAGGGCCCTCAGACAGCGTGGAGTCTGTTGACTAGACGCTAACAGATGCTGCCAATAGATCCCCCCCAGAAGATGCTTGACAGTACGTGCACTGTACTTTTTGGGTGACTGGAGACCAATTCTGTGCTAACTGCAATCCTACAGAGCATCCCAGCAAACCTCACCTGTCTGGTAAGTCTGCAACGTGTTGGGAAATTATACCCCACTGCTGGAATCACCGCTGACGAGGTGGATCAGGCCTGGAGGACTACCAACAACTCTACAAGCAGTCTATCACGGAGCCAGAGAAGTTCTGGGGCACCAAGGCCAGGGAGCTCCTCTCCTGGTCCAAGGACTTCCAGACTGTGCGCACTGGAAGCCTCGTCAACGGCGACAGCGCCTGGTTCCTCGAGGGTGAGCTGAATGCCTCGTACAACTGCGTCGACCGTCATGCCGCCAAGGACCCCGACCGCGTCGCCATCATCTACGAGGCCGATGAGCCGAGTGAGGGCCGGAATCTCACCTACTCTGAGCTGCTCCGGGAGGTCTGCAGGACGGCCTGGGTACTGAAGCAGATGGGCGTCAAGAAGGGTGACACAGTCGCTGTCTACCTGCCCATGATCCCGGAGGCTCTCATCGCCCTGCTAGCCATCACCCGTATCGGAGCCGTCCACTCTGTGGTGTTCGCCGGTTTCTCCTCAGACTCCCTCCGCGACCGTGTCATAGATGCCCAGTCCAAGGTGGTCATCACCACCGACGAGGGCAAGCGTGGTGGCAAGCTCATTGGCACCAAGAAGATTGTGGACGATGCTCTGAAGCAATGCCCCGACGTCAGCCACGTGCTTGTGTACAAGCGCACTGGCGCTGACGTGCCATTCACCCAGGGCAGGGATTGGTGGTGGCACGAGGAGGTCGAGAAGTGGCCTGCATACATTGCCCCTGAGCCTATGAACTCAGAGGACCCACTCTTCCTCCTGTACACTTCTGGGTCGACCGGGAAGCCCAAGGGCGTCTTGCACACCACTGGCGGCTACCTGCTTGGTGCCGCCATGACTGGCAAGTACGTGTTCGACATCCACGATGGGGATCGCTACTTCTGTGGTGGAGACGTCGGTTGGATCACAGGACACACCTACGTTGTCTACGCACCTCTCCTGCTCGGTGTTTCAACAGTCGTCTTCGAGGGCACACCAGCGTACCCCAACTTCTCGAGATACTGGGAGATTATCGATAAACACCAGGTGACACAATTCTACGTGGCACCGACCGCACTGCGGTTGCTCAAGCGCGCTGGCGACCACTTCGTCAAGAGCAAGATGAGCCATCTCAGAGTGCTTGGCTCCGTCGGCGAGCCCATCGCTGCTGAGGTATGGAAGTGGTACTTTGAGGTTGTCGGAAAGGAGGAGGCACAAATCGTCGACGTAAGTTGCGCCCCCACGAGATCAACCTATCAGATTCCGTGTCAGGATATTAACTCTTTGAGTAGACCTACTGGCAGACCGAGACCGGTTCCAACGTTATTACTCCCCTCGCGGGCGTGACCCCAACGAAGCCTGGATCCGCGTCTCTCCCCTTCTTCGGCATCGAGCCTGCCATTATCGACCCTGTGTCTGGCGAGGAGATCCACGGTAACGATGTGGAGGGCGTCCTCGCCTTTAAGCAGGCATGGCCTAGCATGGCCCGTACAGTATACGGCGCACACAAGCGTTATATGGATACATACCTGAATGTTTATAAGGGCTACTACGTGAGTACAACTTTCCCATCACTTGCTAGTGCCATTGCTAACGCCTTGCAGTTTACTGGTGACGGTGCCGGCCGAGACCACGAGGGATTCTACTGGATCCGCGGCCGTGTTGATGATGTTGTCAATGTCTCTGGCCACCGTCTGTCAACCGCCGAGATTGAAGCCGCACTGATCGAGCACCACTCCATTGCAGAGGCCGCGGTCGTGGGTATCAACGACGAGCTGACCGGCCAGGCCGTCAATGCCTTTGTGGCCATCAAGGATGGCAGCGAGGCGTCTGACGCCCTCCGCAAGGAGTTCATCCTGCAGGTGCGTAAGAGCATCGGGCCATTCGCAGCGCCCAAGGCTGTCTACATCGTGCCGGACCTGCCCAAGACCCGGTCGGGCAAGATCATGCGACGTATCCTGAGGAAGATCCTGGCGGGCGAGGAGGACCAGCTGGGAGACATTTCGACCCTCTCGGACCCGTCGGTAGTTGAGAAGATCATCTCGATAGTCCACAGCGACCGGAAGAAGTGAGCTTGTGGGGGAGACTTTCCCTGGAGGTAGCTTGCGGCGGTAGATCTGAACAGGTCTCTGGGTCTTACGAGCGAATTCCGGAGTGAACGACGGTGCTTGGACAGTTTACATATGATGATGCTTATAATATCAACATGATATCTTCTGGCGGGCGAGGAGGGGTTGGTTAGGAGCAGTGTACTTCTTGGGTTCATACACACAGAGAGTTGCTTATCAAAGCCGTTTACCCGGACTTAAGAAACATGAATTGCGCCGAAGAGAGCGAATAAAGGTCCTGGCCGTGCGCCTCGCGTAGTTTGTGCGTATTTACGGCCGTCCTGGCTGGGCATCATCATTCATCGCGGGTGGAGCGAGATGGAGAATAACCAGCGCGCGGTGAAGGATTACAGAACAATTCTGGAAGCCACAACAGGGACTGAATGCAGACGGGAATAAGGACGAACAAGTGCCGTGCCACGCGGGACTCGTCATCCCCAGCTTGGCAACAGCCGGCCAGCCTCCGTAGCGGGCTTGGGAGGGGGATGAATAAGGTTGAGGAGTGGTGTTGTGTGGTGCTATCGCTGCCAGGACGGCCGCTTTTTTTTCTCACCCACACCACCCATCCACCAGCCAGCCAGGCCCCATTTCCGATCGCCCCGCCGCTGTCCTGCCGTCACCACTTGGTGTCTGGACGAGAGCTACTTCCTTCCGCCCCCTCACATAGACAGATAGGTAAGCGGCCGAGCTGGACTCTCGTTGGCAGAATGTCCCCAGAGCCAAGAACTCTCTACGCTCTCCCTTGGTGGCTGTGTAGGCTGCTGATTGCGTGGTCGAGCCCTAACAGGTCACACAGTGTGCGTGCCTCAGTGGAAGGAAGGGCGGTCTCGCGCATCGTAAAGTCCGAGTGGTTTGTCCGGGTGATTCGGAGGGGTTGGCTTTTGTAAGACAAAGACAACAGCCTTCAAGCCTTGCGTGGTGGCAGAAGGATGGAGAGGATGAGATGCCGGGTGGGTTTTGGGCAGTTTTTGGCACTTGCTGAGCGTCGCCGGCCTGGGCGGGGCGTTGATTGGTACGCCCAGGCGTGTCGAGTGCGCGTCTCGGTCGTCGATTCGCATAGTAGACACTGCTGATACACCTCGGCGTCCTGACACAATACCCAGGGCCTGCTAGCCACTAAGATACAACAGTATGGTGTTTTCAATTGTTTGCCCTCCTCAAGGTGCAGGCCATCTCCCGTCGGGGCAATTGCCTGTGTGTGGCCTGCCCAGGCGCGTTGCGGCGTGTTACCCTGGCAAGTGCGTGCAAGTGCGTGCAAGTGCGTGCCTAGAGGGCGTTGCATTGGTCCTTCTCGGCTGACGGCTCTTGAAACTCATCCGAAGCTCAGGGTTGATCTGCGCCTAGTCGATGGACCCACCCCTGGCAGGTGCCTGTGAAGGGGGGATGCTCAACCCACGCAGCCCTGCCGTTTTACATGTCTGGACATTGTCTGCGTGCATCCATATACACACAATTCTCTTCTAGCTTTAGTGAGTACGATATTCGCTGCTGCTGCTACTGCTGGTGCTCTCGTTTCGCAGTGCCATGACCGGGGCCCTCGGTAGATCCAGCTCGGACAGTTCCATCGCTCGAGCGGCCCGAATCATCGAGGCTAAAGTGTACCATGCACCAAGGCGGCTACTAGTCTGCTTGCGTCTGTCCTAGACTGCTCTGAATGTACACATATGCTCAGGAGGGAGAGAAACCGGCGCCTAGGTAAAGATCATGCAGTGCGGTTCGGACTGGCGACCCCAGAGTTTCGTGTCGTCCCGTCTGAAGTTTCTGGCTGGCTCGCCTGCAATGCCGGGGGTCTTCCCAGTCGCCCGTGGACTCCAGGTGCAGGCCTAGGGCCGGGCCCGACGAGACATGCGAATCACACATCCCATGTAGCGAGCCAGATTCTCGGTTCCAGTCGAGTGCGACGGGTCATGGTAGACTGAAGACAGACTGCGTTCCCTGTGGGATTAGACCTCCATACAGTACTGCCCTCGTATTGATCTAAACTTCAAGGTTACGAGATGCACGCACGCAGATGCACATTAAACTAAGGTTATCGGACTTTAGATTTCTAAGCCTGCCTTCCCAGATAGAGTAGCCCCCGCCCGTGAGTACTGTGCAGTCTTTCTGCCGCCCGTGTTCCATTCCGATGCACTGTGCATTGTTAGCCCATGCTGCCAAGATCCCTCGGCCAACAAACGTGCACATCGCTGATGATGCACCGCCTCCCTATTGCCTCGCCTAGCGAAGCAGGCCGCCTTGGTACTTGTTGGAGGGCAGATTGGGGCCAGAATTGGGGCAAATGAGCGCCCAGTGGGACTCATGAGACTGGAGCCTCGGGCACGAGAAAAGGAAAGAGGGCCCCCAGCCAGCCAGCCCAGCCCACCCTAACCACCTTCCACACGCCTGCTTTGCTTGCTTGCCCGCTGGCCCACTCAATTAATCCATTGCCCAGATCCCCAGCGTTTTGCCTCTGGCTCATCCCGTCAATATCGGACCGGCCTAATAAGTCCTAGCCTCCTGCTTCTCCTTCCTCATCCTGCAATACAATTCACCCTCTTTGCGCAACCACCACATTTCGCTCGACCCTTTCAACGAGCCTGTCTGACCATCAGGCTATTTTCTGTCTTTACTTGCATTTGAACGACCACACTTTCGTTTTCCACACCCACCCGAGCGCAGCGCAGAGTAACACGCAGTCCTACTCAGGAGGCGTCCACCTTCACCTGTCAACTTGTCAACGGAGCGAGTTCACAGGCCCGGCCGTGTCGTGTCCAGCGTCGTGTTATCTACAGTTTCACCCATACCTATGTTTATAAAACCCTATTCGGCGCGCAGGTCTTGAATTCGCAAGACTCGGGGCTGATTATGAAGCCCTTCGGCAAGCTCGCACTTGCGATTGCCAGTCTCCTAATAATCCCATCTGCGATAGCCGAATCGAGACAGCGGAACCCGCTCCAGACCGTGACCCGCCTTGAGTCGCCCACCATCATAGCACCCTCACATCGAGTCCATGCCCACTCCCACTTCCAGGCAACCTTCTCCCTCGCCGACTCGCAACAAAAGGTGAGGCTTTCGCTCGAGCCCAATCACGATGTCGTCGCCGAGGGTGCCACAATCACCTACCTGGGTACAGATGGCAAGATCCAGAAGACCGAGCCCATAGAGCGCCTAGATCACCGCGTGTTCAAGGGCAACGCCTTTGTGCAGTATGCAGGACAGACTGAGTGGGTCAACGTCGGCTGGGCAAGGATACACGTCCACAGGGACGGACCAGAGCCCCTGTTCGAAGGAGCCTTCCAATTGTACGGCGACCACCACCACATCCAGACCAATACCAATTTCCAGAAGACTCGCCGCAAGGACGATCCCGAGATCGAACAGGCCTCCGACGAGTACTTGATCTTGTGGAGGGACTCGGACCTCAAGGGCGACGACCTATCGGCCCACAGCCCCGACGAGCTCAAGCGATCGCTGGCACAAAAGGAGACATGCACCTCGGACCAGCTGGACTACAACGCCGATGAGAACCATCCCGTATACCGCAGCCTCGACGGCCTTGATGGCCTCGATGGCCTCGAAGCAAGGTCGTCGTGGTCTTCGATGGCTACGAACATGCTCTTCGGACGGCAGATGGACGGCACGACGGGTGGTAACGGTGCGGGCGCTAACCTGGTCTCAACCATCGGTTCGACGTCGGGTTGCCCATCGGCCAGGAAAGTCGCTTTGATCGGCATCGCCACCGACTGCACGTATTCGGCCGAATTCGACGGCAACGAGACTGCCATCAGGTCCAATATTATCAACCAGGTCAACACGGCGTCCCAGCTGTACGAGAGCACCTTTGATATCACCCTGGGCATTCGTAACCTTACTATCAGCCCCCAGGCTTGTCCGTCCACCCCCAGCTCTGACGCGCCATGGAACGTCGCCTGTTCCGATTCGGTCTCGATTACCGACCGCCTCAATCTGTTCTCGGAGTGGCGTGGCCAGCATGAGGACAGTAATGCGTACTGGACGTTGATGAGCACCTGTGGCACTGGGTCAGCTGTCGGTCTGGCCTGGCTTGGCCAGCTCTGCATGGTTGGCTCTTCAAGCTCGTCCGGCGGGAGCAGCAACGAGACGGTTGCAGCCGCCAACGTCGTCGTCCGAACCGACGGGTCCACCGAGTGGCAGGTCTTCGCCCACGAGACAGGGCACACCTTTGGCGCCGTGCACGATTGCACTTCCGCGTCATGTGCGGACGGCACGTCGACGAGGCAGCAATGCTGTCCGCTCAGCTCAAGCTCCTGTGACGCGAACGGCCGTTTCCTCATGAACCCCTCCACCGGAACAGGCATCACACAATTCTCAGCATGCAGCATCGGCAACATCTGCTCGGCTCTGGGCCGTCAGAGTGTCCAGAGCAATTGCTTGAGTAACAACAGGGATGTCACGACCATCACCGGGAGCCAGTGCGGCAATGGGATTGTCGAGTCCGGCGAAGAGTGTGACTGCGGCGGAGAAGCTTCATGTGGCAATAACTCATGCTGCAATCCTACGACCTGCAAGTTCACCTCAGGATCATTCTGCGACCCGACAAACGAAGAATGCTGCACCGACCAGTGCCAATTTGCCAGCAACGGCACCGTCTGCCGTGCCAGCACAGGCCTCTGCGACCCGGAAGAAACGTGCCCAGGCGACTCATCTTCATGCCCGACCGACGACAACGCCCCTGACGGGACGGACTGCGGAGATGGCTTGCAGTGTGCCACGGGCCAGTGTACATCCCGGGACCAGCAGTGCCAATCGCTCATGGGGTCGCTGGTTACGAACAACAACACCGAGGCGTGTGGCTCCTCGAGCTGCCAGATCCAATGTCTGAACGACAATGTTTGCTATGAGCTAAACCAGAACTTCTTGGATGGCACGACGTGTGGCGGCGGTGGTACGTGCAGGAACGGAGTGTGCCGAGGCGCCAGCGCCGGCGACGAGATCCTGGCATGGATTCACGACAACCCCCAAATATTCTATCCAGTTGTGTGTGTGGTGGGTGGTCTCATCCTACTGGCTCTTGTAACCTGCATCTTTTCCAGGTGTCGCCGGAGCAGCCGCAGGAGAGCTGTGCCATCGAGGGCACCGAAACCCCCAGCAGGATGGGGTTCTATCTCGCCACCGCCGCCTGTTATGAGCAGGGGACCGCGACCGAACCAGTATATGGGCGGGCCGCCACCGATGTATAATGATGGTGGCTATCAGCCATATCGGAACGCGCGGTATGCGTAAAGGGATGTTATTCTACCAAATGAAGTTGATCGGAGATACCATTTGCGGCAGCGTCATCGTTAATCACGATCGATACTGAGAGGGAGCCCTGGCCCCGGAATTAGAAGAGGCGGGCAAGCTTTCATCTACAATTTTCTCTTGCATGGAGACCGGCGTTCAATGGGCATTGATGGGAATGGGACAAGGGCCTGGCAAGGACCCCTCAGGATTACCTCGAGAGACAGTATCTTATATACTACAGCTATCTTATAGTCAAATGCATTTATATTGTTCAGTCTGCCTCGCACTCCCGTAGAAAACGTCAGGCAATTTAGCAACGGCAGTGTCTCATCTGACACGTTCAGAGCATCAGATGGGCGAATTTCCTGCACAGACAGAAATAATCGTGTCTTGAGGCATGCATGTCCTTCCATTTCGCTATGGAGGTTTACAATGTGGTCGTAAGTCGTAATTCATGGCTCCTACCGTACAGCACCAAGCACATCCAATCTGTCCGAACACCCAAGAGCCTACCGCCTCCCGCTCCTTGAGCCACCATCTCCTCGGCCACGCTGCTGCTGCTGCTGGGCAGCCGACATGCGGAGGGACTGTTGGCCCTGGCCATGGTACTTGTGCTGCTGGAAGCTTGCCCTGGGCCCACTGATCTCCGGGATGGGCTCGTCGTCATCATCATCGTCGTCCTCTTCATCGTCGAGGCCGCACATGATCTTCTTGAACCTGAACCGCGTCGCGGGTAAGGTCTGTTGGGGTAGTCAGTGGATGTCGTTACTATGTGAGCAAGTAGATTTGTGCGGGGCGAGAGAGGAAGGGGTTGAGGCAAAATGATGAGGGGGGTTATATGTAGAGTAGGTGAAGAAGTAGATTAAACGGGTGAAATCAGTCAGGTGAAACATACGGCGCCGCTGCTCTGCGCGTACATCATCAGCAGCTCAGGGTTGTCGAGCACCGTCTCGGCCCAGTCGCGCCTCTCTGTCTTGGTGAATGGCTCCTTGGGCTGCCTGTCGGAGGTGCCGCCGTCAGCACACCCTCTATCCCGCTGGACTTGTATGCCCGTCGCACCCATGAAGTTGACCTACCTCGACGAAGCTGCGCGGTGGTGGTGGTGATGGTGAGAGTGATGGTGGTGGGAATGGTGGGAGTGGTGAGGATGATGGGGCGCCATCCTGCCGCCGCCGGGCAGGCGCTCCGGGCTGAGGTCACTGCCGTCGGAGGCGTCGCCGGCGTAGGGGTCCTTGCCGCGGGCCTGCAGGTCGCGCATCTCGTCGGTGAAGGGCTGGTCCATCATGTCGGCCGGGGAGCCGCCCCATGGCCCGCCACTGCGGAAGGGCCCGCCGCGGGGCGATGCTGACGAGGGCCCGTGTGCCGTGGTGTTGCGCGCGTGCGAGAAGGGGTTTTGCGAGGACGACATGGGTGCACGGCTTGTCTTGGTGTGGGAGGTGGTGAGGTGGGAGAGAGAGCTAGAGGTCAAAGGTGAGGTGTCGCAGGTGGGAAGAGGTGGTGGACTCTCTGCCTGCCCCTCGCTGTGGGCGAGGATGAGTTGCCGTTATGAGATGCCTGAGGTGCGCGCAGGTGTTGGGTACAGTAGTGGGAAGCGCCGCCCGGAAGAGGCAACTAACACGCCTTGGGATTCCCAGCGGCGACAGGCCCGAATATCTAGCTGCGTGGGCCTGCAGCTGCCGTGCCACGCCACGACTCGCTCCTCTTTGCTCCTCTCCTCGTCGACATCAAACGGCATCTGCACGCTGCTGTCACCGTCGCGTCGCCAACCACTTATCCTTCGTCCATGCTGCCGTCATGCTGCGAGCCTGGGGACCAGTAAAATGGGCGACAAGGCGAGAGACCAAACGCACACCGTGCAGCGTGCGCCCGACCAGAGTGATGCCCGCGAAGGGCCATCTAGATTATTCACTGACCGTGAGAGGGGGGATACGACGGATGTCTCGATCTCAGCACCAGTCCTTTCTTGACTCTTGATGTGTATGGCGAGACTCGAATCTGGAACAATGGCATTGTGCTGCGACCAAGATGCTCGATTCTATCAACCAACCAACTCGTGTCCAGCCGAGTCTCTATTGTCTATCTGAGCCGCCAGAACTCCCACAAATGACACGTCAAATTCATGCCGACTTCCACCGCAGCAGCGTGATCGAGTGCTTGGGGAACACGAAGCTGCCCTTGCCGTCCCACTCGGTCTGCTTGATCGCGACCTCCTCCTTGCCCGCGACGTTGACCACGCCGGGGTCAGCGCCGTTGACCGAGTGCACCTCAACCTTGCCAGACACGCCCTTGAGCGTCGTCTCGAAGCCCTGCTTCTCACTGATGTTCACCGCCACCACGTTGACGTAGCCCTTGTCATCGACCACGGCGCTGACGTCCAGCCACGGCGCGCCGTCCTCCAGCACGCCCTGCAGCCACGCCGGCGTCGTCTCGCCCGTGTAGGAGCCGCACTTGACGTGCGCAGCCACGGTCCACCCGCGCATGTAGCGGCTGAAGAGCAGCAGCGGCCACCAGATCGTCTGCTTGACGATGCCGTCCTTGCTCGTCATCAGCGGCGAGATGACGTTGACCGTCTGCGCGATGTTGGCCATGCCGATGTACTTGCTCTGCCGGATGAACACGTTGAGCCAGATGGCCACCGCCAGCGCGTCCGACAGGTTGTACTTCTCCTCGGCCCCCTTGTCGCCGGGCGCCCGCTCCGGGTCCCACACGTTCCACTCGTCAAAGCAGATCTTGACCGGCGGCTTGGTCGGCGCCACGTTGTTCTCGATGCGCGCAATGTCGATGAGCGCCGCCGCCGTCTGGATCGCCCGCTCCGCCGACAGCGGCGCCGTCACGTTGTGCAGGTGCTTCGCCGACGCCGTGTAGATGTGTATCGAGTGCATGTCCACCACCGACACGCACTCCTTGAGCACGTGGTGGTCCCACGACGTGTGGCCCGTCTCGCCGCACAGGATCAGGCAGAGGCTGGGGTCCAGCAGCCGCAGCGCCTTGGCCCACTGGAACGCCTTCTTGGCGTAGTCCTCCTTGGTCGCCTGCTCCACCTGCCACGGGCCCCAGATCTCGTTGCCCAGTGCCCAGTACTTGACGTTGTACGGCTCCGGGTGCCCGTTCTGCCGCCGCAGGTTGGCGTAGTACGTGTCCCGGGTGCCGTTGCAGTAGTCCACCCACGCGAGCGCCTCGTCCAGCGTCCCCGTGCCCATGTTGAGGCAGATGTATGGCTCCACCCGCTTCTCCTTGCCCTCGCTGAGCACGTCGAGCCACTCCATGAACTCGTCCGTGCCGAACGTGTTGGGCTCCGTGCCCAGCCACGCCAGCTCCGGCCTCTTGGGCCGCTTGTCCTTGGGCCCCACGCCGTCGAGCCAGTGGTACGTCGCCACGAAGTTGCCGCCTGGGTAGCGGACCACGGGGATGTCGAGGTCCTTCAACGCTTCGATGACATCCTTCCTGAAGCCCTTCGCGTCAGACAGAGGGTTGCCGGGGTCGTAGATTCCTGAAGGATCTTGTGTCAGTGTCCTTTCTTTTTCCGGCCAAGGTGAGTTCTCTGAGCCTGCCCTGCTGGAGGCTTCTCTCATAAAGTCACATTGAGCCGAGAGGGAAGGGAAGTGGCGCCCGTACCTCCATATATGCAGCGTCCCATGTGTCTGCATCGAGTGTTGTCAGCTACACTGCATTGTCGACCCTCGCTGTACGCCACGGCACGGAGAAGACCAGAGATCTTCACTCCCAATGCAGACGTTCAGGAAGCAATAACACGATCGGACGGGCACTACACATACTCGGTGAAGCCGCCATAGGTCATGGGATCTATCTTGGAGAGCTTCTTCTCCGCGTCCACCTCGATGAGGGGCTTCTCGCCATCCGAAACCTTGGTGAACGTCGTCATTTCTGCTGCGATTGAGTCTCACGATACTTTCTCTGCAAGAGGGGGGAGTTCAAGGGCCTTTCGAATTTCTCTAGCTGCTGGGCACTCGCTATCTATCTCTTATTCTGGCACATGCCAGGACCCACGAGGAGAAACACTTGTTTGGACAATTTCACGCCCGTCGCAACTTTCCCCTCTGCTACCCCAATTTCCCTACCCCGAGCATCACGGCATGCGCGCAGCCGTGGACATGCGCATGCCAACGAATATGCAATGCGGCATGGGTTATCTGCGCCCGAGCCCGGCCGTGTCCCGGTCGCTTAGCCGACGCCGCCGGTGATTGGTGCGCATCAGCAGCGGGAGGTGACATCGCGCGGCCGGCTTCCAAACAGGGACAAGGCGCCGCCGTTCCCAAGCGTACGGCGAGAGAAGCTTCTTCGAACGGTAGGAAGCCGGTCACGCGGTGAGGGCGTCATTCGTGGGTTGATGAATCGCTCCAAGCTGGACGGGATTGCCTCGGTCTGACTGCGAGCAAGACACCCCGGAGCAAGATCATGCAGTCATTGTCATCCTCTCCGGGCCGTTGACATTTGTGAGCCTCCCCTGCCGGCGGATGCGCTCTTGATAGGAGGAAAAGAGGTTTCTCCACCGCCGCGGTACCGTATGATGATGATGCAGTAACGGTGTGCTGCCTGTGACTGGTCCAAGCCGTCGGGACCCATCAGAAGCCCGGTCGTCGTATCCTCTCTCCAAGGCTGCCCAAACCTCGTACGTAACCCCCCGCATGAGCACGAACAGGGGTTTATCTGGGGTTTGGGGTAACGGCCGAACTTTTTTGTTTGTTACGAGCATTGGGACCCATTGTTAATGTGATGGACAGGGGAACGAAAGGCTTCGGCCGCCCTGGGAACAGGGGCATCACCAACGGATGATGCGTACCGAAGGAGCGCGTGGGTGGAGGGTGGCCTTTGCTCGCTCCCCGATCTGACCAGTCTGGACTGCAAGCCGACCTCTATATATATGAAAGACGGGGCCATCCGAGGTAGGAACGGTGAGTCGACCTCCTGTCTCCCGGAGCAGCACTGCAACCTCTCACGCGTTGAAAGGGCCTCTTCTGCTTTTATACTTGCTTTCCTGGCCGTGGTATACCCCCCCGGCCCAGCTTGTCAAGATGGTGCTCGCACCAAAGACATACCAGGTAGGACAAGGTCGCCTCACTTGCCCCGGCACATACAGCCCTGACTGACTCTCTGCTATGAGTAGTTCCTCGTGAGCGTCTTCGCCTCCGTCGGTTCGATCCTATATGGTTACGATCTCGGTGTGATCGCCGAGGTCATTTCCTGCCAGCCTTTCAAAGATGACTTCAACAACCCGAGCTCAGTCGACACGTAAGAAAAGACACCAGACCCAATATACCGTCGCTCCCTTTTTGCTGACTTGAAGTCTAAACCAGAGGAGTTGTCGTCTCGCTTTTCACCGGAGGTGCCTTCTTCGGCGCCTTCTTCGCCGGACCCGCCGGTGATCGCCTAGGTAGACGATGGACCATCTTTCTCGGATCAATAATCTTCATCATCGGTGGTGTCTTCCAGACTGCTGCCAAGACCATCCACTGGATGTGGGGCGGTCGAGCCATCGCTGGTCTGGGAGTCGGCTTCTTGGTGATGATCATCCCGGTATATCAGGGTGAAATTGCCCACCCCAGCATCAGGGGACGGGTGACTGCTCTACAACAGTTCATGCTTGGAATCGGTTCATTCATCGCCGGATGGCTCAGCTACGGCACCTACAGCATCCCGAGCTCGGCAGCTTACAGGAGTATGTGCTCTCAGTATCATCCCCTCCTTGTTGAACACCGCTGACCTGACCTGCTCGCACAGTCCCATTGGGTATCCAGATCCTCCCAGCCGTCGTCCTCGCCGCCCTCATTCTCTTCTTCCCGGAGAGCCCTCGTTGGCTCATCGACCATGGCCGCGGAGAACTGGGCCTGCACACACTTGCAAAGCTGCACTCCAACGGCAACATTGAGGACCCATGGGTCAAGGCCGAGTTCTCCCAGATCGAAGAGGCAATCGGTTTCGACCGTGAGCACGAGGCTAAGAGCTACATGGAGCTGATCAGGACTCGGTAAGCACCTATGCTGTGAACTCGCGCGGTGGGAAAAATGCCTCTTTGGCTAATGTTGACCCCAGGTCCTCCTTCCGCCGGCTCCTCATCGGATGCTCCCTCCAGGGCGCCTGCCAGATGACCGGTGTTTCAGCAATCCAGTACTTCAGTGTCAACATCTATGGGCAGGTCGGCATCGGCGGGCAGGATACGCTCAAGTACCAGGCCATCAACAACATCCTGGCGCTGCTGGCGCAGGCGTCGTGTGTGCTTTTCATCGACCGTGTCGGCCGTCGCTGGCCACTCATCTGCGGCAACCTCTTCAACTGTGCCATGTTCACCATCGCCACGATTCTGATCGCCCTGTTCCCGGGCGGAGGCGCCGGCTGGGGATTCATCGTCGTGACGTGGCTGTACAACATCTCCTTCTCGGCGACGTGCGGCCCGCTCAGCTGGATCATCCCGGCCGAGATCTTCGACACGCACACGCGGTCCAAGGGCGTCTCAATCGCCACCATGGTCTCGTTCGCCTTCAACACCATGATCGCCCAGGTCACCGACCTCGCCATCAAGGACGTCGGCTGGCGCTACTATCTGCTCTTCGTCATCTGCAACTTCACCAACGCCCTCTGGTTCTGGCTCAGCCTGCCCGAGACCAAGAACCTGCCCCTCGAGGAGATGAACTACCTCTTCACCAACGCCCCCTGGATCGTCCCCGGCACCGACAAGAGCGTCTACACCGCAAACCTCAACGCTGACCTCGAGAGGCGCGCCGGCGAGATCCAGGAGAAGTCCAACGTCGCCGGGCACGACGAGCATGTTGACGAGAAGTAAAGACCGCACCGTGTGAACATTTGAGCATATGCGTGTGTGTTATTTGGGACAGTTCCTATGAAGGCGACGGGACCTGAGGATTCTCCTCTTGCATGTACAATTGACCGACCATCAGAGTCCAGAATTGACTTGAGAACCCTTAGAGTATATACCCTGGCGTTTGATTACATAGCTGCTACTGTAATCGATATACACAAATACACTTACCAGCATTCGACTCCTCTTCTCTTGTGACCGTCAGCTCAAACACAACTGAATTATGAGGCCATCTCCATCAACGTAGCATTCAAGTCCCTCGCATCCCCGCCCCCTCCTCCATCCCTCAACAAACACACGATTTCCTTCCCGCAAGCCCGTGGCCAGAAATGTACACACGTACGTAAGTCGTAGCTCGCAAAGAGAAGCATCCCACCCGCCCGCGTCTCGGACAGCTTCCGGCCCCTCTCGTACCACCGCGGATAAGTGGCGTCAGCCTCGCCGACTTCTTCGGACGTTTGGCCCCGTGCCGCATCAGTCACCCCCCCCCCAACCACCCCCGGAGCTTTACCTACTCTTCTTCCCAAAGGGCTCCATTGGACCTGAATATCAACCCACGCTGTAGGTCGTTGTTTTTCCGTGAAGGGTTCGGGGTTCGCGTGCCGGGTGGCTTCGGTGTCTGTTGCGTGAGCCTTGGTGTCCCAGTAGAAGAGCATCCTCTCATGATCAACGCAATGAAGACGGGTCTCCGCGCTTGAATCTGGTCGCGAACAGGGAGGACTAGTCTGCGCAGAGATGAAAGAAGATCAAGCTCAGCTGGCAGACTATATTTGAGACACCGCACGAATGCTTGAAGCGGGTTCACAGATGTTGACGCAAAAACATCCCTATTCCAACCCTCAACTAGGCCGAATTAATACGGCGTCGATGAGAATCTCCGTGCACAAGTCTCTGTTCACAATGGCGAAGATGTGCAGGACGCAGGGGTCCCACGGGGAACCCAGGTTCCGATTGCTGAAGTGGCTTCTATTCTGTATTTTCTGTGTATGTTGTATGATTCCAGAATATTTCCAGCCTACCACGTGGGTATTGCTTCCTAACACGTCCCGACCTGTCCACACTATCCAGCAGATGCCTTTTTGTTCTCGGTTTTGAGACACTCACAAGATAACTCCCCAACGCCGGTTGCCAAGCTGGTCCATCCCCGCCTCCACGCGCCAATCCCACATATAACTACATTGAGCCGGTGGACCAGGCCCCACTTTATCGATGAGTGATACCATGTATCAATGCTCGGTGTATCAATTCCGACTGCCCTTCCTTCCGTTTGTATCCAAGACGTCGTGCCCATGATATTGGCTATAACCATTTTATTCCCATGACATGCCTGTGGCAATGCATTGAATGCTCCACGCTCGTTGTGATACTTCTTGCTGCTCGAGAACGCGGGCGCCGTGTGCAATGCGTCCTTGTTATGCCTCAGTGCTTGGCAAGGTGGCGCGGGGGGAGCGAGTTGGTTGTGACGTTTGTTCAACCGGCTCGATCCTGCCCGGTTCGGACAAGTATTCATTCGCTATGAGCGGTGCGGGTCAATGTGGCCCCTTTCCCTCATTGTTTTCGTGACATGGCGTTTGATCGGGACCAATGCATTTGGATCATGGTCGTCATCGGAAATTTACCACAGCAAGCTTACAAAGTTAGCAAGACAAGTCCAAATGAGCTTCCCGGAGACATACCAATCCATTCACGCCGAACGCGAGTCTCTGGCCGTTTGCGTCCCAGCTTAAGCAGTGTTGATCCTCCGTCTCTGGTTCGCCATTCAGGCCATTTATCTTGGGACTCAATCCGCCAGGCGGCAGACTTCTTTTCCAAGCCGCCCGAGGGAAAGCATATTCGCCGACCTTAAATATCAGGATTCGGTCCCTTGTAGCCCCGGCGAAGAAGGCACCGTCGGGGGTGAAGGACAGACCAACGACAGGGTTGTCGTCAATCGTCCGCTGGAGTCTGGGCCTGCTGTCGGGCGAGCGGGCATCCCAGATGGCGATTGTGCCATCCTCACCCCCTGACGCTAGTAACAGCTCACTGTCAGGTGCCCGGCCCTGGATCGGTTGCCATTGCAGAAACGTGATCTGACCATCATGAGCGCCATGGATGGTTCGGCGGACGCCGGCAGGATCCCAAATCTGGACAGAGTAAGCAAAAACATAATTGAGGTCTTCGCGGCAGGGAGGAAATGGGATAGTCCCCGAACTTACGTCGATGTCACCCTTCAGCGTCGCCGCTGCAAAGTGTCCAGTGCTGTCATACTGAATCTGTGTTAATGGATCGTCTGTCCTTGTTGAGAGTTCCTTGGACTGCGTGATTTCATTATCCGTGCAACGCAGACAGAGAACCTTGTTGCCAACGCTCAGTAAGAATTCATGCTCGTCGACCCAGACGGCATCTGGTTGCTGGGCGTCGACGTCTTGGTCCGGTGGGAAGGTGTGCTCGTATTCGACAGGACTAGACTTCGGCGAGGGGAATACAGTGACCATCCAGCCTGTCGTGTCTCCTGAAGGGTTTGAGATGGGTGTGATGCTCAAGACCTTGCGGTTGACAGGGTTGCATCGCAGTTTGACGATGGGCGCCTCCAGGCCGGTATATGTGTGCATCTGTCTGCCGTCGAGATTCCAGAGGTCGATGCGAGCCTTCTGCCCATCATCGGTAGCGACAGCAATTTCCTTGCCGTCGGAACCCCAGGCCATGACGGTGACCTTGGAATGGGGTGGGAAGTCATCCGTGACAAGGTTGATAGAGGGCCAGTCGGGATCCACGTGATCAGCCACCTGGTCCGGACCGGTGGCACGCGAAACGGTCCAAACGCGGGCTAGTGCGTCAGTCCCGGCAGCCGCCAGGCGGGATGGGTCCTTGGGGTTCCACTCGCAATGCAGAAGGATTGGGTTCTGGCTAGCGCGTGGATGTGACACGTCGGCGATCGGGGTTGCTGCAAGTGAGGAGGAATCATCATGGGCAAGACGCAAATAAACAGTCTTTGCCTCGAGGTCGTCGACCTTGTCAGTCTGAGTACCGTGATCCGGGCCCTCTGTTCGGGGAGCTGGGGTCGGGGCCTGTTCGCCTTCCAGGGGTGAGGGATAAGCGTGGTTGTCGGATTGGTGCTGATCGATTTCCATGGGGCTTGTGGCTGCATCCGCCCCATTTTCGAGGCCGTTGGCATTGCCCAATCTCGGCCGCTTTGGGGCGTTCCCATTTGCCAGCTGGCTCTGGGAGTCGACCTGCCGCTTCAGTGACGACTTGTCGGCCTCGTCGACAGCCGGCGGTGGATGAGATGCTGGCAGGGGCTCCGGTTCCTCTATCTCATCCTCAAGCTCATCGTAATTGATGGGGTGCTGCGGCACAAGGGGCCCAAAAACCCCGAACTGGGGTTTGTCGGGCGTTGCCGCAGCGTCGGCTGGTACCTGCACGTAAATTTGTTAGTGTGCTGCCACAGAACTGCGGCTCGGCCAGAAGCAGACGCAGAAGCAGAGACTGGCTCTGATGGTGAGCGGCGACACAGCGCCAGGTCCGGGAGACGGGTGGACGGGACGCAACGAGGTTTCAGAAACAACAGGAGCAGGGTCAAGTTGGGGGTCCATACCCGTTGTTGTGCGTAGTCCCGCTCGAGTCCGTGGTAGATCAGGCCCTTGTTGAGGACGGAGACGAGGGCGTAGTTCTTGACATGAGACGCGAAGTCAAAGTGCCGGTGAGGAGCCTCCACGCGCCACTCCTTCTGGAACTTGGCGGCGGTTTCTCGAAAGTCTGCAGTGCCACGCAGATGCCCTGGTTAGCTGGCCACGGGGTACGGGAGACGGGGGGACACGGGGTGGGGGGGAGGGAGGGAGAGGTGAATTGTCAGCCAGACAAAGCTATGCACATACTGCCTTCGAGCAAGTATCTGTATCCCGGGTGCAGCGGGCATGGTTAGCAGACAGGCCAGGTCAAGAGTGAGAGTGAGGTCACATCGGGATCGTGAGTGAGGGAGTGGACGGGCTGGCAGGTGAGCGGGCAGGTGAGGGAGTGAGTTGTGAGTGAGTTGAGCAGTGACTGAGTGACTGAGTGAACGGGTGGGCGGACAGGTGAGGGCTGTTGTGCTTGGCTGGGCAGTGGGCGGCGCAAGGCGTGGAACTGGGCGTGGAGCGTTGCGGAGGAAAACGAACCTCCAAATGAGATAGTTGACTCTGTCCGAGTCGAGTAACTCCTTCATCGCGGGCGGCTGGCGGTGTAGCAACGGCAGAAAGGGAGAGGTGGCGGGGCCAAGGACTGGATTGGAGGCTTTGGAGCGATGCCTGGGAGTGTCGGAGAGGTGATGATGGCCTGTAGAGGGCGGCAAGGTTACAAGTTGAGGCTTTGTCGAGAGACGCACCGGTCGGGTTGGGTGAAGAAAGAACGAATCTACGTCGACATGGTCGATTTTGGAAGGGACTCCAGTCCCCAACTCCAAAACTCGCTAGCCCCAGTCCAGTCCAGTGGAGTGGAGTGGACAGGCAGGACAGGGCCAGACAGGGCAGGGCCGGGCAGGGAAGGGCAAGAGGAACAGGAGAGGGAGCTGTTGCCAGGAGTGCCAGGCCTCTGGCTCGCCGGCTCTGGCTGTGGCTCGCCTGGCTGGAGCATGGATGATGGGCTGGCTGTGATGGGCTAAGCTAGCTGGCTGCCAGCCCGGTACCTGGGTACCTGGCCGCCCGAGGTACGGGGGTACACGGCCCATTAAGCTAATCTGGGATTCGTTCGCATTCAAGGATTTGCGCAGCAAAAGTGGGCTGCCGCTGGCAGATCTTACCAAACACTCGACGGCTTGCTGGAGTGCAGGGGTCTGCCACACGTTCGCTCGCGCACCCCCCTCTCCCCCAACAGTCGCTTGCTCTCTCGTCGTGCTTCATGTGTGCTGGCGAGTACTTCTGCCTGGATTCAGCAGGACAGCTCGTCTGGGTCCCAGAGGTGGACATATCCTCCCTACGAGCTGCGATCGATAGCTTTCACTACCAAATGGGCACCCGTAGACCTGCCGTGCATCGGTCATCGCAATGGGCAGGGTGTGCTGGTCAAGTTACAGCCGATGCATTGTGATGCCCTCTCCCACAGTAAATTTCCGAACCGCCTGCTATCTATCTACCACAGTATCTGGCCTGCCCAGGCGAATACCATGATCATGGTCCTATAGGTTCTGCTGGCACACACTGTGGGAACGCATGCATGCACCCCGATGCACGTCCGTACATCTGCACCTCTGCACTGCTGCATCGCGGTGAGATGCTCGTCCGTGAACCACCACCCGTTGATTGTATTTGTTCCCGGTTCCTGATTTATCACAGTCTGCTGCTGTCCCTGCCTGGGTAGCAAGGGCTGCGAGTCCGGGGCTCTACCGAATGCTGTGGCCAAGTCTGGACTAGGAGTAGTTGAGGCCCCGTCGTCAGTCAGAGCCTGAGGCAATCAGAAGCTTAACATCTATGTTGCCTCTCTGGCCAAGCTCTGGCTTGGGTGTGACCACCTACCTGTTATCGGTGGACACACATCCGGCTGATCGCCACCTCGTGCAGCAGTGTGTAGTAATGTACTCGCGTACCGTTGTAGCTTCAGCTTGAGCGGGTGAGTGGCTGGGCCCGAGAGCTGCCGGACGTCCCAGACAGGAGGAACACGCGGGAATGCACGGATTAGATTACGGAGCTTGACGAAGCATAATAAGTCTGCCTCTCGGTCAGGGGCGTCCTGGGCTGCCCTGGACCTGGACTTGGACCTGGACAAGTCGGATGAGAAGACCTGCACTGGAAGTTGGGTTTGTACGTCCGTACCTTCTGTGGGATAACCTCCTCACTCCTATCTCCTTATAGGGTGGGTTCGGGTAGGTTGAGTGTCGGCCGGCCGGGTCTGCGACTGAGTCTGAGCCTGAGCCGGCTGTTTTAGCCTCGAGCAAACGATCGCCGAGCTACTAGTCTGCCTGTGTTCTGGCTGGTGACATGACAAGCCCATCTCTCTTGCCGCCATCCGCGGGGACTTGCCTTCCAAGGACTTGAGATGTGTGGGGGTGGGCGTAGAAAGGGGACTGGGCACCTGGGCCAAGCCTCACAATCCTCCAAGTTCAGCATCGTCTCCCATCGTCAGTCCCGCGGTCGCACATGCAGACAACCTGTCTGGGGTGGGAGCAGATGATGTGCAGGCGAGCTGGGTCGGAAGAGGCCAGAACAGATCACCCGGTCGTGTCTGGCCTGGTTGGTTGCAACTTTGCAAGTCACCCATCTCCATTCTGCCCCATGCGCTCTGCTGGCGGATCGGACATTGACAATGCAAGCAAGCCCGTTGTGCTGCTGCGGGGGTGGACGCTGTTGGGTGGCAACCCCCCGAAAAGTCAAAAAAGGATCTCGGCTTCACAGACTCGGCGTCATCAGTCCCGCAACTCAGGACCAGGACATGACAGGTAGTCAAGGATTGGACAGGCCAGGGCACAGATCCGGATCCAGACCACACAAAACTCTACAATGGTTGAGAGCTCAATCGAGCATGTGCACACAGCACAGCAGCCTCTGCGGACGCCGTGTGACCGCGCCGGCACCGTCATTCGAGTTGGCATGCTGTGTATCGTAGCTATAATGTACTCTCTCTATAGTCCAATGTCGGTGGAGGGTCAGTACCCTCCTTCTCGGCGTCTGCATCTGCCCCCGTCAGGCCCCGTCAGCCGCCAGAGACCATGCGGCCCCGGCCCATCTCAGAAACTGTTTGAGCCCTCCTCGTCTGCTCATGTGGGCTTCGTCCTTTTCTGGGGCCGCCCCAAAAGGGGTGTGGGGCCCGTCGACCAGGGGCGTGCTCGGCAGCCCATACAGGGCTCCAGATGATTCGCTTCCGCGACCGTGCCACAGGGCTCGTTCATTTTAACGCCATCTGGAGGCTAGCTACTTTGAGTATGTGCCAGGCCCCCAGCAAAACCACCCCATTCTGGGGAGCATAGAGCCTTTGGCGACTCGTTGCACAAATACCACACTACTCCGTGGATGCCTTCGTGCCAGCCACACGCCACATGCCGAGCACTACTTCGGCTTCTAGCGCGTCCCGCCGTCACCTTCTGCATCCCCGCCATGCTCAGAATGTCCTCCTCTTTAGGGACTTGAAGAGGAAAAAGGAAGAGAGGCTTGCCGGGGACTTTGGAGCCGATCTATTTGCCCCTTGGGACCTCTGGATGGCATGGACGGGGGAGCCTTTTTTTGAAGAAGGGGGGGGGGGGGTAGGGACACGCAGGGGTTCGAAGGGGAGAGCACAGCTCGCGGAGCGATCTCCAGACAAGGGTGCCTAAGTATGGCGTGGCGACAAGGCGAGGCTATATCCTCTTGTTGTATTGTTGGCACGCGCTCTCCGGCGCGAGTAAGCAGTCAGGACAACGTCTGGATGGTCGTGTCTCGAATCAAGCAGCACGAGGTCGGTAATGCTTTCCGGGACACACTACTGTGAGCTGTGCGTACACAGCATGCCCGATCTCATTCAGCACCCAGGCACGTTCATCACAGCGGAAGCTTGGAGCCAGCCCAGCCTACTGTGGTCAGCAAGCAGCGGCAGCAAGGGTGCATGAGCAAGTCAATGGGAAGGGTCGGGAAGTTGGATCTGCGCCCGGCACGCTCTCATTGGCCTCGCGTCATTGGCACACGTTCGTCCTGGGGAAATGCCCGACAGGCATGTTTCAAGGGGACGCTGCTCTTTATGTACGTACCGCATCTGCCATTTATCCTGCAGCGTGGCTTGTCTGCCTGGTCTGCTTGTCCAAACCAACCCCAGGCCAGGAGTGCGCCTGCCGGTCTCAGTGCAACATTGATCGGTATTGCGCCGCCGCGCGACGCTTGACCCTCGAACGCCTCGGTCTCAAGGAAAGAGCGTCATCTGGCTTGAGGTAAATCACCTTCGTCATCGTTGGATGAAGCATGGGGGAGGACACAAGGCGACAAGCGCACCGTGAACCTTGTTCGTAACCTTTTCGGTACCCACTGTTCCCGTGGACAGCATCAGCTGTCCCTGGTTCCTACTGCGTGCATGCCACGACCATCCCAGGTCTGTACACGTATTGCGCCGTGGGATCTGGACAGCTAAGATGACTTCCCAATCTGTCCTTTTTTTTTTTTTTTTTTTTTTTTTTCAGCGAATCGTGTTGGATACCTAGGTATGTGGCATCATGGCTACCTAGGCAACCGTAACACCGCTTCAGTCCTGGGAGTACACAGTGTCTGGCCACGATTCAAGCGCTCAATCAATTACTTGCTGACGCTGGCCCGAGAATGACTTCGCCTGTGGCTTGCCGTGCCATATTTCGGATACCTGGGAGCAGGATTGCTCTTCCTCCTTTGACTGCAGCATTATCTGCTTGGGTGCTTTGGCTTTGCAGTCTCCCAGTCTCCGAAGCGACTGTCCGATACTGATAAGGCTGGAATCTCAGGGTCCATTCCCTCGACACTGATCAGCATGAGGTCCGTGCGTGGTCAGGGCCCCCCTGGGCGTTTTGCACCTGCCTCAAGTGGCCCTTGACACTCGCCCAGAGCCAGCATCGTGACCGACTACCCTTGGGCCCAAAGAGCTTCACTCGGAGCTGCTCAAGCCCTCAAGGCGCGCCCATCTGCATGCACCCTGCACCCCGCGCCAGCGTCCTCCCCCAGCCAGCACCGCCGCCATGCCTCCCAGAATAAACATACCGCCCGTCACGCGCATACTGCTCATCACCCTCGGTCTGCAGAGCATCCTCAGCGCCGCCATCCGCTACAGGCAATGGACCGCCAACTCGGAGATCGTCATCCCTTACCTCAACCTCATCCCACAGCTCTCTCTGATATACCCGTGGACGTTCCTTACAACAACCTTGGTGGAGAGCAATGTCTTCACCTTGGCCATCGCCGCCGTCACCCTCTACCATGGGGGCCGCTACCTCGAGAGGGCTTGGTCGTCCAAGGAGTTCGCCAAGTTCCTCTTGATTACCGCCCTGATACCCAATACCTTGTGCTTTGGCGTCATGGTGACCTTCTTCACCGTCACTCGTAACGAGAGCTGGACGTATGCTACCCAAGAAGCCCTTTCTCTACGTGAATCTTAGCAACTGACCGCGTCTCTCCCTATCCCAGGCTGACCACCATCGCCGGCACCATCGCTCTCCAGATCAGCTTCCTCGTCGCTTTTAGCCAGCTCGTCCCCGCCCACACCGTCACCCTCTTTAGAGGCATCCTCTCCCTGCGTGCCGCGCTTCCCCCTCGTCTACCTCGGCCTGGTCCTGATCCTGAGCCTGACGCCCCTCCTCACCCTCGCCTCCTTCCTCCTCGCCGTCTTCGGCCTCCTCACGAGCTGGACCTACCTGCGCTTTTACAAGACCGTCTTCCCCGACCTCGATTCGTCCCAAACACCATACTCCCTCCGCGGCGACGCCTCCGAGACCTTTGCGTTCGCCGAGTTCTTCCCCGCGCCCGCGAAGCCCCTGGTGGCCGCCCTGGGCGACCAGATATTCAACGTCCTCGTGGCTCTGCGCCTGTGCACGCCGTTCTCGCAGGCCGAGGTTTCGGCAGCTGGCGGCAACTCCGGGGGTTACCATCCCTACAGCCACCGCAACGCGGCACCGGGCAGCGCGAGGGCTGAGGCCGAAAGACGGAGGGCGCTGGCGCTCAGGGCGCTGGATCAAAAACTGCACGCGGCCACTGCCGGGCGGGGAGGCGCTGCTGGGTCTTCTTCTGCTGGCGCTGCCGCTGGAGGAGCTTCAGTTGCAGGGCGGCCCGTCTCGCCCGCGCCCCCTCCACCTGCAGTCACTGCGGATCCTCCACCAACGACAGGTCCCACGGTGCTGCAACAACCGGTGTCCAACAACCAGACGGCCATGACGTCGCGTCCAAGTGACGGCATGTTGGGGGAGACGACCTACACACCTGACCACGACGACGGGGACAAGAGCGAGGCATAATCCACGCTGGGTCCGGAAGTGGGTGGCCCTCCGCCGGCCTGGTGACCAGGCGGACCGACCCGACCGACCCGATATTCAAGCACTCGCAGATACCCTGTTTTAGAGGCGAGGTCAGAAGGCAGGATGCAAGGGGCGTTTCAAGGCGCGCCAGACGGTATTTACTGTAAAAGATCACGCGTGAAAACTCGAGGAGCACGGTGGGCGGGGGGCGTTTAGCTTTCGAGGCGGGCACGGTGGTTTCGGTTTTGAGAACTCCGCGCGGCGTTCCGAGCGGTTGCGACGTCTCGTGTACAGTAGTAACTTAACCAACTGCCCAAAAACTGCAGCGGTCTGTTAATTTAGGGGTCGACAAGGCGGGAATAGGTAGACCGGCCAGGCAGGCATCCACGGTTAGCTTACACACCAGAGATCTTTGTGCTTGAAATCTCTCTCGGAATCTTAGCATCGGTTTATTCTTCAAAGAGCTGTATAGTGTGGCCGTCACGTGTGGCATGTATTTCTAGATCTGCTTCTTATTTCGTGCCCATGGTCTGAGATCAAAGTATTCTGGTTTCTATGAGCCCCATCTTATAAGTCTTTCACAGGATGGAGGAATAGGTGCAACGGGAGTGATTGATGTGTTGACAAATTTCCTTGACATGGCAGGAAGCAGTCATGCTGGGTGGCTTCAGTCAACCTTCGGCAACAAGAGCGTCACGCATGTCAATCAGGACCGTTCTTGTTCTCGTCAGTCATGATCTGAATCTGAAACTGAATCCTCCTCTACTTGACTGAACATGTTTGACAACAACAAAGCGATATCATTGTTATTATATATATTGCTGCCTCCTTTCTTCCCCCATCCTTGCCCTGCTTACTTGTCTCATTTTCACCACCAAGGCGTTCGATTTACAATTGTGAACAAAATGAAATTTTGGCTGTTGCGTGAGCAAGCCGGGACAGGTATAGCGCAGTCCATAAACCTCACAAATACATAGATACCAATGAAGTCAAGAAGAGGACGTTGACCAACAACGAGCATCACCAACGTCAAATCAAACACCACCACTGACAAAAGGACATACTGCACCAGGCACCGGTTTCCACTGCATGTCACTTAACCCACTGACCACAACTAATTCATGTCCGCAACCAACAAAAGCATGAGATCACGCCTCTACTCTGTCTTCGGCCCACCGTTTTGCATCAATCCCGTGGGCGACGTGTTGTTCTTCAGATCACCTGCCGTAGAGCCTGGACCGGACGCAGGATGGACGGCCTTCTTGTCGTCCTCCCCATCGTCGTCGTACTCCTCATCAATGTCCATCTTCCTAGCAGCCCGTTCCGGCTCATGGCTTTGAGGGGGCGGCGGTGGTCCCTGCATGGGAGGCAGCTGGCTCGGCATGTTGTGAGTAGGTGGGTGATGTGCGGCCTCCGAGGGGTGATAGCCATGGGGACGCTGCTCTTCGACGCGTCTGTGCTCCGAGGACTCACGGCGATAAGACTCAGCTCGAGCCGGCGTGGAAGGGCGCGGCTTCTTCGAGGCCGTCTCGTCCTCCCACTCGCGCAGGCGCTTGGGACCGACCGATGAGGCCGGTTATCATGCTCATTACGGTGAAGCGCGGCCTCCGCAGCAGCGGCTGCAGCAGACTGAGGTGGTGGAGCTCCGGACTCCATTTGGCTAGGCCCCGAGGGGTCCTGCTGAGGATACGGCGGTTGGTGCTGCGGATAAGCCGACTTTGGCGAGGGCATGCGGTTGTCGTGCATGGGGCGCAACTCAGGCCTGGGGCTGTTGTTCCGATACGCCATCAGCGGCGTCGGTCCCGGGGGAGGTCCATTTACTCCATTGGTGGGCGGAGGAGGTCCAGACGGAGTAGGTGCAGGGGATGGGCCGCTGTAGTTGGGATTAGCGACGCGAGGTGGTGGTTGCGAAGTTGGTGGCAGGGGCTGCTGCTGAGGTGGTGGCGGTGGAGGGTAGTGCAGAGGAGGCGGTGTTCGCGCCCTCATCATCGGACCTCCAGGCCCTGCTGGACCGCCTTGCCGCGCGGGATCCTGGTATTGTCTCATTTGCTGCTCTTGGCGAGGGCTAGGCTGACGAGGAAAAGATGGCGGGGCTGGTCCCCTAAGAGGCTCACCGCGCTGCTCATAAGGATTTGGCGGTTGCGGAGGCGGGTTCACTTCCGAAAGCCGCGCCCAGTTGCCGGCTGGTCCAGGAGGAGGGCCTGGCGGAGGCTGGGTCTGCTGGGGACCAGGTCCCGAGTTGGACCACTGAGGACCAGGAGGTCCGATGGCTCCCTGGTGCTGGTAGGCCTGGGGATGGACATCAGTTGGCATGGGAGCCGCACCGGCGCCGTTAGTCTGGCCGTTGCGGAGAAGCTGCAGCCGGGCCTTGATGTGAGGGTTGGACGGATCCAGCTCGGCCGCTCTCTGATAGGCATCCAGCGCATCATTAATCTGGTTGTTGCAGCTCTCATACTGGAAAGCGTGTTAGCAGTCTGGAGGACGCAGGTGCCGGGACTTGTTGCGACTTACCAGAGTGCCGAGGTCATACCAGACCTCAGAGATGAACGGGTTCAGCCGGATGGCTCTGCTGTATGCATCCAGGGCGTCCCTGTACTGGTTGATCTGGTAGTACAGCACACCAATGGAGCACCAGAAGGTTGGGTTGCGGCCGTCCCTATATACAGCCTGCTGATAGGCTTCATATGCCTTGGGATACTTCTGCTGCGACATGTAGCATCGGCCAAGCAGGTACCAGCTCTGAGCATCGCTGTTGTCTTTGCACACAAAGTTAGCACATTGCAACGCTGAAAGATGGGTGCGGCGATGCGCAACCTACCTGCAGCAACAGACTTCTCCAAAAACTCGATTGCCTTCTCCTGGCTGGCAAAACTATTGCTCTGTTGGTGATGCAGCCAGCCCAACTGCTGCAGAACCTTGGCGTGATTCGGATCCCGGTCCAGTACACGCTGATATGCGTTTTTGGCACTGTCAAAGTCCTTCTGCTGCTCGTGAACATGACCGATTTGAAACCAGATGTCCTCTTCGGTCAGCGGCGGCGGCGGCGAGTTGACAATGTACTTGAAGCACTAGAAGTGTGTCAGAGAGTGTACTACATGAAGGTAATGCCGGATGTCCCACGAACCTCAAGACTCTGGCCATACTTCTGCTGCTGCTTGTAAATTATGCCGAGCCGGAAATAGATCTCGTTGGCCTTCTCGAACCCGGGCTCCATCTGCATGACTTGGGAGAAAGCTTCCTCGGCATGATCCAGGGATCCGTAGCGGTCGTATAAGATGCCTATTCCGTACCAAAGCTTCGGTTCCTGCGAGACTGGAGTCAATGGGTTGTCGACAAAGCCGGCAGTCTGGTGTTTACCGACCTTCGGGTTGCGGAGGTTAATCAGAGCATTTTGGTAAGCAGCATAAGCCTGTTGCAGATCATCCATCATGAGGTAGCAGTGTCCTGCATACGGTGTGTCAATCAACCGCACGGTCGCACCGATACATTTTTAGAGCCTTGTATTTCTCTCGGGGGCGGGGAATAACTAACCAAGGCTGCCCCATGCCTCGCCGTTGGCTGCGTCGAGCTTGAGGATCTGGTTTAGGTATTCTATGGCCTTTGGGAAATCCTCGCGTGTCCTCAGAATGGCGCTGATGGAGTTCATGGCCTGGGTGGAGCCAGGACTTGCGCGGATGGCTTGCTCATAGGCGAACAGGGCGTCCTCGACGTTGCCCAGGATCTCGGATAAGCTGCCTGGAAGGGGCATCAGCTAGCTGCAGATAGCCGGCACAACAAGGAGCGTCTATTTGAAAGCCGCCGGCGCAACCAATGGGCAAGCAATTGCGCCGGCGCAACCAAGAACTAGGACGTGGAAGGTGTCCCAAAAGACACCTGTGATGTACACGAGACTGACGTACCTATTTGCATCCAGACAGCCTCGTTCATCGCAAGGATCTGTCGCGAGGGTGCCCATGCGCCCTGAGGCGGAGGCGGAGGTGGAGCGCCGACCGCATGATGCAGAGGCATCGAGGGCGACTGGTGGTGTGCCGGAGCAGCCATCAGGGTGAATGGGATTTATTTGGGTTGGCTTGGGGGTGGGGAGAGGAAGCGATGCACGACGATATTTTGTGAGAGGCTATGTGCGGTTGAGGTATGGGGGTAGCGATAATTACGAAACCAAGCAGCCGCTGCAAGTGTCAACTGCAACTGTCAACAGGTTGCCTCATTGAAAGGGTGAAGGGGAGTGCAAGCCAGTGTGGAGAGACACAATTGAACAGAGCAGGAGCCGGGTGAGGCAGATGCAGGTTTGTGTGCGGCGGGCTGGCGAGACTGCGAGGAAAGAAGGGAAGAGTGGAAGGTTGAAGCGGCTCCCTGGATCGGTGGGCGGGAGGAGAAAAACCAACGGGGGAGATGGGAGCAGATGAGAACGCAGCTCTGGCAAACTCCCCTTACCCACGGATTGGGGGACGGCCGGGGGTGTGGGTAGCTGCTAGCCGTGGAAACAAATGAAGGAATCCTGACCAGACAGCCAGACAGCCAGGCCAGGCCAGGCCACCCAACCACACGCGAACCGAACACCTCCAGCACCGGGCGGGTGGGTACGTACCTTGCCTGGGTAGCTGGCCCTGCCCTGCCAGCCAGCCAGCCAGCCCGCACCTCACCTCCAGTGTTCGGGTCAGGGGTTGGCTGCAGCAGCCGGCAGGTGGCAGGGTGACGACGTGCTGCAGCAGCGGCGCCCGGTCTCGGTACAAGGGCCCAGCTTCGGGCCATCTGCGAGAAGTCCACGCTACCTGACATTGGGCCTCAGAGGGTGTGGAGGAACGGGGTGGGCTTACGGGGGTACGAGGGTACCAGGGTACAAGGTAACATACCTCACCACCGCCTGCGCACCCTGCATACCCAGGCCCAGACCCGCTCGCCTGCAGCCCGCAGCCCAAAGCCACCCCTCCCACCCCACCTTTGCACAAAAGGCGGGTCGCCCAAGACAAGCCTCTGCCTTTGGTTTTTTTTGGGATCGTGGCTGCCCCCGGGTAGTTGGGGGAACGGGGGGTGGGAAGACGGGGTGAGCAACAGCCCTCTTGTTACGTAGGTCCCCTCGGCTGGTCCAATGGTTCAGGGAAGGTGTCACTGCCCGCACGGCCCTGTTCGGGTTTCTTGGGACCTGCCACAAAAGGGGACGGGACGTGCGGCTTCTCCGCACAGGCCTAACAACAGGCAGCGTGTAGAACTGAATAGTCTATATGCTGCGTGGTACCTACCCACGCCCTTGCTTATTCACCTGCTTGCCAGGCGTGCCATGCTCTGCTGATGTGCGTCGGTTGATTTGAGGGAGGAGCGCAGGATGTGTAACAGCCCCAGAGAGGGAAAAGAAGAAGAAAAAATAACAGACATGTCGGCTGCTGCGTATTATGCGCCAGTGCCCTTGGCTAAATACGTTACCTGCGTTGGGACGATCCCTTTGTCGGTAGCTTAGCTAAAATAGGTACGTAAGTCCACTACCACACGACAGTACTACCGCACCGCCGCCAGCAGGATCCTCCATGACGCCCGTTCTCTTCCGACCCGTGGACGAACCCGCATGGCGCCAGATCTACAGCAGAGGCCTCGACCCGCCGCCAGCCATGTTGCCATGACAGCCCGAATTGATTCAGATGGTGCTGTCTAGCGCGTGCCTCCGTCCCGACTGGTGATAGCATCACAACATCTGCTTACCTCGGCCTTTACTGCGAGTAGTGTCTCCCATCTTGCGCCAACATGTTGCCGGCCTTGCAACATCTAAAATGGGAGTCATGCCTGGCGCATCATGCGGTCTGTTGAAGCCTGCCGGAGAGATCTGAATCGTGATGCACGAGAGGCCTTGTCGCAGATACGGGGACATACGAGTTCTGAGAGTGCTGGTGATGACTGTGAAATTATGGTTGCAGTCTCCGGTGGGTGCTGGGCTGCTGCTCTCCCTCCCCAATACGTCTTCCTCCCACTGCCGCGGTGAGGGCGAGGGCGAGGGCGCTGAGGGCGTGATGGGCCGGTGTGGAAGATTCCTTTCCATCCAGTGTGTGATGTCGACTCGCAAGCGGGGTTTAGGCGGTAAGAAAGGGCCAGATGTTTGTTTCATCCCAAGTCTGCCTGATGGCTGTTGCATCCGAATGATGGGTTTGATGGGCGATGAGGCAGCGCAGATTCGCACCACCCGTCACGCTCCTGTAGGCTGCTGCACCAACAGCTCTCGCCGCCCGTGCCCCTGCCCGCGCCCGCGCCCGCGTGCCGGTGCGTGCCTCTGCAGGGCGCTGCCAGCTTCCCTTGTTCTGCCCGCGAGATTGGGTTAGGGTTCTGCGCATCATGTCCTGACGGTGGGTATTGGGGGGTTGTTGCAGGGGGGCACGGTGAATGGGGACAAATCTAAACTGATTTCCGAGGCTGGCGTGCACAGAGGGTGTGTGGGGCCTGGGCAGGTGGGCGGCTGGTGATGACAAGGCCCTGACAGGCCCACCACGGTCGACTCGTGCATCATGCAGGGTTGGCCGAAGCTTCATGGGCCGGATGTACCGAGTACGCGGCGGGACCCCTTCCATCTGAACAGCGCGGTACCGGGACCTTGGCCCTCTGACGCTGCCGGCACCCCTCCCCTCACGCCCCTCCCAGAAACGGGGGTGTCTCCGCGGCACGCCATGACGCCTTCTGCTTAGCTGCAGATGCTGGGGCCGCAGGGAATGGCAATCGTTCTTTCTGTTCGGCGCCAGGCTCCTGCAGCCCCCCCGTGCGTCAGGACGGATGCTGGGCCCGCCCGAACATAAAACGGGTAATAAGACTCAAGACACAGGACGGACCGTAGGTGTGCCACGGTACGTATCTCGACCAGCTACACTACCTAGTCCATCTGCCTTCTTTCTCCCTTCCCCAAGGCCCCAGCAAAAGCCTGCGAGCCAGCCTAGCCAGCGAGGCCTTGTCCATTCCTGACTGCCTGCGCCCACTCATTCTACATGTCTGTACCGTACTGCACCGCACCAGGCCACCACGGTGACGGTGATCAGGATTGATGCTATGGGGCCGCTTCATTACATTACTCGTGAACCACGCGCCGGCCCACCCCCCTCCTCCCCTCCCGAGCGCAGCCTAACCCGGTTCGTCTCGGGAATATTCCTCATGGTATTTTCCCGGGTCGGAAAACCCCTCTGGCAATACGTGTACTGTGTAATAAGAACTCAAAAGAAAGAAGGAAAAAAAAAAAAAAAAAAAAAAAAACAGAGCGCGCCCTGGCCTGCCTGCCCTGGCCGCGCCCCCCCCCCCTCTCCCCAGGCGGTCGGTTCCGTTGCAGGCGCCGGCCAGCCACCACCAGACTAAGCCTCCAGCCCCAGATCCTCTGTCACGAAGGCGACCGAGCATCTCGCCTGTTCGCCGCGCGCCTTGGCCATCGCATTTGGCCCATTCCAACACCCCAAACGGATCTTGGCCCCTTTAAGGCTTGGATCGAGGCGTCCCAGCATGCCGGCCAGCACCTCCTTGCCGCATCCCAAAAGCTGACCTCGTCGAACTTTAATAGCAACAACAGCTCTGGCCGTGCTGGTCCCGCCCCCGACCCGGGGCCGCCATCGAGAGTGGATAGGCACAGTACAGCACGCAGATCTGCACCGCAGCCTGGTAGTGTAAAATTCGATGAGTTTTTTGTCGTCACAGGGCCGCTCGTAAAGATGCGTGGCCGCATTTCCCCTCGCTCCACACACCCGAGGATCTGCAGCTTGGAGGCGAAGGACGAAGCTGCACTAGTGACGGAGGGGAGTGGACATAAGCTCAATCGTTTCGTCGGCGGAGCTTATTGACGATGACCCTGCATTCTCCGGACGCAGGACGAACGGTTTTGCGGGTCCCGCAAGAACTTTCGAAACCCGCTGCTGGGTGTCGGCCTCCCTCGGCAGTGCGGTAAAGGCGCCTAGCGAGGCCGCCCAGCCCAGCGCCAGGTGGTTGATGTACGGATCAGTCAATGTGTTTCGAAAAGCAAAGATCGGACAGGCTGCTTGCCCTCGTGGAGCTGGCAGCTATGTCATGGGCGTATGTGTGCCAGCTAGCGACCGACGTACAGTAGTGCCGCGGTTGAGCAGCTTGTCAGACACACACGAGGTATCAGTCAATGATGCGATGGAAACCCAATATAACTATATTCGATACATTGGCAGGAAATGCTCCCGCGCTTGCAAAACGTGTGCGATGTGCACCATAGGCAGGGCACCGCTGTCGGCCCAAGTCATGCCCAGCATTTCGAAAAGGGAAAAAAGAAAAAAAAAGGGGCCGATGCAACGACCAACCGAACAGCGGTCGGGCATTCCCTTGCGTCAAACCATGGGTTGACGTTTGCGGTTTTGGGTTTGGCCTTGCGGAAGTCAAGTCGGTGATGGCTGTGCGCACAGCTACCCTCGTTTGTGCCTGACTGCGGCAGATGACATGGTAGATTCCGGGGGGCGCGTCAGTGGACAGGTCGATCGTCGTGTTGATGCCAGAACTACAGTACCTTTTCACATTCTGCTAGAAAAACAACGGTGGGTAGGCACGCGCAGCAAGGGACTCTGTGCGAATCGTCATGCTCTGCATTGCCGAACCCAGCTTTATTTTTGGAGGAAGTCCGGGGCTATCGATGTCCAGACCGGGGTTAAAGGGGCCGTGTGCGATCGCAATTGAGTGTCATCGTCTTCAGCGGTTCGTGACAACTCGCAGGGTGATTCCCACGTGGATCTTGCGGGATTCGCACCATCGGCTCGTTCCTTCTTTCTTTTTTTTGCCTTCGGCCCAACCACGGAGAGAGTGGACGGACAGACAGGGCTCTGCTCGCACGGGCAGACAAGACTTAAGAGACAAGTGCTCTTCTCCCGTCCGTGTGAAGTCAATCAAGATTTCGGGCCCGTCGAGATGTGTCCGTGTGTGGAACGATCCGTTCTGTTTCAAAGCGCCGCCTCGAAATCTTGAATAGGGGGGGTAGGGGTTAAAGTTGCTGCTCCACGCGGGCATTTTCCTGCTGATATCCCACATGCCCCCGTGATAACGAAAAGGCAAATGATCCCTGGTGGCGATGACGGGACGAGTGTGAGATGATCTACGGTTTCACTTCCGGCGCAGAGCGGGGACCCGTTCGATCGGCTGGGCTTCTGTGCGTCTTTCCATCGATTTTGATGTGAGGCCCTTCCCTAGCTCGTCATGCAGAGCGGGCGACCGAAGAAAGACCTTGTTGCGTCGCTTCTTGCCCGTTTACGACGTGCATCTCGAGTCATTGTGTCAAACTTTTTGAAACTTTCGAACCTTCAGGCTCGCATCTGCCGTCCTTTGCGTGGAAACACATGGCCTAGTGTACATCCTCGGGGACAGGTCAAAGGAGCGCTGGGCTGGGCTTGGCTCGGCCTCGAGACTTTAGCCGCACACATCGCGACCTCTCCACCGTCAGCGGTGGTAAGCCGCGGTCGGCCCGGGATTCTGGGTAACAATGGGCAAGGGGAGGTGATTGGCGTGATCCATTGGTGGGTTTAATACACCTTGGACACGGCATATGCCCTCCCCATTCGCAGAGCGACTGACCGCTTTGGGGGGGTGACATGACTCATGGCTTGATGACAGACAAGTCGATAGTGATGACCGATGCGCAACATTTCTATATATGGTAACCAAGGTGTGTGATGCGGAGCTGTGAGGGTTTGTTCGACAGCCACCGAGCTGCCACCTGGCGGCGCGTGTAAGGATCGCCCACACATGTTGGTGTGCCGGAGAGGAGGCGGTGGTAGCTGGGTGACTTGCAGAAGCCGTCGGAAGGTGCATATGCCATGCGGCTGGACGTCGATGCGCGCGATGATCGAGCTGGAGCTCAAAACCACCGCGGATTTCCCGTTCGACAAGGTCAAAGCTACTGGGTTACGTCGTCCGCTCACCACGGAGCGCACAGTCGTCTACCTTGCAGTGCAGTCATGTACCCAGAGGCAGCCATCTTGCGGGCAATGATTTAATAGAAAGGGGGACTATAGGGTGGCCGGGAGTTTGGGCGTCTGGTACGTTTGAGAGTGGTAGTGGGTGGGTGGGACAAAACCTCGGGGAGAGTCTAGGATGTGATGCATCCACCCTGTCGACGGCCGTGATCGCCTCACCCGTCTCGTCCTAGTGCCGTGCCGCCGCAATCTGCACCCTGTGATTGAGGTGCATCATGCCGCATCGCATGGCCGCGGCCAGCCGTGGCTATTGGGGCCTATTGCATTGTGCACGAACTGCGGAGGCGACTGACGGGTCAGTAGACCGTGGGTTGCTATCGCTTGAGCAGCAGCAGCAGCAGCAGCAGCCGGAGTCTTGGTTTGCTTCTTCTGGGGCTTGAGTTGCTTTTTTGCAAAACGGCTGCAGTGTCTTTGCTTCGCAGGTCGTGCGGAACTGGAGTCCTAGGGACACTAGCCCCTTCAGGCAGTACCTACATACATGTAACACATTCTCATGCCGCCCTCATCATTTCAGGATAGACTAGGCATGGCTGGGTCCTTGTCTTCTGTCATCCGTCACGAACAAGGCCCTGTCCCAGCTTCCCGAGGTTCGCGGTGGTATCCTCGTCAGCACCGGATCTATGTAGTGTAGAGCGTGCAGCCTGTCGATCCAACGTTGCTTTATTGTTATATAATTATGTATAATAGTACCTAGTTCCAGGTGCTCAAGCCTTTCGCCGCGATGCGAGCTGCGGGAAGAGGGCAATTGCCGCATCATGCCCGTCACGGTGGTAACATATGTTCTCTCTCGCGTTGACACTGGGAGCCCTTCATGTGCCTCGCTTTCAATAGAGATGCACGATCGGTCCAATTGATGCCCAGCATGGATCGATCGAAATGTGGCCGGTAATGCGCGCATGCTTCGTGCGCCATCGACTAGAGTATAGCAACTTGTGCCGTTGCACCTGGGCTTGTGGCCTGCATGTCTAGATACTCACCTTCGGTTGACCATGCGATGCGAGTACTTGGTGTAAGGTTACTCAGCTTGACAAGCAGGGGAAGAGTGCAACAAAGGATGCCGGAGCCTACACAGTAGCCAGGCTGAATGGGCCGATTTGCGAGAGCCAATCTTCATCGCTACCAAGGACCATGCCAAGCAGGGAGGGAGAAAGCACGAGTTGCCGAGCCTCGTGCTGATGCGTGTGCTGATGTAGATCGACAGCCGCCACACTGCCGTCACCTTCAAACAAGACAGGGGCCCAACGCTGGCCGATTTCACCATCTTGAAGCCGGCATCTGTCGAGGTAGCAGTGTTCCAGATGAGCAGATGCGCTGGTCCATCCGACCTCCAATGAAGGGCGAAGCGCCCGGACATGTCACCAACTCACCAACTATGTGCCCATCCGATGCCGTTACTCTGATCAAGCTCGTGGAATGCGCGCACTGCACTGAGACACAGATTGCGTGTGTAGCGTGTTCATGTCTGAGGTCGACGCATGTCACGCAGCACAGCACAGCACATTTCACAACACGGCTGATCCGCAAAGGTGTCAAGCTGGCAGCTGGGTAACAGAGGCACACACAAAGTCTCCGTCGGCAATCTTGGTAGTTGTCACGGCTGTGGTTGTAAGCTGCGAAAGGCCACCAAGTCTGCCAGTGGGGATGGGGGAGGAGACACCCCTACACTTTACCTACTAACGGGCTAGGTACCTCCTGTCCTGTAGTAATCTAGTCTAGTATCTTGTCTCTTCACCAAGCAACCCGTTCCCAAACCTTGGGGTGTCGGCTTCCCGAGGCAGCCACCGGGCCGCGTTTTTGTGCTGCATGCTCGCCTGCATCGGAAACGGATTGCCGGCCACAGCCCACACACCCAGGCTAGCTGGCTGGAGGGCTACCCAGGTAGATTGCTGCTCATGGCTGCTCCTATGATGTGCGGATGGCAGATGACTGCATTCAACAGTCGAAGGGAACAAGTGTGATTTGGACAGGATGCTTGTTTGAAGCCCGTTGTAGGCATTGATGCGACGATGAACAGCTTCCGAACTAAATGAGGATCAGGTCCCTGCTCGAAAGAAAGGTCGCAGCAGCTCGGCAACAAGGTAAACGTAGAACTAAGGGATATCACATATGGAGCAGAACTGAGAACTCAGAATGCTCAATGTCTGAATATTCCGAGGTCGCTCGTTGATTCTGGCAGACATACAGTATTCAATGACTATAATTGTAGTCTTGAAGCCTGGGTAGGGGGATACCCATTGCCCACAGCTGGTGGCAGCTGCCCACCATCTGGCGTGTTCACGTGACGCTGCTCCACAGATCCCACCAACGGCAAACTCCCCAAGGTGAAACTTTTTGCAGCTGCGGCCAGCCTCAACTGCCAGCTTGTTGTCCCAACCCATCAACCGCCTACCCATCCTCCACGACAACTTCGCGACAGAGAGCTCAAGTCAGCCAAAATGTCGCACCGTAAGTTCGAGGCTCCTCGTCATGGCTCTCTGGCCTACCTGCCCCGCAAGAGGGCTGCCAGGCATCGTGGCAAGGTCAAGTCGTAAGTTATCGCCAAACGTCCCCGTGCATCCACCTGGAATTGATGGGTTGTTTTTTTCCTTCTTGGTGTGAGGGCGGCTGCTGATCGTGATGGGCTATTACAGCTTCCCCAAGGACGACTCCAAGAAGCCCGTCCACCTGACGGCCACCATGGGCTACAAGGCTGGTATGACCACCATTGTCCGCGACCTCGACCGACCTGGCGCGAAGTCCCACAAGAAGGAAGTTGTTGAGGCCGTCACCATCGTTGACACGCCACCTGTACGAACAATGCAGCCCGCTTGGCAATTGAGCCAATGGCTAACATCTTTCACAGATGATCGTTGTTGGTCTGGTTGGATACATCGAAACCCCCCGTGGCCTGCGATCCCTCACTACCGTCTGGGCTGAGCACTTGAGCGACGAGATCAAGCGCCGATTCTACAAGAACTGGTACAAGAGCAAGAAGAAGGCCTTCACCAAGTACGCCAAGAAGCACTCCGACAACGCCTCCTCCTTCACCCGCGAGCTCGAGCGCATCAAGAAGTACTGCTCCGTCGTCCGTGTCCTGGCCCACACCCAGATCCGCAAGACCCCCCTCAAGCAGAAGAAGGCCCACCTCATGGAGATCCAGATCAACGGTGGCTCCATCGCCGACAAGGTCGAGTTCGGTCACGGTCTGTTCGAGAAGCCCGTCTCCGTCGACTCCATCTTCGAGCAGGACGAGATGATCGACGTGATCGCTGTCACCAAGGGTCACGGCTTCAACGGTGTCACTGCCCGTTGGGGTACCAAGAAGCTGCCGCGTAAGACACACAAGGGTCTCCGTAAGGTCGCTTGTATCGGTGCCTGGCACCCGTCCCACGTCCAATGGACTGTTGGCCGTGCTGGTCAGATGGGTTACCACCACCGTACCTCGGTCAACCACAAGGTCTACCGCATTGGCAAGGGCGACGCCGATGACAACGCCGCTACCGAGGTTGATGTCACCAAGAAGACCATCACTCCGTAAGCTAACACCCCAACCTCCGTGAGCTCTCCGCACAAGATAAGAATAATACTGACATGCCCAAACAGTCTGGGTGGCTTCGTCCGCTACGGTGAGGTCAAGAACGACTTCGTCATGGTCAAGGGCTCTATCCCCGGTGTGAAGAAGCGTGTCATGACCCTCCGCAAGTCCATGTTCACCCACACCTCGAGGAAGGCTCTGGAGAAGGTCGAGCTCAAGTGGATCGACACATCGTCCGAGTTCGGTCACGGTGCTTTCCAGACCCCCGCCGAGAAGAAGCAGTACCAGGGTCTCCTCAAGAAGGACGTCGGTTCCGCTTAGGTTTCTACTGCTTCTCTCTCACGGCGTGGTGTCACGGCTTTCTCTTTGCTGCATGGATGGGTTGGTTAATAGGTACCGGGGCTCAACAAGAGCTCGTTAGGGGTCAGAGTCCCAGAAGGTTTACGATGAGCCCTCACTGGCGTCAGTGGAAAATAAAATCGTGACGAATTTACTCATGAAATGAATGATACCACCTCTTTGACAACTGTATGCTGTGCTGTGCGTTTTTGGCCTTGTGCTCAAATTCAAGTCCAGAAGAGAGCATCACTTCGGGCCGGCACAGACCAAGTTCGAACCTGTCAGATGGGCTCCTTATATAGATCCATCCGTGAGCCCATTGTCTTCATCATGCCAACATTTTCAAGAACCAATCCAGACTAAGGGAACGTAATTATAATCTGCTGAACAACTAAGGTCTTCGTAGAACCTGGCATGGAAGAGTTTTGCCGACTGCAGGCTTGGTGCTAGGTTGCCCGGCAATCCGACATTTTGGAGTGTTGCTATCAACCCTGGAGAAAAGTTGCGTCATACTGGAAGTGCTTCACAGCTCCCCTCCTTGCGAGCAAATGGTGACCCCTCCGGTCGGAACTACACGAGTGGCATCTCAGCTGGCAAACCTCAGTGGCGTCGGAAACAATAAAATCGCAAGCACCCGGCACTTTGCATTTTGCGCAACTCCATCATACCCGCGAGCCATCCTCCTACACCACCATCTTCGGCACGAGCATACCCAGCACCATCAACCACAGCTCCGCTGCTGCACCTCCAAACCGAACCTACTTCCCGCACACGCGCGACGTAGTCAAGGAAGAAGCCTGTCCGGAACCACACACTTGAGGATGGCGACGGACGATGAATACATGGACTTCCTGAACAAGGCCAACGAGGACCCGGGCCAGGGCTCAGTCTCGGCCCAGGCACAGGGTGGTCACGCGAAGAAGGAGCTCAAGGCGGCGGACCACGGGGCGAACATACCGCAGCCGCTGGTCAAGGCTACCAAGGGTGCCTTCTACTTATCTGATTCGGACGAGCCGTTTGTGCCAGTGTCGCTGGCGTGGGAGAAGGGCAAGGGGTTGCCAGACGAGGGTACGTCATTCATCTTCTTTTACCTCAAGTCTCGAGGCTCGCACTTCACGCCCTATCCTGCACCAATGGACGAGAAATTGACTAACTTACCTGTTCTCTGCGCAGAGGAGATTGCGAAACTGGTCGAGCACTGGGATCCTGCGAAGGCTGAGGTTGAGATCTTGGACCCGGTCGACTGGGACAGAAATGGGCAGTACAGGGAGGTTATTGACGCGGTCCGCGAAGCCGGGAAGGGCAACGACGTTCGGGTATATCGCATCGTCAAGGACAACTCGAGAGTGGAATACTTTGTGGTGACGAGGGCAGGAGAGGGCAAAGGTGCCAGGCTGGTGGGCGTCAAGGCATTGGCGATTGAGAGCTGAAGACTGGCAGGTTCTCAGGCATTGCGAGATGAATCACGAGAATATGAGCAAATTCAAACCAAGTTTACTATCTAGCAGTAATTGTCTACACACATGTTTTTTCTCTCTTCGTGACTTGTTCACCGGTGCATGTTTGTAAACCCGAATTTCCTCGGCTCGTGTAGCACCTCTAGAAGAGCTTTGCCTGTGACCCCAGGGCCGTCTTCCAGTGCCCCTCCAAAGGCCGTTGGTTCAGGGCTCAGCCGCCCCGCCTCGCCGAAAACCTAGCGCCCTGGTCCCTGAAATTGCCGCTGGACGACACTCTGTGGCCCTGCCGGGGTACTCGACATTCAACGGGGCAAATGCAGCACCTACCTAGGTAGCTCTCACCTACCCACCGACCCAGGTCGCGAGTGAGTCAGCGTGAACCCACCGAGCTCACGACGCCGGTTCAGTGAGTCCTTTCATTGAATCGAGCGGCCCCATATTTTTGGCTCAAAAAGATGAGTGTCCCAGTGAGTTATTCGCAGCAAGTTTCTCCTGGCATGTCAAAGATGGCACAAACTAATCCATCATTCCAGGACCAGATCGTCCCGTCGTTGGACACGGTGAAGGATGTGCTGGCTAAGCAGCAAGGACCGAAGAAACCGAATCTCGTGCCGCTGTACGGCCAGATCTCTTCGGACCTGATCACGCCCTCCTCGGCGTACCTGAAGGTCGTGGCTCACACGAAGTCGCCGTACTCTGTCCTCTTTGAGAGCGCTGCGTCCGAGCAGGTCGGCCGGTACAGCTTCGTCGGGGCGGGCCCGAGGAAGATCCTGAAGACCGGCGAGGGCCACGGCGAGTCCTGCGATCCGATCCCTGCGCTGGAGAAGGAGCTCTCTCAGTATGTCGTCGCTGAGGTCCCGGATCTGCGGCTGCCTCCCCTGACGGGAGGTGCAATTGGATACATAGGATATGACTGCGTCAGGCAAGTAGCTGCACGTGCTCCGGACGAGCGCTGTCACTGACGAGTGTACCTGTAGATATTTTGAGCCGAAGACAGCTCGGCCTATGAAGGATGTCCTGCAGATTCCGGAGTCACTTTTTCACTTCTATGATACCATAATAGCCTTCGACCGCTTCTTTGGCGTCATCAAGGTTATTACCTATCTGCGAGTGCCAGAGAACCCAGCCGACATCGACAGCGAGTACGCCAAGGCGACGACTGTCATTGAAGATCTTGTTGGCGTCCTCGAGGCCCCCGAGACTCCCTTGCCGGAGCAGAAACCCATCCAGCTGGGCCGTGAATACACGTCCAACATTGGTCAGGACGGATACGAAGGTCATGTCAAGAACCTGAAGAAGCACATCATTGTGGGAGACATTATCCAGGCTGTCCCATCCCAACGCTTTGCACGGCCCACGGATCTGCACCCTTTCAACGTTTACAGGCACCTTCGCACCGTCAACCCTTCGCCGTACCTCTTCTTCATCGACAATGGTGACTTCCAGATCATCGGTGCATCCCCCGAACTGCTCGTCAAGGAAGAGGCCGGCCGGATCATAACCCATCCCATCGCCGGTACCGTCAAGCGGGGCAAGAACCCCGAGGAGGACGAGCGCTTGGCCGCAGAGCTGGCGAACTCCCTCAAGGACCGCGCAGAACACGTCATGCTGGTCGACCTGGCGCGCAACGACGTCACGCGCGTCTGCGATCCGCTGGAGACCCGGGTCGACAGGCTGATGGTCGTAGAGAAGTTCTCGCACGTCCAGCATCTCGTGTCCCAGGTCTCGGGTGTCCTCCGGCAAGGCAAGACGAGGTTCGACGCCTTCCGCTCCATATTCCCTGCCGGCACGGTCTCCGGCGCCCCCAAGGTCAAGGCCATGGAGCTGATCGCCGAGCTGGAGAAGGAGAAGCGTGGCGTCTACGCCGGCGCGGTCGGGTACTTCGGCTACGGCAGCGTGTCTCCGTCTGGAGAGGAGAAGGAGGGAGCTATGGACACCTGCATCGCTCTTCGCACGATGATGACCAAGGATGGCGTAGCGTACCTGCAAGCTGGTAAGATCAAGACACGCAGGCCTCTTGCAATGGGTTTTGTCGCTAACATATGATAGGCGGTGGTATTGTGTTCGACTCGGACCCGTATGATGAGTGGATGGAGACAATAGTAAGTCACAAACGTCTTTTTTGCCCTACCCAACGATACAGCTCATCGAGAATCACTTGTATCATGAGACCATGAGACACGGTTCTCGTCAGCTACCTTTTGCGCGGTCTCGCGAGTGGGACAGCATTCTGATATGTGTTTACAGAACAAACTTGGCGCGAACATGCAATGCATCACCTCCGCCGAAAAGATTTACGTGCATCGTCAGGCGAAGGGAGCGCAGTAGCGTCCACGGGCCCTCATCGCAGCATTTGATGACCTCAATTCACATCTGTAGGAATTTACAGAAGAGAGCCAATGGATTTCTGATGCCCAGATCATAGCTAGTCTTTCCTGGTGATGAGGGCGAGCGCTATGCCGACAATCTCGCGCAGAGTGGATGATCAATTGATCGTTCAAGCGGTCTTGGTGACTGTCTCCGCGCCCTCGTCGTGCCACATGCCAGACAAGTCTCCCGCTGGGAGAACATCCTGCAGCCCATTTCCCTTCTTGAACTCGAGCTTGTCGAGTTCAATTCCGTTGAACGTGCGGACCTATGAGTTAGGCCCCAAACAATTAGTCAATCCCGTCCTGCATACAGTCACACAGGCTCTCTCACTCTCTTTGCCTTGACTCCCCAACCCCCTCCCCATCCCTTCTGGCTGCGGACTTACACTGATCCCATACCCGGTCCACTTGGGCATGTAGAAGTCCCGGAAGTCGATGCCCAGGCTGGCGCCACACTTCCCGCAGAACATCTGGTCCTTCTCCTTGGTGTTGAACCGGTACCTCATCACCTGCGACTCGCCATCGCCGTGGAACTTGACGTTGTCGCGGCTGGGGTCTTTTTGGGTTTGCAGTGCCGTCGTCAGCAACAGAAAAACAGATAAACGTGCCCGGATCTGTGGCACTCGCATGTAGGCTATATATGCCCTCACTGGGCTGGGTTCGGCTGGACTGGATTGTCGGACTTACACACGAGCAGGTAGCCAAACCTGCGGCACGCGGAGCAGTTGCACTCGAGCGGCTTGTACTCGGGCAGCGGGGGCGAGAGCGTGACGTTGAATTTGATATAGCCACAGTGACAGGATGCCGGGTATGTCTGGCTGGGCTTGGGTTCCGGGGCCACGGCTTCGTTCGACATGGTGCTGCGGTGAGGTGGAATTCGGCGAAGATCAAGGCAGATAGTAGGTGTTGTTGATGTTGTGTGACTGGCTCGCTTGAAACAGACGGACAGTTTGCTTTCTTGTGGTGAGCCTGTGACCACCATCTGCTCGTAGCCTGGTGAGGGGTAGATATGCAAGGACACTGTGAATCTGTATATGGATACTCGGACTACATGTATATGTAGATAACAATTGGGTGACAGGTCACTGTTGAAATGCTCTTGCAACCAGGCACCCAGATGATGGGCCTGATTGTGTAAGCGCGGCCCAGATTGTGCAGACCCACACTCATTGGGCGTGCCGACACGGGAAAGGCAGGTGTGTCTCCCCGGGAGTCAGCACTGCTTTTTGGGATTGTTAGTTCACGTACGATACTGGGGGTGATCCCCAGGGGGCAGGTCGTGTCATAGACTCGTATGCATTATGAAAGAGAACGGATGTTCACACACAAAGAAATGGATGGTATACAGATACATTACACGCCTAGTGAACTTATATCCAACTCCCACACCAAACACTCCCACAACCAGTACACCTACACCCAATTCATACACCAGATTCACACACTTAATGCACATACACTCATACATTTATATACTATGTAAATTAAGCGTTTAAATTAAATATGTAAATTAGTATTGATATGTAAATTTGGTGTGGGTGTTACGTTCTGATTAGCTGTGGGAAGAGTATTCAAGAGGTACATGTTTACCATTCGTTTTCTTCTGTGCGAATATCAGTTCTCTTATGAAAAAGTTGCAGTGTCATCTTAGTCTCCTTTCCACGTACTTTGATGGCCTCATACATGTTTGCATACAGGCAGGCAGGCCGTATCATATTTTCTAGGGAAGAGTCTCGACCCCTACCGGTGTATAGAGAATATAATTGCGACTGCCATCCGATGTCCTTTTGCCTACTTGTCTCTGACCTGGTCAATTCATGTCAGAACGTCTACCATCAAGTCCAGATGTAACAAGGTGCAGCCTGATGTCGAGTGTCTCTTCTTCACGCTGTGCTCTCTGGGTCGGGTGTTTGAGGTGTAACTTAGACATTATTGATTTATAAATCGTCATGGGCCGGTCGGCTCATACGATGCCGACCTCAACACCCCAAGCTCTATATACATAAACTCGAGTGGATATCAAAAAATGCAGACCGCTGAGCTCATAATCTCATATCCATGGACTCCGTTTGCATAACCCATTCCCATAATTTTACCTTCTTTTTTACAGCCTCAGTCATCGAATATCACCCTAGACTGCCTCAGTGGCCTTGTCGCCATCCTTCCGCGGCACAGCCGCCGTGACAGCATCATTACCGGCCCGCTCCTTGTCCTTCTCCGACTCGACGTCCTCCGAGGCGTCCGCCTGGGGTGGGGCCGGGAACGAGGGCGCGATCTTGCTCTTGGCGCGGATCTTGTGGCCGTACAGGTAGAAGACCACGGGGATGGGCACCAGCACGGCGGCCACGCAGCCCAGGAGGGTGGAGGCCCACTGGATGCCCATGCCGTTGAACATGTAGGTCGCGAAGAGTGGGAACCCGGCGCCGCACAGCGACCGCATGAAGGTATTGCCTGCGATGGCCGAAGCAGCGAAGAAGAGGTACGCATCAACTAGGTAGTTCATGCTCTGGAGGAAGATGGACATGAGCCCAAAGCCAGTCAGGAGCCCGGAGGCCGTGGGGACGATCCAGTGGATGTCGGCCCTGTATCCGGTCCAGCCGAACCAGAAGATGCCGCCCATGAACGCGACGCCGCCGGCGATTACGGAGGGGAGACGCCACTCTGGGATGGGCATGCCGTTGTTGGATGTGAGCTTGCGCTGGTACCAGGGCTGCTGGGCCAGGACGACGACTCCGGCGATAAGTTCACCGATGATCATGCCGAAGAAGCAGAGGCCTGAGCTGCTGGACTTGAAGCCGTGGACGCCGACGAAAACGAGAGGGTAGGCTGTTAGGAACAGGTACAGAATGCCTGGCAGAAGATTTATTAGTAATTGTTTTTTTTTTCTCTTTCTTTCTGTTTTAAGGGACGGGCGCAAAGGCCTCTTCGCGGTTAAGACTCACCATAGACAAACGACATGTAAATGGAGAGAAGGAGCACGATCGGCTCCTGGAAAAGCAGCCTCATAGGACGCGAAAAGTTCTTCTCGACCAGCTCCCGGAAATCAATCTCGATCTCCTCCTGCTTGGCGTGTATGAAGTGGTTCTGAGTCCTGCGGCGCAGCTCGGCGGCCTTGGCGACCAGAATCTGCGGCGGGTAGGTCTCCTCGAGGAACAGCAGGTCAAGACCGAAGCTCGCGAAGCCCATGAAGCTCGTGATGTACATGGTCCACCTCCAGCCGAGGTAGCTCTCGACGATAAAGCCGCCGATGAACGGGGCGAGCAGCGGGCCGGTGAAGACGGCCATGGAGAAGATGGTGATGGCGATGCCTCGGGTGGCGTTGTTGAACATGTCAGAGAAGACGGCGGCGACGACGGCCAGCGGGCAGGCGCCGAAGAAGCCCGCAAAGAAACGGCAGATCAGGATGGTCTGGAGGTCCTTGGCCACAGCGGTCGCGATGGTGAAGATAGAGAAGCCGAACATAGACAGCACGAGTGGCAGGCGGCGGCCCTTGAGCTCGGAAAGCGGCGCCCACAGGGTGGGGCCGAAGGCGAAACCGAGGACGTAGAAGGAGACGCCGAGGATGCCCACCTCGGTGGACACGTTGAACTCGGCGGCGACGGCGCGCGTGCCGGCGGAGAAGATGCTGGAGGTGAAGGCGGATGTGAGGGTGGTGAAGCCGAGCATTGCTGCCGTGAGGATCCTGCGCGTTGTTTCGTTAGCAATGGCTCCGCCAGCAGAACAAACGAGGCCATTATGTGACTGATGTTACTCACTTCTTCCTCAGGGGCCAATTCTGGGCGTGGAGCGGGTCGTCTGGCCCGTCAAACTCGACGACATACTGGTCATTATCCAGAGGCTCGGGCAAGGTCTTCCCTGCGCCCATTGGAGGGAGCGGCCTCCTCGAGTCGCGGGTGCGTGTGTTGCTCTTCCCCAGGCCGGCGCCGACGGTTGCACTGTGCTGGCTCCTGGCCGTGTGGATGCGGTCGAGCTCTGTGGGGTGGCGCTCCAGGTCTCGTTGTGTTGAGACCCTGCTCATCCCACCGGAGGTGATAGGGCGGCCCCGGACGGAGCCATTGGACGAGGTGGAGACGGAGGAGGCGCTCAGAACTCGCTCGATCTCGTGGGAGGCGCGGCCGTCGTAGTTGGTGGCGTCGACCTCGGCGGCGCTGATGCGACGGTCGAGGTCATCCTCCCAGCGCTGGTTCTCGGCCATGATGATGGTGAGAGACCTGCGCTGTCTACACGATTATCTGTGGTCGTCTTATCACTAAGACAGATGCCCCTTTATGGGGATGAGGTGGCGGTGAGTGAGTGAGTGAGTGCGTGTGCGTGTGTTTGTATGTGCCTGTAAGTGAGGTGGGCCTGTGTATGTGAGTTGTCGTAGCTATTCATATACCCCTGTATGACGTAGCTCTCTAATTGAGTTGGGAGGGAAGCTCAAGGTTAGATGAAAGCAATTGATCAATGGGACGGGTCACCGAGTAGACGGTTCAGCCTGGTCGATGGTTATATGTATTGCAGGAGAGAGTCAATTGAGGGTGGGAACGCATTCTAGAACCCATCCATCCCACCGACCAAAAGCCCACATGGACCGGGACGACGGTGCAATTTCTACTGTCACTCCCTGGAGGGAGCTTGGACGGGAAAGGCGAAAAAAAAAAACACAACCTAGTGGAGTAAGATCCGGCCTAGAGCCTAGGAGGTTCCGAGGCCAGAGGCCAGAGATCCAGATCCAGGACAGGGTGGGCATGGGCCCCAAGGAGACAGCCGGTTGCTAAGCAGACTGCAGGTAGCTGCGGCCTGTGTGCTTGTAAGCCGGGCTTTTGCCAGTGAATTCCGACGCCAGCGCCAAGCTCTTGGTTGACTCGGGCACGCACAGCACAGGGCTTAGCCCTCGGTGGCCTAGTCGGATCTCGCTGCTTCGCTCTTTTGGCGCAGCCACCCTCGTCTCTTGTGCCGTCACGCCGCCTCCCGTCGCTTGACACTCCCGCCCGCCAGCTGCTGCTTACTGATGAGACTGCAGCACTCACTCGAGCAGAACGGACTGTCGGGCTGACGGGCTGACAGACGGAGGAACAGACAGGCGGGCCGGTGAGTGGGTGGGTAGCTTCCAAATGGCCCCACACCCGCCGGCCAGGCAGGTTCTGTGCTTTGATGGGTGTGGATCTGTGCTGGTGCATTCAGAGGATGACTCCCAGCTGATGATGCGCAGCGCAACACACAGACTCGCAGTCAGACAGCAGCCGTGCAACAGGCGAAATATCCATCTCAGACACACCTGCGTCAAAATCTCTCAGCGCACGGCGACGTCACGCGCCCATATCCAAACTCTATCTACGGCAGAACAGTGCCCGTGATCTGCTGAGCCTCGAGATAAACGAGAGATAGCCTTCAGGCGCCCGGGATCGGGACCAGGACAAGCTCCCGACCCGGTTCGGCAAGCCACGCCCTCGGTGCTCGCGTTTGACAGGATCTACACCGCCCGCATGGATTAAAAATGTCTGCCACGGCACCGAAAGTCAAAAGTGATCAGCCCCGGCACACCCACCGGCTTACTCAACGGTCCCGGCGAAAGGATTTCACAACTGCGATGCGATGCAATCCCGACTCGGATATTCCATGGACGATTGTGCATTTCTCAGCCGGCAACAGAGCCCACCCCAGGCTGTCAGGGAAGGGTTTTACATGTGGTCTGAACGAGGATTTAGACGCCGCTCGCCCCATCTCACCATACCTGGAAAACAGCAGCCCATGATCCGATCTAGGGGGCAAAAATTGGTTCCGGTGTTGACGCCTATTGCCGTTGTTTACCGTCCAAATCCGCCGCCCGGTCTCCATCTTCTCCTTTTTGCTGGACCACCCCTGCCACCCGTGGGTATTTTTACAGCATGCAAGGCCTCGTGGCTCCATTCCCACTTCTATCCGCATGCACAGCAATGCAACGTCGTGAGGAACCGCCCCCACCGGCTGGTGTGGGCTGTTCGTATGTAAAAGTGTACTAGCAGGTGGAGCATCACGGCAGCACCACGGCATTACAAGTAAATATAATTAATTCTCTATAGACACCACCTGTAGCGAACTTGTAGTGCACGGGAGGCAGGGCCTCATCGGGCATCAACGCCCCAGTCGTCCCTCTCTAAGAGAGCAGCCGCCTCCTCTAGGCTCAGCCCGCTCGTCTCTGGGTACACGCGGTAGACCACCCAGTTGCCCGCCACGCACACCGCGGCGTAGAGCACAAACGTCCACGTCGGCGACAGCGCGTCCATCAGCGGCAGGAAGCTCAGCCCGACCACGAAGTTGGCCGCCCAGCATGTCGCCGTCGCCGCCCCGCTGCCCAGCGACCGCACGCTCAGCGAGAACAGCTCGCTCTGCATCCACGGCACGTTGCCCAGCCCGATCGCGTACGCTGCCACGTACAGCATGATCGACGTGAGCACCACCACCGCCGCCCCGTGGCTCGGCGCCGGCGCGGGGGCGGGCGGCGCTGCACCCTTGGGAGTGTCCGCAAAAGTAGAGGTCGACAGCTGCATCATCGAGAACCCCCAGGCCGAGAGGAGCAGGCCCAGCACCATGAATGGGATCGAGCAGAGCAGGATCCGCCTCCGGCCGACCTTGTCGATCACCATTAGCGCAACCACCGTAAAGAGCATGTTCGTGACCGCGACCACCATCGAGGTAAGCGTCGGGCTGTCAAACCCCAGGAGCTTGAAGATTGTGGCCGAGAAATACATGAGGGAGTTCTGTAGAGCGCCGTGGTCAGCCACATAAGTAACACACATGACCGGGAAAACCGTAGTAGTAGACTCACGAATCCGCACAGCTGCTGCAGGCCCTGCAGCAGGCAGGCGATGGCCAGCGCGCGGCGGTTCCTCCGCACGGCGAGCAGCTCGTCCCAGCCGTCCAGCCACTGCGCCCGGGGGCCCAGCGCAGGGGACCTGCGGCGGGCCTTCTGCGCCTGCTCCTCGTCGCGCACCTCGGCCTCGATGTCCTTGAGAACGACGTCTGCCTCGGCAGCAGCTCCCGCCCCGCTCCCAGCGACGCGCCGCACCACAGCCCGCGCCTCGTCCACCCGCCCGGCCTTGACCAGCCATCTCGGCGTCTCGGGCATGCCGGCCACGAGCGCCAGCTGCAGCGCGGCGGGCGCCGCCCCGAGCCCGACCATCCAGCGCCAGCCCGTCCCCTGGGACCCAAACTCGGCGAAGCCCCACCCGACGATATACGCGACGACCTGGCCGAGCGTGACGAAGAAGATGTTCATGGTGACGACGCGCCCCCGGAACGCGGCGGGCGACAGCTCCGCCAGGTACAGCGGCACCACGAACGAGGCGGCCCCGACCGCGGCGCCGACAACGGCACGCCCGGCCACCATCGCAGCCACGCTCGAGCTGGCCGCCTGCAGGGCCGAGCCCAGCACGAAGAGGACGTCCGCCAGGAGTATCACGCGCCTGCGGCCCAGGCGGTCGGCGAGGACGGAGGAGGCGGGCGAGACGAGGAGGGCGAAGAGGGCCGTCGCGGAGGTGATGACCGACTTGTCGAGGGAGGTCAGGGCCCTGTTGGAGAGGGAGGTGTCGATCGAGACGAGGGTCGCTGATATCACGCCCGTGTCGTCTGTCGCGTGCCTTTGTTGTCAGCCAGCGGACGGGGCGCTCGTTGGGATATGGGATCGGGGTAGGGAGAGGGGAGGGGGGAGCTTGTTGGGGCTGTGTGTGAGAGTTGTTGCGTACATCCAAATAGAAGCCCGCCTATCCCAGCGGAGAAGGTCAGCAGCCACATGAACAGGCCCGGGGACGAGGCCTTGCCGGCCTCGAGAGAGGCTGCCCGCCCGACGGCATCGTCGAGGCCGTCCTCGTAGTCTTCCTCATGGTCCCGGTTGGATATCAAGGGGGCTTGTTGCTGGGTGTCTGGGTGGTCCATCCTCCGTGTGTGCGATGGTTACTACTATCGCCAGCAGCCAAGCAGAGCAGTTTCCATCTGGTACGAGTACTGCTGGGATCGGTTGAACTATGAAGTTAAGTCGTTGTAAGGCGTGGGTGTGGTTGGTTGGTTGGCTGCGCTGGATCCCGTTGTCCAACAGGCCGGTTCAGGGGGCACCGAACAAATGCCGAGGACCCTTGGTCCCGAGACTCCGGGCACGCGACGCCGTCTTGGCCAATCCAGTGTTACGTAGGCGACATCAGGGGGGACCCGCTTTGCTGACGTTGTATTCTCGTTCACTTGTATGGACTCTCCCATTTTGTCTTGCTTTTGGCTAATACCTCATCACGCGTACGGTACTGTCAAATGGTACGTCGTCGATAGCTAGCTGCCCGAGTCTATTGTTGCCTCGAATGAAACGCACCATCCATCCCTGAATCCAGTCCACCCATGGCTTATGCTTCCGTACCAGTGTCATCTAATAATCCACTCTAAATAATTCCTCAGACGCAATCCTGATAGATATCAGGGGGTATCCTGCGGTAGGGACTGTATGTTCACCTGTACAAGTTCGCGCTATAACGCCGATGATAAGCACCATTACCATGTAAACCACAGCTCTCCAAGACAACCAAATCGATAATGACGATGAGTGTCGTCACAAGACCTTCATCACCGGAATGAAAAGAGATACCACAGTAAGGACCGACGATATCGCACCGCCCCAGCATATCGAAAGGAAAAGCGTCCGGTCCTGCAGCATCTTGATGTTCCTGTTCCGCGTCTTGACGGCGTCGTCCCAGATCTTGCGGACCATCGGCTTAGACTGGTACGCCTTCACGAATGCCCTCCTCCTGTACTTGTTCGCCGGGCCGAACGTCTGCATGCTCGGCTTGCGCAGCGGGTCGTCGTTGCGGCTCGACGACAGCCGGCTCGTGACTCGGATCGCCATTCCGTGTGCCGGCTGCTTCGACCTCCGTTTTTCATTGTCCGAGCTGATGTGCGTCGTAACCTCAGCTGCCGAGTTAAGCTCATGAGCGTGACCATCTGCGTCATCGTCTTCGAGCAGCTGCTCTTGTTCCCAGGGTCGTAGTTGGCGGAGGCTCCTTAGTTGTAGAATGAGGCACAGCCCTTGTATTGCTGCTATTAGGGTGGTGAAGCCGGGCCACCAGAGTATTATGCTGAGCACGCGATAGAATTGGGAGAGGCTGGACAGGACGAGTACCTGGTTGGCCAGGAAGCCGATCATTGTAACGGTGAAGGCAATAACTCGAATAAATACAAGACGCGACTTGTTGGCGTTTCGCTGGCTGTTATGAACAAAACGTGGGTAACAGTCAGACTTCAAAAGGTCTTCTGCCGCGGTGAAGGCGCGCAGTAAAGCAGACGGATGTGTGGTCAAGCTTGCAGCCTTTTGGCATGCCGCCAGGTCCTCGTCTGATATCTTCAGGCGTCTGGGCGCCTTATCCGTGATGTATTGTTTAATGATCATGTTCACCTCGTCGCGGAACGGCTGTCTTTGATCTGTAGGCTGTTCGTCGATAGGATTAGAATTCAGAGGCATTGCGATGTGCGTTTCTCGTTGAGCGTCTTGTTTGGTAGCATATGGAGCTGCCTTCCGAGCAGCAGCGGCGGGGACACTCAATATACTGGATGACTTGCTCGGCGTCCCAGAGTCGACTCTTGTTTCGCTTCTCCCCCCTAGCGACCAGTTTGGGTGTTTTCTGGCGTTCACAACCTCCATGATGTTCAATATCTGGTTCAGTCTGTCACTTCCATCTCGTCTGTGAGTCTGTGCGGCAGGCCCTTTCTGCCCTCGTTGACTGGCTGGCTCCCACGCGGGCGATAATGACTTTTGCTGGGGTGACAGTTCGCTCCATCGCTCGATGTAGTCGCAGTACCAGATGAAAAATTGTAGTAGTTCGGGGTTCAGATCTTTATAGACGAGAAAGTCCATGAACTCGCCAAGAGAGCATGGCTATTGCAATGATCAGCTTGGGCAGTGAGAGACTACACATCTCGATGTGTGCAGTGGAACTTACCGGTGCTGCCGTGTTCTTGACCACTTGTTCGAATGACAGCTCCGATGGAAGCTTCGACCGCCGCGACGACTTCCCATCCTCAATACTGTGTATATCTCTTGAGATCTGTGATTCTGGTAGCATTGTTGTTGGGTAGGAACTGTAGCATCAACAGACAGACATTGACGAACAGACCTAGATGCATGAGCTCAAAGTGACGGCTCGCAGCTCAGTTCGCATGACGCAGGATGCAAGATGTAGGAGGGAGCGGGTTACAGATTTTGCATTGGAAGTAGGGCAGGATGAACATAAAGCTGGGGAAACACATCGCACACCCTCCAAAGCACAATACCACCTTAGGTTCAAAGCTCGGTGATCTCAGCGTAGAACTTGGTGGCAGCCATGCGGCGAGAGCAAAGTCCCTGGTCCTAGACACCAGAAAGTCACCTGGCCGCGGTGGAAGTACCTTTGAAACTTCGGGCTACAAAAGTTTGTGAGCCTTGGGGGAGTAGGTACTCCATTCATGGATAGACTCAGTTCTGTGACCAGCAGCGTGTCGGTCTGGGATAGCCTTAGGTGTCAGCCAAGCTGTCATCACGCGGCTCAAACCAGGGAGAAGTTGGATTGCTAATATGATGTGAGTTAACCAAACCAAATGTCCTGGTATCACTCGATTCAGACACGAGTCCCGTCTCTATAGCAGGCTGCTGTATTGGAGGGGATCTCTCGTAGATCTCTCTTTCTTGCACTGACGCGCCCCATGGCCCGGGTGGTCGGTGTGTGATCACCATCGCAGTGATGCGTCCTACCCAGCCAGTCGCCCCGATGTGCGTGGCGGATGTGTCCTCGGGATCGAACACGGACCAGGAAACATGGATTTTCATGCGGCTGAAAATCCGGATGTGTGGAATCCCCCATACCTCCGTGACTTTTGTTATAGGTGTCCTGGTTTCTAGAGGCGCCCCCCACAGCGTTTCAGCATGTGTTAAAACCTAATCGGAGCGCGACTGGACGGCCAATCGTATCCTGTCGCCGACAACGCTGACAGCGCAACTTCAACAACTGCCAACGGACGAAGGTGTCGTTCATGCGGTTCGACGGACCGTGCAGCTGACAGCACTTTGACAAGTTGCAGAGTCCTGGTCGGGTTCAACGGCTCGAGGGCGACAGTTGAGCTTGCTCATTAGTTGCATGGCCCTTGCGCGTGTTCAGCCCTGCCAGCATCTGCCAAGGCCGTATACCTGAGCCTGGTCTCTCAATATCTCAGCTGACATGCTGAAATGCCAGATGTGTGGTTCAAAAGCGAGATTATCGGAGACGTTTTTGAATACTAATAAGCTGTACTTCGTAGGCGCCCTCTCGCTGCCTGCTTCCCTGTTGAGGATGGAGAGTGATCAGTCGGCCTGCCCGTTGTAGCCCAGGGGTAATGTACTTGAAACAATCTCACTGACCGCTGCGCAACAGCCATCCCGGCTCAATCCGAGCAGCCTGGTCATATTTCGGACGATAGACTTTGTCCGTTACCATAGCCGCTCGTCCCCAGGTAGCGTCTGTGCGCTAGCCTGGTCCGGTTCGTTCAGCCGATCTTTGATCACCAAATCGCATGCGAGAAATACCCCTGCAGTTCCGCAGTGTGCAATCCAATGGTACAGTCACGTCTCACATCAACCCCTGTTGCACTGGATATAAGCCAGGGTGACTGACTATACGCCTCCTCTCAGTCTGCACGTTTTGCCAAAGCCGGCGGTGACGATGGCACAAAATGTAAGGTTCCAGGCCTGTACTGTTGTGAACACAGCCCGCATCGTTTTGTCCGACCGCAGATGAAAGCTCCGACACGTGCAGGCAAACAGGATGGCTCGGGCAGTTCTGTTACGTGGTGCCTAGCAGTCTGCTTCATGCGTTTTCTGTTCCGCCATTTGGTCGCGACGGAGATCTGAGGGATCGCCGTCCGCCGCCTGGGTGTGAGTTGCAGTGTCGAACGTGCACGTGTAATATTGCCAGAGTAAGGCAGACCCGGTGGCGCGGGCAAATTGATAGACCCGGGTAAAAGCCCCAACTGATGCTACTGTGCAATATCGAATGTGAGTTGGGCAACACCTCAGCGCGTTAGGTCGCTCAGTGACTGTAGTCGGTCAGGTTGTCAAACTTTCCCTCATCCATAGCAGCTCTGTGCTACCTCGTAAACCTAGGCCCCATCACACAAACAAGTGTGTGCGATCTTGAGCGATAAATGGTGGCTCGCAATGCTCTTGTACTGGTCATGGTCTTCACCCATACTGAAGTTCATGGTTCCGGCAGGAGCCACTGCTGCCGATGTAGCTGCTGGGTCCCTGGCCACATGCTCGAGAGACAGCCACCTTGGCCTCGGCGCTGTCCTTAATCCGGTGTTCCGAGGCAGGTGGCAGCAAAGACAGAGGCTGAGAGGGCATTCGTGGCTTGCCAAGCTTGCCTCAGACATGAAGTGCGCAAGACATACGGCACACTATTCTTGAGGCCGGCCGCCTTAAGCATTCCAACCTTCGGCTCTGCTCGTCACCGGCGGCCCGGACCAAGGCTTGCGAGCGAGACCTGTCGAACACTGAGCTGATGTGTTCCTGTGCCATTGTCTGTCAGCGTGCTACAAGCAGAGAGGCCAATTTGCTATGCACAGTGCGGAGATGTGCGAAGAAGAGTTTCGACAGGGTGCGGCCAGCTGGGGTTGACTGTTGTTTCTGCCGCTTGGGGCCCATGATTGGTATTCATTCTCTGCTTCCACCATAGCCGCGTGTATGCCTTGAGCAGTGATCGCCCGGAAGCCTTGCGAAGGCCTTGCGTGCTTGTGCTTGGGATGGGCTGGGGCTGTGCCATGCGGCAGATTCAGCTTGGACAGATCGAGCCTGTGCGGATCTACAAACATCGTCCCTGCCATCTCTGCAATGCAAGAGACCGGCGGGCGGCAGCCTGCATGTGCAGCATCGCCAAATGCCAGCTGCTTGATTCTGTCAATCAGGGGTCGGAGGGGGCCTTGTGGCACGAGAGTGTGTTGCAAGATGTCGTGGGAATCTCATGGCGTTGCGGACGATCAGACCCAGGAAACAGATTGTAATTAGCCGGTCGCAGAGAAAGGCGGAAGGCTGCTGGTGACGTGGTAATCGCGTGTGTCTCTGTCCGATAGCCTATGACAATGGTGCGTTGTTCCTCGAGAGACTGCACCCACCGGAGTGATCGTCCAGTTAAGCTTCGAGGAGGCCTAGACCCCGTGGGGAGGACATGGGGCTCCTCCGATCCTTTCATCTTGCACCCGGTGCCCCCCCTCCCAGCGGAATTACATAACTTTTGAAGCTGCGGCATTCAGGGCAGCTCAGAATAAGCTCGGGTCAAGCTCAGCTAATACCACCTGGCAGCTCAGATAGGTTATTCCAACTCGGCGCAGCTGTCATGCGGATCAAACTGTGATGCAACGGGACGATGGCACCTTGCGGCTTCACATTGAGGGCGAGACCTCGTCTATATCAATTCCTTCCTCTTTTTTCCCCATGCGCTGGCTCCTGCCCCTGGACATGCTCACATTTGCGGAAGCTAGGGTACCAGACAAACAGGGCAGGCACCTCTCCAATTGCCCAGCCAGCAAGCCCAGCGCTTGGGTCGATTGGTCGCTGCTTCCGGCTTCTGCCCTGGTTCGATGCCCGGATATTGCCTCTGATCTAACCTGCCTTGTACAAGCGACAGACATCAAGGGGGCTTGCACCTGCAGGCGGTTGATCTGCATTTCGACCAGCTCCTAGTAGCTAAGCTGCCCGCCCCACACGTGCGAAATGTGTCAAGGTACCTAGGCACGTTTGCGCGTTCGTGAGCGTGTGTGCTCCCAACCAGACTCTTGTAGACAGACTATCACGGCCGTACTGTTCAACCCAGCTCTGGGCTGGAAGCACGGTACGTGCAACCCACCGGCGGCGACTGAATCATTGAACCAGTACGGATGCAGCACAGCATACCTACTTACCTGGGAAGATGGAGACCAAAGGTCTGCTAACATGATAGGTCTACCGGCAGGTGGCAAGGATAATTCAACCCCCATGTCGACAACGCCGTGTGATCCTGCGCGCTACATCATCTTAGCCAACAAGTTGTTGTGTATCTATGCCCCCGTCCATCATCGCGCGTCTGTCTATTTTCTGTGGGTTTGCCTGCCACCTCTGTCTCTCCCGTTGACTTTGTCTCCCCAATGCCGGCGCCCCGTTGGTCCTTCCTTCTACAGTTTGTTAGATGCCAAACGTGTGCGTCGCACTTTCGTGTCATCATCCTGTTTGTTTCCCCTCGAATTTGAGCGGGCCTGTGACTACCTGATAGGGAAGGACATATCCAACCCGACTCTCACTCGAATTCATCAATCACACAACATTTGAACCTTCGTTGCCTCCGGTTCTGCGACCTTCCCCTGCCCACTTCACTCAATAAGCTTCGAGTGTGCCACCTTTTTGGTACGCACATCGAACATTGACGACCAGGCACCATCCTTACACGCCCTTGTGGTCGATCCATCACGCTCACTGGGATGCCAATTTTGGACGCCACCATTCCAAATCCATCATGAGACTCTCTCACGTCGTGCCTCTCGCGCTGCTGGGCGCCGTGCAGGGCGCCGTGTCGACCATCTCGGCCTTCGGCAACAAGTTCTTTTACGAGAACGGAACCCGTAACGTCCCATTTGAACTAGCCGCCGCAGGACTGACCGACTGACCACGTCGAAACAGAATTCTTCCTCAAGGGTGTCGCCTACCAGCTCACTTCGGATGATCCCCTTGTCGACTCGGAGCAGTGCGCCCGCGATGCCGCGCTGATGCGAGATCTTGGAGCAAACTCGATTCGGGTCTACCATGTCGATGCCTCCAAGGACCATTCCGACTGCATGTCCACCCTGGCCGATGCTGGCATCTACCTCCTCGTTGACCTCGACACCTTTGATACTTACATACTCCCGGTACGGCCCGTCCCCTCCCCCGGCGCCTTGTGGATCTTGGTATATTCTTGTCTCTCTTGGCTGAACCTTGGCCGCTGACTCGCACCCAATTCCGTCTCGCAGACTAGCCCATGGTGGAACCAGACCCAGTATGAACGGTTCACCGAGGTTATGGAGTAAGTATGAGCCCATTACTGCTCCCGTGTCTCATCCCATTCCTTGGGAGAAGCTCTAGGGACCTTCGCCTGGGTGTTCATAACAAGTCGCTGATTTGTCGTAGTGAGTTCCAGAAGTACGACAATACTCTTGGTTTCTTCGTCGGCAACGAGGTTATTGCTCAGGCGTCGCAGAGCTTGGCCGCTCCTTTCATCAAGGCTGCTGCCCGTGACATGAAGGCCTACCGCAACTCCAAGGGATATCGCAACATCCCCGTCGGGTACTCTGCGGCTGATATCGCTGAGTTGCGGCCTATGCTGCAGGACTTCCTCACTTGCGGTGGAAATACTTCAGACAGCGTCGACTTCTTCGCGCTGAATAGCTACGAATGGTGTGGCGATGTAGACTACAACACATCCGGCTACGCCAACCTTGAAGTTGGAGCTGCCAACTTCCCTGTTCCAATCTTTTTTTCCGAGACCGGTTGCAACACTGTTCGGCCTCGAACGTTCGAGGACCAGGCTGCCATTTTTGGCGAGGAGATGATTAACGACTGGGTATGTCATCCTGTCCCCCTCTCCCAAAACACACACACGGGGACACATTCTGTTGTGTCTCAACAGCGATTTGACCTGCCATGTGATGCGACTTCATGACGACACGCGGTGCTGCTACATAAAATTCAGGGCACGCAGGCTACTTGTCATGAACGAAGTCTCCTGAGCAGCTCGAAAAACCTTTGACAAATGTTGAAACATACCACCAAAAATGTGATTCAACACTGACCAAATGCCACAGAGCGGCTCCATAGTCTATGAGTGGATTGAGGAGACGAACGACTACGGTCTGATCTCTTACGGACCACCTGTCGATCCTACAGCTACCGGCAGCAACATCGTCGCTGGTTTCACCAGACAGGGCACTCCGACACCTGTGTCTCCGGACTTCTCCAACTTAAAGTCGCAGTGGGCCACTCTCAACCCAACAGGCATCAAGAGCTCAGACATGGACACCAAGTCTCTGTCCACACGATCTTGTCCCCCCTCGAGCACCGGCTCTGCAGGTTGGCTCCTGAACGGCGATGTTCAGCTCCCCACAGTCGGTGAGACGCTCGTCGGAACGACTTACACCACGTCTGCGCCGACCGGCTCCGATGGTTCACCGGTCGCCAACTCGACGAGCGCGTCTGCCTCTTCTACGTCGAGCTCACAGAGTCCTGCCAATCCGAGCATGCAATTCACCAAAATGACAGCCGCGCTTTTGGGTCTTCTGATGTCCCTCACGCTGATGCTGTGATCGGGGCATCCGGAGACGACTGGTAGTTGAACGACCAGCTGCACTAGACACCAATGAGTACATGATAACGTCTTTTGCACTCACCGACAAGATTTGGCGCGGATGGCCATTAGGCACACAGATTCCATCTCATTCATACCCGTTGAACACGACAAAACGGTTTTAATTGAACCTCGGTGTAATGGCTCGGCTTCATCAGCGAAATTAGAGACTTTAACTCTGTCGATGGCCAATAATGTGAGGGCAAGGAACAGATAGAGCAACGAAGATTCTACACACTGAGACTATGGCGCAGCATAATGGTTGTGGTTGTTTGGGCATCGCTTAGAGCACCTGGCTGGTGTTCTACGTTAGACAGTCTAACCTCCATACATCTAGGACATGAAGGCTCACATCACCAATAACAAAGGTCGCATTGCCATTGGCGGGTTGAGTGGATGGGCTCATTTACCAATAAGCGAGTGATTGCTCAGGTGCGAGCAACATCAGATTCCCACGAGCATTCTGTTTTGTGCATTGCCAAGCACAAGATATCCCACCAACCCCATTGATCATGCTAATCCTTACAAGATGTGTCATAAAATGTTCGAGGGTCATTACATTGGCACAGTCTAGCCTCGTTTCTGCAGGTCTATCAGCCTTAGCGACCTGGTGCAACGGCCTCCACCGTCTGTTATGAAGTCTGCCACGGTCTTGACCTATTGATGCGGAGGTTCTGAATGGCCTTCAGCCCACTGCTTAGCTCCCAGCGCTCTGACTGGGCCCCCTGGCCCTGGCCATGTTCACTGCCCTTGCTCCCAAAGCTGTCGTCGCTGGCTTGTCGCCGGTGGTCCCGCTGCCCAACGATGACGGGCAGACCAGCGCCGCCCCTCATCGCGAGCTTTGACGGCGGCTCGCCACCATAACCTTCATCGCTCGCGTCGCGGTCACCGTCATCCTCGTGCTCGTAGAAGCTCGACGGGTTCGAGGAGGACGCTATCGTCGTCGCCGCGGTCATGTCCGCCGTCGCGAACCCCTCCTCGGGCGTTGAGGCCTCGTCTATCGTCGTCATGACGCTATTCCGGCCGGTACTGATGGCGCCGCCACCTCCAACCGCCGCCCCTAGTTCCCCGAGTTGGTCCCAAGCGTCGTACTGGTGCACGCAGTGGGGCTCCGTGATTCCGCACGCCTGCGTCAGGATCTCATACGTGCGGCGTTGGACATCGAAGGCCGAGGGCCGGTCGGCCGGGTGCGGCGACAGCATGGTGCTCACGACCTGCAGCAGGGGCACGACGCCGCGGAACGCCTGGCCCTTGTCGCCGCTGGCGTCGGCCTTCTTGGACGCCTCCTTGGCCAGGGCGGTCATCCACCCTTCCACCTGGCCCAGGTTCTTGTGGAAGGACGAGTCGAGCACGGCGCCGCCGCGCCCGGCGTTCTTGTGCTTTGCGCTGCGGTGCGACGCGAAGGCGCCCGCCGACCGCTTGAACAGCCCGTGGCTGAGGAGCTCCAGGATCACGCAGCCCATGGAGAAGATGTCTGCCGCGAGCGGGTCGAGGCGGGAGGCCGCGTCGGAACGGGGTGGTGCTGGTGCCGTCCTGTGCTCGGTGTGGCCGCTCTTGCCGCTCCTGATGGAGGGTGCGCCGGACCGGGACGAGGACGGGGCTGATGCCTTGATCCGCGGTGCCGTTGGGGATTTGGTTGACTTGGGCCACCGCTCAGGCGCGGCGTAGTCGTATGACCCCTTGTCGAAGAGGCCCCCCTGCCCTGAGGAGGAGGAGTCAGGGCTGAGCCGTGAGAAGCCGGATAGTAGGATGTGGTTGTCGTGGGTGAAGAGAATTGTGGTCGGTTTGATGTTGCCGAGCCACCGGCCCCTGCTGTGGGCGTAACACAGAGTGTCGACGAGGCACTGGATCCAGTCCAGAACCAGCCTTCTCTTGGCCGTCTTGTCGACGTTTTTTATTGATTGTGGTGTGTTGGTCAGGTACACGCTGAGCTTGTACTCGCTGACCGGGGTGAAAAGGACGTACCCGAAGCCCTGGTGGATGTACGACGCCCAATATGACACGAGGTGGCCGTTCTGGAGGTCTCTGATGGAGCTGATCTCGAACATCAGGTCCTCGCGAGACAGACACCCCTGGTCAGGGCCCATGGGAAAACGACGCCTGCAGAAGACCTCGCCAGGGACATTGGGCAGTCCGACCCTATCTATGTCATTGCTCTGTATCAAGCCTGGCCGCCTATCGTACACATCGAGGGGCACGATCTCCTCATCCTGGTAGTCAACGTGCTCGCCCTTCCTGAGCGGCCTGAGCAGATAGTGGAACTGCCGGTCAAAGAACCTCCTCTCTGCTTTGAGATCCTTGGTGGCAGTAAGGCAGAGCCTCTCGACTTGGTCCAGGGCGATAGGCAGGTCGACATCCTCCCAGGAGTCGTCAATGACGCCGAATATCTGGTCCGGAACCCCGAGGTCGACGAGGATGAGGAACAGACGCTTGGCACGGCCCTCTATCCACTCCCAGTACGTGCAGTCGGTGAGACCATCGCCAAAAGCCAGAGGCTTGTCCAAGCGCTCGATCTCGTCGGGCAGGAGATGTGAGTGGACGAACTGCCTCGTCACGGTCTTCTCGATGCGTGCTGTGTCGAACCGCATGACTCGATCCATGACGGAGTGCTGCCCACGAAGGTGTTTCTACCCGTAGGGCTGAGCAAGGGAACATGGGTATTAAACCCGCCTTGTTGTCACATCTGCGGAGATATATGGGGCAGATAGAAACCAAAAAGCAGGCGAGGTGAAAAGATATATAGGTAGAATTACTTGAGGTGGGGGCGAAGAACACCTTGGGTGAGATTGATACGGTCAGCAGCGTGTTTGTGTCGCGTTCTTTGTATATGACCGGTAAGATGCCCAGCGCCCTGCTGATAACGAATCGGGTGTCATGCAAGCAAAGCATGCGAGATCGTCGAGTCCACCACAGGCAGCCAGAGGCAGCTGAGTCCGTAGACCCGGGGACGAGGAGAACAAAGCCAGGGCCAGATGCAGGATTACTGGCCTCCAAGGTTCAAGGGAGAGAAATTGGTCCCGGACCTGGCCCTTTTTTCCTGCTTCTCCCACGCAGGAGACAGAAGGATAGCAGCCTGCTTGCTTCTGACATGGTGATGAAGACGGCGAAGTGGCATCACTTCTGGGCCGTTCGGAAGGAGAATGCGTCGAGAAGGGCTGGGGGTGGGCAAGGATGAGACGGACCCTGTGAAAGCTTGACGTCGCTGGACGAGGAGGCCATGGCAGTTCGGTCGGGCGGGCTCCACCCACAAACCCACAAGAGCGCGGCCCAGACTGTCCAAGGTGCTAAGCTGCCATGCGGACAAGGGTGGCACTCCTTCAGCAAGGCAGGGCAGTGGCCGTAGATAAGGAGATCGCCCTCTAACCTCTCAGCCCTCTCAGGGCTCACGGCATGAGGTGTCTGTTCTTACCAACCGATTCCTCACACAGGCTGCTCAACCTTGTGGCCCTTTATCATCGTTTCCATGTGAGTGGGACCAACGTCTGTTCGTGCGGGATGCCGGGCACCCTCCCTGGTCTCCTCGTGCCTTGCTCTGCTGGTTTCGCACTCCCCTTGGCGGCGAACCTTAACCCCCCCCCCCGAGGTGTAACCTGCTTCATAGCCGATATGTCTCGTGCAACGATGACCAGACCTGGGAGGGCACACCCTCAGGGGTGTCTGCCCGTGCACGTTTGCTTTTCCGTGCTGGCGAGATCCCCGGCGCGCTGGTCTTCCGATGCTGTCTGTTCTCGTGCTTGTGAGAAGTGAGCACGTCGGTGGCCGAGCCTGGACCATGTGGGGGTCCACTGCGAGTGGACGGTTCATCAAGGTCCTCTTCATTCTCATATAATCTGGATCGTGTAGCAATGCTCCACGATCTTGATCCGATCGCACATGCCACGTTGCGAAGAGACATGAGCCCTCGGCTCGGCGACATGGATTACGAGGTCGGCTGCTTGGCCTCGACGATCGGAGCCTATAATGTCGATTCATCGCAACGAGGACCTTGCTTCTCATTTCAGAAGCAGAAGCTATACGGCACTGATTATAGTCTTCTACTGTTCCTTGGGTCTACGCACTTTGCATATTGGCCCCCACCCCAACCCCAAACGACAAGCGCGGAGCAGTCTCTGCTCGGTGATGTATGCTTCACGAGGCGCGCGCTCATGTCCTTGTTGGTCTGTGAACCATTGCGACACCTCGGGACATGCCGGGCCAGCCGACTGGGCAAGTATACATGCTCGTCAATCTCTTACTTATCTAGGTGGTAAAACCCTGCGCCTTGAGAGTTTAGGGGTGCTGTTCATCCCGTCGAAAGGTTTCCAAGCAGGACTGCCTGATGGCAACGACACGGCATCCGAGTTCCATTTATAGCCCTGGTACTGTGAACATGGTCCGTTGACTAAGGGACAAGAACGGCAAAATAGGTGACTATTGTCTAGATTATGGAATTGTTTTACTCCTATGGCTGTCCTCATGCGATTGGAATACAGCTCTTTGTTAATGGGTATATCGTAGAGTACATGCTGGCTGCATAGAAAGGTTATAAACCGGCTATTTATCCTTTCTTATATCTGCAACGGCTTAGTTCTAGAGCCGGCCTCGTCATATCAGGCTCCCGTTCTTCTCATGGAGCTCATTGCCCTTGCGGCCTATGAAGCTTTTCATCGCGGTATCCACACCAGCCAGCCTCCTCACAACGGTCTGCAGGCTCAGCGGCAAGACGTTGTACCAGTCCATCATCCTCGCGTATAGCGGCGCGCTGATGAACTCGGCCTTGCCGTTGTCGATGGCGCTGATGATCTCCTTGGCGATGTCCACGGGCTCGACCACGGGCGCCAGGAACGAGTTGGGCGTCTGCACGCCGTAGAAGAGCGGCGTGCTCAGCTGGCCAGGGGTCACCAGGACGGTCCGGATGTTCGGGTGCGACTGCTTCAGCTCGGCGGTCAGGGACTTGTGCAGCGCGATCAGGCCGGCCTTGGCGGCGGCGTAGTCGGTGAGCTGCGCGGCGCCGACCTGCCCGATGACGCTGGAGATGGTGACGACCGTTCCGCCAGTCTGACCGCGGATGATGGCGGGCAGGAAGGTCTTGAGCGTGTAGAAGCACGAGAGCAGGTTGGTGGTCAGGCTCTTGTCGATCTCGTCGGTGTCCATGTCCAGGAGGCTCTTGCCCACCACGACAGCTGCGTTGTTGATCAGGACTGTTGGGGTGCCGAGCTGCAGGGAGGGTCAGTCATTGATCAGCTTGGGGCGGAGGTGGGCAGTGCAGGCCTTACATCTTCCTCGACCTGCCTCGCAACACGCGCGAGCTCCGCCTTGTCGGTGACGTCGCACTTGTAGTGCGTGACGCCCCTGGCCTCCCCGTTCTCGAGGTCCCTCACGTCCAACACGGCGACGGAGGCGCCGCGCATGCCGTACACCTCAGCGATGAGCAGGCCGAGCCCACTCGCGCCGCCGGTGATGACAATGACCTCGTCCTCGAGGTTGACCTCGCGGGGGAGGCCGAATGCCACGCGCTTGTTGATCTCGCCCAGGAAATACCAGATGGTTATGGCCCAGGCGTAGTATATGGAGACCTGCATCGGGATCTTGTCCCAGTCCATGTGCTCGGCGCGGAAGCACAAGGGGATCATCCAGGCCACGAAGGGGTGGAAGAAGGTCACATTGAGGACCTTGAGAAAGAGGTCGATGGAAAACGGTGCGAACCATGAGTCCCGCTGTGGTGGGCGGTCGAAGCCGCCGACTGATGCCATCATGGGATGAAGTTGCGGATCTGAGGTGAAATATGCTATGCTGCTCTGCAGTGGGTGCGCCAGGTGAGCGTTCGTCGATGGTCACACTGCTTTGGAAGCTTTTGAAGATGTGGGAGAGAGAGAGCGGTCTCCGACGTGCTACGCGATTGTCAAGCTTCTTCAACGTGAAGAAAAACGTATTAGGACAGGATGGGTTACTTGCGACAACGGAGAAGTTCCCCTTGACGCAAGATTCACATGTTGAAACAGTAGACTGGCCCCAGCAGGTGTCAGCTCAGACCCCTGATGATGCCCGCCCAAGGGAGCTCCAGCTCACCCCTGTCGCCCGGCCCACTGGCTCGTGGTGGGCTCGACCGGCTGACCGGCTGACGGGTCACTTTCGGCTGGGCCCGATCCTGTCCATCCACGGTTCAGCTGCTACTCGCGCGCCCCACTCGTCAGAGTAGTAGTGGCTGAGTTTGGTTCATCTATGAGTGTGATTGTTCGTATTTTATAGTCTGACGGAAGACTCAAGTCTGACAAGATAACCTCCAGTGGCATCGACTACAGATGTACTTTTGTGACCACTTTATTGACCTTCTCCTAGGCCAGCCTACCAGGTATCATGATTTTCCCGCCCAACGCCTTGCAATGCATGTCAAATCACCTGAACAGTTGTGCTTTCCACAACACACCTTGTTATTTCTCGCGGGCCAGGATCATCTTCTCCCGCTCGCTCCGGCGCTTCTCGAATTGCTTCTTGCTGTGCTTCCTCTCGTTCTCCTCGCGCCTCTTGATCGACTTCAACTCCTCGTTCTTGATCTCGCCAGCCTTCTTGACAACCTGAGGTATATGTCTATGGCGTTTGATGCGTCGAATTTCGGGCCTGCATTCACATCTCAGTCAGCTCATCTAGAAAGGCAGATATGAATCACAGATAGACGCAGTCTCCACTTGGTATCCAGATCTCCCTTGCACATCTGCGCCCAAGCCGGCTTAAGCCACGAAGTTCAAGTGGACAATGCACGCGTGGGCGGGCTCTCGAAATGCCAAGGGTGGCAGTGGGAGCACATGATGAGAACCATAAAGAATCAAGCAGCACTCACATGTGTGAAAAGCGTTCCACAAGTTTGGAATTGTATTCCTCGGCTTGTCGTTGCCTCGCGGATTTGACGCCCTCTCTCTTGGAAGCATTCGCTCGCCATAACCTGACGTTTCCGTCATCCGACCCAGAGATCAGATACTTGCCATCCGGCGTCCACTTCGTAGCGAACACACGTTGCATTCTCTTGGTGTGGTAGATGTCGCGTGAGTGTCCTTGGTCACGGGCAAAGATTCTGATCGTTCTATCGTACGAGGCTGTCACGAGCTCTTCACCGGTCGGTGAAAATTCCACGTCCATCGCGGCCTAGATTTATCGTCAGAGGACATACGGACCAAGATTGATTCTTCACGTTGTCGCGTTGACCAGGTAGATTTGGATGGACTTACAGCAACATGTCCCTTCAGCACGTTGAGAGCCCTGTCAAACTTCCGCACATCGAACACATAACAATTATGGTCCTCGTTTGCCACAGCAAGGTTGAATGCCTCCATTGGGTTCCACGAAAGTGCGTTCGACGCGAATGTCAAGACAGTCTTGACCACTGGCGTGGAGAGCCGCACGTCCCAAATCACTATCGACCTGTCAGACGCAGCTGATGCCAGAACAGACTGCTCCACCTGGTTGAATTTGACTGCATTTATCGTATCCGTAGCGTTCGGCCAGCTATACTCCTCAGGCGCCCCTGATATTTTCTCGAGGTCGTATATTTGGATCTGGCTTCCCGACGAAGCGGCGAATGCGTTCTTGGACCGGTGGTGGCTGAGAGAAGTAAAGGCGCTGGTCCCAGTGAAAGTCGTGAGAGGGGCAGACTCGGCGGCGTTGGAGGGGTCGAAGAGGTGGATTTTTCGGTCGGTTCCGCAGGTGAGGAGCTTCTGGTCCTTTGTCCAGGTCAAGCCCTTCACGATGTTCGCGTGCGCATTTACATGCCACCGCTGCTCTCGGCTTTCCATGTCCCAAACCTTGACCACGCCGTCACCTGAGCCGCTTGCTAGCATGTTGAGGGAGTTCGGATCCTTGGCGAGCTGGTAGACTCCGTCCACATGGCCTGTCCCGAGCTGGCAAACGAAGGGCTGGGCGAACATCCTCTCCATCTTCACGGCGTTGAGGGCGCGCTTGTATTCCCTGGCCCGCTCGAAAGGGTGGACGCTGGCATCCATGTTTTTCGGTTGCTTGGCCACATCTGAGCCGGCTGGCTGGACAGCCGCTGTCGATCGGCTGAGAGCCTTGATCTTCATGGTTGATTGTTCGTGGAGTCGAATGTGAATCGGATTCTTAGATGCAGCTTCAGAAAAAAAGTTAAGAGAGATGGAGCGCCGTTCAAAAAAGACGGCATTAGCGATAAGCGATAAGGAAACTAGCACCCTAGCCAGGGTTGTGACCCACCTTTGGCAAGGTACCGAAGTACCTAGGTACTACGTACATGGGCCGCTATAGCGGCGGGCAAGTTTGCGCGTGCATACGGCAACCTGGACGGAGCTCTTGTTCAGCAACAGAGAGGCTGACTTGCCGCCGAAACTCTCAAGGTCAACACCCAACCCCCATCGACCTGCTTCACAACCGCAACTCTCTCCCCGACCAACGATCTCGAGCTCCATTTCCAACTCTGCACAGCACCCGGAAGGCGACTAGGCCTACTTCACATACCAACGAGACACAATGGCGCAGGGAGATTCGGAGAGAGTGCGGGAGGCGCAGAAGGTCGCCTCCAGCGATCCCAAGAAGGCCGAGCAGATCTACAAGGACATCGTCTCAAAGCCACCATCTCTCACTGACGCTGCAGTACGGGAATATGAGACTGCTCTGATCAGCCTGGGTGAGCTGTATCGAGACCAAAAGTCAGCCATTACTCTGCGCCTGCTTGCTTCGTCGGAATAGATCCGCTAACGGTAGGAACAGAAACACCCAGGAGCTGGTTGAGCTCGTGACCAAGAGCCGCACTGTTCTTTCATCATTTGCCAAGGCAAAGACGGCAAAGCTAGGTATGTAATTCGTTCTGGTGCACCAAATCTACACGGATCGGCCATCGCTAATGCTCGTGCCTGCGCAATAGTCCGCCAGCTCCTTGACCTCTTCCACGACATCCCCGACACGAACGAACTTCAGATCTCGACCACCAAGTCATGTATAGACTGGGCAACATCAGAGCGCCGGGGCTTCCTCCGACAGAACCTTGAGACCCGTCTCGTCACCCTGTACATGGCCAAACAATCCTACTATGACGCCCTCACCTTGATCAACAGCCTGCTCCGTGAGCTCAAGCGACTGGACGACAAGCTGGTGCTCGTTGAGGTGCAGCTTCTCGAGTCTAGGGTGTACCACGCGCTTGGAAACATTGCCAAGGCCCGCGCTGCCCTGACAAGTGCCCGCACATCCGCCGCCTCCGTCTACACCCCACCCTTGCTCCAGGCCAACCTGGACATGCAGGCAGGTATGCTCCACGCTGAGGATAAGGACTTCACCACCGCGTACTCGTACTTCATCGAGGCTCTGGACGGATACTCCCAGCTCGACGAGACGGTCAAGGCGACGGCCGCCCTGCAGTACATGCTCCTGTGCAAGGTGATGCTGAACCAGGTCGACGACGTCAACCAGCTCATGAGCTCCAAGCAGGCGACCAAGTACGCGACGAAGTCGCTGGAGGCGATGAAGGCCATCGCGCGTGCGCACTCAAACCGGTCGCTGGATGAATACGAGAGCGTGCTCGGCTCGTACCAGCGCGAGCTGGGCAGTGACACGTTCATCCGGGGTCACCTGCGGCGGCTGTACGACGCCATGCTGGAGCAGAACCTCATAAAGGTGATCGAGCCGTTCTCGCGCGTCGAGATCGACCACGTCGCCAAGATGGTCAAGCTCAGCCCCGTCCAGGTCGAGGAGAAGCTGTCGCAGATGATCTTGGACAAGGTCATCATCGGCGTCCTGGACCAGGGCGCCGGGTGCCTCATCATCTTCGATGAGACGCACAGGGACCAGGCGTACGATTCCGCTCTGGCGACCATCGAGAAGCTGAGCAACGTAGTCGATGTGCTCTACACGAACCAGGCGTCAATGCTGGAGTAGATGGACAGATCATGGGGGCTCGTTTGTAATATTAACATGATAGATCACCGGTGACTAAAAGACACTTGTGGCGAACCATCTTTACGTATATTCATCTTCTGCATGATATCAAATTTGTTGACCAAAGTGACCTTTTCACGCCGATTGCCACCCCGCTGTACAATCTGATGCTGTTTGTAGGCTTGGTTTGTTTTCAAACCGGGTATCCTTCACAATTCCTACTGTCAATTTCCAGTCATTCCGTCCTGAACACGATGTTCGAGGGCTATGCACCATCAACTTATGCTCATCATCATCATAAACTCCACAGTACAAAACAAAGGAAAATGAAAGGATCATCGTCTCTTGGGCACCAGCCCGACTCTCCTCCTCTCCTCGCCAACAATCAGGGAAAAGAGCCGCTTGGCGAGCGCGTCCTCGGGCCACCCGCCGACGTCCCTCTTAAACGCGTCGACGATGTCCAGGTGCCACTGCTCAAGTGCCATCCTCTCGCCCTGCGACGTGACCATCTTGCCGAGCAGCGAGCTCGACGCGCGCTTCTTGGGCGAGGCCATGACGGCATCGCTATGCCGGAGCTGGAAGTCGAGGGCGTTGCGCCGGTAGGCCTGCAGGAGCTCGTCCAGCAGGAGCCAGTGCCTCTTGGTCCATTTGGTCTGCGAGAGCGGGGAGTCGGCCGGCTCTTCTTGCTGCTTCTGCTGCTGGCTGGAACTCAGGTGCTTGTGGTGCGGGGAGGAGTGGATGTAGGATTTGAGCGCCGACGGTTGATTCTCCTTGCCTCTGGGAGAGCGGCGGGGCGAGAGGGAAGGAGGGCGGCCCAATGTGATCGGGTTCTTGACCTGGGCCCCGGCTCGGGCCTGGCCTTGCGCCATCGGGGAGAGAGTGCTGCTTGTGAACTCCACCACGCGTCCAGGCGTCTTGGGTTTTAGCGGAGATCTCAAGCAAGATTTGGACGGTGACATAGTCCGGCCAGGGAGTGGCTTCAGCGTGGGGGCCTCAAATGAGGACTCTTCGGGATCCACAGGGGTGCTAGGCCGCTCAATGGCCTGCGGAGAACTCGGCTGTGCGTCGCTTATGGGATCCGAGACATGCAGGCGTTCTGTCGGTGCTCGACACGACGACACTTCCCAGTTTTCGAACAAAGCTGCATCGTTTTGGCTAGGGCGAGGAGCAAGACGCTGCTGTGTAAGGCGCGGCCGCTCCGGCGTGGGTGTGGACTCGGACGATAAGTGACCCGTTGCATCCTGTCCAAAGGGCTGGTCAGCTGCCGGGGCTGGCGACGGCAGCTCATCCGAGAGCCGGCTATCCCATGATGGCTGCCTCTGGGGCGGGATTCGGGCATTTTGCGTGTCGTGCAGTGTTCCTGGCGCAGTAATCTGAGCGGCATGACTCTCAGCTGAACTCTGAGCTATGGACCTCGCTTTCAATGCTGTCCTAGCCCTTTGTTCCCGCTCTATAAAATTGGGAGAAGACGAGAAGAAGTCCGACAGATCCACCCTCTTTGGCTGTTTCTGTTGCTCTGGTGTGGGCTTCTTCGCGGAAGGCTGGGTGGAAGTACCACTGTGCAGATCAAGAAGTGAATAGTCCTCGAGATTCTCAGGCATGTCTTGAGGGACGCCACGGGTCGACTGCTTAAAAGCCGGGCTCCTGCCAGGAGGCAGGGTCTGTGAGATGGTGCTTCGTGTTCCCCAGTCAATAGACAGCCCACTTCTCGCAAAAACGTTGAACGACTCGTTGATCGATTCGTTGGCTCGCTTTTGAGCTGTCGGAGACGAAGCTGTCCTGTCTGCTTCAATGGCCCAGACGTCTTCGTCATCAGACCCATCCCCATCAAGCGGTGCCTCGTCAATCTGCATCGCATCCTCCTTCGATCGCGTTTGGATCCTTCCCTCTTGGATTACTTCCTCGTGAAGCTGCGGATACCGGACGCTTTCGATCTCAGGTGCTTGATCCTCGGCTGGCTGCAAAAGAGTGTCATCGGTCCGCGGTTCTTCTGGTAGACGGTCCGCTGCCCCGTCCCATCCACTGCCAGACCCAACATGCGCGTGACCCGGAAAGACCTCTGAACCGAGCAGACCGGGCTTCCGTGACATCTCACCTCTCCAGTTGCTGCTTAGTCCTCGAGGTGCAGGGTCTCCCGACAAACTTCTGTCGTCCACCTCCCCTATAGTCGCTTTTGCGACACTGGCTCTGCTACTATGCACACTGCCTTCACGTGACGCCTGCCTAATACGTTCCATGAAAGCCGAGTTGCGAGCACTTCCCCCTCGGTCCTTAGCGGGGGATGACGGCCCAAACGGATCCTCCCAAGTTTGCGTGACATTAACCTGGGGAGAAGTAATCCTCTTCGTTCCTTCTGTGACAAGGCTTTTCAGATGGCTGAGTGAGAAAAGAGACTGAGTCCAGGTGCTCTTTGGTGGTTCGGGGGGCGCTGGGGGATTATGCAATGTGGCGTTGGAAGACGTATCCCTGTGCACAGCCTCTTCGTCCGAGGGCGCGTCCAAGCTAGATTTCCTGACGGATCCTTTAAAAGGGCTCCCCAGGACACTGCTTCTCGCGGACGGAGAGGGAGGGTCGGACAAGATGTTCTGCAATCTCTCGCCAACACGCACAATCGGAGAGAGGAATGGTCGAGGACCAGGTGATTGGGAGGGGAAGATTGCAGCATTTGCCTCCCTTGCTTGCGCGGGCTGCAGATGGATTGAGGGCGGTCGGTTCGCGGGTGTATCCGAGCTCCGGCGCGAGTCTTGCATTGGTTGTTCATCCTCTCGATCGAAGGTTGTGATTTCTGGTGGGGAAGAACCTATCTCATCATCACGGTCGACAAACATACTTTGCTCTTCATGAGGTTGATTCGTCGCGGGAATGCTTTGATTGCTGGAGGAAGTCGGCTCATCTGGAGGAGTCAACAAACGGTTGGAGTCTGAACGAGAGCGATTGGGATGGGGTGGCGAACTCTGCTGCGTGGCCTGGCTGGACCGTCTCCCGGATTGGGCGGATCGGGACGCAGAGCGATGGAGGAAGTCGCCGTCGTCGACTTGGCTGCGGCCGAGGTGTTCGGCCGGGGACTTTGGACTTTCGGGAATGTCACTCTTCTGGGAATCGCTTGGGGTAATCTCTTGACTGCAATCCGCGTCCGGCGCCGAGTGTTGGGCGGGCACGACAGCCATGCTGAGTTCATCTTCACTAGGACTTCTTGCAGATTGCGGCATCTCTTCTTGAGGTTCCACAGCCGCAAAGACTTCCTCTGGAATATCGGAGAAGGAATCGTCGTCGGCATTCAGCTCGTCGTCGCTCATTTCTGCGACATTGTTGTTATCCTGTACTCGTATCGGCTGAGCAGGAGATTGCTTGTTCTTCTGCAGTGGCTGCGGTGCAGCATACTCGAGTGGAAAACTAGCTTTGGGGGGCTGTAAGGGGGGCTCGGAAGATTGACTCTGTCGGGACTGTGGCATCTGGCTCCTCTGTGGAGAGGTCTGTTTCCTCCCAGACGACACATTATGCGCCCTGTCCGGGTTTGCCTCAGCAGGTGTCTGATCCCGCGATCCAAGTAAGTCGACATCGTCATTTTCTTCGTCTGTCGCATCCATCTCTTGTCTCAGCGATTCTAGCGTCTTGTTGATGAGCAAACTTGTCGTCTCTCCTATCTCGGGCAGATCTGACGTTGGTGCGCCCCTGTTTCCTTGAAAAGAGGGCATTGTCTCAATACCAATCATGGTGAATGTGTCTGGGTCCACGGTATTGTCCGTCGCGTCCTCACTCCTAGCCGGGTGGAAGCTGTGATGAGACTTGGCGTCACTTCTATCATCGACCTCCATCATAGGAGCATAGTCGTCCGACTCCCCGGGTAAAGGCCCCTGATCCTCTAGTTCCATGGGGTCATGTCTGACACGTCGCGAGGCTCTAGGTGTTGTTTCGCTGTGACGCGACTGTGTATCGCTCCCATCATCGCGGTCCATCATAGGCGCATAATCTTCGGACTCGCCCGGCAGAGGGCCTTGGTCTTCCAGCTCCAGTGTTCCATGTTCGGCTTGCGCATTTAAAGTTACAGGTTCGTCATGGTGTGAGTCCACGTCACTTCTCTCGTCGAAGTCCATCATGGGAGCGTAGTCGTCCGACTCGCCCGGAAGCGGCCCTTGAGAATGTTGCTGTTCGAACTGGGTTTCGTCAAAAGACTCTGAGGGTTCCATGGCCTGTTCTGCCGTCGGGGAGGGGTGCGCATCGCGAGGTGGGTCTGATAACTGAGCCAGGAAAGGGTCTTCCTCGTCGCCGTCATCCTGGTACGCGGCACCTCCATCTTCAGCAACTTTCTCTAGCGAAAGACGCTCGTTGGTGTCGTCTGTATTTTGTGAGGCCTGCCGGTCGTGGCTCTGAAGCGGATATAAGTTGATGCCAGTTGTTGTGAGCTCGTCGGTGTCATCCGCCTGGATCGACTTTTGACGTTTTCGACCTGGCTTTTTAGTTGTTGAAACCTGTGGCGGGGCGTGGCTATCTTGGTCTGAGGGTGCAGTCTCCGCTTTGCGCTTGGGCGGCCTGCCTCTCTTCCTGGCGGGTGTCGGCTTTTCCACGGTCGCGGGTGCTTCTGATTGCAGGGCATCACTGCTAGCAACGGGAGTGCCTCGTGGTTTCCTCGTAGCCTTGGGTGTTGGGGTGCCTTTCTTCTTCCTCTTGGCGCCGGCCGTCGCTGGTGTCCCGGGCCTGGTAGACGAGCGCCTGCGCCTCCGTGGTGTCGGGTCGCCTTCATCGTCCGTCAAGCCTCTGAGGGGTACGGTCGTCGTGGTCGTCCGCGCTCCCCGACGTGGGCTCGGCTGGGGGGTTGGTGATCCAAACAGGAGTCGCCTCACGTTCGCGCCTCCAACACCAGCACCGCCAGGCCTCGTTATGGGATTGCCATCCGGACCAGCTTCCACGGTGACGTAGATTGTCTGAGGGGTGATCTCGTTGCCAACATCGAGGGCGAACATGCGCTTTCGAGGCGACGTTCCTGGGATTGCGGAGAATCGAGAGGAGGCGGCGCTCTGAAACGGGCGACGCGTCGTAGACGGAGGAGGCGGCGCGGCGGAACCGGGCGGGATGACTATCGACTCGTCGCCCAAAGGGTCGGGCGACGAAGGTAACTCGATTTCGAAGCCCGACATTTCGGCGAAATCTCGATATGATCGCCGGCGATGTCTCGACATACAATGCGCATTTGGAAGATCAAGAACTAGAAAAAGATAGCAAGTAAAGAAAGGGTCTCAGTGGCCTCGCGGTTGTGACGCGTTGTTTCCACGGAGACGGTGCGAATGGGTGTGGGCGTAGGCGCGGGCGCGGGCGCGGGCGAGAGCTTATGTGAATTGGCAAGTCAGCAAGTCAGGTTCACGATTCACGGGACTGAAAGCTCGTGCCAGGCCTTGTTTACACCCTCTACCCACGGTAGTGTAGACTTGCTGGCAGGCTGGTTGCCAGGGGCCACATTTTCTGGCCGTGCCGTGGGCAAGGTACCTTGGGTACCCTGCACCTTGGGTTCACTAGCGCACTGGCCGAAAACGGACCCTTGGCGGGTACCCACGTTTTGCCCCGCTTTTCCTCCGTTGCTGCCATGGGTTTGTCCTGGTGATTTGGGAGGCGAAATGATCTTCCTCACTTGGTCAGCAAGCCATGGAATTTCCACTACTGCATTGCTATGTACGGGCTCCCGGGATGACTTCACTTGTCAATAACCCGGGGCAAAAGAACATTCTAAAGATCCCAGTCCCCGTGCACGTGCTTTGAGTAAGTTCCTGGGTAGTCATTTCTAATATCACCTATAGATGAGCCCTTTGACGGTTGAGTAATCATCGTCTGTACCGCATCGTCCTATTGTATTAGTCAAATATCGCCCGTCTTGGTCGAGCCCGACATTTCTCCATCCTCGGGCTCTGCTCGTGAGGCGCCCTTGACAATGACGTGATCAACTCTTGGTGCGAGAGGGACAACCTCATTTGCAACTGATGTTCAGAATAAAGGCTGGATTTACACGGCTGATTTGTCAGGCCGACGTGAAAGCTCCACGTATATATACCACTTCCACGCCTGTCGTTGGAGTGGTTCATGCTTATGTTCATCACCACAACACTGGACTACCTGCACTGACATCTCTGTTCTCACCTGCCTTCCTACTCCAGTCTCATATATTAGTACTTACTTGAAAGAGACGCTCGATACCTTTCGCGCCAGTTCGTCTAGCCCCAACAATGGCCATCACGTCAAACGTTCCTCGTGGTGCGGTCACGGCGAAGCTGAACTATTTTACCCCGCCGGCTGACGGTTCCAAGCCATTCAACCATGTCGATACACCGCCCGAGGGCCTACCGCAGCGCAACTTCACAGACGAGGTCGTCGACACCGTCATCCACGACATCAGGGGGAACGAGGCTGACTACAACCTGGACAAGGATGCCTTCCAGGTCATCCGGAATGTCCCCGAGTCCAAAGAGAAGGACTTCACCGACGACGCATCCATCCAGGCCAACTACTACCCTGAGCTCGAGGAGCTCCTGCTGAAGAACATCCCCGGCGCCAACAGGGTGGTCTTCTTCGACCACACCATCCGCCGGACGGACCCCAATGCAAAGCGCGCGCCCGTTAACAGGACACACATCGATCAGACCGCCGTCTCTTCCGAGATGCGCGTCAGACGCCACCTCGGTGATGAGGCCGACAAGCTGTTGCAGGGGAGATACCGCATCATCAACGTCTGGCGCCCGCTGAACAAGAAGCCCGTTGAGTCGTATCCCCTCGCGTTCGCGTCCTCGTACAGCGTCGACGACGCGGACGTCATACCCGTTGAGCACCGGTATAACAATGGGTACACTGGGTTCACGGCCGCTATTAAGGCCAACCCCAATCAGAGGTGGAACTATTTGAGCGGAATGACTGGCGATGAGCGGTTGTTGCTGGAGTGCTTTGACAGTGACGCTTTGAAGGAGGGTTCCAAAATCCAAGGTGGCAGGCTTCCCCACACAGCCTTTGAGGATCCAAGGACGCATCCCGACGCCGAGGGCCGCGAGAGCATTGAGGTCAGGGCGCTGGTTTTCGGGCCATGAGGAGTCGGGCAGTCATAGGGGCAACATAAAGCGACGACAGAATGACTTTAATAATCGGAAGCATGGTTGATCTTTGGTGTATTAACTCATCTAGCGCAATTTATTCAATACACGTATGTTTTTCTGGGTGAAACAAGTTCCCTCATGCTTGCTTGATGTCTCGACGCTCCCTCATCTGTCCTGACCGGGTATAATGCTCAGCCTCGTCTGCCTCTTCTGGTGTTGCTTCCTTGACGGCTCATAGCCACTCCACCAGAGTTTTGGCGGCTCATAGGGACACCAGCCATGGCGGGTGCTTGTAAAGAGCTTGGGCCCGGCTCTCCACGCACATTACTGACTTCAACCTTGAGTTCTACGCGGAGATCGTCTGCGCTTGGCCGATCTCCTTGCAGGTAGGCGACGAACTTCTCCTCCCGAGGGCCCGCAGCGACAGCCTCGAGCACTTTTCGACCGCCGTTGGGGACGTCGAAATTTGACCCCACGCCGTGAAGCTGCTCGTACTGACGCAGCACAGAAATGGCTTGCAGGTCCGCAAGAGCATCATCTACCGCAAGAGGAGCCGGGCCACTGGCCTCGGTCATAGGCTTTGCCTTGTTGTATGGCGCAGGTACGATCGGTGGAAGCCTGGGCTCCTGGGCGTCAAGCCTCTCAAGATTGCCAGGCAGCTCGAAATTGGCAAGCGCCTCGATTCCAACCAATTTGTTGTCGTAGAAATTGGGATTGTGTGTACCGCCTCGCGTACTTCTGGTCGCATGCGATACCTGACGCTCCATGACGGGCGCAGAGGGGACAGAGTCTGTGCCGTCCTCACCTTCCTCATGTTCCTCGGGGCCGCTTTCCGAAGGCGATGATACCACACCATCTTTGGATTTGTGCCGGAGCATATACTTGTGGGCCGCGAGCGCAGCATTGTTGTAAGTCATTGATAGCTCTTTGTCGGTGAAGAGCTTGTCGATGCTGTAGATTGGACCGGTGCTCTTTCCGAAACGCAGTCTATCACTCTGCCAGACAGGGGTGATGTTGTTTGTATCCAGCGTCCGCCGCTGTGGCACTGGCGATCCGTCGTCATCATTGGCGTTCCTTTTTCTCTTCTTGTTCTCCGAAAACCCGGGCATTTCTTCCATCTCTCTCCTGAGTCGGGTGGCCCGCTTGCCATGCGTCCCTCCCGGGCTAGCCGGGTTGGTCATGCTGAATTGGTTCGGGTGAAGGAGCAAGGCGGATGCGTCGCTGATCTCGAGTGCCTCCTTTTCTTTGCTGAGACGATATTTCTTGCTTGCTATGGTATTGATCAAACGATCGCGGACGGTGGAGGCTAATGAATGATGCTCTCGCCTTGCCTGGAGGACTTTGTAGTTGTACACGTTTCGATGTTCCTGGCATTTGCGGTCGTATTCAGCCTAGCAGATTTGTTAGCCCAGATGCGCGTAGTAGTCCAGCGTGAGTAACGAACCTTTTGCTTGGTGATTTCGTAGTCACGCTCCTCGACAAGGTCTTCTATGTCATGGACAAAGTCTCGAAACCTTGGGCCGGCCATCTCAAGCAGAGTTCGGGCAGTAGCGGGGTCTGTATTTCCGAGAAGGGCGGGATCGGTTTGCTCCAGGTCGAGGGCCTCGAGAGGGCGCTCGCAGTAGGGGTCAACTCGCATTATGAGGTTGGTGTCGAGTTGAATCTTTTGTAATTGTTCACGGTAGGCACTGTCGCGACCTCTCGAGAAGTTCTCGGACATCTGTTGAAGTCGGTCATGCAGAAGTTGGCGCTTCCTCTCGCGCTTGGATTCATTTCGAGCTGGAGGAGCGGGCTCATGAGGCACCGAGACAGCTGAATTCGTTGCCATCTTGTAGTCAAGTCTGGAGACGATTTGGGCGGTGTCTCTGGGAAGGGTCGGGGCTCGAGGGTCTCAGACTTCTCCAGGTCTCGGATGTCGTTGAGAAAGAAGTGAGTTTGTGGGGAGTGCGACGGCGGCAAGTCGTCTTGGAAGACAAATCTGGCGGGAAGAAACGAGCGAGTTATGATTTCCTTGCCAGTAGACGCAGTGGGTAAGCCCAAATACAGGAGGCGTTCTCGAGAATTCAATCCTGTGTTGTGTACTGGAGGGGGCTGGAAACAGGCAAATTCAAGAGAGTGAGGGCAGGTGAGAGAACCGCCGAAAACAGTGCAGTTGTATGGAAGAGTGTTAGAGTGTTTCCAGCCGTGGTGATCTAGAAGAAGACTTGACCTGCCGGCTCATGCTTGCAAAGGAACATCCAATTGTCCAAGATGGGGAGTGGGGAGTCGGAGGTGAGGAAAACGCAGGCGAGCTCAGAATACCCCATCTAGGTGTCCAGCCGGGGGGTCGGCTGGTCAGGGTGACCGGGCATTGTGACCAAGCCTCGACTGCCTCACTGCAATAGCTACCAATTCCTGGTCAAGGCCTGAAGCTCTCATTGGCTGCGAGATCCATGCAAACGGAGGATCGGCCGACTTAGATCCGTTATCGAAAGTGACGTACCTCGGCGATAACGAGTCCAGCCCCACGGCGGCTTGCGACCAGACCCCAAGCAGTCAGTCGTAAGTGACTTTCTGCATGCGAGCTTGACCATTCGTTATTCGTCGCAACATCAGCACAAGGCGCCGCGGTCTGGGTGTGCTTCTCTCCTCTATTTTCTTTTCTCCCGCCCACCCATGGACATACTGCCTTCCTAATATACCTCGAACAAAGATCAACGCTCATGAAGTAACAATGGAGCACCTTTCTCTCAACGATCCTCCTGGCCAAGGAGGCGGAGCTCCTCCTCCAGGACCCGGCCCTCAGGGGCCTCCCGTGCTTGGTAGAGCTCCTCCTCCGCCTCAGCAACTGCCCGTGCAGATGTTTACGACCTCGGCATCGCTTCTCGACCTGACTGACAGTAAGCGCCCGGGCTAAGTAGCCATTTATTCTACATGCGAGGCTGACAACCGCTTCAGAGAAGCTGATGGTTGCCCTCCGCGACGGCCGAAAATTGTTGGGAATTTTGCGAAGCTGGGACCAATTTGGTATGGTGAATCGACTGGACAGGTGCAGCACAACGGGATGGAGTTAACACTGGGGCTATAGCGAATCTGGTTCTGCAGTCGACTGTGGAGAGAATCTTTGTGACCCCCGACGCGGTTCCCACGGACCACCCCGGCGCACAAGAAAAGCGAGGCTTATACGCGGACTACCAGCGAGGAATGTATCTCGTCCGTGGCGAGAACGTGATGCTACTGGGCGAGATTGACCTAGACAAGGACGACGACCCACCGCCGGGATACGATAAGGCCGATCCCGACTTGGTCGAGAAGCTTGCGAAGCAGAGGAAGGCTGAGGACAAGACAAAGGAGAAGAAGAAGCAGAAGAATCTGTCTGCTCTCGGCTTTGAGGGCGAGAGCATGGGCGATGCCATCCTTCTTTGAGTTGGCTTCGTTTGACGAGGCCACCGCTGGTTGCGCAATAAGCTGCAACCAGCTTTAAACGCCGGTTGGCTGCATGAGCAGAATATATTGTGAAATGCTCTGGCAGTCATGCACGCGGATGACCTGCTCAGGCCTAGAGAAGGTCTTTTGGCGGCCGGCTTATGATACGATGAGAGGTATCATTACGATTGACCAGATCTCTGGTTGAACATCTCAAACCATGGCGCTTCAGCACGCGCCTCAATCATGAATCATATTTGCGAGACCGTTTCTACCTGCACAATAAGAGTGAGTCGAGCTTAGCTTGCAGTATCACTTTCAGCTCGGTGGACTCCATTCTCATTCAGGCGAACGTGCTCAAAGTTTAGGGAATGGAAAGAAATATTGCTCGCATGCTCGTCACTCTGACAGAGGACCGAGTTTTTGAAGCTTCAAAGTTGGCTCTTCATTGCTCTGTCTCGCCTACGCTATAATCCAGGAGTGAACCCCTCGACCGTAACATCCCAGTCCTCCGGGAAATGCGGGCCCGGCTCTTCACCCCAACCGCCTCCCATCATAGACGCTGCCTCATGTTAGCTAATTTCATCCTCCCAACACGACGATTTCGAGAGCATTTCTGAGCTACGAATTACGGCATTAGAGCGGAGATAGACTTGTACATACTTGCAAGCAGCAGAGATGCCGCATTAGGAAAGTACGGCGTTGGAACACGAGACCCTCCTACTGGATATCCTGCGTCGTCGAACTGGAAGACGGGATGGAGGAGGTAGGCAACGGCCTGGTTCACATCGCCCAGCCTCAGTGAGTTCATGGCCAACAGGGAGAAATCCCATCCATATGACTCTTCTAAGTCCCAGAGCTCTAGAATCTTGTCGGCCGTGTTCTGGACGATGGTCAGGTTCAAACTAGGCCCGCTCATCGGAGGCGGCAGCCAGCCGTAGATTCCAGCCATTGCTGGATGCTGTGTTCGCGGTGATTAGCTACTGGCAAGTTACCTAACGGTCGTGACTGTCATTTTGACTCAGAGGTGTGGCCGGTGCTACTCACATCGTTTGTAGTTGCATTATCGCTCCACATATTTGGGATGCCTTCGTACACAGGATATGTATCGTCCACCACAGGCAAAGGCGCAAGCTTGTCCCTAACGGTAACCCAGTCCTCGGGAACGGACTGTCCTTGACGCTCCTTCCACTTGATAGCAATATCAAGTCCAAATCGCCAGTACGCCAATTCGAAAGTCGGGTTGATTGTTACATTCGGGTTTGTGTTTTCCGAAACAGGGTACATCGGCGGCCCAAGGTTGTATACGCCGGTTGAGTTATCAAACCAAGGGAAAGAGGCCATGAAGTCAGCCGATGCTGTGAGTACCTCATCCCACCTCTCCAAAGTCGTGTCGTTGGGAAAGGAGCGGTATTCTACCTCGGCAAAGTACAAAGGATGAGGCTGCTGCCAAATTAATAGGGAGTTGATTTCTCCCGGTGCGCTTCGCCCGCTCGGGTCCGTCATCTTTCCCCAGCGTGCGCCTTTGTAGCCCTGCCCGGCGGCCCTCTCGACTGAGGAAGGAAGAAACTGATCGTACATACTTGGTACGCTTCTCCACATCAGGTCAAAGTGGTTCCATCGGGCAAAGTGTACGAGATGCCAAAAGATCATTTCGAGGTGGAATTTGCCGTACCATCCGTTGTTGACGAGTCCTGATTCCTGTGGTGGGAAAGAGGATGCCGAATTGACAGCCAGGAGGTACTGCGACAGGATAATTCGTCTCTGTAGCTCGGTTGCATTTGCCGAATCGACAGAAGTGAGATCAATGAAAGCCCCTGAGCTCCAATATGACTCCCACCAAGCTCTCGACTCGAAACCCAGTTCTTCAAGAGATTTCTGGGATGCCGCTCCATCTGGAGAGAAGTTTGCGGTCATATCCAGCTTTGCTGATCCAGAAATTGTAAGAAAGTATCGATGAGTGCCATCCTCTGGTCCTGTGATCTTCCCGTTGCCATCCCATTGTGCCGTCAAGTAGTAGCTATTGTCGTCTAGCGTATGTTTAATGGTGGCCCGGCTGCCTGCAGTTTCCAGAGATGTCGAGTGATTGCTCGTTGCATTCCAGACTCCTACGAAAGGAGCATCAAACTTGTTGCGATCCGAATATGGGAAGTCAAAGAACAGGCCGAGAGAACCAGCAGAGAGCAGATCAGATTCAACACTGATACCGACAGTGTCAGTATCTGGTGCTGCTCGGACCTCAACCGTGACCTTGCTTCCATTATATGTAAAATTGGAGAAGATTGTCCCGGTCCACAGATCCAGGACTTGTGATTTGTCCTCGAGGCGGTCCTCGGTAACATTTGTACCGCCAAACCAAAGTCCTATGTTTCCGAGGTTCAGCCTCTGGGGATTCTGGATCAACCAAGTGGATATTTCGTTCTCAGCAGGGTTCGGCTGTGCGTAATTGACGAGCTGTCCGTCACCAGAAAAATTAAGCGGTGGAGTCCACCAGTTCAGCCCAGTGTAATCTTATACGCATCAGTATATAGTGACCATGTAAGAGAGAATGAGGGCCTCTTCTCACCATCTACAGAGGTCTGATTCGGGGTTGTCGGTGAAGAGAAGTTGTGCCACCCCCAAGTAGACATAGTTGCAAAAGGCTTGAAAGGTCTGGAGGCCTGTCACATCCACGCCAAAGGCAAAGTTGCCATTTCCGACTTGCAGAGGTGTTGTGCCTGAACTCGCATTTCGACGAACGTTGAACGCTTCAACAACTTGTTGTCTTTGTATGGGTAACGCAGCTTCAGCCAACGCAAGATGGGTACAGACTACCAGGAGCCTAAAACTATGCATGGCGCATAAGAGTCAAGCTGCTCTTGAGCTCCAACCGGGAAAGTTCGAGACAGCTATAACATGGGTTGATATTCTCGCAGTGATTGCCGTCTAGATGTAGGCAATAATGTCAAGCCGGGGTAGAGAAGTAGCACCGAACCAGGAAGAATTGCTGGTGGAAGGGTAAAGATGTTCTAGAAGGAACACAAATCTGCAACATAGACGATCATGAGAAGGAAAAGTATCCAGTTATCATACCATGAGAGATCGACACTAGTAAGGCAAATCAGATATAGATTATTGAACTTTCAACGATAGTTCTTCGCAGTAGTCCAATAACGGGGTGCCGTACGCTGTGAAGCTGGGCCATTCGCGCATCGTTGACCCGAGGACATGGATCGGCAGCCAGGGACGAGGGGCGACAAGCATATCTAGAGTTCGTGACTTTGAAATGACTGATCCGGGTCTCCACATCAGATTGAGGCTATTCAAACTAATTCAACCGGCAGACAGAAATGCGGAGAATCCGGGGTGCATCACGGGTTAGTTGATCTGAGCGATCCAGGCTGCATACTGCTCCACCACGGACATCTCGGATGCGTGAGTCACGGGGAATGGACAGCGTACGGTCAGGCAAATCAGAACAGGACAAGCATGTTGAAGTCTTGATCCTGACCGTTGACATACTATACGTGTTTGTGAGTGCTCGACGGGAGGAGGATGCAGGCATGGACTCGAGAGTGAGGGGCACTGGTGAACGTGCCCAGTGTGCCCGCATACCCAAAATCCACCATTTCAAATCCGACCTTCTACCAGGGTCCTGGAGTGCGTGCGCAATGACCACCGCTAATTCTAGGCCCCTGATCCTTGGCCTGCGGGCTGCCCAATTTCCACGCCTTAGCAAACGCGCCGCGGCAACGGCAACGGCTGCTGTTTTTGTTTTCCTTCTATTTGGTATCATCATAGCCTAGGTAGCTAGCTTCCAAGGCGCTCAGTTTGAGGCACCGCCACATTCCGATTTCACCAACCAAACCAAAACACCAAACCACCCAGACAGGGCCTTCTCACTCTCGTCTGACTTGGAGACATAGGCGACTAATCCATCTGAACTCAGGTATGAACAAACATTCGACCAGGCGCACGGCATGACAACAGACAAGTCCCCTTTCGGATGTGCCCCACTGACATTGGAGTATTGTGAGGCAGGAATCTACCCATCCCCGACTCGTGTCCCGCGACGATCAGAAGTCACGATGACTTCCTTTATCGCTACCGTGTATGTCGCTCCCACTCGTTCCACTCCCCCTGGCTCCCCGCAGAGCGCCCCCCCCCCCCAATCGACAGCCCAAAGGCCGCACACGAAAGAGGACTACAGGCTTACATGCAGATAGGAGCAACAACCGGCGGAACCAGTTCCGACCGCGACCCGGTGGCAAGCAGGGAACAACCAGCTACCAGTTGCGACAATATGCCGAGGCCACTCTGGGAGGCGGCAGCCTTCGCAAGATCGTGAAGCTGCCCGAGGGTGAAGACGAGAACGAGTGGTACGCTGTCAACAGTAAGTACCTTGCAACCCAACGCACCGCCGCGTGACCGTCCGAACGCGCATGCTGACCCCCGGCCGAAGTGGTGGATTTCTACAACCAGATCAACCTGCTGTACGGCGCCATCACGGAGTTCTGCTCGCCCCAGTCATGCCCGGAGATGAAGGCGACCGACGAGTTCGAGTACCTGTGGCAGGACAACGAGAACTACAAGCGGCCCACCAAGATGCCCGCGCCGGCCTACATCGAGCAGCTCATGACCTGGGTCCAGAGCAGCATCGATGACGAGGCCGTCATGCCCAGCCGCATCGGCGTGCCCTTCCCAAAGACCTTCCCCTCCCTCGTCCGCCAGATCTTCAAGCGCATGTACCGCGTCTACGCCCACATCTACTGCCACCACTACCCCGTCATCCGCGAGCTCGGCCTCGAGCCCCACCTCAACACCAGCTTCAAGCAGTACGTGCTCTTCATCGACGAGCACAACCTGGCCACCGGCAAGGACTTCTGGGGCCCGCTGGGTGACCTGGTGGACAGCATGTTGCGGAGCGACTGATCAAGCATGGGTTGTAAGATAGGCGCGATTTCGGATTTCTGTGTTATTGAAGCTGGCGTTGGGGCATACGGTTTTGTGCTTGTGATCAAGGGTGTAAGAATTAATGGATGCGGGGCTGGCTGGAGTGCTCAGGAGCCAGGCACTTCCCATGCCTGCGAAACAGGCCCTTGCCTGGGGCTCAGAATATGCTGCAGACTGGACTGTAATCGACTACAGCATGTCTTGATCCCGAAATTACGAGGACTTAGGTCTTAAGACATAAAAGTCATGCTGACTCCTGGCTTTCGTGATGCCATTTTCAAACATATTCCGCGGAAAGGAAACTCATAGCTCGAACACTGTGGACAGTGAGCTCTGACCATATTCCTGACGGCATCTTCTCCAACCTCTACCACGGGCACACTGATCCCATACTATCATACTGCAAATCTGACGATGAAAAGCCCAACGGCAGGACTAGGACGTGGAATAAATGATCTCTCTATTTTGGCTCAATTCAACAACAGATGCTGGTCAGTATCCTTGGCCCGGAGGCTCACTGGCAATCCCGTGCACCTCCCGTCGTCGCCCTTTCCCGTGCCCCTCTTTCGTCTGACATAAAAGAAGTAATTTACAGGGTGTCGGTCAGGAGCTTGTTCATCTTCGCGATCTTGGAAGAGACAGAGAGGTCGATGGTTCGGTCTCCGATCTCAACAACCAGGCCGCCGATGATGTCAGAGTTGACCTAGTCGCGTCAGTGTATGGCAAATTCCCTGTAGGACTTGTTCTTTCTCCCTACCTCGTTGGTGACCTTGAGCTTCTTGCCTTGGCCGACATAGGAGGACTTGGACACGGCGGTCTCAAGTCGGCTCAGGGTCCGGTTGTCCAGCGGCTATGCGCGAAGCATTGCGTCAGCGTAATGTCCACGTCTCATATATCTTATTCCTCCGTGGTGTAGCGCCATCATTGCATGTGCCTCGCTGAAAGTGCACGTTGCAACCATCGTTGCTCCACCCAATAAGGTAGCACACGTACCGTAGCGCTCGTAACCGTCATCTCGACCTCGCCGCGCGCAGCGCTCATCAGCTCGCCAAACTTGGTGCAGACGCCCCCGAGGAGGCCCAGGCGGTTGTTCTCGGCAAGGGTCTGAAGGAAGTTCTTGACGGTGGCGTTGGAGCCGGCGGTCTTCTCGAGCTCGGCGATGATGGCGGACTTGTCGGCGGGGGTCAGGGTCGGGGCGTCGAGGATGGCGGCCAGCTTCGCGTCCTGGGTGACCAGGCCGCCCAGCTTGTTCAGGGCGGTGGCGGTCGGGTCGAGCGAGGAGGACTTGACGGCCGCGGTGTACTGTTTGTTCGGGCAAAATGACGCATTAGTTTCCAGGTGCTCTCTGCTCGGCTGGCCCGTGGCCCCAGCGCATCAATTGCACGTCCCCCATCTTCCCATGTCCCAATTGACATCCATCACCTCCACCTCGGGGTCGACTCGGCGCGGTGACGTACCAGGGCAGTGGCATAGGTGCCATCGACGCCGAAGAGGGCGACGGGAGGCTTGACGGCCTCGGCGGCGGCGGGGGCGGCGTAGAAGCGTGCCTGCGAGGCAATCGCCCGCGAGGGAGCTGCAGCACGAGCTGAGCGGAGCAGGGCCTGTCTCGAGAACATGGTGACTGTGGGGGAAGGGTCTTGGATCGGAGGTCGTCGAGATTTCAATTGACGAACTTGGTCCGGGACGGAGCTGCGACGTCTTCGGCAAAGTTGGAGTGGATGCCTGAGGCAAGGCCTCCGGCTGTGTTAGTCAGCCCCTGCACCCGTACCTCTCCGCAACCTAGTCACTTCGGGACAACCTGCCATGGGATATCATCCTGGAGGTTTACTTTCTGTGGAATAGCCCCCTGTGGAATCTGACTTGATGCGCTTCAGATGACGGCCGTTTGCGTTCCAATAAAGCTGCCAGATCATGATTGAGTGTTTACAGACTGCATGATTTCAAATCTGGAAGCTTGAGAGAACCCTTCTACATCTCACATCGCCCAGTTTAATTGCCTCTAAAACGCAAGGTGGGTGCGCAAGACAAGCAAAGACCCAGACAACTTCGGATCAGCTGCGCCACTTGTAACTTAATTCTAGTATTCAGCTACTAAACAGAACGGGAAGTAGCTATCATTATGATGATTGGAGTCTTGTGTCTTCGTCGTGTGCTAGTCACCTTCAAAAGTGGGCTTTACAACCTCGCAGACTTGCCTCCAGCGCCATGCCTCCATCTGCCGGCAATATGCCCCAATTGGGAGTCGTGCTGAGGTACTACAGTTATTTGTCCTTGTGGAGCAACTGAAGCCCCCAGAATGCTCTCGTCGGCATTACGTTCACCCTCTACGGGGCCGCAGACTTGACGAGCGTGGTCCGAATCGTGATCATGCTCCCCCATCCAGGCTTTTCTTGGACTTTGGGTCACGCAAGTGTGCTCAATTGAGAAAGACAGTAACTACAGAACAACGCTAAGGTATTCATGGAGACTTTCGGAGTATGATGACGGTCGATCGCAGAATGTGTACAACGAGTATTCAGTAAACATCCGCGTTGCTTCGGACTGCACTTAATTTGTATTGGTCTCACTGGCTTGATTACGAATGCATATTAGAAGCAAACAAATGGAGAGCGAGAGAGGGACGGAAACCAAAAAGCAGATAAGTGAATTTCAGAGCGAGAGAAGCGGGTTGGGAGTATCAAAAGGTCATTAATCTTGCGAGCCACATTGGGATCACTGGCTCGAAAGTCAGAGTCAAAACATAGTGAGGGAGCATGACTTGCGCTAGGGAGGACCAGTATGTCTGCATCACTTACGAGCGGATTGTCTTTCTGCTCGACGATTGAGAGACACTGTCAATAGCAACAAACCAAACAACAACTTCCCGCGCGGGGTCTTGTGCGGAGTTGCGCGTACACTGCCAACGCTCGGCGAAATTCCAAGGACAAGGCCGAAGAACCCTTGATATTCTGGGTCGCCTGATTTGGAGTAACAGCGATGGAACACTTCTTCACTCACCTGCAACCACTTGCTAGCTCTGGTGCTCTGTTCGTGTCCGTCTTGGGATGGTGGTCCGCACCGAGAAAGAAGCCACCTGCCTTATACAGATAGGACCCAGTTACCGCGAGCTGTTGCCGACTTAGAATGCAAAATATGAGCTGGGGGTGTTGTGAAGCGTTCCGATGCGGGAACACTTGAACATCCGTGACTTCTGAGCAGGTAGGACATAAGAAGAGTGTTCCTCAGGAGCATTCAATGCCAGTGTAGAAATCAATACAGTTCTAGCTGTCCAACGCAAAAATGCAGTCCAAGTCAATCGCCATCTTCTTGTCGGTCTTCTCGTCCGCTCTTGGACATCCAGCTCTTGGTAGCCGCCAGACTCAAGACTGTGATGCCGTCCATGTCTTCCTCGCGCGAGGAACCAGCGAGGACTATCCTGGCAGGCAGATCAGCGTCGTGAATGCAGTCTGCAATGGTGTTAGCAGCTGCGGTTATGAAGATATCCAATACCCTGCCTCTTTCGTTCCCGACTATTGCACGTCTGTCGGTGTCGGCGTGGTCAATGGGACATCTCAGATCACCGCATACGCAACCCGATGCCCGAATGCACAGCTAGTGCTGTCAGGCTACTCCCAGGTAAGCTGTGATGTAGTTGGGGTGTTAGAAATGTCTCTGGCTAATCATTCATGACAGGGTGCGCAAGTTGTTGGCAACATTCTCGGAGGTCAATCTGGTGGTTCTACGGGCTGTACCACCCAGGACTCTACTGGCTTGGATCCTTCATCATCACCAGCAGTTCAAAGTGGGTTCAGACGTCGACAGGATGTTGGTTCCCGGAAGCTAACCGTCTCTGCAGTTGTGGCGGCTGCTTTCTTCGGCGATGTGACGCATGTAGGAAATCAAACATACAATGTCGAATCCGGGGCACCTTTCGATGGGGTGAGTACAGACCCATTGTTTCTTTTCCATACCCAAACTCGATCCACGAGACTTGCTTCATGACAGCCTAGACTGTGATGCTCCAAACAGCAGCTAACTCGGTACAAAGATCTACCCCAGGACAGGAACGCAGCTCGAGCGCCTCAACGAGTTCTCCACGAAGCTTCGGTCCTGGTGTTTGGCGGATGATCCTGTGTGCGCCCTAGGTAACGACGGGGCCGCCCATACTAGCTACTTCACCCTCTTCTCAGAGGAAGCTGGAGCATGGGTTCAGACGAAGCTGACGCTGTAGTATTGACTTCGAGGTGCATCTTGCTTCTCTGGCAGGTCCATTATTTGGCATATTCAAATCAAATGCGACTTGGTTCCTTTGTGGACACCATGGAAATAGCTGATGTTTCTTCTTTTTCTCGTGGTGCCGTTATGTCTACCCGCATCGCTTGTATGTAATTGAGCGGCTCCCAGTAACAACATAAATATAACTTGAATCGTGTTCCTCTTCAAGTGTGTAGTAAGAATGCAAGTTCAAAATAAAATTGACCCTACAGGACGAACCTGCCTCAACTGCGGTCCCACATTACCAAGAGGTTTTCCCGTGCGGAAGTCCCACCAGAGATGGTGCTCGCCGTGTACTGGCTCTGGGTTACTGCATTAGCATACTGATTCCCGAAATTTAGTCTTCGAATGAGTTGTTACTTCAAACGCGAGAGATCGACTTAATCAACAAAGAAACCGGTGACTAATTCGGTCGCAAGATCTTGTCCAGCGGCTTGATCTTCTCAGCCATGCGGGCGGTTGACTGAGCTCCAGTCTGAGTCTGTCGAAACCCGAGATCCTCTCGCTCGTTACCTGGTGACGTGAAGCGTGACATGGTAAACTTTGGGTCATCGGGGACGGGTAGCTTGGGTCGCAGGCCGGGGTTGTCTCTCGACAGTGCCTTTTTGCTGCTGAAGAAGAGGGGTATTAAAATTGTGGTCCAAAATCAGCTTTCGAAGAGTAGGACAGAAATGGCCGCACAACCCAGGACGTGAGATGCCTCCTGAGTGGAGAGAGATACATCGAGAACAACAAGAGTTTCAACGTACTCAGGCTCGAAGTTTCGAACAGCTTGGTTAGATGGAGTTTTGTCCATGCCGTCTGCTCGGACTAGTGGTCAGAGTTGCCATTCACAGAGTAACAATATGATGCACCAACGGCGATGAGATGAGCACAAGATGTCTCCAATATTTCCCCGCGGGAGCGTGAGGGTGGAGAGGAAGAGGGCAGAATGTTTGGGCGGACAGTCGCGAAATGATAGACACAGGCAGAGAGAGTAGGGTTGTTTGGCGAAGAAGAGGAGGGCCAGATAAGCCAGCGCGTGAAGGAACTGCCCCTTTAAATATGCTGATGAGTCTTTGCGGACTTGGAATGTGTTGATGATTTAGATCAAATACGGGTATCTCAAGGCAAAAGTCTACAAAGGTCCCAGGAAAAATTACATTTTATTGGCGAGAACCGCACGAAAAATGCCGGCATCAGGACCACAGTGTCACAATAGTCAATATAGCCAGGCATCACTTTGGCTAATGTCCGGCCCCAAACCGTATCTGCTACATTTGTTTGATAATTGCGATTTCAGCACCATGGCATATTCGGGTAAGTGTTTGAAGAAAGCTAGCGGATCATGTCATGATGAGTCAAGGCAGTTGAAGCTGTACATCGACCACGAGACCTGCGCTTCAACGGCTACCTGCGTTCGATAGTTGGGATGCATTTTCTTGGTGGTTTGATGGCATTCTTGAAAGCCCATGCTGACTTAGGAAAGCGACTCGATCACTGGATATGGTCATGTGGAACGGATTCTATAAGGTATGCAGGATGACGTTGGCCAATTCCAAGTCGCACCCTTGTTGGGGTTGGGTGGACACGAGCCTCACGACGAGGTCAAACAGTTAGTGATGTAGTACAGATTTCGATTGCAGTCCCTTCGTGCCACGATATGTTTATTTGGGACATTGTTGAATGGGTGCAATGACATCATGGGCCGCAGCAGAATTGGAAGAGGCAGGTCCGGGACCTTTTTTGCAGGATGCCTAGAACCCAATGGTGGACGGAAGCCTGCATGAATAGGGTTGTCTCGACTGTTCCGTCACACCAATACCGACCTCGTTTGTTTTGAGGCGATCGTCGATCCATCTGAGCAGTAATAAGGCTCCTCACTGGTCTGATATGTGACGTCGAGCTGCTCCAGAAGTCTCCTTTGACTTGACATTTAAATCAAGACACATAGAATTCGTATGCGCCTTCACGGCATCGCGATTGGCTTTCAATAAGCAAGCTTTGGTTACCACAATGTTGAGCCGTTCGTGGGGAACGATCAGTCAGCAAGCACAGATGCCTCTAATGAGGCATCAACAGCTTTGCGGCACCCCGCGAGGATAACGGTATACAGTGGTTCGCCCACTGCCTCACAGCTAGTCGTGGCTCTCGGCACGTCCGTAATCTCTCGTTTCCCAACCTGCTGTCCAACTCTGTAAACACACTTGGGCCTCAAATGTACATTAGTTTACGGAAGGTTCCGAAAAAGTGGTCTTGATCTAAGCCACTGATGTATACATGCCTCGTCATTGGCCTAGTTTGCTCCTCTACACGGACTTGTGCACCACGCTAGGTGCATGTGGGAACCCGTATCATCTGACGGTGTATTGACTACCTCTGTGAGCATTCGGAAGAAATGTGGGCTCTGCCCACAATACCACTCAATCGAGGAGCCTATCCATGATGCTGTCCAGACTCCAGCCGCGATTGGCACGGTGATATGCTTCACGGGCGACCTGCCACGGCAATTCTACGGCGGATTGGGCGAGTATAGCCTCTACCCCGTGTGTTTGCGTTATTTTTGGCCCACTTGTAACATGACAGCCGGATACGCAGTCGACTTAGGCGAGACGGTATGACCCCATGTACTCGTCCATCGTAATGGGTGGCGAGATGGGGATAGCCGGACTCGATACGACACACCAACTCGCACTTTTGAGCTTGTGATACGCGCCTTGCTTGTAAATTTGCGTGGTGCAACACTGAACAATTATCAACAAGGACCTTTGTCGACACCGGAAAAACACGAGATGTATCGGAAACAAAATGAGTCTGATGGGGGAGGGGAAAAGGTTGCCCACCTTTGACAATACAGTCCGAGTCCGAGTAGTGCTTTTCAAGACGTTGAGTAGCAACAGCCCGGTGCGAGCTCAAGGTATTACATGGATTCACTAGCAATATGTCCACCAATGATGCCGCCGAGTGAGCTGACCACGCCGCGCCTCGACTTGGGACGAATCATGTAGGATTCCATTCCGTGTGCACCCGCTCGCTGCTGCCTAATTGAGGACAGAAACAAGCCAGATCAGATTCAATATCATGACCTACCAAACACAGAAAGCTCCATTTCAAACTTCAAACATGCAGCCGAATCACTTCTGTTTCCCTTCGACAAAACTGTCCAATGAGCTCGTCGAGCTGACACCCTTTTCGGTAAGCCAGGAACCACGTCCTTGGTGTTCAGGTGTGGGCCGCTGACATGGCCAACAGGCCACGAAACATGCTGCAACCTTCTACAATCTCTCAAAGGAACACCCGGAGCTGTACGCGCATTACCCACAGGGCCCATACCAGGACTATGAGAGCTTTGTAGAATCATTCGTCTGCGGTCTCCTTGCCCAGAGCAGCGAGACTCTGGCGTTTGCCATCATCGACAAGACGAAAACGGATGATTACCTAAAAAATGCCGCATCAGACAGCGGTGAAGGCGCCTTGGCTGGAGTCATAGCCTTCATGGATGCGAATTCTTCATCACGTTCCCTCACCATTGGCACGCTGTTCACTCTACCCCCGTACCAGCGAACGCATGTCACTAGCAATGCTGTAGGTCTGATGCTCCAGTATGCGCTCGACCCACCATCTGATGGTGGGCTGGGGCTGATCCGGGTGCAGTGGAGACTAGACTCGCGCCACGACGCTTCTGCCCGGGTTGCGGAGAGGATGGGACTCAGGTATGAGGGCACAGAGACGTGGTTTCGGTTGATCAAAGACGGGGTCGCCCGAGGCAAAGTGGGTAATGGGAAGCCTCCGCCGCCCGGCAGTGAGGAAGGGGATGTGTGGCAGGACAAGACGACCTATTCTATGTGCTGGGATGACTGGCTTGGAGGCGGCCGTGAGAAAACGGTGGCAGCGATGGTGAAGAGATGAGAAGGACAGCGTACTAAGGTCTCGGAGATGGGCTACAGACATCCACGATCATTCAAGAGTACATTGAGCTGATAACTATCCTGGCCTCACACATCGTTCGGTCTAACAGCTTACTCATAAATGAAGTCGTGATTGGGACAAGAGTGCTATTCAGTCAAGTCAAGTCAAGTTACGGACCCTACAAAAGTGAGTATTTTCGGGCCAGCTGCGCCAGAGAAGCTGAGCTGCCTTGTTTTGCAGGCGCTTGAAGTTATTGGAGCATCAGCAATGGCATCAGTAGTATAAGAGGCCGGGGAGGGGAGTACACAGTATGAGAGAGTCTAGGTGCTTGGGAAGCATGATGTATCGCTAGTGAAGGGGTGGTCCCTGTGGCACCACCAATGCCAAGCCGTGTAAGATGATTGGCTGTTCTGCGACACAGAGCTCCCCTCTGCTTGAAGCTGCAAGCAAACACTTCGATTGGGCCGACCTCCGTTCCCAGCCCAGCTGCTACGATGATTCTGTCTTGACGTGGCCTTTCTTCCCTTCGCAACATCATTGGCGCGATCCTATAGAAACCTTCTGTGGTTCCTTTGGACTGAAAAGTTGTGTTCTGTTTTGCCGAATTAATGGCACCAAAAAGCACCACGTTCTGATCCATTCATATCGAAGAGACTCTCCTGGATTAACTGCCGACCGTGGTACTCTTTCGAATTTTTGCTCTAGACTGATTTGTTTTGACTATTACTATTTGGGTCACATACAATGCCTTCCGGCTGCTCCCAGGTTCTGAGCTAAGTACAAGTGACTGTGCACTGCTATGACTGGAATGCAGTCGTCAGCGAAAGAAGTTGAGCACTGGAGGGAGATCGATAATAGCCATCATATAAAATAAATAGAACTCTGATGAAATTCAAGAGAATCTAAGTGTAGAAAATTAAATACCATCCGTCTTAATCCTAAGTGTCCCAAAAGCACAACATGCGCCATGCAAGAGCTTGAAATACTTGGATTGCCCCCAGAGCCCAAGCTTCTATCCTCACAAGAAATGACCGCTGAATAAGAAATCGCCGCTCATCCGACATCCGCCCGATTTCACCAAATTAGAATCCACCGTTGGGGTTTGGGTTGGGAATAACAGAGCCTCCTTGGACAACAGGGGGGATGACAGAAGTACCCGTGCCAGCGGCCAGAGCCTTGTGGGCAGCCAGGGTGTTGGGCGAGTCAAAGTTCTGGTTGATCACGCCGGTCATGCCGTTCTGACAGTGGTTGCCGGTAGTCTGGGCACAGTAGTACCAGATGGGGTTCTTGTCCTTGACGACGATCTGGAAGACGTTGGGGGCCTGCACGGCGTCGCCGGTGGGCTGGAAGCCGCTGAAGAACGGCTGGGCGAGGGAGGCGTCCGGGACGCAGGGCTGGCCGAAGGATGACTGGGCGACGGAGTGGTTCTTCGGGAGGAAATGCCACTCAACGACATCTCCCACCTCAGCCACGACGTTTTCTGGGTCGAAGAGGAGGGCGCCTCCACGACCAGCGACGACAGGGTGGGTAACACCAGTGAGGGTGGTTGTCTTGTCAGGGCTCGAGGTGGTAGTCGCGGTTGGCAGAGCCATGGCAACAGCCGCAGCGGCGAGAATAGTGATCAGGTTCTGGGCGAACATTTTGATGAGGTGAATTTCCTTGAATATGGAGTGCTTTTTGGATGAGATACTTGGATACAGAGTGAAGAGATTGAAGCTTGTGCTTTAGGGAGTTGCGGTTGAAGTGTTTGTGAGGATGGTGATGAGGTCCAGAAACTCAGCTCGCCATGGGCACGTCGTCCTCTCTTATAACATTTCCAGCTCACCTACGATCATGTAAACAAATACACGAAAAATCACCTTCATCACAACCAAGCCATGGCTTCCAGGTTCCACGGCGGCACGGAGACTGAGGTTTCCGATCAGCAGCGCCGTAGGGCTGGGGCGGAGCCCGGGACAGCTGCTGCGCCTCGCCTGTCATCCCAACATTGAACAGCACAGTCCTTACCGCGGCCGGGCGAAAAGGTCTGCAGCCAAAGGCTATTTCTGGGATGAACGCTAGCTTCTCGGAGCTGGCAGCTCTTAGCGCCTTAAGCGCGGCCGCTGCTGAGCCCACTCGGCCCTCCGTGAGCAGGCTGCGCTGCTCACTTTGTCCACATTGCAGCGGCCGCAAGGTCACGAGGGCAATTTTTCTCGGTGAGTAAAACTCATGCACGGCTGAAGGACTTCATGCGCGGCTGGAGGACTAAATGCCTGTATCATAGGGCGTACGGTATAATATTGCTGCGAGAATGCTGGCTGTGGAACGGACCTATGCCGCCGACATCACATCAAGTACTTACACCACGATTCCTGCCTTTGGTGTTCTCAAAATTGACCTCTGGTGTGGCTCGAAAACCAAGATGCTTTAGACTATATAAAATTTGCGAAATCAACTCTTGTGGCACAAATTTCAATGTTGTCGTGTGATATGGCGTCAGAAGGAGGTAGGCTGACAAGACCACTGTCAGCGTATCCGCCAAGTGTCAGCAAAGCCGCGAGATCAAGTGGAATCTCGGCATTTAGAGTCAGGCATCGGTCATGATTGACCAAAAGCGAAGTCGCGTAGTACAAGTCTATTATCTCAGGGCCGGGGATACCCGTAATGGATTACGTCGCAGGACTTCTTCCTTCACTGTAAAATAACTCGTTCAAGGAGCTCATCTAGCTGAATGCTACCCAGATGTACAGAGTTGAATCATATCATAATTTGTCTCGATACACAATCCAATAATCAATGTCTTCCTTTTGGCACTCTGTGCCGGGTGCTACCCTCGACCACTGGTTAGCAGACGTCAGCACCCGAGCAACCGCAGCAGGGACAGCAATCTACGGACCGCTGGTGCTTGGCTTCATTTACGACAGTCTAGTCCTGGGGCTCTACTGTAGCTTCGTGTGGAGATGTCCTGCCGTCGTGCTGGAGCACTTCTACCGGATCATGATCAAAGGCGCAGCGCAGCGTCGAGAATCCAACAAACCAGGAACCGAAGCTCAGGTCAGGATTTTAGACATCGGTGTAGCTACTGGCTACTACATGGCCAAGACGAAACTTCCTGAGAACACTCTGGTCACGCTGTTTGACCTAAATCCGAATTGTCTGGAATATGCTTCCACGAGGTGTCGACAAGCTCACGGCGACTTGGATAAATTCGACGTCGAGACTGTCTGCGGGGACTTCCTGGCCGCAAAATCCGACCCATCCTCCGTACACTGCCTGCTCGAACCCGAAAGTCGGGGGAAACAGAAATACGACGTCATCTTCACGAGCTTCCTCTTACACTGTCTTCCGGGGCCGCCAGAGCGTAAGGCGAAGGCACTGGCTAAATTGTCGCACTTGGTTGAGCCGGCTTCTGGGGTCCTATGTGGAGCGACAATCTTGGGAAAAGATTCCAGAGAGGCATGCCACTCCCTGCTTGGTCGATTCATTCTTTTCTGGCACAACTTGCTGGGATGGTTCGACAACAGGAACGATGACACGGAGGTATTCATTCAAGCTTTGGAAGAGGCATTTGAGACTGTCTCTTGTCAAGTTATTGGTGCAGTGCTATTGTTTGAGGCAAGGTGTCCCAGGCGGATGGGTAAGGCGTGATTCTTTGGATGGGCAACATTGAACGATTCTGTAGGGCTATTCAACTAGAAGAATACACTCCGGACGCCAGTACAAGGCCCGGGCGGGGTGAGACAAGGGAGATTGGGGCCAATGACCAGCTGTCTCATCATGGACGATGGAATGAAGACCCGACTTTTTGAGTCGTCCTCTTCTCAATTATCGCCTGATGTGAAAGACAAAACTGTGTCTCTAATATCCACATCGAAGTGTCAATGTTTTTGGCTGACGCGTTCCTCGCCAATGGCGGGAATCAATATATTATGAACTTTATTCGTTGCGCGAGTCGACGTTTATGCATCTATTCTGATCATCTTAGATTTGGTGGGTAGCGGTGTAGCGTTAGTCCACTCCTGACGCATGACTCTCTCTCGTCGGTGAGAACGATTCGTTATCTACTATTTAGACGTGTCACGCGCTTCCGCTTTCAGTCTCCCCCACCAGGGTGTTCAATTTATGCCCCTCTTGTCACCTCAAGCGAAGCCATGTCGACCTTCTGTCCTTTCACAGCCCCCGTAGTCACGCCGTCGTTCTCGTGGCCTGAAACATTCCCATCAATGTCTTTCGACGCCGACGTCTTTTACCTCGGTCATCTCTGGGAACTCGCAAGGCCCCGTGGAGTGGACTATTTACAAACCGAAGATCGGCATCTCGACGAACCTAAAGAGACAAACAAAAAAGGCACCACACGGGAGATTGGAAAACTCTTACGGCACGCAACAGAGAAGGCCTTGCGATACGCGCAAAGAGACTCATATCGCCGCCACAAAGACAACACATACATTGTGCTGAACAACCTCACGGATGACGAATATTCAGAACAAGACTGTGTTCGAACAGGATCCAATCCTGACTTCGTTAGGTCTGGCAGCTTCAGATCGAGCTTGAGCCTCAAGGCAGAGCGCATCATACGTCGAAAACGGAATTAGCTGAAATGGAGTTTGACTTCTGCTGAGAAGACCCAGTCACCCAGCAACATCGTGGTCAGGCTTTCCACGTGGTGCGGGCTGGACTTGGCGGGTGACTCCAAATTAGCCCTAATAATTTGGCCTATGACGATGGAAACCTGAATATTATGGCATCATGGATTTATGTGGTATCGAATGGAGAATTGGAAAGAGAGAACCCATGGTGGTACACATGACCGAGAGGGGGATTGGAACGAACAAGCTTTATGACTGATGATAGGTGTGACGGGGTTAATGGCCCAAGTTTGAATTATACCTTGGGAGACAATGATAATGAATCATAGACTTAGAAACTAAGATGAAATGCATTATACCTTCAAAATGGGCTTCTATCACTGCCTATGTACTACTGTATGTACTTGTGAGTCCTGTCCCATTTCATAGCAATAGGGGAGTGAAGGTATTATGTGCTTAAAACTAAACTGTCACTGTAATTAGTTTCATGGTATTTCAGGGCAATTTTCTGTTCTTCCAGCTAACAACAATATTAAACTTTATAACAAGATCACCAACACAAACCGTTTCAGCACTGCTCCATTCCATACGGTCTACACAATATCATTGTCTCTAAAAGAATATTGAGGTTTTATAAATCAGTCACCTCTACATGTCTACTATATTAATTGTCACTGCATTGGAAATGCCTGCATGTGTCTGTAGATTCAAAGGCTATCTTTCAAGTGGATACAACACGTTGTATTTAGGGCTAGGATATGATATTCGACATGCTAGAAGATATTGATGAGAGCTGGGCGATTCTCAGAGCAGTACTATCTTTTATATCACTTGACTTTGATGAGATATATATTTTAATATCAGATAATGCTTCGGTCAGAGAAACAACATGCCTTTATACAATGCATACCTCTGCCCCTGCTCAATGCAAAGACACACACATCCAGTGTAACAACTCGTGTGATGATCTGATGATAGAAGCTCAATTACCAGCCCTCCAGCTGTGGGAGTTATATCGTGCTCCGGAACGCCTCGCTTGTCCATTCAATCCTCCAAGCAATCACCCATGCTTACAAGCGACCACTCAAACCATCAAATCAAAAAGTCCTCCATTAGCGCCTGGGGTTCCGCTCCCCCTTGCCGTCATCATACTGGTGGTCCCCAGGCAACTCCACAGGCACCTCTCCGTCGTTGCCCATCTCGTTCGCACGGTTGTCCCCCGGTGCTTCAACCACGCCCGGCATGGACTGCAGCTCGTGCGACCGCTGCTGTGACTCGTGCACGTTGATCAGATATCCCTTGTCTTCCTCTTCTTCCTTCCTCCCGGCTCCTCCGCCGGCCGCATCTCTCAGCCCCGATTCCTCTATCTCTCTCCTGAGTCTCCTCTTCCTCTCTCGCTGCTTGGGCCGGAACCAGAAGAAGTAGACTGACACAGCTGCGATGATCCCCAGCCCACAGACGCTGCCGACCACTGCCCCTGCGATGGCACCATCCGAAACGCGGTGGGAGGTTACGACGGCTGCTGAAGCTGACGATGATGACGACGATGAGGCTGTTGAAGATGCTGATAATGTTGTGGATGTTGCGGCGAGCGGGGTACACATGTCTATGCTGTAGTAGACCCATGTTGTATTGTAGCACCTGGAGATATATGCCATCTCCGCTTCGCCTGAGCATATATCGGATGTGCTGTCACTCAGATAGATCGTTGCTGGAGATACCGGTCAGCAAGCCGAACACTTCGTCCGCAAACATACCAAGCAGCAGCAAGTGGAGGTTGGTCGCCCACAGAAGGGCACGATTGGAGGGGAAGAACACACGTGTGCAGCCTTCATCGAGGACAGTGAACATGAAGCTCTGATATGTTGAATCAGCCACCCCCGCGATGTTCGTGCAGAATCCATCCGGGTAGCCGTTCTCTCCTGCGATGCGGGTCTGGGAACGCTGGCAGTTCGCGTCCGAAAAAGTGGTCAGACTCGACGCAGCGGTGCTAGCGGCACTGCAGAGCAGCAGGCACAGTGCGGTGGGGAGTTGAGACAGCATTTTGACCCAGGTTACGCGCCTACAAGCCCTAGGTCTACACTCGCGGGACGTAGCTCCAAACTGTCATTGAAGGGGGAGGGTTATGTTGAGGAGAAAATGAACGGCCACAGAGAATCCAGCTAGGTAAGGCATGGTTCGTTTGGGGGCTGAACACAGGCCAGGAGGACTGCGCGCTTGTCCATGGGAAATCCTCCCGAGGGGCTTGCCGGGGTTCGCAGGAAAGGATTGCCTTGGCCTGCAGGTGTGACTATTCCGAACTTGTCCTTGCGAGAGCGGACACATGTGCGCTGCTACCTACCCTGTGCCGGCTTCCCATGCTCTTCAGCCTCAGCCCCCTCCGAAAGCTGAGGTATGCCGTGGGTCTCGTGCCACAAACAGAGGGGGCAAGCCGGAACAAGCCTAGTCGTTTCTTTCCTCTTCGCGTCCAGACCCTACAACGGCGAAGTGCCGGTTGGGTCCCAACTCCAGGGCATCACGGAAATCTCGTGGATTGTTCACGCCTGCGCGCCAACACGCAGGATTGTGGGGCGTCTCAGAATCCCAGTCCTTGGTGCTGTGAGGGCAGGACCCGCTTCCCGGGAGTACATCCCTGAAGGGCGAGGCTCGCCGCGGTCTAGTCGCTCAGCTTTATAAGGTTACTGCAGCTCATTTGACCCCCGACGAATGAGATGGTCGCAGGCACGGGCGGAACGAGTTTAAGCTGTGTGTGACCACAGCGATCGCCAGCACGGACAAGACGATGCCAAATCTCCCAAATCTCCCAACTCTTGGCGAGAAAAAGCCCCCCCCCCCCACCTTCCGCTGGCGCAGCGGGATCCGCCCGCAGCCACGATGGACCCGGGTTTTGGGCAGCTGTGGTGGAACGACGCAACTTGCTTTTCTTCCAGACCCAACCCAGCTCAAGACCCAGCGAGTGGGAATACCTGGACCCTTGCATTGTTGAGGCTCAAAAGGCGCGCGTTGACGTCGGTCTCAGATCCCACTGCGCCATGCCGTCGGAACGCCATCGCGTGAAGGGCCTGGCAGGTAGACTTTTGAGGGTTGCAACGGCTGCTGTCGTTTCCTCGAATGCATTCGTCTGGTCTTTTGGCACTAGCTGAATAGACACCCGCGGGCCGCTAGACTCTGCGGGCCGCGGTGTCTAGGAAATGCCGGTCGGGGTTCCAGGGGCTGCTTATGGACCGGTGGTCTAGTGTCTGACTACCGCAAGCCTTGCGACGCCGACATGACTGACTACCTGTGGGTTGTGTTCCTGTAAGCATCTTAAGTGATAGCGCGAAAGGAAGCACACGCATAAGTGGTCAGCACCATCGGGGGGGGGGGGGGAGGTGTTGTACAAACTACGAGTCCACTTTGAAGTTGCAGCCACGATGAAAAATGATGGTTGGGAAACCAGAAAATCACAGCCAGGCGCCACAGCTCCACTCAGTCGTGAAAGGTCGCTCTTGTATTCTGCAATCATGTCAGCATTTTGGAGAGAGGGAGGGAGGGAGAGGATTGTTAGAATCTATTATCGGCTGCCTGGACGGTGGTTTGCAAGCACCTTGAGGTGTGCGGCGTGTGCCGAAGATTTCACCACGAGATTTATTCGCCGGCACCGAACAGTAGACACCTCTCAAGCATCCGCTCCGTGGGACATAGGTTCAAATACCGTTGCCGGGGGTGTGACAGGTTCCGCTACCATGTCTGTGCCTATACATGAGTTCTGGAACAAAGCAGCAACATCGCCTGGGATTGATACCCTGTTTCCCCTAGCGTCTACGGCCCTCTCTTTTCTCCTCGACTTACTTTAAAGAACTTCTCAGTGACTGGAACCGTGTCACATCTGCGCAGGACAGTACTTTATTTTGAGTATTGGCATGGAGAAGATCTTCCTTAGGCTAGGGAGGAAGACCTTTTGAAGTACAGAACGAATAGCGTGGTACACGCACGATCCGTCCAAGGCTGTTTTCTGGGAGGTCAATCAGCTCGCTCGCTGCATGAATCCCTCACTCATTGAGGCCTTTCGTGGCATGATTCTGACCGAAGGATGCAGCCAGCACCAAAACTGCACGAGGCCCGCTGCTCGGCGGAGTGGACGATTGCCAATGTTGGACAGAGTCGCAATGGTCCCACGGAAATGGCGGCACCCTCGGCACCGTCACATCTCTCATGTCAGACCCCAGCTTGGACTTGCATTGTCAACCTTGTCCCATTCTGAGCCAATACGTGGTGAGCGGTGAGTGGGTTCAGAGCCAACATTTCACGAGTAGATGCGCCATGGCTGGATTTTATTGACTTTTATTGGAGATTTTCCGAGATCTGAGCAGCACTAGACTAGATATCATATACCAGAGGAAATCCCAATCACCTGCAGGAGCTTGGAAGAGAGGCAGACGCTAGGAAAACGAGAACAGTGGAAAAACACAGGGGGCTGCAAGAAACAAACCAATGAGTACCGATTTCTCGACGTGCGTGTGACCACCCTCCTGAAGCAACAAAGGAAATCAAGGAAAATTCATGAGCTCATAATTCGTACCGGCATGACATAACATCCCACAAGGCAGTGTGCAATGACTTGAGCTTGAGCTGTAAGCAACGCTGCCATCCCTTCTGGGTCTTCACTTCCTCTTCTTCTGGCAAGTACCCCTGTCTGTGTGACGCTTCATGTTGTCCTTCCTGTCGGTCTGGTAGTTGCATCGCTTGCAGGTGTACTCCTCGTCTTTAGACAAGTTGGCCAAGTTGGGGTTCTTCTTGGCCCAAGAGGCATGGTTCGCTCGAATGTGCCTGTCGAGCTCTCTCTTCTGGGGACACTTCTTGTCGCAGGCATCGTGGGGGCATGATAGGGGTGGTGCATGATTACGGTCTTCAGGACGTTTGTGTTAGCGGCCTGATATGAGAAGGGGGGCGGTCATCTCTCAAAGCGTCTTCAAGAGTGAGAGTATAGAAGGGTTGAGAATGTTCATACAGTGTTTGCTGGTAGTAACAGTCAGTGAAATCGTAAAATCGTGGCCTCGACTGATGGCTTTGTGGGTGTCTGGATGGGGCTCTACGCAAGCTTACGTGAATTTATGTAGCTTGGAATATGTCTTGTTGCATATGCCACAAACGTGTAGCTCGTCGGACGAGATGTTCTCTTCAGGGGAAGAGGCCTGGTTTCCTGGACCAGGGTAGTGGGTGGGCGTACTCGGGCTGCTGGCGTTGCTTGAGGGAGCATCATTGATCTCGGAAAGTGGTGTGGCTTGGAGCGCAGGCTGCATGGGGTTCATGTTGCTAGAATTTGACAACAGAGTTTCTGGGTAGGCAAGGGAAAAGTCAGGGAAGGCCGTTGGATCCTGCTGGAGGAAATTGTCGGTGTTGTTTGGGCTGGTGGGAGGGTACTAAGTACTCTCGCCCGAAACAACGTGAGACGAATCCGAATAGCCAAAGTTTATGTAGGAAGATTCAGTAAAATAATCTTCAGTATGGGCACTGGGGTCAAATCCAGGCTGGAAGTGGTCAAGGTTTCCAAAATCCTGGAGAATTTCATTGCCACCGAGACCTATTTGGTCCAGGGTCAAGTTTCGGGGGTCCACAGATGGCTCCTCGGTGAACCCATGCTGTCCCATGAAGAATTCGCAGGCGTCGGATCCATCCAGAGTGTCTTCCATGTAAGTCATGTGGTACTCTTGGGAAAGTGCGCTGTGGCCTACGCCGTGGCCACGTCGGCTAGACCTCTGATGGTTGTAAGTGGACGCCATTCAGGAGGCTTAACATCCGACAAATCAGTACTCGTCAGAGGGTTCAGTCTATGGCTGCCACTCCTTGTGAGTCTAGAACCCACAAGTGCCGCCAGTGAGTTTTGATCAGGCATGTACATACAATATCAGCACTCGGAAATGGTTCCTGAAGCAGGCTAGACACGATTCCTCCCGGGCTGCCAAGTCAGCTTCCGCATCAGGCGGCCGACTAGATTCTTCAGCACTTACATGTCTTGTAGAGACGCCTCTGGTTCATTCAACGCTCGTGAGCAGTGCCGAAACAGTGTGATTACACACGCAAGACCGCAATACACGATCAGTTTACTTGTGACCACAGAGAGGAGTTGGAGAAAGGGGTCTGAGCCGAAAGGAAATGACAGTGGGGATATTCACGAGAGATCTCTGGCTGGTTGTGCATGTTTAACCGCCCCGGTTTCTCGTGTGGGCTCCAACCTCGACGCGTGAGGCCCACCGCGGCCAACGCAGTCAGCACCTATGTCACCTAATTCCATTGAAATCTGTCAGTTTCGATGCAGGCCGGTCAATTGTGGTCTGACAGTTGGTTTCTCCTGCATGCGTGGTTGGCACGAGCTGCACTGCCTCGGTCGGCCTCAAGCATTGAAGGCGACGAGGCAGACTTGCGGTAAATTGTGTGGAACCATCATCCAAGGGGCTTGGAGGTGATCCTGGTCGGATTCGTACTGTATGCCGAATTTCGGTGGAGTCAGCCAATAGGGCTGTCCTGCAGTAGGCCTCACAACATGCAAATAGCTTGGTGCAGGGTGGTGTCCCGATATCATTGGGCTGACCGCAAATGCAGGACATGATTGCTAATGTTCTGTTGGGCCTTCTAAGGCGTAATGGCAGATGCCTTGAATTCGCGACTCGAAGACGCTTCAAACGTTGAGTCGTCCATTGTCTATAAATCTGTCTCGAATTCCGACCCATCGAGTGTTTTCAGATTCAAGAGGAGTCAACACAACAGTTCAACATTATCCACCGTCTGTTGGCTATCAACTACTCTCTGCCAACCTCCCTCGAAACTTTCTACAACAAGAACATACCCAGTCATTGAGAATGCCCTACTTGCAAGGTGATGTTGCGAGCGATTCGCTCAGTGATGAGAATTGACGCTGATTCTTCATAGGAACCGATGCATCTCCTGAGAGTGCTCTCGTGCCGTTGGGCAAGCTTCAGAGGCGATTCTACGAGCCGCTTGTCCTCCTGCTTGCACTCACTCAAGCTTGCATGTACAACCGCGCTCCCAGGGCCCCGGATTCGCTAACTGAGGTGCCACCTCACTCACTGGATGAACTGTTCAAAGACTTTGTCAACAAGCTCTGTCAGATCTGTGACAACAAGCCTCGTGGGAGCACCGTGACTGCGATTTCTGTACTCCAATACCCAGACCGCGTGCAATAGTAAGCAATACTCCCGGGGGGTTCATTCTTGAAGAATCATTTGAAACATTCGGAAGCCCTTCTGTGTCTCGCAAAGAGCTAACGAACTGACGAAATGGTTAGTCGTTTTGCATCGAATCAGCGGTCTGAGAGTGACCTCCTGGAAGTGAAGACCTACCTTCAAGACATCCTTGAAACGCTCAGAGGCTACACTGCGTCCTCTTCGACCCCTCTCGTGGAGTCCGTTTTGAGCAAGATCGTTGCTTTCAATGGGCAGAGACTACAGATCTATGTCAAGCATATCTCTGCCCAAACTCAGTCATGTCTCAAGACGCCAACAATTTCAACGGAGTTGTCTGATAAACTCAGCGAGCTTCAAGACCTGGCCCTGAAGGCGGGCGATCAGGAGCTCGAAGAGAGTAAATGTAAGCAAAACTGCTAGTGTTTCGAACTCTAGCGAATGAGGTCAAAGTGATGAGACTGACTCTTCCAAAGTCTTCAAAGTTTGTGCAAACCTCATGCTGTTCATCAAGGACTTCTCGAAGTCTCCCACGTACAAGAGTCTGCATGAGAAGGCCAGCTCAGGTACCGGTAGTCGTGAGCCTTCACCATGGGCCGAGCTACGCCACGCTGCTGGAAGGCTTCTATCATATTATCAAGCATCAAGAACTCTCATTGAAGCCCGGAAGAAGTGGGAGTGTCTATTTCACGATTTTGAAATAGACTTCGTCCGTTCATCAAACCAAATCAGCAACCCTATGACCGACCGGAGAGTCAACGCAGGGGCCATTATCGGCCGTATGACAGGGGATGGGACCAAAATGCAGGAATACAGGGCCCATGCCGAGGAATTGCAAAAGTTCGATCTTGACGGGAAAATCAAGGAGCAGGCCGCGAAACCTTCTTTCAAGCCCCTGGTCCACGCCGAAGTGCTCGTCTACCAGTCCATGCTGGATGAGTTTGGTCCGGCCGGGCCGCACTCGTCCCAGTTCTTCAATGGGTACAAGTACATCGGGTCCAGCAAACCAACCTGCCGGCTCTGCGACTACTACTTCACGGCGTCCGCCACGGGCATAGACGTGCGCAAGACCCACCGCAACCTCTACATCAACTGGCGCACCCCAGATGTCTACTCGCACCAGGGCGAGGCGGCGGTCAAGCGGAGGCAGCAAGTGCTCATCAAGGTGTGCGACAGGGTCTGCGAGGACGCCTTCCGCACGCTGGCCGAGAAGGTCCCGGAGAGGAAGAACCACGACTCCAATACGGACCCGACCTTCCCCGCGCTGAACCACGGCACCAGCGTTGGGTTCGACGGCGGGTGGCGTGACACGGACGCGGACGATCTGGCGGCGTCCATGGGCCAGCTTGGTCTGCGCGACTCTCCAGGGGAGGCCCGGGAGGTGCGACATGAGCCAACACCGCTCAGGGCTGCTTCGGGCTTTGATGCAGACGATGAGGAGGGAGGGGCCCGGCTTTGGTGAGGGGCAGATCCCAGTATATGAATGGAAATGAAGCATACGAATGGTGGTTTCGGGGGTATTTTCAGTGAGTTCGTTTGCTCGTTCGCTCTCAGGCCCGAGGTCTACAACACCTCACCCAGCAGCACTCGTTTGAAGCAAGCCCAGGTGCGCGTTCTGGAATAATCAAGTTTCCGTTCTTGGCCAAATCAGAAGAGGACTGCGGGCCTGAATGATGTACCATTTCTTCAACGGACTGATCAGGGTTTCCATGTCCAAACCCCTTTCCTGAGATGCATTTGAACCAAGTGCAGAGATAAAGTAAACAGAAGATGCACCACACCAAAAAAATTAAGATCGCCTTAAATGCAATCCCGGTATCATCCCAGAGACTCCAAAGTAGCAGGAATAACCACACCTCCCCGAGTGAACATGCCAACAATATCCCTTCCTCACCAAAAAGTGCTCGAGACCCCTATTGCCCTTTCTATGCCCTTCGCCTCCTAATTGTCCCTGATCCCATTCCCAGAGAAAGGCTCTCAAACAATGCCACTTGTAGATCCACCCTTTCGCCCTTCCTATTCATTGGTCATACCGATGCTGCTGGAGCTCCCACCATTGTTGAACCCACTCGTGAATTGCTGACGCTGCCTTTGCTGATATTGGTACAAGGAGTCTCCTGAGTCCTGTCTCGAGAACGTCCCAGGAGTGAATGACCCGATCGGTGTCCCCGTGCCACTGTTGTAGGCCGAGACGTGGTTACTGAAACTGTCCACTAGCGGACTGGTCAGGTCGTACTCCCAGTCCTGCTGGGGCCCCCCGTTGACGTCGCTCGTCCAGTCCGGAAGCGGCACCGAGGTCGTCGTCAGCGACGGCATAGATGCCGGGATAGAGCGCTGACCCGCAGCTACGCTGTTTAGGGCGGTGCTGAAGGCATTGACGTTGTCAGGGTCAAGCAGCGGGTCGCCAAGGAAAGACGAGCTTGACTGTCCGGCGTTAAGGTTGCCACCCATCGAATACATCTCGGAATCGGGATCCGGCTCCTGCTCGTCCTTGACCACCTCCCCGAGGATGCCACCCATTTGCTGGCTGCCACCGGTTGAGCCGGTTAGCCACGAGAGAGACATGCCCTCGGGTCCGAGGATTGGCGATGTGAGCGACGGTGTCAATACCATTCTCATTCCGCCCGGTCGCTCCTGGGCAAACATCAGCAGTCTATCAGCGAACTGCGTTCTGCTGTTTGGCGTTGCGCTGAGGGTGCGGACAAAGAACTCGAGTGGGTCGATGGCGGCGCCTTTCCTGCTGACACCGAGAACACCGAGGTCCCCGCTTCCGGGCAGGAAGTCCATCCCCATCAAGCCGCCACTCAAGGAGCCGAGTCCACTGATTGGGGTTCCAGCGGCACTGGCGCGGTCGACTGCACCGAGCACATTCATGCACCAGGTGCCAATCTCGAAAATCTTCTCGAACATCCCCATGCCGTGTACTTCGACTGCGGTGCTGGGAAGGCTCTGCAGGACGGCAGCTGTCGAGCGCGCGATTGCCAAAGGGAAGGCGAAATGCATGCTCTCGTGTGGGGCTGTCCAGCTCAGTAAGCTCTGGCGAAACGAAGCTTGCCACACAATTAGCCTCAGCCACTGCTGGGTGACGAGCAGGTCGGCCTTCTGAATAGCAGTTGGCTCAGATAGTATTATTTCCTCGTCGGCATCGTCGTTCGAGCCCGAGACTGATGGTGCTGCTGTCACGGGTGCAGAGAAAATCGGCGCCGAGTCTGAAGACGGCGTAGTGGCGCGAGATCGCTGGAGGAAGGAAGGAGGCTGGGCCAGAAGATTCTGGAGAGCAAGGTAAGTAGTCGCACTGACCCGAGGATCAGATCCTTCGTTCCAAGCCGATACAAACGACTCGTCCAGAGGCGTGTAAGACGACACCAGCTGCAGAAATCCAGCATGGATGTCCGGTGATTCGTAGGAGTGACGCGTCGTGGGTAACATCGGCGTCTTCTTAAAAGTGATGGGTTTGTTGCGCAGAATGGCGAAAGATCTAGGTACGACGTTAGACTGAGCAGGGCAAGGTCACACACAGTGTTTCAGTGGTTTACCTTTCAGTGACAAACAATATCCAGAATACCCGTTGCCTGCACAGGGCCTCCTGAGGGGTTAAGCTAACGTATGTTGAATCATCATGCAGTCCCATGTCCTGAGCCAGGGTGAGTGCTTCCCTCAAATACAACCAAGACTTCCGGTTCTGATTTATCTCGAAGAAAGAAGTCGACAACCAAAACGAGGAGATAACGGCATGCAGCGACGCATCCTCCATGAAATCATAGGACTGCCGGTTGGACACGCACTCGTCCAGGAAAAAGCGGCCGGCGTCTTCCCACGACGCTGGGCCGTCAAAGCTGAGGCTTTTCCCGGACATGTGCATGCTTACCAGAGCACATAGGGCAAAAATAAGGTTCTTTTCGGACGGCGTCATCTGCCTCGCGATCATGGAACGGATGGCTGGCATGTAGAGGACTGGCATGATGGGATAGATGTGTTCATAGTAGAGGTCAACACATTGCGGGATAAGATGCAGGAAGGGCCGGTGGAGAGGTTGGTGCTGATCGGACGTAAAGATGCTCCTTGGTTCTGGCCCATTGCGAGGATCTGAGGCGTTGTTCCGCCATGAGACATCCTGTGGTAATGCTGTTGACGGGTAGGCGACGCGGGCTGGCTGGACCTCAGGTTCTGCACTGTTGTCTCTGCTGTCTCTCTCCTTCTCCCGCGCTCTCAACTCGTTGCTATGAAGCTCAGTCAGCGTCTCTTACGACAACAACAGAGAAACTCAAGTCCAGAAAACCGCGCATTGAAGCGCGCCGCCATACCCCAAGTCGCCCAGCCGGGTTTGCAATCACAGGTCTCGTGGGGCAGATGGATGGATCATGAACAGATGAAATGAGGGCAACACACATGACGCGGCCATGGCCCCTCTTGGGACCACGCTTCCTGGGAACATGATCCCGCTTGCAAGTCAAGCTGGCATTGAGACACTGCTGGCAGGGAAGCTGCCCGTCGCAGCGAATTCCTGGGGGAAGGCTGTCAGCATGGCAAGACCCAGCTGTGTGACTGAGGCAGGGCGTGGGAGAAGAGCCAGGCACGCATTGGTTGCAGGGGCGACAGAGACGCGCGTGTCGAGTTCAAGGAGCGGCAGAGAAGGGGAGGGTGATGGAGAGGCGGCAACTGGGGGTGAGGCAGAAGCAGGACAAGGCACACGTACGTCGTCTCCTACAGTGATCACAGACGGTCCGCTTGGACTGAGAGGGCCTGGAGGGCGAGGCGGAGGGGCCGGCAGGATCTGGGTCGGCAGCGGCGCCGGAATGGCGCAGGCTGAGGGCCGGGTCGGACTCGGAGGCTGGGGCGGGAGGCACGGCGGATACGAAGTCGGAAGAGTCGTCTTCGGTCTTCATCCTGGGGGCGGAATCAGAGGGAGGGAGGGGAGGGGAGGGGAGGGGCGGGCAGGCGTTCCGTGACCCGTGATTCCGTGATCCGTAAAGGGTGACTAATGTCCGGGGGGTGGCGGGATACAGGGGGATCCGCTCAAAACAAACTCGACATAATGATAGCCGGTAGGGCGGGCCGAGTCATCAAGCGACAGGAGGGTTTTGGTGGACGAGAGAGGGCGCTGGGTTGAGTGAGGCTCCGCGAGGGTTGAGAGAAGGTTGCGAGTCTTCAGCGAGAGAAGGAGCGATGGCGGGCGGGCAGCAGGGCGGAATGCTCGGGGCCGGGACCGGTTGAGTTCAGGAGGGAGCAGCGCAGGCACGTCGAGGTCAGTTGTCAAGGCCACGCACTGACTTTACCTTGACTGGCCGGGCGATCGGCGTTGGAGGTGGATGGGAGGTGGATGGGATGGGATGGGATGGGAGGGGACGAGTGGGTGTGATGGCGAACCGCGATGGGAAAGCAGCTGCCGCCTGGTGACGGAAGATCTGGACGGGCTTGGAGGGGTTCGCCTCTCCCACTTCCCAGTCTCTCTCTTTTCTCTCTCTACAAACGCCTGCCCACTGCTCCTGCTCCTGTTGCTGGTGGCTCTCTTGCAGCGTTCCTTGCCCTGCCCTGCCCTGCCCTGCCCTGCCCTGCCCTGCCCTGCCCTGCCCTGCATCTACCTCCCTCCCTATCCTACCCTCCTGACCCTCCAGTGCCAAAATGAGCCGGCTACCTGGCCAAACACCTCGCCGCTCGAGGCTGTCTCCCTGCGACTGCGTTCGCGCCGCGTTGCGTTTGCGGACTCTGGCCGTGCCCTGCTGCAGATAAATGCGGGGAAACCAGGATCGCGTCGCATCCGACTCCTGCAACGGCTTGCGACTATACTAGCGTCTTCGCTCGGTCTGCCCTCTCTGTGGTGTTCCAAGGGGGAAAAAAACTCTTTTCCTGGTGACGGGTGCTCATCAGGTGATGCCGCTGATGCCGCTTGTGCCCGCCGAGATTTGAGGCAGGGAGGGTGGGAGCATCAAGGGGCGGATTGCCGCGGTCTACAGCTATCGTTCCACCTCTTGGCCTACATGGCGACTTCAAATCTTGCTGGTATCCTACACATCACCATCATCATATGCCCATATATGCACGGTACACTATTGCAGTACCATGTCGCATCTGACTATTTTAGTCTGGGCCAGGGCAAGCGACTCGCCCGTCTGCCTGCGTCTGCCAGGACTCAGGAGATTTTTCTCGACTCTGATGGAGCCTCCAGAGGAGCCCAGAGGAGCCCACCCAGACGGCCAGAGGGGCCACCGAGAGACACCCCCGTCGGCCAAGTGGCTCTGACAGGGCAGACGGATCGACCAGAATGGATCTTGCGGTGGCTCGAGCCCCCCTGACAAGAGACCCGTCCGCCCCACCCCTGGCCCCTGAACTTCAGCCGCAAGACCTCACGGCATCAAACCACGTAAGTTGCTGGCTCCGCTTGCAGAAAGCTTGATTGGCGCCATGCGTCATGGTAGCTGCGCTGCGGGCTTCGCCTCAGGAGTCTTCACTCCATCCGGCCGGCCTGTCTGCTGAGGCATTTGGCCCGCGGTTTGGTTTGATTTGAGTTGTTTGGCTTGGCTGACCGGGACGGTCCAGACGCCCTTGTTTTGTTTCCGAGATATGGTATGATAAATCATGCGCTGTGCTCTACTGTACTGTGCTGTACTGTATTCTACAGTCAGGGCCGGCATCGCCTGGAGACCACCTCACAGTTCCTCCTTGAAGAACTTCTCTTCGCTTCCCTCTCCTTCCTCGCCCTCCCCGCCCTCGACCTCGGCTTCACCTTCGCCTTCGTCCTCGCCCTCGCCCTCCCCGTCGTCCACAATGCCCCGGATCTCCGGCACCTCTCCCGGCACCTCGACCACCTCGAGCGTCCAGGCTTTGTCTCCCGCGATTTTCTCCAGCTCCTTGCGAAATTGGTCTATGGTGTCCGGATCCAGGTTGCGCTTCTCAAGCCCTTCGTCCGTCATCATCTCCACCTGTCCACCCTCGGCCTTGCTCAGGGCCCTAGCAAGCGTTTCGATAAGCGGTTTCGTCGAGGCCCCTTTGCCCGCAACGAATCCCCGTGGCGGCTTCAACTTGGGTGGGGGTTGACCGTCGTCCGTGCCGTGAAGCTCCTTGCCGCCGATAATGATGCCGCCTATCTCCATGCCGCTGAATTTGTTCCTACCCTGCGCGTCCTGCTGTCTCTGTGTGGCGTCTTCGCCCTCGGCCCCCTCGTCGGCCTCCTCTTGACCCTGGAGGGTACCCGCGGCCTCTGCGGCCTCGATGCTGTTACGCACTCGCCAGGCGTTCGCCTCGTCTTCAGAATCGAAGATACGCTGACAACTGATGGGGTGTGCGCGAGTCTCCTTTGGTGGTAAGAATGCCACGTCCTCGCACAGGCGAGGCGTGTGAACCAGCATGAGATATGAACATGTGGTAATCTCCTTGATCCAGCCGATACGGTCAACCGTCGAGCCCGGGTTGCAGTGGTACTGGATCTCAATGGTCCTCTCGCGTTCCGTAAGATCGCAAATCGTGCCAGCTCCCATGCGCTGTACGAGGTAGCGCTGATCGCCCTTGACCTGCAGTTCCGTGTGTGGAGGAGGCTTGAAGTCGGTTTGCTGGCTATTCGTGTCCGTCTGTAACTCCTTGCTCTGTTTCTTGCTTTTCTTGGTGCTGTGAGGTTGTTGCACCCTGCCCAGAACGTACTCCTGGCTGTGTGGATCCCGCGCTGGAAGGCCGCCCTTCATGTTGGTGGGGAGCGCATGGAACTGGACGATATCCTGTCCGTAGCAAAACTTGTAACTCCACCAGCCTGACACAAAGTAGAGGCACTGGTTCTCAAGATCGCTCATGAGCTCCCATCCTCGCGTGTTGGCCCGCGCAAGCTCGCGGGCCTCTTCTGCCTTTGCCAGGTCTGTCGCAGTCTGGTTGGGGGCGGGAGGTGGCGCGAGGACGGGGACAGAACAGAGGAACCTGGAAGGTGGAATGTTGATAATTTCGAATTCCTCAGACACCTCTGGCATGCCATCTTCGGGATCGCCATCTTGACCGGCGTCTGCGGCCGCGGACTCACGGGTCTGGCTGGTGAGGTCAGTCTGCGAAGAGAAATCGGCCGTGTAGGTGGTCTGGGCGGATCGTGAGGATTCAATAATTCGTTGCGCATCTTTCTCGAGAATTATGGTATCTGGGAAGACGACTTCAAACTGTCAGGCTAGTCATCAGCATGCAGCGTGAGGGAGCGGCCAAAAGACAGCAGCGGCTTCTTTACCTGCGGATGGGCCAGCATATCATCGTGGATGCTGAATCCAGGTTGCCGAGCTCTGCACAGCTGCAGGCTGGCTAACAGAACGAGATTGAGACGGCGCATCATGCCGCTAAGCACTGTTCTGGCTCACATGAAGGTTGCGAGATGGACACTTGTTGGTGCGCGAGCAACTCGTAGACGTGTAAGTTGGTTCCCATTGAATCCGGCGCTGACGTTTGTTAGCCAGTCAGCCAGTTGAGAAGTGGCATCAACGGCGCGCACGGACCACCCGCGCTGTCGGCCTCGGCTGACACGGTGGGCGTAACTTCACACTGTCGCTCACTTCAAACAACCTTCCTTCCGCACTTACTTCCTGCCTCGAAGTATGATCCTCAACACCTACCCATCCACGCCATGCATGTATTCACCGGCCGAATGAAGTGTGGACACTGCACGACGATGATCGTCCCTTGATCCGATTCCAGGTCCCCGTCGATACTCGGAATCCATTTTCCATTACCATGGGCTTCTGATATTTCGAGAGGAGCTCACTGATCGCACCATCCCTGATTTAGCACTCTGCATTCGAACTCCACTGCACAGAGGAGCCACTGCTGATCCAGAGCCTTCCATAAATGGCGATTCTGACGAGGCCGTGTCATCCGAATATACTTTGTTGGACCCTCACACTTGGCATGGGCCAACAGGTGAATCGTCACCACTAATACGGGTAGCGAAATATCAGCACCCACCATCGCTACCACCAGCCCCCGGTGTCCGGCCGGAACCTGCCTCTCGTTACGGGCCCGGAGATCCTGTGGACCCTGCGTAACCAGGAGCGACATGTCGGAGGATCAAACCAAGTGAGCATCGACTGACATGTGCCCAGGCCTGGGCTGCGCGACTCGACGAAGGAAGGGCCGATATCGACTCGCAGGCGGTTGTGGATCCAGCATGGGAGGAGCATCGTGCTCGTGGGCCCGTCGAGGAGCATGAGGTAATTTGGAATTCCTCGGCGGTACTGAGATGCATTGCGGCCGGGCGATCCGCAAGTGTGTGTGAGGGGCACAATGCAGGTGAGCAGGTTGTGTCAAAGACCATCCTGACCATCCGGGTCCCATCAACGATCCCGTTCCCACCTTGTGCGCGGTTTATTCTGGACCGCCAGCCTTTTTCCCCTATGCGGTGCTTGATAGGTGCAGATCTCACCGATCCAGTCGGATCAAGCCGATTGCGAGGTGGAAATCCTACATACAAAAAAAAAATTGGTGTATGGATTCCTGTTTCCTGCTTAAGTCCAGTTCAGCGTAAGGTGATAATCACATGCGGCCCTAACTGAGCACATGAGTATGCACAAGGGCCTTTCTTGTTGTGCCCTCGAGTCGTGCGGTGGCTCAGGTGGAGAACACAGTTCGGTCTGACTTGGCAGTGCTCTCCGAGTACGTACGTCTTTTGTTCAGGGGCAAGCGTGGATATCAGCAATACGCGTAATGGCTTGCCTTCAGTCAGACAGGAGATGCGAGCCAACATCTGTGACGTGTGGGCTATGAATGTTACATATCGCCGTCAACCTAGTTTGACGATCTGCAGTGGTTGGCTTGTCTAGTTGCTGCTCATTTCCTACGTTGACAGCTCTTAGCGGGCGAAGATCAAGGGGAGAGGCGAAGAGAGGAAAATTTCCCTGCGGTTTAACCAGGCTTCTCGAGTCTCACGTCCTCCCTAACGACTGGAGCTTTTTTGCCCATGTGACTGTTGGTCAAGCTAGTGGTGTCTCCTGTCGTGACCTACGTTCTCAACGATGCGGAATTCATGCGGGACAGACAGGTAATCAAGCAGGACAAATAGCCTTGAGACATGTGAAGTATGTGAGTGGCAGCAGGGCTTGTAGATGCACCTGCAGAATCGGCATGTTAAGCTCCCTGCGCCACCAGACTTTTGAAAAGGTCGTGTAAAACTTGCCTTTTCTTGTTTCACAACCAGCTACCTACGTATATGATGTCCATACAACTTCGACCAGTACTTTGCTACAAGATTAATCATGACCATCGGTCTGGACGTCCCAATGTCTCTCTTGAAGACACTTCGCAACTTTAAAACAGCAGGCCCATCGCATTAATGTTTTCCTCCGGGGACAAGCGGTGGTGCCAGCTAAGTGAACTTCAACAACAACACCCTCTTTGCAACCATCGTAGCCGGCTGCAGCGGTTGTAGCAATTACCTGGGCTGCGCTTTGTCCTATCCATATGCTTGAGTTCTTTTGAATCGCAGATAATTATGGAATGTCTGTGTAATCCTCCGCCACCGCAACCGTCGTGACTCTACGTGCCGAGCACCGCTCTTCAGGTGTGAGGGACTGCCCTTTGAGCAGTGACATACTACCATTTTCACAACAGCACACCAATTCAGGGAGAAACTATATACTATACAAGAAATTATGATTTAATAACTGAAACCCAATTGCATTAGTTTACAATACTTGTTATCCTGGTACCTGTACATGGCTAGCCTAGCAGACACGATATCAGGCTGGAAAAGCATGCGATCAAGGTAGATGAATGTCATATGCCATCTAATTACAGACTAAACTTCAACGACATCAATAGTTCGTGAAACTACCACCATGTTTACTGTTTCACCTGCTTGGTAGCCTTGAATAGCAAGAGGGATATCCAGGTATTCTGTATTCTTATCAAAAGCGGCTAATACATCAGGGCATCCACATGGGGAACAAGACCCACAGATTTCACAAATAAGTATAAAGGTGAAAAAACTCAAATCTAATAATTTCTCATTGAATGGAGCCTTTGAACGCATTGATTTGCTCAGGAAGAGCCATGGAACACTGCAATTGATCACGTGAGGGAGCTACCAACATTTATACTTACTTGGATCCATAGGTCATGTTCATGCTGGAGCTGTCTTCCTGCAGCTGAAGTTCTCCTTATAAATTCTGGTAGCTAAGGAGGAGTCTGGTCCATCAGGGCATGGCTGAAAAGCATTCTTTGGGAATGTAATTACCGACCACTTAGCAGCCATCTCACGGACTTCAAATTTGGTGTTGGGCGACCACAGAAGACTTCCGCAGTGACGCCCGCTCTACGCCTTCTGAGAAGTGTGAATCGACAGCTCTTAAATGCAAGAGGCACGTAGACCCTTGGTGGAATTGAAGCTGACACCTTTCCCTCTCTGAGCAATGAGAGCCCATCCAATCCCCTGGTAATCAGTGTCAAGTATGCTCGCTTGTCCCATCCACCCGAAGCATTGGTCAGATGATCTCCTTCTCCACCCTAGGCAGATTCGCCAGGTCCAGCTGGCCTGGCAGCTTACTGCTCATGTACTTCTTGCAAAGGGGCTTGTGCCTCCTGGTCCAGTCCCTCTTCTGGCAGACTGGGCTGCAGTAAAAGACGGAACGGCACGCACCACAGGCTTTCAACTGTGCGCGGGACAGCATGGCGCCTCCGGGGGACACACACTATAGTTGGCGAGCAAGTAACGTTTAACGGAGCTCTCACAGGAGCCGTGTCCGGCAGCGGCTGTTGGAATCGCCCCAGAGGCAAAACTCACATTTTCACATCCACACATCGTGTGGCCCTTGTCCGCACCCTTGAGACGGAGTTCCCGAGCACCAGGGAAGTCCCCTCTCGCCTCCAGCACGCGCGCCATATTGTCCCGGCTCGCAGCGGCGTCGTTGCGGGGGCCGAGCTCCATGCCGCCAAACGCCTTGTCGTCCCTGACCGCGAGGGCCTTCGCGAACGCAGCCGCCGCCTCGTCGAGCTTCCCAGCCGCGAGATACGTCTCGCCGAGGTTGTTGAAGGAGATTGCGGCGTGGACGGACCGCTCGCCGTGGAGCCGGACCTTAACTTGGACGGCCTCGGAGTGCAGGCGGATAGCCTCGTCGTACCGGCCCGCGCGCTTGGCGACGATTGCGGAGTTGTTCTTCTGGATGGCCTCCCTGTAGCATTCAAAGTCAGCCATCGAAGCATTAAGGAATAATTCCACCCAGCCAATTATAGAAAGGAGCCTGCAGGCGGGCCACAGTATGGGCCATAGCCGGTCTCAAAGCCTGCAGCCTAGTGATATTCTTGATTCACAGGCTACAGATTGGAGAGCCTTCTTCTTGAAAGAGCCAGGATTGTATCTGAGAGCTGCTTACATGGCCTCAGCAGCATCGGTGCCAGAGCGCATCGCGGTGATGTTTTCGAAGACGTCCATGTTGCTAAGACTGGTTGGAGGAACAGCGGCTGGTAGTCGATTCTGACCTCTGGTGTCTCGGAATTATGGCGCGTTTTGGGCTGCGATAGCAAAAATGTTGCCTAAAGCGTTCACACTGCTGAGCATTGAAATCGACCACCTGGGCAGTTGTGGAGCGGCGATGGGATTCTTCTTTCTATGCGGTGGGTGCAAGATTCTTTAAGTTATTTCTATGTGGTCTGATCGCTTGATATGGCGGGGATGCGAAATGCTTTCTCCTCCCTCCCTGGCCTCCCCGCTCTTTGAGTTGCATTTACGGACCGTAAATGCCCGTAAACAACCCGTAAACAACCCGTAAACAACCCGTAAGTGCACACGTAAAAGTGAATCCGTAAAAGTTCACCCGTGCGGTGCGTGCCCCGTGTTACGGGCGGTTGTCTGCAAAATAGAGACAGCACATCCACTAATAGACATGTTCCTGCAAAATTAGGGCATTGACCACTTCTGCATATAGAAGTCCTTGTCGGCTAGCATGCTGATGATAGTGAAAGCCGACTCTGCGGCTTGAATGAGCGTCATGTCCTGCTACCAGGCAATTTGACTAGTTCCCTTGCTATGGTCTGAATGTATAGGTATTTGTAATAAGCTATAGCTAGGAATAGTGTAAGTGCTTGCCTTTTGCAGGAATATTTTGGAGAAGTCGAGGGAAGATTGAGCACCCAAATTATCCCAATGAAAAAATCCCTTTCGTTCTTTGGGCTTGCAATGCAGGCCATTGGTAAGTCCCAATGCGTGCGTGCTAGGGATAGTCTGAAGCGATAGTCTCCCCATTGTCAAGTGTGGAAAGCGCTAGGACAAAGTTGGCTGACGAACTCCAGGGACACCTCCTGGGAAAAAGACCTGAAGACCACCTGGGATTTGAGGTTCGAGTTTAGGATGCTTCTCATTATGTTCCTCGAGGGGTACAACATGACACTAGGCTATTCAACTGTTGTTGTTACCCCTTCTCCCGCCCGACTTACTCCTATTGACATGTTCCTGCAACACCTTCCTGGTCTGCACAAGACTCCTCTTCTGCTTCTGCTTGGCCTTCCCGATGGTCATCAAGAAGTTCTTCTTCCTGGCCTTCTCCTTGTTTGACGTGGACTTGCCCTCGGCCTCCTTCTTGGACTTCCGGATGGCCTGTGTGGATTTGTGCTCCTCCCGATTGGGCTTGCCCTCCTTGGCCAGTGCGACTCTCTCCTCCTTGGTCGTCTTGCGCAGCTTCGCTGGCAGCTCGATCTGTTCGGCCGTCAAGGGGTCGTCGGCGTGCCGGGCTGCGAGCTCCCGCGCGTGCTTGGAGCGGTTGCCCATGGCCTTGTCAAGGTTGGCTTGCAGGCGCAGCTCTTGCAGCTTGGCCAGATCTGCGGGCGAGAGGATGGTGGTTGTGGCGAGCTTGGACATCCGTTCGACTTCTGCTGCCGCGCTGGGCTTGTCTCCGTCTACAAGCTCTGGTGCTTCTGATGATCCCTTCCTCTGGCGCTTGGCCGCTGGCTCCTCGTCCTCGTCCTCGCTTGACACGGCGATCCAGCCTCCAGAATCGCTACTAGCTTCGGAATCAACCTCCCAGTCGCTGTCGTCAGAGACGTCGGCTTCCGGGTCCTCGTCACTGCCAACATCTTCCGGCAGACCTTTGGCCACACGTTTGCGCTTCCTCTCTTCCTCTTTCCACTTCTCAAGCAGCTCAAGGCCCTCAATACCACCGGCATCCTGTTCTCCGAACTTTCGTTGTTGCAGTTCTCCGCTTCGTAGGTTCATGGTGGCGTTCTTACCACGATCCCTCTTTCGGAGCATCTCTGCACCAACCTCGCGGTACAAGGACAGCAAGCCCTTCGCGGCCATCATCGTTCCCTTGTCCTTGCTCTTACGGTACTGCACCAGATCTTGCAGTAGCGTCTCCGTCATAGCCAGAGGCTGACGGACACAGACTTCGCGGATCGAATTCAGACCGGCGGCTGCTACTTCTGATGCCGCCGCTTCCGAGACGAACTCGTTCGCGATCTTCAGGATCAGAGGCTCCAGGGCGTCTGGTGGGACCAGATCGTGCGTTGCTTGGGCCAGGCATGCCAGGAAGGTGGTGACGGACGGCTGTTTCGGCGTGAGAAACTTGATAAACCAGGAATAAAGGTTGATGACCGTGAGTTTGTGCAATCCAACCAGTCGAGTGACCAGTTGCAATACAAGCAATTTACTCTCCAAAGCCAGCTTCGTCTTGGTGTTCAGCAGGTGCTTCTGAAATAATTGCTCGGCAAAGCCCTGGGGATCATGAAGCAGGTGCAGAGCAGAGAAGTTCAACGGATGTGGCTGATTCTTCTTGCGCTCATGCTTCTTGACCTTTTCGACGGCGGATTTATACTGCCTTGCTTGCTTCTTGGACTTCTTGTTGATGCCGTGCTGGTGCTGAATCTTCTTAAGATCGATAGCCTCATCATCACTGCTGTCATCCTCCATTTCCTCTCGCTCCTTGTCACCGCCCAGGAAGAACCGAACTCCTCCAACTACAACCTTCTCGCTGTCGGCCAGACATGCCTCTTTCATCACCTGCACGGGCTTCGCGTCGGTCCATATTTGCCGCCGCCACATCTCGCGTGTCAACCGCACAGCCCACACTCCCTTGGGCGAAGTCTTATCGGAGGCGATGAGGATGGAGAGCACGTTTTGTACCGTTCGATTAAGAGGATGGTTCGTATGTTTCGAATTCGAGTTTCGCAGGTCACTGACAATCTTCTGGTACAGCACAGCCCTGAGGCTTTTGCTGGGCGTCGAGACAAGGATCGGAAACAAGGTGGTTAGGAGGTACTCGGAAGAGATGATTTCTTTCCTTCGCAGGAGCACCAGGCTCCCTACCAGCTTCTCGCGCACGTCTGGGGGAAGGATGGCATGGTGCTGCGTCAGCACCTCCTTGAGGTCGTCTGGAAAGGTCTCGGTCTCCTCTTTGAAGCAGTCGGCGACGTGAGCGATGAAGTCGATCTTGTCATGGAAGTCCTGCGAGACATCCCTGGTCATGTTTGCCGGGTTGTCGAGGAACACCTCCTTGGTGGAGAGGTAGGCCGAGTATTGTCTTTGGAACTCGTCTGCATAGCTTTGAGGATCCGACCGCACTTTGAACTGCAGACTTGCGAGATCGGCATCGAGTTTCTCGAGCGCGCCGACTTTCCTCTTTCCCATGGTCGCCGATAGATTCACCGCTCAATCTGAATTGTCTAGAATTGGCAGTCGAGGATTGGTGATCCTAGAGGGAGGAAATTCTCAGCAGTACGTTGGGGGGAGTAGAGCAAGGCAACCCAAAAATTCCGGTATCGATAAGACTGTGCTTATCTTATCTACACAATGGGCCGGTGGGGGAGGTGGGCCGTGGAGCTGTAGAGCGAAAACCAAACCATGCAACTTGAAATTTGGCAAAGACCATGAAAGTCAGATTGGGAAAAGCCGAGACGCCAAATCTGCGGGATGGTCCAATCTAGGGGACATTCTATCATCGCCTGCGGCGGTCGCACGGCAGCGGCAAAATTGGCACTGGCCGTAGTGCAGGACTTATACATCTTTGGCTGCACAGCCCACAGGCATGGGATAGGAAACGAGGTCTCGACCTCTTGAATATCCGACCTCGACGACTTGACTGCTGTATCAAATACGCCCAGTTCTCATAATTCTACACAAGGGAGACTAATGGCGTGCTCCTCTATCTCATATCTCTCATATCTGAGCCAATGCACTGCTGCAGTAAAAAGTTATCTCCGTGCAATCAATGCCCGTCAACACCTCCTTGGCCCTTCCAGTAATTTTTGTCGACTTTGTCTTCTGCTGCAGGGCTCGCTCGATCGTGCTAAGCAGTGGTTAGTCCATTGTCATTGTTTGACAGTGTATCCCGAGCCCTCAGGGAAGGGTAAGAACGATGCCAGGCTGCAGCTTACTTTCTTCTCAAACTCGGCGTTGTGCCTGTCTACTTCCTCCTGCTGCTCCTTGGTGAGCTTGTCCCTGCCTTGGCCTGGAACGCTGGCGTTGGTGATCTTGGGCTGAGGAGGTGGGTTCTCGGAACTCTCGAGAGGTTTGCCTCCACCGGTCCGGCCCTTCGCGCCGTCACCAGCTAGGCGGTCGGTAGAGGGATCGTTCCCGGTGTCGACCTGGTAGGCTTTCTCGGCTTGCTCCTTGGCATCCTTTGAGCGAGAGCCTCCGGACTGAGCAGAAGGTTGCTCGGCTTCTTTGGGGGCTGAGGAGGCATAGTGTCGTCGGGCCGAGACGGGGAGGGCTACCCCGGTCTTGATCGTGGATGTGGAGATGGGCGGGAGACGGGCGACGCGGAGAGCGAGGCGGTTCATTCTGATTGCTTAGGCACTAAGCAGACTGTGTGCCGACTGCACAGGTGTGGGTATTGTGGGTAAGGTAAGACGTGCGGTCGGTGCTGCAGGTTGGACGTCTGGTCGTCTGTGAGGCTGTGCAAGGGCTTAGATGGCCGTTTCACAGTACTCAGTGAAGAGGAATGTTTTCACTTGACGGGCAGCAGTCAACGGGAGATGAAGAGCTGAAGCGATCTGTGGTGTTGCTCAATGGAAGGAATGGGATCAAACACTGCACCTTCCCATACCAGCGACAGTGGAATCCCTACGTGGTGGTCTAATAGCTCTGGATTACCAGTGATGATATCATCTCATAGAGATGAGGGCGATCAGTCCCTTAATCCGTCTGTCACTGCGATCCTCAGGGAACCTCAAGCAATGACGCAACTTGCTGGTCCGGCAATACAAGTACCACAACAGACCTAGTACACGGTACTAGACCTAATGCTGTCTGCCGATCTACCTTCCTACCTAGACATATGAGCAAGGACGATCTAAAGCTCTCGAAGGCCTCCAGAGGAGTAGATGCCTGCATGTCTGTCAGACTGACTGACTGACTGACACGGAGCAGAGGCTTGTGCTTATGATGTTACGATAAGCTCACTCCATGTTATCAAGTGGTGTTTGTGTGAGCTTCGAAACTCAATTCAAGCTCTTGCAGGTACGGTACCTCAGTCCTACAGTACAGCCTGTATTGCCCGATTGGGTGCATGGCCACATTGCGGGGCGTTTGTTTGTTTGTGAGCAAGCAGGCTGCGCCTCCGGGCCGCCTCAAGTGCTGACGGCTCTTTCCAAGGCTCGTCCACCTCGGGATGTTTGCAAGTACCTTTGTCTGTATACCGGCATGCATGCATGTATGTCACCTACATTGTAATGGTCCCGAGGTCGACGGGGTCTAGATTCCAATCACCCCAGTCAGCGGCGACGAACTGAGCGGGTTATCGATCCCACTGATGACACAGGTTCCTCAAGTATGCAGCCGGAAATGGCTTGCAGTCTGCCCAATGCAGTTATCTTAAAAGTTTAGGTGTCCTTTTACATGCATAGCTAGGCCTGCGGCCTGGCCGTGATATAAAGGCGTAGCCTCCCTACCCATATTAGGTAGGGAGGCTGCATTAAAAAATTAATTATTATAGCATATAATGCTAAGCTAAGAATATATATAGCTTAATATAAACTTCTTATTTATTTTAAATAAAAAAATTATACCTTATAATAAAATTATAATTAATATAATTATTAAGCTAAGTTTAAATATATATAAAAAATATTTAAAATTAAAATATTAAAAAAATTAAACTTAAGTATTACTTTATATAAAAATATAAAAAATATTTTAAAAATACTTTATAATATTATTATAATATTTTTTATTTATATTTTTAAAAATTATTATTTAAATTTTTATTTTAAATAAAGATTTTATTAATATAATTATTATTATTTTTAAAACAAAATTTATTAAATTAAATATACTTAATTAAAAAATAAAATTAAGAAATACTTTATATATTATTAATTACTTATATTTTAATTATTAATAATAATACTTAAAAATATAAAAAATTAATAAAAAATATAAAATTAAGTTATAAAATTTAAAAAATTATTAATTTATTTTTATAAATTATAATTATTAATAAATATAAGCATTTATTTAAAGGTTAATTTATTATATTATAAATAATTATTAATAAAAATTTTACTTATTAATATTATAAATATAATTAAAAGTATAATTAAATACTTTTTAGCTTATAAAAAATAAATAAAAGCTATTATAGCTTTATTTAAAAATTAAAATATTATATTTATTATAATTATTAAGTATAAAAAAAGTATTTTATATATATTTATTATACTTTAAAAGAAAATTATTATTTATTTTATATTTTTTATAAAGCTTAAAAAAAATAAGTTAAAGATATTATAAATAATATATAAAATATATATTTTATTTAAATTAATATTAACTTATATATATAAATAAGTTTAATAATATAATATTAATTAAAATAAATTCTTTATTAAATTTAAATAAAAAGTTTATTAAAAAATATAATATTAATATAATTATAAAACCTTTAAATTTAAAAATAAATTAAAAAGAATAATTTTATATATATTATTATAAGTTTAAAGTAAGAATAAAATTATTATTTTAAAAAGCTTTTTTATAACTTAATATTTAATAATTAAGTAAGTATAATTATTATTAATAAAGTATATATAATTATTATATAAAAAAAAGCTTTTAAATTAACTTTTCTTTTATTTATTAAATTAAAAAGTTAATGCCTTATTAAATATTATTATTTACTTATATAGCTATTTTTAATTATATAAATTAAAACTATATTTTTAAGCATATAAATTTAAATATTAATAATATAAAAATAATTTAAATATTAATTAATTATTTTAAACTCTTAATAATTATTTAGCTTTTTATTTATAAATATATAAAAACTTTTAATGCTTATACTTTTTATTAAATAATATAAATCCCCTTAACTTAATTATTATTATAAAACATTTAATATATATTAATAATAAGAATAAATTATTATAAGCTTATAAGTTACTTATTAAATATCTTTAAGAATATTATAATTTTAATACTTAATAAGCATTAAACTTTTTAAAATACTTTAATATAAATATTTATAAGTTAAATTAAAATTATATATTTATAAAGTTTAAAAAGCTAAATTTTAAATATTAAATAATAATTTTAATTATATCTTTTAATATTAACTTAAATATTAATAATATTATTATTATTATATAATTTAACTTATTATAATAACTTAATATATTTAACTTTTAACAATATAATAAATATAAAATAAAAAAGCAATAATCTTAAGAATAGTTTATTATATTTACCCTTATTTATTAATTTAATTATTTAAGTATAAAGAAAAAGTAAATATATTAAACTTAGCAAACTTAATTATTTAACACTTTTTAATATAAGTAAATATATTAACTTACTTAGCTTAATTATCTTTATAAAGTAATGCTAGTAATAAATAATATTATTAATAAAAATAATAATAAAAGTAATATATAAAGTATTATAAGTATTAAATCTTAAGTAAGTTATGCTTTTAATATTATTATTAATCTTATAATTAAAATAATAAATAGCTAAGCTTTTAATATTAAATTTTAAAATCTTTAGGATTTAAAATTAATACAATAATCTTAATTAAAAATAAAGATATAAAATATATTAAATTTTAAGTATAAAGCATTTTTAAACTTTCCTTGCTTTTAAAAATATATTATAAGTTTCCTTTAAAAGCTAAATAATTTTATATTAAAGTATAAGCAACTTATAAATATATTAATTTACTATAATAATTAAGCTTATAAAGATTATAACTTAATATTTAAGCTTTTAATAATTAACTTTAGCTAAATTAATAAAAGTATAAAGTTATATATTAATTTTATTTAATATATAACTCTTAAAATCCTATCTTTATAATGCTTTATTAAAGCTTAAGATTTAATATTAAAGGCAAGTTATTAAGGCTTAATTAGCAGCAAAATATTTATAAAAAATATAATATAATAAGTTATTAACTATCTTTATTAAAAAACTTAAGTAAAAAAAGATTAATTTAAAAAGGTTACTTTTTAAATAAGCAATTTTAAGCAGCTCTTAAAGAAAGTTTTTACTTTATAAGCATAGAAATTCCTTAATTACAAAGGCAGTATTTTACTTAGCTTATTAAAAAACTTTATCTTAATAATTTAAAAAAGAATAAATACTTTTACTATAATTAAATATAGCAAGCATTTAATTAAAGAAATATTGAAAAATATTAAAGCTATAAAGCAATTAAATATAAGTTTATAAATAAAATAATAATAAGCATAATTTTAATTATATTAACTTAATTAAGGTTAGTAAACTCCTTATTATATTTTAATAAAAAGCCTGCATAACCTTATATTTATAACTTAAAATACATTACCCCTATTCTTAGCATTTATTATTCTTTTCTTAATAGCAATAACAATAATAATAATATTAATAATAATAATAATAATAATAATAATAATAATAATAATAATAATAATAATAATAATAATAATAATAATAATAATAATAATAATAATAATAATAATAATAATAATAATAATAATAATAATTAATTAATTTATTATAAATCTCTTAATAATATGCATTTATTTAATTATTAAATTAACTATTTATATAGCAATATCTTATAATTTTAAAGTAATTAATATAAGAAATAATAAAAAAGGTAATAATATAAATAGTAGCGGCTTAAGTATGTCTTACCCTTATGATTATATTAATATATATTAAATAAGCATTTAGCAAATAAGGAATTGCTAATTAGCTTAAAAATATATATAATATTAATTTTATTTTCTTAATTAAGCATCTTTAATAATTTCTCTTAATGCTTATATAAAATTATATTAAGGCAAATATTCCTGCAATAACCAGAGTTGTGAAATACAAACCAGATATAAGATATAAATATAAATATAAATATAAATATAAAAAAATATAAAATATAAATATAGATATAAATATAAATATAAATATAAGAAAAAATATAGATATAAATATAAATATAAATACAGTATTTTATATTAAATATTATATTTATATTTGTATTTGTATTTAAATATAATATATATAAAAGAAATTTTTTTAATTCTTTAATAAATAAATTTTTAAATAAATAAAATAAAATTTAATAAATTAAAAGAAATCTTTTAATTCTTTTTTTTTCTCTTTTATATATATATTATTATTTTTTGTATTTATATTTGTATTTTATATTTAATATAAATATAGATACAAAAAATATAAATATAAATATAGATATAAATATAAAAAAAATACAGATATAAATATAGATATAAATATAGTATTTTATATTAAATATAAATATAAATATAAGATATATAAATATAGTTATAACTCTGGC